TGGGAAAGAGATGAAGATGACATGGTGTCATATTTTCCGGGAATGGTGACTGGACAAGAAGGTCAGACCACCGACAGGGACATAGAACGTGATTTGAAATTGTTGAGTAAATTGAAAGTTGTTAATGATTTTAAGATTACTGGTCGTGATGATGTCCAAATTGTGGATAAACTCAAGAATATCCAATCTCAAATGATGGCACTTCAGGTCTCCTACTCTAGTTGGTACAAAGTTATGGTAAATTATTTACCCTCATCTATGGTTGCCGATGAGTGGTTACTGTTATTGGAGAGTACGAACTATGAACCATCATGGATGAACATCGTGAGTTTTTGCCTTAGTGACCTAAATATGACTGTGTACTACGGTTCAAAATTAGAAAGATTTTACCAATTGATTCCAAAACCAGGTATGAAAGTTCTGTCGTTTTTGAAAGAGTTTCAACTTGCTTATCAATCAGTTCCGGGACGTTTACTACCAGCAGAGAGTATTAGAGTTCGTATTTTAGGACTGTTATTTCCAAATTTTGGTTTCCAAATCCAAAATGAGATGAGGTCCCCATCTGAAGATCTGAATCAGTTATTCAAAGAATTAAACAAACAGTTTTCGTTGAATGCTACTTTTCCATTGGTTGATGCTGAATTGTCGTCATCAAATCCTGATTTACTAGGTACTGTTGAAGAATTGAAAGTAATGAAAGCTGGTGGTGCTGGAGAGTGTTTTTACTGTGGGATCCCAGGACATGTTAAGGCCAACTGTTTGAAGTTTAAGAGAGAGAGTGGTGGTTCCAAAGTCTCATCTACTATGGCCGCTCAGGGAAAGAGTGATTTCAAGGGTTATGGTACAAAAAACGGGTTTTCTAAATCTAATCGTCAAGGTGTTAAAGGATTTCCTCCACGTGGCAAAGTGTTCACAAGACGTTTTTATCAATTAGACGATGAGGTGGTAGAGTTACCATCAGATAACTTTGAGGACGATGAGGATGATGAATTGCTTGTGGAACCAGAGGAAGATATGGTCCAAGAATCTTTCAATACCTTGAGTGAAAATATGGTAGAGACCCCTTTTATTGCTGAAGAGACCATTCAATTATCATCTCAGGTGAATCATATCAAAATTCCCTCTGCAATCTACAACTTTGAACTGTTAAAACAATCGTTAGGAGAGTCATTATCGACTATGTCAGTTCAAGCTATGGTGGATTCTGGTGCTGAAGGTATTTATATTACTGAGTCGTTGGTTAAGCAACTGCAAATACCAATCCAAGAGAGGTCATATCACATTAGAGTGAATGGTGTTGCTGGTACTGTCGTGTCTACGACTGATGCTGTTATTACTTTGTTATTTGGTGAAGATCAGGTTCGTTTAAAAGCCGCTATTTTGCCAATAGAATTGTCACCTCAGTTAGTGTTAGGAAATAGTTTCATCTACCCACAAAACTATAACTTCCAGACAAAAGTGTTCAAAGGTTCATTGGATATAAGAAACCGCAAGAATGGAGTACATCAAACTATCGAACTGGTTCCACAAAATCAAGCAGCAATTGAAGAAGCAGTTAATGCATTAGCTCAACTTGATGAACAGTTACATAGTGTACAAAATGAAAGCATTCTCTCTGACAATGATCCTGTAGACACAATTTTAACAAAGGTATCCCAGTTCTCTACCACACAGGAATTCACAGCGTTTATTCTCAAAACTTACCCAAAATTGTTTGATAAGGACCTAAGATACAGAGACGTTGATGATTTCATTGTTGATTTAACTAATGAACTGGACACAACTCAATCAGTAACACCAGTTCGTTCTACGGCTTATTCTACTTCACCGTTACAAGCTGAGGCCATTGAAAAGTTTATTCAAAGCAATGTGGCTGCTGGTTTGATTGAAGAAAATCATTCGCCTACTTGGTCCTTTCCATTGGTGTGTATTCCCAAGCAGGATTCTTATAGAATTTGCATTGATCTGAGAAAGCTCAACAAGTTACTGGTGGCCATACAATGTGTTATTCCAAGCATTCAAGATGTTAAGAAATCGGTAGCTCAATCTTCATTTTTGTCAGCTATTGATTTAAAGAATGCATTCCATCAATTGAAAATGACTCCGGAGAGCTCTGAGATGTGTACCTTCGTGTCTCATCTTGGGCATTACAAGTTCTCCGTGATGCCATTTGGGTTACGAAATGCGAGTTCCCATTTTCAGGGATATCTAACTCGTTTGTTAACTGGTATTCAGGGCATTATTGTTTATATTGATGACATATTAGTGCACACATCGTCGCTTAAGGAGCATTACAACGTTTTGATTAAAGTTCTCCATCGTCTGAATGCTGCTGGATTACAGGTGAATATTGATAAATGTCACATTTTAGTTCCAGAGTTACAATATCTTGGTCATATCATAACTCAAGATGGACTCAAGTCTGATCCAAAAAAGGTTCAAGCAGTCGCTGACTGGCCAATTCCGACAACATCAACTCAATTGCGTGGTTTCCTCAATTTTGCCAACTATCAGAGACAATATATGGTGGGATATTCAACATTAGCGAGACCGCTTTACCAATTGCTAAAAGGTGAAGTGCCTAAAAATGCCAAAGTGGTGTTATCACATGAACAATTAGACTCATTTTTGAAAATTAAATCGCTATTGTGTTCTACTCCTGTTTTGAAATTGTTTGAAGTTGACAAACCAGTGGTGCTTATAACTGATGCTAGCCAATATGGTATAGGGGGTGTGCTATTACAAGGTGATTCAGGCAAATTACGTCCAGTGGAGTATGAGTCGAAGTTAATGAACACTACCCAGATGAATTATTCTGCTCAAGAACGTGAAGCATTGGCAGTACACCATTGTCTGGTTAAATGGAGACATTATATTGAAGGAAATGCGAACATCCAGGTCCTAACTGATCATCAATCGTTGTCCCTACTCATGAATTCAACGGGCCAGGTGAATCGCAGATTAGCCAAGTTTATTGATACCTTTCAACATTTTGACATCACCATAAAATACGTCCCTGGTATCCACAATCTAGCTGATCCATTATCACGAGTCACTATTGATGCGAAGGATGTTCCCACTGTGATCCAAGGAGCATATGAATCGTATCCAGGTCTGGATGATACTGGTGATTTAGTGTTTCCCAAGAAATTCGCGAAACCAGAGGTTGAATTGTTGAAATTTCATCAAGAAGAAAATCAAAGAGTGTTAGCTGCTAATGATGAAGAAGATGTTGATAACGAGGATAATCAGAGTGATGCTGCTGATGAGGCTCCGATTGCACAAGAAGATAATTCTGATGAGGAGGCAGATGAAAATCACATCTTAGAACTTTATCGTCCTTTGGAAGAAAAACTTTGTTTTTCAGCTGACAACCTAACCTATGCTGAGTTGGAAGCAATTCACAGTTTCTTAATGGATGGTGATAATTTACCTGAAGGTTTAGATCGATTAGAGGTTATTCAGACTTTTACAATTGATGACAAAGGAGATTTATTCATCAAACAGAAGAAGACTAACCAGCTATCTCAAGTCTTGGTTGAAGAAGATTTCAAAGTTAAAGCAATCGAGATACATCAACGCTATGGTCATGCCAAATTACTGCCACTCGCCGCTGAAATTTTGAAGAAGTATTGGTGTCCAAATTATATTTTGGTGTTACATGAGGTGGTTAGACAATGCAACAACTGCCAGCTCAAAGTGAGACCTAGCTCTATGGGCCATACTTTGACCCCTATAAGCTACGTTCGAGCTTTTTATCGGTTTGGAATTGATTTCACAGGTCCCTTAGCGACCACGGCCCGTGGCAAGAAACATATTATCGTTGCTATTGATTATGGGACAAATTGGGCTACTGCAAGAGCAGTGGAGGATGTGAGTGCTGCTGTTGCCATTGATTTTGTCCAAGATTTGGTGCTACAATTTAATCTACAAGTAAAAGAAATTGTCCATGATAACGGTGCTGCTTTCATTAGTGAAGAATTTCAACAAATGTTAAGACGAGTTGGTGTTACTTCAAAGAAAACAACTCCATACCACGCAAATACTAATGGTAAAGCAGAGAAATTTAACCATTTATTGAAATCTATTCTATTTGCTAAAATTGATGGTGTTAATGTTAACTACGCTGATTGGGATATTTATCTACAATCATCATTATTAATTTACAATTTAAGACCATTAGACGGATTCGGTAGACTTCCGTATCCGGTAGGTTTTCAAAAGTTTTTTTTTCCAAACTACGAGTCAACGACGTGATGTGTGTTGAAATTGAGAAGTTGTTTGTTTGCTATTGATCAATTTCAAGTCTCAAGTCTTTTAAATTTGTAACGATGGTTTTATGATCTTTATCAGCTAGTCTCAAGGGTTCATGTTGTATATAATTGGCTGTGAAATTGAATTTGATACCAGAGTATCTAGGAAACATAGGGAAAAGGAAAAAGATCGACATCTTATAAGAAGCTTTGCGAGATAAAGCTGATAGCTAGATAGATATGAAAACTCATAGATAAAGATACATAGATAACCCATCATAGGTTGCAGCAATCTCTTCAGTTTACCACTTCTAGGTATAATTTGAAACTGTCGACTCTATATTATCTGGTTCTCATCAACATTGCATCAAATCAAAAGCCGTCAAATTACAATCAACTGTCAAGTCAAGGAACAAACTTCTTCTTGACAAGCTTTTGAAAGCTTCTGTATAATAATATTGCTTAATCAAGGTACCAAATTGCAATTATTGATCACTAGAACAATCGCATCAAGCACTGGGATTCAGGTACCTTAAATACAGAAGCGATGCGAGGGTACAGACAGTGGTTCTTCTTTCCATTGTCCAGAATCAATACCAAATCTTCATCTACAAACATTGTAATCTATTATAAACTCATTAAATTATTATTAAAAAAAAGATGTAAACGAATGGAACTATTATATATAAATATCTTTTTTATATCATGACATGTTTTGTATGAATGTGGGAAAAAATCATTAAAAACTCAAACAATGTGATCACCTGAACTAGTTTCTGGATAATGTTCAGCATTTGATCTAGCCATTTTTGATGGATCAACTTCACCATGAACTTCTTCAGAAATTTGTTCCAAAGTTTTTCTTTTAGTTTCAGGAATTAAGAAAGAGATAAAGAAACCAACCAACATGAATAATGCAAAGATTTCCATAACATGTGGTAACCAACAGTTCTTCTTTTTACCATCTCTAGCACAGTTGTGATCAATTAAAGTACCTAAAGCGGTTTGAGCAATAATAGCACCAACTTTACCACAAGCAGCTGAAATACCATGAGCAGTAGATCTATATCTTGTTGGGTAACATTCACCTGGAACAATAAAAGTAGTAGTATTTGGACCGAAATTTTGGAAGAATTGAGCAATAACATATAAACCTAATAAACCATGTTCACCAATTTTATGGTAACCAAAACCAATAATACACAAGATAATAGTCAATAAAAGGAAACCACCCAATTGAACTGGTTTACGACCAATAGTATCAATAGTAGCAACAGAGAACCAATAACCTGGAATAGAACCAGCACAAATCAAAATCAAATTACCAGCAGCTTGGTTATATAATGAGTGATAAACATTTTTAGATGAAGCATAACCAATAGTTTGTAAAATAGTGGCGGTATTTAAACCTAAACCATAATAAGCAACATCCAACATAAACCATGAACCAGCAGTACCAATTAAAATTTTCATATGTTTCCATTGACCAAAATGAGTACAGAAATCTTTGAATGAAGCTTTTGGTGGTTGAATAATTTCAGCTTTAACTCTTTCAGTAACTCTTAATTGTTGAACATCTTCATTGTCAGCATTACCATGAGCACCTGAAGCAAATTTACCAGAATCAGCAACAGCTTTTTCAATATCATATTCAACATCTAAAGTATATCTTGGGGATTCTGGAATAGTTAATCTATAGTATAAAGCGATACAACCTGGAACACAACCGAAACCAATCAAGATTCTCCACATTTGATCACAAGCTCTAATACAATCACCAGTACATTCAGAAGCTTTGTTCGCAACAATTAATTGATCTTTATAACCTGCAACACAGATTAAGGCAACTAAACCAGCAGCCAATTGACCCCAACCTTGGTTAGCGAAAACAGCACCCATAATGGCACCTCTCCATTTAGTTGTGGCAAATTCTGAAGAAATAACTGAAGACATTGGATAATCACCACCGATACCAATACCTTGAATAATTCTGAAAAAAGTCATAATAGCTGGGAAGGAAATAGCTTTTGATTCACCAATAACACATTGAGCAACAGTAGCTGCAATCATAACCATTAATTCAGTACCATAAATTTTCTTACGACCAACATAATCAGCTAAGAACCCAAAACCTAATTGACCAATAACAGTACCAACAGAAGTGGAAACTTTTAATAAAGTTGAAGTTGATGAAGGAATTGAACCACCCCAGTAAACATAGGCAATCATTGATAAACCCAAGTTAATAGCGAAAATATCATAAGCATCAGTTAAAAACCCAACACCTGCAACAGTGATTGCTCTAACATGATACCAACCAAATGAAGCTTGATCAATTTTTTCCAAAGCTAATCTTCTTCTTTCTAATGGATCATCAATATGACTGAAATCATTCAAATAATTGTGGAAGGCAGAGTTACCACCTTTGGTTTTAATACCAACTTCAGCTGGGTTTTTCTTTTCATCAATAGTTGAAGCCATTTCTAAGTTTGATTGTATGAATGTATTGATAGAGAAACAAAGAGTAGTTCATCTTCATCGTTAAAAGGTTCTTTACCAGAGTTTATATATGGGAAATCATTATCCAGTGTCTTAGCAGAAATAAAATAAAAATTCACCAGTTTTGTTAATTTTTCCAACACACGTGTGAGTATTATTTGCAGTTTTTGCAGGCATATAAAAAAAATAGAAACTTTTTTGTATGGATAAGCCCAAAGCGTAAAGGGAAAAAAAGTAATCTGGAAGCAGCCAACAGTGAAAAGAAACGGCCTTCGTTTGTATTGTGCGTCTGTAATTATCAAACACGAGTTTTAGATCACAGGATCGATTGATTTTAAGGGTATTGTGCTACAATTTGAAGGATTAAATGGTGATTGATGTAGATTGATGGAGTGATTAACCAAGACTTGTAGATTAGACTTCTTCTCCTGACAGTAAATGTGAGCATTGGCAACCGTTCTGAAAAGTTCTTGTGAGGGTCGGTAAAGCTTGTCATGGCTCTTAGCAGCACACGTGCTTTTACTGGTTTCAACAAGTTCCCACGTTGGTGATCTCTGGCCAAAGCCATGTATCGGATTCTTGAGCATGAATCAGATGAATCAGATCAAGCTGGCAAGAGCCCAAGGAGAGAACCAAAAACGCTAGTTAGCTCGTTCAAATTGGTATAGCTCAAGCTAGTAACCACCACCATCGTCTCATAGTAAAAGACAGAACAGACCCTTCTCTTTGACTACCATCCTCTGCCCATTTCCTTGTAGCTGCCCCAACATTCACCTCTCCAATCCCAATCTAAAAGCACGTTTTCTTCGCCTTTTCCTTTGACACACGTGGGAAACCACATCAACCGCCATTTTTTGACAGATTCGAAATAAAGTGTCAGGTTGGGCCACGCTCTCACGCGAATGTTCAAAGGACCCTACAAACTACACGTTCAAACGTGCACAATTTGGAGCTGGAAAAGGGAAGACGGTTCAAGATTCACGAAATCACTGGCATTGTTCAAACCCGTTGTGCATGAGAATCGGTTGGCTACGATGTAATACTTGTAAGGTTCATGGGAATCAAACCGAATCACCACTTATAACCGTCGTATTTTCCCGTTCAACTTGATTTATATATGCCATGTGGTTGATCTTACAACATCTCTAGATAGATGATCAATCCTTCAATTCCCGGTGTAAAATGAGTTGTACGTTTTGGAAAAGAATTTGATGAAAACTCATGATGATTCTGAATCTTCTCTAATTTTGCAAATTTATGGTTGCATTGTTTCAAGCTGATTCTAAGGACTCAGAATATTCTGTGATCCAGATGTCTAATTAATTTGTGCCTTGTAACGGCTTTTGAGTCTTTCCAACAGAAGTTATCACGGTAGAGTAGGCAATGAGAACATGTCTCCTCCTCAAAAGCCAAGTTTTCATTAAAAATGACACATTTATCACGAGATACTAATCCTCAAGTTGATTCATCGTCTCATTTTCAACTCTAGCCACCTTCCCATCTGGAAGTGATTCATGTTCTGCACTCTTGATCATGATGTTGAGGCTGTTTAATGATTTCTTTTTCCATGTACAGCTGTTGGTGAGAGATGATCATTAAGAGAAATTCTTTGGTTGCCCAAAGACGTTCATAAAAAGTATCATCAGACAACACAAAATCATAGGCAACTAGGCAACATATAAAAATTTCAATGGCAACCATCAACTGTCTGTATTTTTTCATTTATATTTCTTTTGAACATCCTCTTCTAACTATTTCAAGCAGAAGCAGAAAACAAGCAGAAAAAGCAGAAAAAGCAGAGAAAGCAGTATCCAGCTATATTCACCAGTGTATTCTCATGAAAAGCTATCATGCTTGCAACTGCCAGATTGTATTCCCCAACTTTCAACTCCAATGTTGGACCTGGTGAAAAGAAATCCACAAATTCCTTGTGATTAGATCAAATCTGAAACCCCTTCTATCAACATTTTGAAATAAGCATTCTGAAGGTCAACCATGCTTCGACAAGATGATTTCAAAGCGCTTAAGATAATAGCATCAAGAGCATTCTAAACAGCATAGCGTCACAATTCAAGATCAAAACCAAGGTCAGCACAGCATAGCGTCACAGTTCAAGATCAACGAAAGTATCCAGCACTAGTTTGTTTACTCAACCAAGCATTTGATGATTGAAACCCCATTATCACAATATATCAGCCTACCAGTAACCGAAAAGCTTTATTAACAACAGTTCATAGCTTGATTTAGATGTTTTGACGTTTTCTTGCTTGTTGAAGTTGGCGGTTGAAGGTTTTTTTCGAAATGCTTCATTTTTTTCTTTGAGAACAACAACAAATTACTTTGAAACGTACAAAAAATGATCATTTGATGCAGAAAGTTGTGAATTCCATTGCCAAATAAATGAAGAGTTAGATGTGTAATGTGTAATGTAATTGAGAATTAGTTGAATAAACTCCAATGATTATGTTCAATTGCTCTGAGTATGTTCATTGTATAACTATTGAAAATTCGATAAAGCTAACCGCCTAGCCTAACTAGCGCAATAGATCCAGTCCCAATCGTTTGATCACCTTTAACGCAAGAGCCTAGAGGTTGAAGCTATCATCTCGAGAAAAGAATTACAATTGATGTAGAAATAAAAAACCCATTAGCCAACATAATAATATACAGAAATCCATTATTTAATTTTTTTTGAAAAAGATCAAACAAGTTATCATAATTATCCTTTTAAAAACACTATAAAAACCCATATTAACCCTTTCTATATTGTAGAGAAAACTCAAACAACTTATAATTGTTTTTTAATCAAAGCATTGATGAATTCTTCTCTGTTACCAGTAGAACCACCTTCAATGAAATGTTTGAATTTTCTTGGAACACCCCAACCACCTGAAGGGTTGGATAATTTGAATGGCCATAAAAAGTTGTTAGCTTGTTTGAAGTTTGGACCAACAGTGTAGATTTCGTGGATTAAATCTTCAACTGAAGTGATACCGTATTGACCTAAAGCTTGTTCAATGATAGCATTGTCAGATAAAGCAATTCTTTGTTTGTTAACTTTACCGAAACCACGTTTGTAAACTAATTGTCTGGTGGTTGATAATGATGGGTAACCGTAAGCAACATATGGTTCAACTAAACGTAATAATTCAGCAGTAGCTTTGGTTAATCTGACGAAAACACCAGCATTGATTTGTAACAATCTCAATAATTGTAAAACTTTTCTTGGTTTAGGTGGGATTTTGTTAATACCTTTGATTCTAACAACGAAAACTAATTTTTGTTGAGCATCAACATAGTAAGAACCAGCAGCTTTGGCTTCACGTTTAGCATCAATGATGGCACGTTCGTTAGCAACGTATTCAGCGTGGTAAGCAGCAGTTCTTTCTAATAAAGCTTGACGTTTTTCTTTGTTAGCCTTTAAATAATTAGTTAGTACACTTGCATAAACATAAAAGTTACTAGAAATTTCATTCTTCTTATCAGCCCCGAAAGATGGTTAACAAACAAACAACATCGCCGTAGCTAGTCGATTTAAAATAAATGGTCTTCATCACAAAGAAGAATGAATTTCACTGGTTGTGGGAAAAATTTTTAACATACTTGTTTACGAGCTAATTTTTCAGCGACAGCTTTTTCAGATAATTTAGCAGCAGCAGTGTTTCTCTTTAATTGAGATTCTGGAACTAAAATTTGTTCAGCGGTGATGACTCTTTAATTCGAGTTAGTTTAAATTCAATCATAAAACATGAAGGCATGTCAAAATAATTCCATCGAAATGATACCACTCATTCGATGATGGTTGTCATAGCACAAAGGCTTGATCAACCTAGGTTGTTTTTTTGAAGGTCAGAGGAAATATAGAGTTTCAAGACTATGATTGGTAATTCAGACAGTCAGAAATTGAAACCTATAATAACCCATGCCTCTACTCACTTCTTTAAAAGAAGTTTGTTGTCAAAAGTTTTCCCTAAAACACACATCCTTTTCTAACTTCTCAGAGTAAAGATGAAACTTTATCTGAATATTGAAGTGGAAAAGAATATGATGAACACAGAAAGATTAGTAGTAAGAAATAGATTCTTCTTCATTCTCTTCCTGATAATGACTAAGTGGTATGATTCTTCTGGATATTGTTTTCTCTATCCCTGTAATTTCTATAATCACTTACTGTTTTGGAGTTGATTTAGCCATTGTGATCCTTATTAATGTTGATGAACTAAAAGTATTAGTACCAAGTTAAAGTGAAGGTTGAAATTTTCATTTTCAAAGTCTATAGATTTTTTGAAAAATTCTGACCGATGGGCGTACATCCAGACATCTTGAAGTTTTTTTTTGTTTTTTTGTTCATCGTCACAATCGAAAAAAAGAATAGGGCAGAGATCTTAAAGGCACGTGATAGATATGAGGTGCACGTGTAAGAAAACCCTTCGCGCTTTCTGTTTACTTTTCCGTCAAATTTCAGGTACTAAAAAGTCTATCGAAAAACAGCCAGCTTTGAATTCTTTGAGGTCTGGTTGACAGGAAAGAGTCGTTGAAAGTTATACTGGGATGAGTGCTGCAGCTTATTTAGATAGAGGCCATTTGCTAACTGGTACGTATCTTATTAGAGAGTCTAAGAGCTTTGTAATAGCTAACTGATAACGGTTTAGGAGGTCAAGAACGTGATTACAACCATGTTTCAGATCCTGAGTATAAAAGACTTAGAGAACAAGCTGACCTAGCTTATAAGAAAAAACAACAGCTATCTAGTGAATCTCAAAAAGCTTATAAAAACGGTGATGGCCAAAGAGCTCATGAATTATCAGAAGCTGCAAAGAAACAAGTTGACATAGCTGAAAACTATAATTTTCAAGCTGCAGAATATGTGTTTGTTGCCAATAATGCTGATAGTGATTCTGATGAAATAGATTTACATGGGTTATATGTCAAAGAAGCCCAATGGGTTTTGAAAAAAAGAATAGTGGCTGGTATTCAAAGACATGAAAGTAAATTAGAAGTTATTGTTGGTAAAGGTCTACATTCTCAAAACGGTGTTGCTAAATTGAAACCTGCAGTGGAAGAACTATGTGATGAAGCTGGTTTCAAATCCCATATCGATCCTAAAAACACTGGTGTTTTGGTTATAAATTTAGCTAATGCAAGAATCCCACAATCTTGGGGTAACGTTACTCCAATTTCAGTTGGTGGTCAACAAGGTTCTTATCAACCTCCACAAAATGCTTACCAACCACAACAACAACCTCAATACCAACAACAACAACAATATAACAACAATTATAACCAAGGTGGTTATCAACAACAGCAACAACATAACAATAATAACAATAATAATCTTATTGAAAAAGTTGCAAAAGTTCTTCTCAAGTTGGCTTGTCAGTTTATCAACAAATAGACATATCAGTACGTTTTCCTTTCCAAGTGTGTTTCAATTCTTTTTTTTAGTGTTTAATTAATCAGTAATATAATGTTTGTACTATATGATTTATGTTTGTAGAAAGTCAAAATCCACATCTCCCAAGTTATAATAATCATAATCAATTTCTGTATCCTCAAATAAATGATAAAAGAAAGGTTCCAGAAATGTGTTGGTATACCAAGGTTGAGATTTAAAGCTGGACTTTGGCTTGAGGATGAAAAATAATAGAATGAGAATCAATATCGAATAAGTAACATTTCTCCATGAAGATGATGTTGAGTTTTTGGAGCTTGCGTTTGATGGACTTGGTATTATTATTGGATTTTTTGAAACAATGTTAGCTTTCTCAGCCAATGCATTCTTCAATGCTCCTATTGCTCTTTGTTGTTCTTGAACTCTTTCCATCAATGCTTTGTTGAAAAATTCATTATGTTTAACAACAACCTTATCATCATTATCTCGGTATAACTTTACTTCATCCTCCATCAGTTTCAATCTATCCTGTAGTCTTCGCAGTTTCTCATCTTTCAATTTCAACTCATTATCTCTATCAATTATGATCTTATCTCTATAAACCACATCTTCTTCTAAATCATCTAGTTTTTTATTCAAAGATTTAATTTGGGAATCTTTATCTCTTGATCCAATTTCCCTTTTCTCTAATTGTTCAATAATGTTATCACGATACCGTATTTCATCTTCACTATTATCATGTAATCTTTTGATTTTACTATATTGTGCCTTGAAATTTGGTTCAATACTTTCATCTTCATCTTTCACCGGAGTTGAGGTTAACACTGGTATTGTAGGAAGCACGCTGTCATCTGCTCTTTCAATCTGTAGCATTGTGCGATCATATGGAATTGATTCAAGGGCTTTATTGAACGATGTACCTAGCAATGTATTGAATAAGTTTCTGAATTCATGTTTTTGAATCTTGTAATGAGCCTTAGTTTTGGAAAAATCTTTAACAATATTACGTCCTGTAAAATTAAGGATCTGAGAATTCAAAAGAGAGTCGATAGCATCAAATAACAAGGGGAAATCTCTTCCATGGATCTAGGCGTTGAAGGTTAGTGATTAATCGCCATTAGAATCAGCCGCTGTGTATACTCACGTAGCCTGAATTGGACTTGTCGATTTGTCTCCATGCCAAATCCAGAATTATGGAACTATCTGATTTATTGGCATCCATTTCGAATATTTGAGCTTTGGATTGATTGAGTTTTTGCTTGTGAATAGGCTCCTTCGTTTTGGTTTGTTGTTGATTTGTTTTGATTTTGGAGAAATCTGATCTGTCGTATTGGAGACGCGTCAGACTGAAAATTCATAAGCTCTTCGCGAATCCATGTTTTACTGAGGGTTTACACTTTGACACAATTGTTGAGATATTATAATTTATTGGGAAAATACTATTAGTTATACAGAAAATGTGATCCAGGGATCTAGATCAACAAGGCTAAGACTAAACCACCAAAGATGGAGGTACCAGCAACCAACATTTGAGCACCGTTGGTGGCAGAAGAGGATGAACCTGAAGACGACGCAGAACTGCTTGCACTTGAGCCACTTGAAGAGCCAGTTGATGAAGCTGCTGTGCTACCATCACCACCACTGGTTGCCCTTGCAACACTTGAACCATTTGAACCATTGGAAGAAGGTGAAGTGTTATTGCTCGAACTATTCGAGATACCAGTAACAGTGGCATTAGAAACACCAGCTGTGCTAGAGCTAACACAAGCCCCACCAAAGGCACAACCAGCATTTGCATCTTTGGTGTAACTTTGACTTAAGGTGGTGGAACATCTCAGAGTACCAGTTGGTTCTGTTGATAAAGTGGAACAAGCTTCCAAAGCACTAGTGACATAAGGTCCATAATATTTCCATAAAGTCCAACCACATTCCATACAACTTGGGTATCTGTTCATGAAATGACCATCACTGGCACATAAACAAGTGGTGTTATAAGGGCCTGAATAACTATCTGTCTTATTTTCTGAACAAGCTGAACCATCAATGATTAAATAACCACAAGCGGCATGACATCCAATTGTAGCACAATCATCAGCTGAGGCTGCTAATGCATAAGCTTCTGGATCTGGGTGGGCAATAGCCATAGCTTCTGCTAGAGCTTTAGCGTAGGCTTCAGCTGCTGCTTCGGCATATGGGTTTGCATCTGCCCATGCTAATGGGTCTGCTTCCGCAAATGGATTAGCTAGTGATAATGAAATGAGTGAAGCTAGTAACAAAGATTTGTAAAGCATAGTGAATGAGCGTGAAAGGTTTATAATGAAGGCTACAAACTAAAGATAACTCCCAAGAATTGTTCGATTATTTATAAAAATACTCTGTTTATACTTTTTCTAGGTGTCGTTTTTTAGGCGTCTCTTGGTCCAGCTTTTTGGTTCGTGGGTGTTTCTTGACTTCGAACTTAACGGCTTTCAGTTATAACAATTTACGAAACCAAGCCCAGTTTTCAAACATGGCGAAAGATCATCGAGGCCACCGATGAGGGAGGTTGAGTATTGGCTATTGACTGGTTTCGTTGGACTTCGAAGACCATTCATAAGAATGGAAAATTAGCATAGTTTGTCTCGGGTTCTGTGATATCGGCGATATTTTGCGCAAAACGCATGAAAGCCTACAGTGAACGTAATGACAATTGTAATACAAAATTTCTCTATAAACTAATTTCAACAAGTAAAGGTCTATGGTCACTTGAGTAAATACCATCGAAATGATTATCTAGAACTGCGAACCCTTGAATAGTTGTCAATCTTGGATCAAAGAAAACATAATCAATAACTTTATGTCTCGATTTGGTATCAAATCCAGTGAATGTATTATCAAACCCATACTTGTTATCATTATATAGTCTTGAGTCTTTAAAAACTTTTGATAATGTTTGATATGCTTCTTCCTTTGGCTCACTGTTGAAATCACCAGTGATAAAACTAATATCCGAATTATACGAAACTGTCTTATTAGCAATCAACTTGACAGATTCCTTTCTAGCAACAACACCAATATGGTCTAGATGTGTATTGAAAACGTTAATGGATTGTCCCTTATCAACAGGTTTTAATCTTGCCCAAGAAACAATTCTAGTTTGGTCTGCATCCCAACCACGAGATGGAACATCAGGGGTCTCACTTAACCAAAATGTTGAAGAGTCAATCAATTTGAAATCATTCTTGTTGTATAAGATTGGCGAATATTCACCAGCTTCTTTACCATCATTTCTTCCAACACCAAAATATGTCCATCCTAAATCTTTCTCTTCATTCAATAGTTTCAACAAGTCATCTAATTGATTCTTCAAAACTTCTTGTAAAGTAACAACGGTCTTTGTATTGAATCCATTAAACTTGATGGATTTATAAATCTCCTGTTTGCGTTGACTCCAAGGCTTTTCACCACCTGAAATGTTTTTATTGTCATATCTTATGTTGTGGCTGTATAGCTTGAAATTCAAAGCTCCACTTGTTGTATTGTCACTCATTGCAAATAGTTGTCTCCCGACGATTATCAGTAGTGCAAATATAAGTAGAAGTTTGAAAGTCTTTGGTGTTGGTTTTTTCCTTAGAGGATCAATCCCTATAGATGAATAGTCATTTACCATCGTATAAAGTGTAAAAAAAGGTGAAGTTTCAATAATTTCTCCAAGGGGAGTATTGTTTCTAACGTTAATTTTGGCATTTTTTTGGTTTGCGTAATGTTGGGATGGAACAGTGGTTCTATTGTGCCGATGACTTTGGCAGACGTCGGTTTATTCAAAATAAGGAGGCCTAAAAACTTTAGTTTATATCCTTGAACATCATCAGCAAACAAAGACCCAAATTGTACCTGGATTTGAAACCAAATGAAAAGTTATACTTTGTCTTATTAGATAAAGCTAGAAAAATGCTCATTATCGATTCCCAATGATCGCTGACTCGGTACATGAGATTTATTTGCTCATGATAATTCCCTTATAAAGAATCACCATGATCCTCTTTTATGGAAGTGGTAACGACAGCGGGGATCTATTATACACTTCAAAACAATGGAATCAGATAGTTCAGGAGATGAAGAAGGCTTATTAGTTCAAAAATCTTGTTCAGAGAACTACAGAACATTTCTTTTATTGAACCTCACAACATCACCATTATCTACACTTCAAAGAGCTTATATTCCAGCTTTGATTCAATCACAGCTTTATAACCAAAATGTCGCCTCACCTGAAGCATTCATCTTGAAACTACGTTCTTGGGGCTCTCTCTTATCAGTTGTTACAATGCCGCTATTACTCTATATAAAACCAGTCATTTTATTGCGGTTTATCATTATCCTCTTTGCAATGTTTTCAATGATCTTCATACTTCCAATAATTATACCCAATGGATCAAAATGGATTACATCTGGAGCTTATATTGGCATGATTTCATTTACTGCACTTTATGAATCCTGTTTGAGTTCAATTATACCAGGATTGATTAGACAAGGCGAGGATTCAAAAGAGGTTAGTGGGCGAAGTATGATCTTTAGCGATTTTGGTGCATTGAGCGTTTTGATAGCTGGTTATATCTTTGCATTAGCTGAGATAAGTCTAAACTACTGCGTCTTTGGTATTGGATTGATTGTATTTAGCATTAGCTTTCAGTTGAAAAAATTGGGTCAAGGTGAGAATCGAATGTTACAATGGAGGAGTAATGTTATAAAACTATGCATTGCTTGGGGGTTATGGAATTGTGGAATGGTTAATTTTATGATGATTGTAAATATGAAGTTCAGGAAACTGTACCTTGGCAATGACCCCATGTATACTGGTTTTATGATTTGGAGTTTTACGTGTGCAGCTTTCGGAACATTCTGTTGGATGAAGATTGGAAACATTGGTCGTTGCTGGGTTTATGGACTGTCCTTATTTACCATGGCAATTTATTTATATGTAATAGTTGGAGTCTTTGATTGGAATCCTCTTGGATTAAAGTATGGAATTGAGTTTTGGGTCATCGAGTGTCTATACATAGCTATCTCAAGCTCATTCAGGTCTTTGAACCGTGCCCTTTATAGTGAAGTATTACCCAAAGGTGAAGAATCACAATTTTTTGGACTCGAGATCTTAGTTGGTATTGTGGGGAACTGGATTATTGGTTACTTGGGATCCATTATTAAGACAAGGTTTGAAAAAGACGGGTTTGTTGTTATAGTTAGTCTAGTGATGAGTATGGCGTCACTTGCCGTGTATGGTCAGTGTGATCTAAACTAATCATGGAATTCATTCATTTTGCTATAGCTGGTAATGATGGGAATAGATCATAGATCTTCCTGTTCCCAAAACATGAGTCGTATGTGATATAATTGGATATTTTGATGGGTATTTGTACGTATAATTAATTCAACCTTAGCCTTTCACACGACCGGCCCGAGCCTGGTACCGCTCTTTAGGGTTTCCGCGAAACTGTTTTTTGTGTCACAAGAGTAACGAGAGTACGGTTCTGTTATTAATATTCACACAAGAAGGCCGATAGTATCAATATAAATCAAAATTGCCTGTTAACTTCTATGTTGAACTAAATTGTACATGATACACCTGAAGTGTCACCTCTTAGTCTTCTTAGTAAGCAATTTAGAGGTTGCTGCTACGGCAGCCAGTTCCCAGCCGCTTTGTGGATCAATCTAGTGTATAGTTTTGTAGTTTTGAAATTATTGTTGAGCTGGTAGTACACAAAGACAAAAAAGAAGAAAATGTCCCAGTAGGAAAACAAAAAGCTAAAGAACATGTCAAGGAAGTTTCTTGGATCTCCATAACAAAAGGCCACCAAATAAACTGATCAAATGCTTAATAGTCAACATTTGGATTCAACAACCAACGACACATTGGAGGATGCTATTCCCCAAAATGACAGACCTCCAAGCTGCCAAGTCACCATTAATAATGTTAATGAAGCGACTACTGAAACTGCTGATCAACCTGAAACAACTTCAATCACAGAAATCTCTATCAAAAGCTCTCAAACTCCATTGCCGGACTACAATCAAGCAGTTCAAATTCAACAAAACCTCCCTTCACCAGCAGCTACTTGTTCAACAAGACCTCCAAGATATACACTGAATGGTGATCCAAGTTATATCGATGGCATCCAACGTCAAACAGCTTCTGGAACAAATCCATATGATAATGTCTTCTCAATTGAAAACGTATTTATTCAAAGAGAACAAGCTCTGCAACAGCGTCGTTCAGCCTCCAACAACAATGACAATAGAATCTACCTGAATAATGCTCAAGGTGATAATCCTATCATACTGAACTGTACTATTCCCTGTTGGCAATTCATAGTTGTAGTGCTGTTGATCTACGCAGTTATATTGTTATTTTTTGCTGCAATTACTAGGAACAATATCAGCTAAGTGCTCAGCAAAAATATTGATATATTATATATGGGTGGAAGAACATTATCAATTAGCTGACTGCAATCATTAATATAACTATTACAGAGTTCATTCATATATATGTCTTAGCCAAAGGCGACAACACCAAATTACAATTGACTACATCATCAAATACTTTATCCACTACTTTGTCACGCAACAACACAACAACAATAAAATACTTCGCATTAATATAAATAAAAACTTAAACAAAGGAACGTTAACTTTTCTGTATGTAACTGAGCTCTAATAAAGTAAATTGCGAATACTCTTAGCTACTCTGCCAAAAGTATACTGCCAATACGACACCGTACCAATAATCAAATCAAAACGCATTAGGGGAAAACACACACCCACACACACACACAGCGACGACCACCTAGTTGATTGACTTAGTATCATCTTTTTGTGGTTCTTCAATAGTGACTCTTTCAACAGAAGAAGCTGCTTCATCCGTGGATGAGTCAGAATCTGCCAAACCAATTTGACCAGTCCAACCATTATCTCTCAAATATTTTTCAAACTTAACATCCTCCATCAATAAATCATCTTCTTTCAAATGTGGAATACAAAAGAATGCAATGACAACACCAACCAAACCTAAAATAGCAGAAATGATGAATGTCCATTGTTTTCCAAGATTATTTTGAATAGATGTGAAACACTGGGTACCAACAGCCGCACCAGCTTTACCAACAGCTGCACTCAAACCATAAAGAGTACCTCTGACTGGGGTAGCATAACATTCAGAAGAGACTAACCCCATTGCATTACCAGGACCAAAACTTGCCACACCTGTAAACAACCCGTATAAAACAATAAATAAAGCAACAATTTTTTTCAATTTGTCATAAGCACAACCAATAATTAAACCTAAAACAATATAACCTGAGAACCCAATCATTAGACAATTCTTTCTACCCCAGCTATCAATGACCAATGAACCAAGTAAGACACCTGGAATTGAAATGATACCTAATAACAAAGTCCATTCTGCAACTTTTTTCAAATCCTTTGTGTCATCCAAGACTGATGAAATGATAGTTGATGAGAAAATACCATTAGGGAAAGTGACGAAATCATAAATAAACCAACAACCACAAGTACCAATCAATCTTGGCCAGTAATACTTGAAAACTAACCAATATGGAACATTCTTCTTCATAGCTGAAGTTTTGTATAAATGAGAAGTTGCCATTTTGTATCTGAAATAGAAAATAGATAATGGCCAAATGATACCAAGACCAAAACAAACTCTCCAAATTGTTGATAAATGTTCACCGCCAGCGGCACAATAAACAATTAAGAAGATAATTAAAGCAAATGGACCACCTAGTGATAATGGTAAATTTGTGACTAAAACAAAAATACGACCTCTTTTCTTTGTTGTTTCATTAGCAGCTTCTGATGTTGAACTTGAACATGCAGAATATTCACCACCAACACCAACACCAATAGCACCTCTACAGACGATAAGCATCCAAAACATACCAGTTGTAGTGACACCATGTGCAGCGGTTGCTAAAATAGATCCAATAACAATTAAAACAGTTGTAGTGACAATAGCCCATTTTCTACCTAAATAATCACAAGTTAACCCAATACCAACTTGACCAATAATTTCACCAACTAATAAAGAATTTGAAACTCTTGTCTTCATGGTAGAGTTATATTCTTTTGGATACTCTTTTGTGAAAAGAGCATTCATCATTGTCATCAAGTTATTTTGATAACCATCAGAGATCAATGCAACACCACAACAAATAATTGTGAAGATATCTGACCATGATTTCTTTTTGGCGTATCTGTTTAATCTGGCTTCACCATCATATTGAATTTTGTGACCATCTGGGTTATCGATTTCAATGACGGTTTCTTTCTGTTTCTCAACAGCTTCCTTTTGAGTCGACATTTTCATTGCCAGCTGGAATCGCGACTTTTGTGCTTAATTGATAAAGGCATAGGTGATCAAGAACATAGGGAATAGGTTTAATTTATATACAAGTAGCCAGAGAGATACACGTTCACAAATTGTATTTTCAGCCGAGTACCATATGCCGCAACGATTTTGTACGCAGTTGGCTTTTAGCAACGAAGGGTCAAAAGAGATACTAGCGCAATTTGAGTTTTGACGGGCATTTCAAGTGATGGCACGAGGGAAATCCTAGCTATCAATTCTGCAAGGTGAAGGACGTTAAGAATTGAATAGAAATGGCACATAAATACGGTGCAACAGGTTGTTCTTTTGACTCGTGCGATGCCAATTTTACAAAAATGTACCAGATCTGTCGCTAACATAAACGTGAAGAGAGTGCTGAAAATTGATAGGTACTCATGTAAGACTTCTTATAAAATTGGTGATTAAATTGGGGTTCACATGGGTGAAAAATTGTTCCTACTACACTAGGGAGAGGCTGCGTTCGAATAACATAGATCAACTTGTCAGCAGTTCGTCAACCATTCATACCAGACACGAGCCCACGATACTGTAACTTTAATTAATACACAAGGCTCAAGATATACCTAAAAAAACTACTGCTTTACTTATCAACACAAGAATCGCGTCAAATCAAGATACTTTCTCCCCCAATTATCTAGAGCAAGCCGTACGACACAGAGGTGTCATGTCACACCTATGACAGGGAGGAGTTGACCACCCAATGACATACGGGAGCCCACCACCTACCACCAGGACTCTGGCCTCCTCGAACTCGAGTGCTCTTGCTGGAGTTTAGGATGTTGTACATGTAAAGTCCCTTTGGTGATTTTAGTACAAGAGTGTCCCAATTTCCTGTATGCCTTCTAGATCCGCCCATATCATATCAGTCTTCAACATCTACACGTGGGGAATTCGTACAACATCATCACCAACGTGAAATTCAAGATCATCGGTGACACAAGACACAAAAAGAAGATGGAGCTTTCAAATTTAGATGGAGGTATGATTGATAAAGAAGAGGAAAACATTAATTCTTGAATCGTGATGTTCCTGCGACTTGACTCGCTTGGAGAAATTATTTTATGAACTGTTGAAGGCCGAGGAGTTTATTCACCGTAAAATTCTTGGTGATTTCGGCTTTTGGCTTGGAGGATTATGTCAGAGCTTAGTCAAAGCTATAAGCTCAAATTAAATTGAACATGTGCCAAACTTCAAAGCTCAAGTTCAAGCTCACCGTCTAATTTAACTGTTTAAAGAAATAACCGTTGAAATATTTTTTGTCTATGATTTGTGTATGTACAAGTTGTTTCATTTTGCACAATAACCAAATTAAGTGCTCACGTCTACGTCCAACTTCAATTTTCACCACAGGATGTGCTTTTAGAATCCACATCAGAGCGTTAGATCCTTTGACAATAGATCAATTTTCCAATACGACGAATATTAATCATCAGATCTTCGCTAGCCCTGAGTTCAAGTACCACCAGCAGGGATCAATGTCCAAAACTAATCAAATTTTAATAGAAAATACCCTTCCGCCAGCTAGTTGAGCTGGTGCCAAAAAATTTTGTAACCTATGTCTATTTGTGCGTTACCAACAATATTGTAAGCACGAGCCGTTATGAAGCAGTTAAGAAAGGTGTATGGGAAATCGAAACTGCATGAGTTGTGACATGACCCACGCAGTAAAATATACTAGTACAAATCTTCGAAATACATAGACCTTCCCACCTATAACGGTTACACCAGCTTTTCAATATTTGCAAATTATGTTACCAAACGTCGTCTGCATTACAACTCTCAAAGGCAGCTTCTCATACCAAAGGTCCACATACCTTGAAGTTTTGATCGATTACATATGGCTTCTACAAGATCTAGTTACTAGAATAGAATGATAAACTTATGTGACAAAAGACACATACATTCCCAAAACGGAAAGTTCCTAATTTGTAGATTTTTTTTGTTTTTCGCGATGAGCTTCATGAAAAAAAATTTCGAAAACATCAACATTACAAATCTGACCAAACTTTGAAAGAAACATTTCTATCAAAAAAGCCGCCATGGATCCGCTAAGGTTACTTCATTCACAGTTAATCTTATCCACACCTTCTGATCAAGCTGTTTTCCCAGAAAATGCGGGTTCAGAAACAGAATTAGCTAAGCTAATACTGAATGGTGACTATCATAAAGTATTACAACATGATTTAATATTACCAATAGTTGAATCAAACAAGCATCTACTATTGAATGAGAACTTGAACGAAGCACTCTCAGCATTTACTAAATCAATCATTGCTAAGGATAATCAAGCTGCATTGTTCATTGCTATTGCTTCTCTGTACTTGTTCACTCAAAACAATTTCACTGGTCCTCAATCGCCTCTATCTTCAATTGAGTTTTTATACCCTCAAGACACAAATGCTAAGGAATCACAAACAAGGGCAACCAATGCATTAAGTGCCTATGGTCAAATAGCATATCATGGTGCCGAAGATCCTGTATTTTTGTTGTTGTCACTACATATTTTTGAACAATTGTCAAATGTTTCAAAATCATTATTATTAAATCACTATGATTCAACAGAAGAATTCGTTGAAGATCAAGTTGTTCAACAAGATGATGTGCTAAATGCTGCTGTTAATTGGTGGAGATCAAGGGCTATTATGGTTCAGTTGTCTTTGTTTCCAGAGTTTTCTGGGCCTCACGTCGCTATAAGCGCATCTATTTTGAATGATTCTGTTGTGAAGTCTATTGGTTTCGGTCTTAATGAAGAGTTGCAAAAACAATTGAGTATTGTCTATTACTTGGAAAAGGCCAAGAATTCTTTGGAATCAAACATGGAACATTTGGCTTTGCCAAATTTGCTCAGTGCTAGAAAGTTGACCAACTTTGAATTTGTTTTAACTGGTGCTAAGGCTAAGAGAACGAAATTCCAACAAGTTGCACACTCAGGATTAATAATATTGGCCAAATCAAATTATTTCAATGCTATTAAATCCTCTGGCAAGAATCAAACACCAGAGAATTTTGATTTGAATTCTGATTTACTATTGGAAAAACCACATTTTGAAGATATTGGAAATGAAAACTTGGATGAACAAATTATCAAAAAGCAAAAAACAGATTTACAGGAAATCGATTACTCAACTCTATTACCGGTGTCTTTAAGATCAGAATACATCCCAGAATCTTTGAAAGCTCTCGACCCAAATAATCAACCAACTTTATCAGATTATGACAACATCCAACTGTTATTACGTCTTTATACCTTACGTCAGACTTCACCTTCAAATGATGCTTTGATTTCATCTCAATTAATGTCATTGGTTGCCCGTGTCTTGTACCAGTCACAAAACACATCAGTCAATTATACTGTTTTCTCAAGAGCATTATGGGAAAGATCCATTTTAGAAACTACAAAAGCACGTACTATTGAACGTGGTATATTACAAATGCAATCTCTTGTTGAAGAAATTGGATTAAAGATCCAAACAAAATATATCCCTTCCACAACAGAAGTTTCATCAGCTGCTACACGTTCAAAATTCCTTTTCCAATTGCCATTAATTCCTAGATGGGATTTGGATACCAAACTTGCAGAAAAATTCATGTCATTAGGTTTAGTTAAAAGTGCCATTGAAATTTATGAAAGATTGGGATTAGAAGCTGATGTCGCATTATGTCATGCTTCTATTGGTGAAGAATCAAAAGCTTTAGAAATCATTGAACAAAGAATTCAAACTCACCCAAATGATGCTAGGGCTATTTCAATAAAGGGTGACTTAACAGGTAATCCTGAATATTGGTATAAGGCTTGGGATATGGCAAAATACGTCAAGGCAAAAGTCAGTCTTTGTAAATATTATTATTATCCACCACAAGGTGTCACTAAAAACATTGAAGAATCTATCAAACACATGAGAGATGCTCTAAGCATCAATCCTTTAAACTTTGCAAATTGGTACTTTTATGGTTGTTTAGGTTTAGAATCATCTCAGTTTGAGCTAGCTGCAGAAGCTTTCACTCGTTGTGTTGCATTAGATGATTCCAATTCTTTGGCTTGGTCCAACTTGGCAAGTGCGCATGTAAGTCTTGATAGAACAAAAGAAGCATTTGCAGCTTTGAAGAAAGCAGTGGCCACGGATGATAACAAGAAAAGTTGGAGAATTTGGGACAATTATTTGCTTGTTGCTGCTAAACTACGCGATTGGGATGAAGTTTTATTAGCCTGTAAAAGATTAGTGGAGAGTAAAAAGGAAAAATCAGGTGAAGGTTCAATAGATATACCTATTGTTGAAAAATTAGTCGAAATATTAGTTTCAAACCCATATCCTGAAGATGAATGTGAACTGACGTTTTTCCAGAAATCTTGTCTTGAATTCACCACGGTTACGTTACCTAGTGTTATAACATCATCCGCTAGACTATGGAGAATTATCGCAAGAGTTGAATTATGGAGAAAGAAGCCTTGGGCAAGTTTGGATTGTCATGAGAAAGCTTACAGAGCTATAAGTCACAACCCAGATTTAGAAGTTGATGAAAAGGTTTGGAATGAGACAGTTGAAGCATGTTCAGACTTAGTTGCTGCTTATGAATCGTTGGGTGAGTTACCTGGTAAACATGGTGCTGGTGATTTAGTTTGCAAAGATTGGAAATATAAGGCAAAATCTACAATCAAGTCATTAATGAGTAAAGGTAAACAAAGTTGGGAAGATTCAGACGGATGGGAACAACTGACAGAGCTGAGATCTGGTTTATAGATGGATAATAGATGTAATACAGTCTTACTTCACAATATTGTAGTATCACATCAGTCACATTCACAATCATCATCAGCATATGTTTGCTCTTGGTCTTCAATCACTTTGTCTAAAGGAACAATTTTATTCAACAACCATCTACACCTTCTCCAGTTGTAATAAACAAAAGATTGATGATCAGCTGATATCAACTCGTCAAGCAGGTTGACACAAGTGTTCAAAGAAGTGCGACTAGCTTCAGAGGTTTCAAATCTAAGGACCCAAATGAAAGAATAGATGAAAAATGCGTAGCCGCTTCCAGAAATCAAAGCCTGTTTCAGCATAACAGCAAACACAATCAAATCAAGATGAGATGCACCAATCAACATAGGGATTTCAAGAAAGTTCAATAATGGCGTTATTGCAACAGCGAATGCGCTTTCTGGGATGACCTGTGTAGTGATAAAAGTTGTAATGTTCAAAGAAGAATAAAGGTAGAAAGGCAATATCTTGAAAACAGATTCTGGGGTTATCCACCAAAGTATAGCATATCCTAACAACTGTGCATTCTCATTCTTCAACAATTCAGAAGCCGAGATTCTTTGAGTTTCAACAACCAACTCCACTCTAGTTTTAGATTCGTCAACATCGACAACCTCTTCTTCCACTGATAAATTGGATCTGTATAAAACAACCAGATAAGTGATAATTGAGCCCAACACTGATACTTTATATGAAAAGACCCATAAATGATAGTTATTTGAAACTATGGCAAATAAGTACGTTGAAGTACCCAATATGGTTAAAAGATGTGAGAATGCCCATAAATTCTGTAGCTTGAGAAATGTACTCCATTGAATAACTGGTAATGTGACGTTTGGAAGCTGAAGTGGTGGAAACTCTGGAAGGTTTGGTAAAGGAATTGATAAAATTGGTTCGTTGGTTAATTTGTCTTCTGAAGATAACACTGAAACTAATCTCTTTATTTGGTCCATTTTGATAACCTTTTGTTATTAGCCACTCTTTTATGGTAGCCACATAGATATTGGTCTGGATTGGAATCTCATTGTGATTGAATTATTGTAAAAGGGGAATCTTGTTGTATTGAAGGTTGACTATTGGTTTTTGTGCACAATCTAATTAGTTCAACGTTAATGACCCGCATGTAGATGACAGGTCCCTACGTTGAAAAGTAAACATTAAAACATCTATATTCACAAACATTAAAACTATAAATCAATAGTGTACTTGATCACAGATCAAAAAAATAAGAAGAATAAATCAAAGAGACCTAACCCAAAATGTCCAAATCAAACAGGAGCCTTACAACTGAATGACGATGGTGAACCTGATGCAGCAAAAGTCTCAATAATACTTTCGATTGAAGACCATAACCCTAAACCAGCTAAAGATAATGAAGCAAGACCCAAGATGAAGTTGAAAGTATTCCAGCGACTGAATTGAAACCAAGTATCTGAACGTTCACATCTATCAGTTTCAGGGTTGAATAATCCATCACCAAGTAGGGCATCTTTACGCACTTGTAAAGTACATGACATAAGAGCAGGGAAAGAGTAAGTAAATTGCAAAGCACAAGCAGCTGCGGAAATAGCAGCAATGTTACTCAATTGTGGAACAGCAGCAGCAATAATGAACGAAACAATCCAATAACCAACGGCAAAGAAGATCCAGAAGATTTTCCCTTTAAAGACACCTAAAGTTGGGCCTTTGAAAATATCAACAACAACATTTTGATACATTGATTTCAAACCAACATGCATATATAACCCAGCAGCAACCATACCTGTCACAATACTGATCACATTACAAACGGTTTGTAAAGCATAGATAGTCATCCCTTGGTTTGCAGGGTTGATGACGAACTGACCTTGATAACAATAGACAAAGACACCAAAGAACAAGTAGGCAACAAAAATAAGAGTTTGGGCTAATGCAGCACCTTTCCAGAAATCCCATGGATGTTGCATTTCAGCTAAGATCTCTGGAAACATAATAGAACCAGCATATGCATAAATAATGTTCATGATACCGACTAATTGATTCATCATGGTACCTCCACCAATAAATGCTTGAACTTGAACAGGTCCTTGTTCGACGTTTCTTGTTTTGAAAGCAGCTGAATAGTTTGGAGGAGAATGTGCAACACCACCCATTGTCAAGATACATAAAATGATTGTGAAATAAACTGAGAAACTTGCCAAAGTACTATAGACTTTTAGAGTTCTAATTTGACCTAAAGCGATACCAGCTAATGTAAAGAAAACCATCAAGGCGATAAAACAAAACTTTTCTTTGATAACTTGAGACAAACCTTGAGCTGAACCCAAAATTAATAAGGAAACAGCTAAAATCAAATAGATGGCATGCATTAGCATGACCATAATTTTACCACCACGACCCCAGATTCTATATGCCAAGTCTGCAAAAGTTCTAACAGGATGAGCAGTTGAATGTAAATCCATGAATTGTTTCCAAATCAACATACCACAGTAGACAGCACAACCATAGAAAACCAAGTAGACAATAGTTCCCTTACCGTAACCTAAAGTTGAAAAGGCATAAGGAGCAGAATTTGGACCCAAGATATCAGATGTGATTAAAAAGAACACAGACCACCAATTAGCCATACGTAAAATCATTTCTGAGTTATCTCTTGGTGGTACAGCATCCTCTGGGACTCTTTTTTCATGTTCAGAATCATCAATGTCAATTTTGGCTAACATTCTATCAACAGCAGTTTTCTTTTTATCTTCCCATTCTCTTCTACGATCCAAAATAGCATAGTATAAGTATGATTCTAATGGATAACGAACTTCATGGTTATATTTTTCAGCTGTAGTTGATTTTAATGAGCCAGTTTCAATGATATCTGAGCTTGAAGCAGCAACTGTATCTATTTTATCCTTGGATTTTTCAACATCAATGCTGTTCAATTCTTGAATTTGAATGTCTTCATCTGCAAGCTGCTTTTTCTTGAAAAAATCAACCATCTTGAGTCTGGTGAACAAATTTCAATTCCTTTCCAAAGCTATGTGATTTTGTCGTTTATTTGAAATCAAGGGAAGCTGGAAGTCTTTTATACTCTTTGGATATGTTGGAGATATCTTTATCAGCAAATTAGAGCAGCCATTTCTGCAGTGGCTTTCCGATTATTACATCTTCCACATATCTAGTATATGGCTCTGTAAATTGTAGTGTAGAATACGATATAGACTTTTCTTTTTTCAGTGAAGCTACAGCAAATACAAGCTTATCTGTGAAATTCAAGCTTTCTAGCTCCTGTAGATTGAATTTACGGCCAATTGAAATCATCACAAGCGACGTAATAGAGAAACTCCTCCGACTTTGACTTCATGATGTACAATTTATAAACGGCTCTTTGTTCACAATTCGTTTCTGTGGTACATATTTGAATTTTTGGTACACCTTTCATGCCGGGCAAACCTGCTTTCATAATTATCAAAACCTTCGGCTTTTCAGATGTTGTAAAAACTTACAAGCTGTTACATCATTTCCACGGTTAAAACTAGAGGCAAATAGCTTAGAAGTTATCAGGTACAGTTTTATTATGAGTTTGCCGACGTTTACCTCAAAATGAACAAATTGCTTTACTTTGATAGTTACTTTTGGAATTTCCAGCTATGGCACCATTTTCAAAGGCCTCTGATCGGGGGACCAAATTGGGAAGATCAACCTATAACAAACCACCATCATCATGAGATCTGAACTTACACATCTCCAAAGCATATTTCAGCATACACTCTGAAAAATCTTTACAAAAGCCTTCTCAGCTCGGTGTTGTCACTTGTGTACAACTTTGGCTTAAAAAGGCCGTTGTCCCCAACAACAACAGAGCCAAGCCAAAAAAAAAATTCTTTTGACATATTTTTTCATGAAAAGCCGGCTGAAGAAACGTCTTCAGAAACGTCTTCCAAGAATCGAAGTTCCATCAAAAGCTCAAAAAGAGCTGTAGTTTTATATGGCTCTTGTACTTCAAAATCTTTAATCTCTTGAATTTCTAAGTCCAACCGTTAAAGGGAAAGTGAGAATTCCAGTGACCTATGTCTACGACGGAGTTGTACGCTACGCTTTAGTGGTGTATACGGCATCAGCTGTACGGTACTCTTACGTGTAGCTTCTGCTCTTCTGCTGTACTCTCGGAAAATTGATGCTAAAGCTTAACCGTCGTTATATCCGATGCAAGTAATTTATCATGAAATCTTTTGAGGTATAGGCTCAAGCCTCACACTGTATAAGCAAGACGTTAAAACTTGATTCATATCGTACTTGCCCCAGTCTATCGGAATAGAATCCGATGCATTCATGTTTGTATTGCAATTGTAATCAGAAAAGTCCATCTCGAAACAATATGAACTGTCAATCATCAGAAGCTGCTACTTTTTTTAGTGTAGCGCTTATACGCAGCGTTATCAATCCGAGCAAGCTATACACAATATCTCTGATAATGGGTATTGGTGAGTTTTGCTTATAGTTTATAAGCGCTTACAACCCAACTACATGTAGCTGTAATTGATTTTTGAGTAAATCCCCAGCTCTGCTCCCCATATATACTGCCGTACTATAGATCTTTCAACTGATCGCTTTTCACTTGAAAGCTGATAATATGATCATCAATCACAGTAAAGTATTCCGCATCTACAGCTCCTGTAATTTGTGTTAAAGTCATTATCAATATAATCAGCTAGTATGATCAGTTAACATTAAATATATTATTCGAGTGCTCAATAATATTTGAGCTATAACATGAGAAACTCATGACTTCTCTTTTAACGAAAGTCTTTCCGTATCTAAATCCCCCACATCCGTCACTATCTAAATCTCCTAGATCCAAGTTACAGCTTGGCTTCAACATTGTTGCCCCTATTGTACCACCAATTGATCCCAACGTTTCCTCTTTGCATATCAAAACCTTCACTGATCATTTCCCAAAGATTCTTTTCACAAAACTGAAATTCTATTGGATCACTACTTTCAGTCAATTCCCAAATATTATTTAGCCAATTGTTCAAAATCTGCGTAGGTAAATACGGTAGGGTTGATATCAATGCAGCAATTATACCAGTACGAACTGTCATTGGTTGATTATTATCCGACTCTTGACCTTGACTTATTGGCTGTGATGTTGGAATAGGTAATCCTGGTCTGGTGTTTAAGCACCTAATATATAATGTATGCAATACTTCCCTCAAATTATCTTTATTCAATTGGTGAGCTTCAGAAGGTGGTGCAACTGCCCTTGCTATAGTTTCTATGGCAATCCTTAGTTGTGTTGCTGATAATAATTGTGGGAATTGTGACAAGACAGTGTGCAAATAAGGAATTGCAGTACTTGCTATGATGTGTGAATTTGTTGGAATGAATGTTGCAATGACAACAGAATGAGCAGCCTCTATCAATGGACGTGAATGAGTTGTTGTATGAATGATGAAGTCCACAATTGGGGAAATAGTATTTTCGTAATATTCGATAGATGTGGTCTGGCATAAAGTTTCAAAAAAAGTTAATGTGAATAATGTCTTTGAAACTTGATAATGGTCATTTGAATGTAGATTTATGTTCTTGGTGAAGTAACTCCCTAATGCTTCTGCAGATTGGTGTGAATATTGTAATAAAGCATCTAGTGAGCTGATATAAACAAAATTATAAGCTTGAAACCCACCAGTGCCAATTTTCTCAAGTATGAAGCTCAGATGGAAAAAAGTTTGCAAAATTTTTGTGGCTATTGACGAGTAGTGTTGCTTGCTCAATCTATTTGACAACTTCAACAAGTATGAGACAAATCCTTGAAAAATAATAACAACTGCAAAAATTCCATTCTTCAAGACGTTCCAGGATTGATCAGTATTGGCTGATCTTAAATGTAAGGTTTCACTGAATCTCAAAATGATGTTTAAAGTTGAATCCAAAACACCAAAAGAAACACCGTGCACTAATGAATTTTCAATCAAGAATGACAATCTACTCAAATGTTTAACCACTGGAGAGTTGGAGCCAGCCAGAAACTCTGTACTATGGTTACCCAGCCCATAAGGAGATTGAAATATCAAATGAATGGTGAACAACAGGATGGACTCATGTGGAACATGTTGACGTTGGGATGGAGAGAAAAAGGGCAAGGAACAACTCAAGGAAATTGCAGTCAAAGCATTAACCTCTTCAGAGTTTATACTTGTTGTTTGAAAAACCCTCATGATTAATTCATGGTTCAAGTTGATCAAAGAACCGTATGTTGTTTGGAAATAATGTTTAGTCTCTGGAATTGATTGTTCTTGATATGTAGATTGAGATAATATTACACCAGTAATCACCAATATTTTCTTCCAAGGCTCAACACCTGACTCGAAAATGGATGTAACCACACCGTGAAAGAATTTTGTTAGAGGTAGAGTTGGTTCACTAACTCTAATCTTGGAGTCAAAAGTTGCCTTGATAGCTTCAATGATCATATATGTCTCCTCCAAATGAATTTGCTCTGGGAAAATAACTCTATTTGAAAAGAAAGCATCCATTAGCAACTTCAAATTACCTTCATTTCTGACACGAGGTAAATAGTGAACAATATATGATAGGAGATTGGTTGATGATAGATTTCCTGGTGTCTTGAGAGCTGATAACAATAGATTAACATCATTTTGAGCTTGTGAGGATGGAGTTTGGAACTCAACAGTTGATGAATATGGTTGTTGTTGGAGTCTCTGCTGAGCAGCACGACCTTGACTACCTAGTCTGTACATTCTTCTTTAGCCTTGAGTCTCTATCTCTTTGATATCTGTTTGTTGATTTGAAAGGAATCAATTCTTTCTCCAGATTTTTCCTATTACTCACGATTTCCTCCGAGCACTGGAAAAGTTCGCGAAACCTCATAATTCGCGATTTTGAATTGCACAAGGCAAAAACGTCACCTTTACACAATGAAGAAGTGTATCTTAAATATTTGGAAGAAAAGCTGCTTTCAAATCATACAATTCAACAATCAGGTCCTTGAAAAATGACATCTTCACTTCCCGCTGGTTTCAAGAACCTTCCAGTCTCCAAAATCATCACTTCGCTCACTCTATTTGTTCCATTGGTTGCCTCCCTTTCAAATGTCAAATACTTGTTTTACTATGCTTATGATCCATTCATTTTACAATATAACCAATTCTGGAGGTTATTCACATTTCAGCTAGCATATCTAAATGAGTCGGAAGTTCTTTTAGGAGTTGTGCTCTTATATCAATTCAGATCATTGGAAAGATTATATTCATCACATAAATACTTATCCACAATCATTGTCACATATTTATATGTTTTGATCATAACATCATTAAATATAGCATTCAACTTTTATCTAGGAATCCAATGGATTAATGCTATGGCTTCAGGTCCTACTGCTATTTTGTTTGCTCTATTATTCCAATACTCAGAGTATGTACCAGTGATGTATAAGTTCGAGATTTATGGTACAAGTTCAAATAAATTAGTGCTAAGTGATCAATCATTCCTATACTTGTTAAGTTTCCAATTAGCCATATCACAAGGCTTGAAAAGTGTGGGTGCTGCTACATTAGGTTGGTGTATTGGTGCATTAGTTTGTAGAGGTATGATACCTGGCAAAGGTTGGAGAATACCATTCTGGAAAGCAATTGCAAAGAAACAAGCTGCATATAGAGCAGAGACGCCAGTTCCAGTAAGTGGAGACCCTAATAACAATAATGATGAAGAGGCTACGGAGACAAGACCTTTAAGTACGCAATTTTTGGATACTTTTAGAAGGTGATCAATTTGTTTATATACTCAACTTCTTAGTTCCTTGTTCTGCTAATCTTATGTTTCTTCTTCTTTCAACATCCCAGTTGTATAATCTAGCGGTGTTAACCTCCATTGTTGTGATATTTTCTCTTAAAAATTCAGCATCTTCTTCAGAAATTTCCAAGTTCTTTTGTGCAGTTGATAATTTATCTTGTAGCAGTGTCATTGCTTCATCAATTGGATATTCCAACATCACGTCGGCACCTAGCCAAAGAAGAACTTTATCTGTTGGTTGAATTTCTGCTGTGGTGTATAATGTATCATTTAGTTCATAATTGGTTTCAATTGATTCATCAGAATCTTTTTTAGAATTCAAGAATTCAACCATATTCAATGTATCTTTGATTTCGGGTATCTTTATTTTGAATTGTCTAACTGCATTCATTTTGCTTTGTTCCATATACTTATATTGTTGTAGTCTTTCTTGAAAGATACTCAATACTTTCTCAAAATCAGCTGGATCTTTAATATAATCTTCAACTTTTTCAACAAAAGGAGCTTGTGGAATCCCTCTAGGATTCTTCACTTTTCTAAACATCAATTAGTAATCAAGTACTTGAGTGTAATTCAATATATATGCATACGAGTTCAATAAATTTTCCATTGTTGATTGTTTTGTCTGTTTAGTCTCTCTTGATAACGTACCAAATATTGGCCATCAACATTTATTCGCCAAAATGCTACTTCTCGTTGAAATCGCGAAAACGGCATGCCCTACGTCACCTGATCTTAGGAACAAACATGTGACTTTTACATCCCAACATTTCTCTACATTTTTCAAGTGACTTTGCGAAAATGAAAAATTTCAACAGCTACCATTTTTTGCCGTGCGTGAAATCCCAGTTGGAAAAGGTATATGAAAAAAAAAATTCAGTCTCAATACTAACCATCAACTTCATAGAAACCTCATCAACAAGATCAAAAGTCAACATGGGTAGAGATCATTTCACCAAACAACACGCCAGATCCGGTCATCGTGAAGCTCCAAAGTCTGATAACGTTTACTTAAAATTATTAGTTAAACTTTACTCATTCTTAGCTCGTATGTAATTGTGAAGGAAAAAGAGTATCTAATTGTCATTGCCAATTTGGTTTAATGCAAATCAAAACCAGGAAAAAGATTAAGAAGCTTCATTGCTATCTTAAATATTCAGAACTAGTCTATAAGCTTAGAGTTTTTTGGGATATCTATATTATTTGCTTTCAGTGAAGATACTGAAGAATAGCAATTTAGAACACCCACCACTCATAAAGCTAAGACTATGCTTCTACTTTCTGCGAGTGCAATCCAAATTGTGCGACATTAGAGCAGAAATTTTGAATCATTTTTACTAACTTTTATGACAGGTCGTACTGATGCTCCATTCAACAAAGTTATCTTAAAATCTTTGTTCTTATCAAAAATCAACAGACCACCAGTTTCTATCTCAAGAGTTGCTCGTGCTTTAGGTCAAAAAGGTGCTGCTGAAAAAACCATCGTTGTTGTTGGTACCGTTACTGATGACAACAGATTATATGAATTCCCAAAAGCTACTGTTGCTGCTTTAAGATTCACTGCTGGTGCTCGTGCTACCATCTTGAAAAATGGTGGTGAAGCTATCACTTTAGATCAATTAGCTACCAGATCTCCAAAAGGTGAAAACACTTTGATCGTTAGAGGTCCAAGAAACTCAAGAGAAGCTGTTAGACACTTCGGTATGGGTCCTCACAAAAACAAAGCTCCAAGAATTCAATCCACTGGTAGAAAATTCGAAAGAGCTAGAGGTAGAAGAAGATCTAGAGGTTTCAAAGTCTAATCAAATTAAGACTTTGATAAACTTTTATAATTCTTTGGGATAAGATTGATGTATATATGTATCTTTAATGTTAAATTTATTATGTCAGTCTGTTCTTTAATATCTTGGATTTTTTTATGTATAATAATGGTTATATGGGTAGATTTTTTTTACGGTTATAAGAATGAAAAAGTAGTAAGCTTCTTTATAATACGTTTCTAAGTCTCTATCATATTTTAATCCCATAAACTCGACCTTTTATATTTGCTAAACTTGAGAAGAAGCGTGCTCATGCATTCTCTGCTCCAAAAATCGTTATCAACTTGTTGACCTTTCCTGACCAAAAATAAACTATTTGGTGAAACGTTCACTTCATAAGTCTCCAACTTTCGATATCCAGGACTGAAATGTCCATCTGATTCATATGAAAGCAAACCTTTTGTAACACCATAATCCATATAGATACTATCATCAATTATATTCCATGCCATCAATGCACCAACATTCTTGATGCTTTTCAAATTCTTGAAACGTTCAGATTCACCACTATCACCACCATGATGGATTTCAAAACACAAGGTTTGTAGAACATGTAATGCAGTATTGTATGGTAATTCTGTCTGGATTCCAAAGACAAGATTAAGAGTATGAATGTTATAAGTTGACAAACAGGATAAGAATGATAAAATGCTGTTACTCTGTTGAACCGTCAATGGTCCAGCCAATGATGGTTCAACAATGCTGATATGTATTGGTTTTGCAATATTAAGTTGTGGAACTGTGGTTGGGAAATCAAATGAATGAACTCTGATCAATAAGAAGTCAATTGATAAATGTGTCAATGATAGCTTGTTCAGTACTTGGAAAAACTGAGCAGTTGTATCATACAGATCTGAGGTTGAAATATGCAATGAAGATGGTTGAGGTTGATTTGAACACCGTAGCGAAAGTTTATTCAATGACTTCAAAGATAAAATGAATAATAGAAATGGTTTATATTTCAAAATTGTAGTTAAATCACGTATTGTCACGTTCAACTCTTGTATAGGGCAATACTTGAAAAATTCTAAAGCGTTCATGTTATCAATTAATCTTGGATCAATCGCCAAATCTAGTCTTTTTAAGCCTTGGACATTCAATTTGTCTTTTGGAAGCACCAAACTTAGATGTTCAACTTTTAAATTTGTACCAAATGCTATATCATTATCACCGAGTATAACTAATGACTTTATGTTTTTGAAATCTTGAATCTCATTGAGCGGCCTTGAACTTGGAACTTCAACCTCATAAATGTAATTTTGAAATGGTAGAAGCAGCTTACTTGCCTGAAGTGCCTCATCATAGTTTAAAGATCTTGGTCCTTCATATTCAAACTTTCGAACTAACGAACAATGTGAGAATAACAATGGCGCTATAGCATCTTGTAAATAATGATTCACTTGACACAATGGTTTTAATTGTTTTGAAGGATAGTAAAAAGTGTAATCTGGTCTTCTCTTCCTAGAATTTGGATCAATGTAATGTGCAATGTTCAGTATTATTTCCAGTGGTAGTCTATCAAGCATTGGATGGCGCTTAATAGATCTTGTTTATTGTTCAAAGTGATTTGTTTACATGAGATTTTAAGAATCTGTCAAGTGGCCTAATCATGCCCTATATCCAGTCACATGATGTATCTGCTCAAGCCCTGACACAGTCGCATCCGTACACCATTTCTGTTGTGCTTCTCGTACCATTTCCTCACTAGCCTCCGCCTAGCAGTTTTGTGAATGAGTGCGTGCTCTAACCACTCTCTGCCTGGAGTGCCTTGGTTCCAGCACAGGCAGCCTTCCGTTTAGGGAATCGGTTAAGCAGCCCATATGAAAATTTCGCTGCGACAAACTTCGAGTGAGTCCCATGAAAACAAAAAGAATTTTAAAAGCACAAGTTGAAAAGTATCAATACATACTTGACTTGAGTAGTATAATTCAACACAACAGAAGACAAAATGCCAGGTGTTTCCGTCAGGTATGTTAGAATGAAGAATAAGAGAGAGATCAAGATCAAGTACATGAGTGTTGAAAGAAGAGTTTAGTGAGAATCAGGTTGTTGAATTAATTATGAAATAAATGAGTGTCCAATATCTAAAATATCCCAAAGACTAGGGAAACAGAAGAAATAAGAGAAAGAAACAAAGGAATAATGAATAAGGAATAAGAGTAGAGGATTAATACATTTATTATGAAGGATTTATGAAAGTGTCAAGAATTTCAATCAAGAGATGGATCGTGTACTCGTAGTTCAAAATGTACACCATAGAATATAAATTATTATGAATCAAGGACTTTCAACACTCAATATGGATTGCTTGATCTTCTCCTCATCATCTTATCAATGACATCTACTAACTTTTTGCAATAGAGACGTTCCAGCTCAAGATTTCATTAACGCTTATGCTTCATTCTTACAACGTCAAGGTAAACTTGAAGTTCCAGGTTACGTTGATTTAGTCAAAACCTCAGCTGGTAATGAATTACCACCACAAGAAGCTGAAACTTGGTTCTACAAACGTGCTGCTTCAGCTGCTCGTCACATTTACTTGAGAAAACAAGTTGGTGTTGGTAAATTAAACAAATTATACGGTGGTGCTGTCAACAGAGGTGGTGCTCCAGCTAGACACGTTGATGCTTCAGGTTCAGTTAACAGAAGAGTTTTACAAGCTTTAGAAAAAATTGGTGTTTTAGAAATCTCTCCAAAAGGTGGTAGAAGAATCTCTGACAATGGTCAAAGAGATTTGGATCGTATTGCTGCTCAAACTTTAGAAGATGAAGAATAAATTCAACAACAATAATTTGTCATATTTAAATTTTTTAAAAAAAGCTTGTATTGAATAGTATTATGGGGTGTTCTTAATTTAACGTTTCTAAGAAAATAGAAAAAAAAGATTCAGATTGTAGACTTTGTAATAAATATCATGTAATAAATTAAGCTATATACAAATATCAGAATATTTAAAATTTGTTTGGGTCTTCTGGATCAATTTTGATAATCTTATCAGGATTCAAAATTCTTTTTGGATCTAGTGCCATTTTTAATTTTCTCATCAAATTCACACTATTTTCACCAAGTTCCTCTATTAAATATTGTCTTTTACCAACACCAACACCATGTTCACCAGTACATGTACCTTCATTATCAATTGCTCTTCTTACAGCATTTGCACTAATCTGTTTAACTTTTTCATATTCTTCAGGTTTATAAGTTAGAATACAATGGAAATTACCATCACCAACATGACCCAAAACAGTGCCGAAAACACCAGATTCTTTAACTTCTTTAGCTGTTTCATCCATTATTTTGGATAATTTCGAGATTGGCACTGCAACGTCAGTGACCCAAACTTTGATATCTGGTGAAATATTTTGTTTAGCATATTCAATTGTTGACCAAAATCCAATTTTACGAGCCATCCATAAATCTTCAGAATCTTGATTATTACCTGCTGATTGAAATTGAGTTGCATTGTTTTCAAGACTTATACCTTCAATTTTTTGGGTCAATCTTTGTAATACATTTTCTTCTGATCCTCCTAGTTTGATAAATAAAGTTGGTGCAACTGGCCAGGATTTCTTCAGTTGACCAGTTTGGTTAATAACGCTAATCATATTATCATCTAATAACTCCACAGCGTTTACCACAATATCTTCCTGAATCAATTGTGTAACCATATTTGTAGCATCAATGATTCTTGGGAAGCTAACAACACTAACTCTTTCAACTTTTGGTTTGACATGAACTTTTAATGTGGCTTCAGTAACAATTCCTAAAGTACCTTCACTACCAACAAATATAGCTGTTAAATTATAACCAGCACTGGATTTTCTTGGCCTATTCTTGGTCTTAACGATAGTTCCATCAGCTAAAACAACAGTAACACTAATACAATTCTCTTTCATAGTACCATATCTAGCAGCATTTGTACCTGAACAAGAAGTTCCAATCATACCACCAATTTGACCACCAGGGCCAGGATCTGGGCCAATCATGAAACCTTCAGGCTCTAAATAGGCATTCAAATCTTGCCATCCAACAGCTGGTTGCACTGTGACATCCAAATCTTGTTTATTAAAATTGATGATATTGTCCATATTGGCCAAAGATAACAATAACCCCGGTCTTGTTGATATAAAATTTCCTTCAATTGAAGTACCACCAGAATATGGAACCACTGGGATACTATATTGGTGACAAACCTTTAGCACTTCGGAGACCTCTTCAGTTGATCTTGGATAACAAATCATTTTGGGACGTTGATCTGATGAAGGTGAATGAGTTGAATATGAATTTGAAGCATACGCGATTAAATCCTCCTTATCATATGAAACATTAGTTTGTCCCAATAATTTAGCAATTTTGTTCAATCCTGTGAATAAATCAGAGCTATCAGCATACTGAGGCTTCAATAACTTGTCAATTGGAGTAGTTGAAGATTCTGGGAACTTCCATTCTGGAGCCTTCATTGTAAACCCAAAGAAGAAACCTAGCGAAAGACCCAGTCCAAGCATTGAGGCACCTAAGATCGGGCCTCTGTTATTGATCAATGTTTGTCTGAACCCATTACTCGAAGAAGTGAATTGTCTCGTGAACACTCTTTGAAACCTTTTGGTGGTGTTCTGCCTAAACATGCTTGACACTATCTCGAGCTTTTCCTTCCTGTTGATCTAGATTCTCGAGAACTTTTGTGACTTGAGCTTCCTCCGCGAATTTCTCAGTCTGTACCCAGAAAACTACAGAAAGAGGCCTTTTGAAAACTCTTCACCTATCAGCCCAACGCTCTCCAACTCCATCTCTTCCCAGGCTGAACATCTCAGCACAAGAGCATTAATTCACTTTCTGGAGGCCACCAGCTGGTAATTCTCAGTCTTTTCCACGTGCATACGCTCTACAAAAATAATCAGCCTCGGTACGCCCAGCACACGATGTATTTTTTTTCTTTTTCTTTTCCTATAAATTTTTTTTAAGCTGCTGCTTTTTCCTCTCATCTTTTTGCTTGAATTCACTTAATATCAACACCAAATGTGCTAAACGCTACGTTAGTTTTGATTTCCATAAAAGCTGTCAGTTGAACTTCAAAACATCCTTGTTGAAGTCTCTTTCTATTTATGATTGCATCTGTCATTCTCAAAGCGCTATAATCAGAAGGCGGTAGGACCAAGACGCCTTCCCTTATGAAGAAGAGATTTTAACAAAAAAATACTATTATCAAAATTCAAGAGTTTGCTCGCTGAAATAAAGCTGCTAAATCAAATAAAAACACTCCAAAAATCAAGAAAAACTTTACAAGATGTCTGCTGAATCTTCTCGCCCTGCATCTCCTCATCATTCCCACAATTCCATCAAGACTGAGGAATTGGATGATCATCGTCATCAAGCTTCATCTTTGCCAGTTCGTGGTGGTTCATTGTCTCATCATGATAATCATGGTAGATTACCTCCTCCAGCTATCCATATTTCGGATTCTCGTAGGGCTCATTTAAGTGCTCAAGATGATTCTGATGATGAATATGCCATTCAAGGATCTCCAATTGCTCAACCAACTGGATTCCGTTCAAACACTCAGGTTAGACCTTCAAGATTAAGTCATTCACTTTCTGATCAACATGCTGGTCAAGCTCCAACTTTTGTTAGAGGTCCTGGTGGTTCTTTAGCTGCTGCTGCTAGAAGAGGTCGCTCAAGATCAAGATCAAGATCAAGATCAAGATCTTTTACTGAACAAGTGAGAACTTTGATGAATCCAAGAGATTCTGAACAAGCTCAACAACCAGGTATCTTGATGAACAAGAACTCTACTGGTGTTCATGCTCAAAAAAGACCAAGCAAAGGTTCATCTGATGCTTCTCCTGTGATTCAACCTTTAAACAAGACATTATCACGTTCATCTGCAAAATTTAACCCTGAACAAAATGCTATTGATAATGAAATGGTTGATTTCGATCGTCGTCGTCGTTTGACCCGTGCTTCATTAGTTGATAGTGATGCTGATTCTCATGCTTCAAGAGATTCTCAAGAAACTGAAGAAGATGTTTGTTTCCCAATGTTGCCAGAACATGTCAAGATTAATGGTATTGATTTTGATGAAATTGAAGAATTTATTCAAGAATCAAGAGCTGAAGCTGAAGCTTTGAAAAAAGAACGTGATTTAAATTCTTCAGATTCAAGCTATGAACATAAATCTGCTGCTGCTACAAAGTATACTCCTTTGAAACAAACTGATTCAGGAGCTGTTAACAATGGGTCCTCATCTGATGATGAAAACCCAGGTGTTTCCTTTGGTAGCAACAAGGTTGAAGGTGAAGAAGTCCCACCTGATCGTTTTAGCTTTTTCTGCTCTGAATCTGATGAAACTATTCATGCTCCAGATATTCAATCATTAGTTAAACCAGGTGAATCAATCAAAAATTTGTTTAGAAGTGGTCAACCAACTTGGTGGTTGGATTGTATTTGTCCAACAGATGCTGAAATGAAAGTTTTGGCTAAAGCTTTTGGTATCCATCCTTTAACTGCTGAAGATATCCGTATGCAAGAAACTCGTGAAAAAGTTGAATTATTTAGATCATATTATTTTGTTTGTTTCCATACTTTTGAAAATGATAAAGAAAGTGAAGAATTTTTGGAACCAATCAATGTTTATATTGTTGTTTTCCGTGAAGGTGTTTTAACTTTCCATTACGGTGCATACTCTCATGCTGCTAATGTTAGAAGACGTGTTAGACAATTGCGTGATTATGTTGATGTTTCTGCAGATTGGTTATGTTATGCCCTTATTGATGACATTACTGATAGTTTTGCTCCAGTTATCCAATCCATTGAATATGAAGCTGATGCTATTGAAGATCAAGTTTTCTTAACAAGAGAAATGGATTTCAGTCATATGTTGCAAAAAATTGGTGAATCTCGTCGCAAAGTTATGACATTGATGAGATTATTATCTGGTAAGGCTGATGTTATCAAGATGTTTGCAAAGAGATGTCAAGATGAAGCTCAAGGCATTGGTCCTGCTTTAACTTCAAATATCAATTTGGCTAATCTTTCAGCTAAAGCTGCTGCTTCATCTGCTGGTCAACAACAACAACATGCTCAACCAAGAGCTGATATTGCCTTATATCTTGGTGATATCCAAGATCATGTTGTTACTATGTTTCAAAACTTGTTGTCTTATGAAAAGATTTTCTCTCGTTCTCATTCCAATTATCTTGCTCAGTTACAAGTTGAATCCTTCAATTCTAATAATAAAGCTACTGAATTATTGTCTAAAGTGTCATTAATTGGTACCATTTTGGTTCCATTGAATTTAGTTACAGGTTTATTCGGTATGAATGTTAGAGTTCCTGGTCAAGATGGTCATAATTTAGCCTGGTTCTTTGGTATCGTCGGTTTCATCATTTTGTTGGTTGTGTTTTTCTCATTCTCTGCAAATTGGTGGTTATTCAGAACTGATAGAGAACAAGAAGAAGCTGCTGGTGATTCTGGTAGACGTTCTATGTTGAGCTTTGGTGTTGGTAGAAGAACTACTCAGCCAATTAGAGAAACTAGAGAAACTAGATCTGTCATCAGTTATCCTTCACGTCTCAATAGATATGATTAACTTTGAGTTTGTGTTTTTTTTTATATTGTTATTTTAAGTGGTTTGTCATTCATTCATTCATTGTCGTTTCAGAAAAAATTGTTAGGTGTTCAAAAAAAAAAGTTTGTTTTAGTTGTTCAGGTGTTGTATTTTTTATTTGTGGAGTTTGTTGATTGTTAACTCATTTATCATATATTTTTTTTTAATTGCTTTCGATTTCTTGACTATTTGTTTGTTGTCTGCATGTTTTTTTTATTTGGTATTCCTTTGTTATTATTGATAGAAATTTACAATTAATATTTTTTTCTAAACAAAATGCCTGTAGTATTCATAACTACACAATTCTTTCTAATCCATCAACTTTTCATGTTTTCTCTTTCTTGATTTCTTACTTTTTTTTTCAACATCTGCAGGAATTGGGATCTTGATATCACCTTCTTTATCATTCTCATCAACTTCTGGGCCATTTTCATTTTTGAAAACCTTCTTTCTCCATTCTTTCAACTGTTTAGCTTTTGCTAATTTTCTTCTATCTTTAACTCTTTGATCTTTTGGTCTATAAGCTGCGTATTTTTTCAACCCAACATATTCATTCAACTGTAAATCATCAGCAACTAAAATATCTCTTGTAGTCAAACCAAAAGTTTCTGGAGAAACTTCACGATATTTAAAAGTATCTTTCTTTTCTTTAGAACGGCCCTCACGTTCTTCTTCAACTTGATCAACAATCTTTAGTTTATTAGCTTCAACGGCTTGTTCTGCTAATTCTTTGAGACGTTTCTTTTCCTTCTTTTTATCTTTCTTCTCTTTTAATTGATCTTTTTTAGATTTTTTCTTTGCTGGTTCTTCATCAGCTTCTTCAGCTTCAGATTGTTCTTCTTCATCATCTTCATCTGCTCCACTTGGCTTGAAATCTTTCATAATTTCATCATCTTCGTCCCATTGAGGTTTAGAAGCATCATCATTATAAAATTCATCATTGAAAAGTTCTTGAAGTAGAGTGTCCCATTGTGAATCATCAAAATCTTTGTCTAACAATGAATCACTTATTCTTTTAACTAAATCTTCATTGATTTCAGCACCATAATCATTCTTGATTTGTTCCAAAATATCAGCCAATTTGTTGATTTTTTCATTCTTCTTCTTAAATATTTGAGTTTCCTTTTCTTGTTTCAATTTATTAGCTTCTTCTTTTTTAAGCTCTCTTTTCTTCTTACGACTATTTGTATCTCTTCTTACAGTGGCAGCATTACGAGCATAACTTATAATCTCAGCAGAACTTGGGTCTTCATATCTATGGTTATAAGCATGTTCAAATTGCTCAACAGCATCATCGAATTCTTCGTCATCTTCTTCTTCACCATGGTTATCTAAATTTATAATCTTGTCACCTTTTTGTGGAATCCAAGCATGTTGAGCAGCAAATTCTTGCAAAAACTTTTCTTCATCTTCTTCAGGGTTTGGTAACACTCTCTTTGGCTTACTTTCTGACTCAGTTTCAACTTTTTTCTTTAAGAATCCATCATCCTCTTCATCATCTTCATCTTCATCACCCATGGCATTATTAATCTGTGATAATAATTCATTACGTTGTTCTTCTTGCTCTTGGTCATAAGTTTTGAACTCTGGTTGAGCTTGTTCTTCTTTCTCCTCTTCTAAACCTTCACCATTCAACAATCTCATTCTATGATAATCTTTCAAATAAATTGGTTTTTCCTTCTCTTTCTTAGTTGAATCTTTTGAGATTTGATCATTGAAAAACTTAACTTTAGGATCAAGTAAGGCGGATTTATCACCAGATCTGATAGCACTCAACACTTTGTTGATACCTTCTTCAACATCTTCAGTAATCAATTCACCAAAATCATCCTCTTCTTCAGATGATGAGGATTCTTCTTCTGAGCTAAATTCTTCTGAAACTTGTTCTTCAATTTTTTTCTCGACTTGAGGCTTTGGCTCCTGTTCGGCTTGTTCACGGGCCCTTTTAGCAGCTGACTTCTTTCTAGCCATTTTTAATATTCAATAATACGTTTGATTATAATAGTCTTTGAGATGAGATGCTTTAGTATTCTCATAGAAATTTTTTTGAAAAAGAAAAAAAAATTATACATATGAAATTAGGTAAGCATGTGGTGCCTACCGCTTGTATATCTTATGTCGTATAAAAAAGGTAAATGAAGCTTTTGAAAAGTCCTTTTTGAAGGCTGAAAGGGCTTATATCTGTAGCATAATTCAACTGTGAATCAACAAGGGCTTGCGAAGAGCTTTTGATTACTGATGCTAAAGTTGTTGAACAGTTCATAGTATCTTATTGACACGTCGACTGCGACAGACGTAAGAACAACGAGTAGTTTAAGTTTTAAACCTCATATGGTCAGAGAACCACCCCTTTAGACAATGCGTAGTTCAGTTGCACTATGTCAATATTATGTTTTCTTTATAATTTAACTGGCCTTGAAACTGGCCACATTTAGTAAAGAAGCTTCTAACGGTGTCAGGCATTTATTCGTCAGCTAGGTTTGATAACCTTTTTTTAGTTGATACAGCCAGCTACTTTGATGAGAGAAACCACTATGCTGCTCTACTTTTTACATCAACCTAATAAATCTTGATATCCATTTACATCACTTTCATGCATTTCTAGCTTTGTTTAATTTGCATCGAAACGAAACATTGTTCAACTTCGTCAAAATCTTCCTCTTCACTGCTTGAGCTATCATAATCTGCAACTGGTTTTAAGGAACAATCTATATTTAATAATTCATGACTATTTACTGGAATAAAATTGACTCCATATAATCGTTCTTTAAATGCCTCACCGCCATTAATGATGATTTTTGTGATGTCTTCAGGAGCCTTATGGAAATCTATATCAATTGTTCCATCTTTTTCCAGCTTCACCTCTAGTATATAATCATCTCTTCCTTCGATGTTGTAAAGCTTGACGTAGCGTACTTGAGACATTTGGTATGTTTTGAGTTAACTTCTGTATGGGTTTCAGAGTCATCAACACCAACCCCAAATTGAAAGACGTTTAGATTTAAAGAAACTGGAAGTATTAATAAATTAAAACCATAATTAATATTTAAATGAAAGTCCAAACTGTTTGATTATAATAAAATCACCTCTTAAAACTCTCTTGAGTGTTTTTCAACGGTGATAGGTACTTGAAAAATACAGCATCTCGGGAATAAGCGCCTCTGTTCGGGACACGAATTACTTGACACAAAAACTTGGTTTGATTAGTTTTGTTAATAAGAATGGTAATTCCATTGAAACTTCAAGCTATTGAGTTATATATCACTTGAATTTTGTTTGGATACATTAAATTTGCTATTTATCAAAGAAAAAATTTCAAAAAATATTTCATTTGCTTTATTTTGATTTCAAATTAAAAACTTAGAGGTCTACAAATTTATGCCATCGTTAATATTTTCAATTTCTACAAAATATCCTATTTAATTATTATAAATTTAATTCATATTATTTGGTGATTAAATCAATATAAATCATCCAGATGTATTCTGCTGCTTCCAAATTACGTGGCTCAACATTTTTCAAGGCAAAGATCAATTTGCAAAATCCTTCAGCTTCAACTTTTTCAAAACTGAGCTCAAAATCAAAAGTTATTGAAAGAAGAAACCTAGAATTGTCAAGACTCAAAAAGAATGCACAGAACTTTTTCAGGTTGCAAGATGAGTGCGAGAAGTACATGGATACCTTACTTTGTTTCCCTCCATTTATAGTTGTTTACTAACACTATCTTGAAGATCGAACAGTGATACAGGGTCGAACAAAAAAGCAATTTTATTGAAAAAGCAGTTGAAACTCAAAGATACTATTCATATTCAAGGATTTCAAATTACAATAGGAAGCTCAGAGACCTATGAAGACTCAGACATTTCCCCCTACTCACTTGAAAACTCATCCTTAATTAGTACATCACAAAATGAATTGAGAAGACAACACAAGGTTGAGGACTTTAAGAAATCGAAGGATTCCCCTATTCCATCAAGAAGCACAAAGAATTTGAAAGAAAATTGGTCAAATGATCTAGAAGTTCATAGTATCAATTATATCAACAAGATGTTTGAACCTGGCAGTGAAATACTCTCAAAAACTGGCCGTGTTGAAGTGTCACTTGATGATTACATAGATTCATGGAATGAGAAAGTCTTAGAAAGAAGGGGGCCAAGATCACCAGGATCAATACCTAAAGAGATGCAGATTGATATCAGAACAGATGAAGCTATTTTGACCAAGGATCCGCCATATCATCCAAAGACCCTATTGAACGATTTTGATATCAAAGATCATGTCGGACCAAAAATGAGGCAGGAGCCACTAGGCGCAAAAAGAGAAGAGAGAAGAGGCCGTCAGCTTGTAGATGACAAATTTATTGATAGGAAAGAGCAGCTTGGTAATGACTATCAGTTTGGGATTGAGAAGTTGAACAATATTCATGAGAAATTGATCGAAGATTTCCAAAGGGAAACGTTAGAGGAATTTGACACAATCACCAGAGAATTGGATGAAGCTAGACAGAGATCACTCAAGAGATTCCAAAAGTTGAACAAGTACATTCACGAGTCCAGTCTAAGTGTCAGAGATCTCTTCAATGATGATTAAGATGTTTCAAAATGAATATACTTTATTGTTTTTTCCGACACATAATAAACTTTGCCCCGCGTAGCAAAAGTCGGAGCCCACGCTTAACCTTAATCTCGTGAATTCCCGAGTGGAGGTTGATAGACAAAGTGCACGACAATGACCAACAAGTTACCAACTTCGTAACCTGTGCTTCCATAGTCTATTGTGATGGAATTGTTGTTGGTAATCTATGTCAATAGTGGTGCTCTGAGGTGGAGAGAATGAGGGATGAGTGGATAAGAAGAAGTATATATAAAGATAGAGAGATCCCTTGCCATTCTGATAATCTATTGTTTGGTTTACCAAGTACAGCATAAACAATGCCAGTCCCAAACACCCCTCCAATTCTCTCAGAAAAAGCTATTGAATCACTCAAGAAAGTCATTGACCAATCAGTGCAAAACCCAAAGAAAGATATCCCTGGTGTTTCTGTTGCAATTACAAATTCAAAAGGTGATGATTTATTCTCTTATGCCAAAGGGGTCACTGGTGCTGATAACACTGATGAAATTACAACCGACTCAATCTTTTGGATTGCAAGTTGTACTAAACTTTTAGCTTCTATTGCACTCATGCAATTGGTTGAACAAGGAAAAGTTGATTTGGACTCTTCTGAACAAATTGAAAAATACATTCCTGAACTAACAAGATTACCTATTGTTTCACACGATAATGAAGATGGATTGAATTTGAAACCAAGAAAGAATAAGATCACTTTAAGACATTTGTTATCTCATACTTCTGGTTTAGGTTATTCATTCTTTAGTGACATTTTGAAAAAATATGCCAATTTCTTTCATGTTGATGAATTTGATGTTTCAAGTGAACGTGAATTGCTGTTGCCATTACTATTTGAACCAGGAACTAATTGGTCTTATGGTGTTGGTATTGATTGGGCCGGTGTCTTATTGCAAAGAGTTACTGGTCAAACATTGAATGACTATATTGTTGAACACATTTTAGATCCATTAGGCGTTGAAGAAACCGGTATGGAACCTGAAGAAACTTTGAGAAAGAAATTTGTTCAAATGAATGTTCGTGACAAGAATGGTGAATTATCAACAACTGATCATATTTACAAGAAAGTTTTGAAAGGTGATTATCAAACTTTATTTCATTCAGGTGGTGCTGGTGTTTTTTCAAAGCCAAAAGAATATATCAAAGTTTTAGCTACAATTTTGAATGATGGTGTTTCTCCAAAGACTGGTAAGCAGATCTTGAAAAAGGAAACCATTGACTTGATGTTTTCCAATCAAATTGAAAAATTCCCAAACTTTGGTCGTGCTGGTATTAAGAGTTCAGATGATTTTTTAACTAATTCTATTGCTGATATTTATCCACAAGGAGATTTACCACAAGGCTGGGGTCTTTCAATGTTTTTGAACCTTCACGAAACCTCTACAGGTCGTGGTAATAATTCAGGTTGGTGGTGTGGTTTAGCCAACTTGTTTTGGTGGATTGATAGAGAACATGATATTGCAGGATTTGTTGGTGCTCAAATTTTACCATTTGCTGATATTAAAGTCATGACGCTTTGGGCCCAAGTTGAACAAGAGATCTATAAAGACCTTGGTAAAATCTGAGATCAAACCAATTATTTATGATACGTTTATTTATGCCTATGTATAACTTTTATGCCATATAGAGAAATGTTTACAAAACGTCTTCGCGAAGCTCATCGCATAGTGTTGCGCGCAACGAAAGTTTAACTTGATAAAAAAAAAATTTATCAGAGCATAAAATTTTCATTATCGGTCGTACATAATCATCAAAGATTCTTGAAAGCATAGATAAATACCTCAAGATGGCTGCCCAAGAATTGAAAGAAAAGAAGAGAAAATCATCCTCCGAAGATGATAAGCTAGTGGAAAAGAAGAAGCATAAGAAAGACAAGAAGGAGAAGAAAGAGAAGAAGGATAAAAAAGAAAAGAAAGAAAAGAAAGACAAAAGTGAGAAGAGATCAAAGAAAGAAGAAGTTTCAGAACCAACCGTTGCAAAGACTGCTACTTCTTCTTCAAAAGCTACTACTGATGGCTATAATGAAAGCTCCGAACTTTCTTCAGTCCCTCAATCAGAAGTTGATGCCTTTTATAAAGAAAATGAAGTAACAGTTGAAGATCCAAAATCATCAAACTTGAGACCATTATTATCATTCTCCCATGTTGAATTTGAACCAGAAATCCAATCTGAGATTGCCAAGTTCCCTAAACCAACTCCTATTCAATCTGTTTCATGGCCATATCTATTATCAGCCAGAGATGTTATTGGTGTTGCAGAAACTGGTTCAGGTAAAACTTTTGCATTTGGTGTTCCAGCAATTGATAAATTAGTCAAAAATGGCGATAAAAAGGGTATCAAAGTGTTTGCTGTTTCTCCAACAAGAGAGTTAGCTTCTCAAATTTATGACAATTTAACAACTTTAACCAAGAAAGTTGGTTTACATTGTGTCTGTCTTTATGGTGGTGTTCCAAAAGATCAACAACGTAAAGATGTTTTGAAAGCTCAAGTTGTCATTGCCACTCCAGGTAGATTGATTGATTTGATGAATGAAGGATCAGTTGATTTATCAAACGTTCACTACTTAGTTCTTGATGAAGCCGATAGAATGTTGGAAAAAGGGTTTGAAGAAGATATTAAAAACATTATGAGATCATGTTCAAATAAAAACAGACAAACTTTAATGTTTACTGCAACATGGCCAAAAGAAGTTAGAGAAATCGCTAGTGTGTTTATGAACGATCCAGTTAAAGTTAGTATTGGTAACAGAGATGAACTAAGTGCCAATAAAAGAATTACTCAAATTGTCGAAGTTGTTGAGCCATTCAAAAAAGAAAACAAATTATTATCATTATTGAATCAATATCAATCAGGTGATAAAAAGAATGATAAAGTGTTGATTTTTGCATTGTATAAAAAGGAAGCTTCCAGAATCGAAAGATTGTTGATCAACAAAGGTTATAAAGTTGCAGCTATTCATGGTGATTTATCACAACAACAAAGAACCCAATCTTTAGAAAACTTCAAAAAAGGTCACTCAAACTTGTTATTAGCTACCGATGTTGCTGCTAGAGGTCTTGATATCCCAAATGTCAAAACAGTTATTAACTTAACTTTCCCATTGACTGTTGAAGATTATGTTCATAGAATTGGTAGAACAGGTAGAGCTGGCCAATATGGTACTGCTCACACTTTATTCACAGAACAAGAAAAACATTTAAGTGGTGCTTTAATTAATGTTTTGAAAGGTGCTAACCAAAATGTCCCAGATGAATTGTTGAAATTTGGTAGTCATACAAAGAAGAAGGAACATGGTGCTTATGGTGCTTTCTTTAAAGATGTTGATATGACCAAGAAGCCTAAAAAAATCACTTTTGATTGAATAACAAAAGTTCTATATAGAATTATAACTGTACTATAGACCAATACCTGAGATTTTATGTTTTTGACAACATTAGTGTAGTTCTGGATTTTTGGTTGCACAATTTCTGCAAAAGCGACACGCCTTTAACAAAAGAGGAAATCTTGTTTCGCGTATGTTCGCCAATTGGCTTGATTTAGTGTAAAACACCAAAATTTGGCCAGAGCTTCGAATATTCAATGGAATCTTCAAGATATCTACAATTTTCACCACTTCAACACCAAAAATATCAGACTATTAGCTAGCAAGTACCTTTATATCCTCTGAACTTTGACTTTATGTAGTTCACAGAGTGTAGTACCATCAAATTTCAGCCACGCCAATTGAATTAAACTTTGAAGGTTTAAATCTCATCAAATCACTTTGTTCAATCAGATAAACATAAACAAAGTGCAGGAATAAGCAGTCAATAGCATCACATATCAAGTAGAGCTAAAACAAACGACAGTTAACCACAAAAAAGGAAACTCCGTTAAAGAAATGTGTCAATTTGGCGTCCTAAATATTTTATTATGATGTGTCGCGCTTTCAATTTCTCAGCCTTCTTGAAAAAAAAAACGTTTCATGATTTTGACTTAAACGAAATCAAATCAGATCCAGTCGAATTATCATCACGTCATCTCCATTTCAATACCCAAGTTCTATATATAAAGGACATCACAAGTCCAGTTAAGCTGCTCATTCGTTGAAATACGCTTTTACAAAAGCAAATCCAGACAATGTCCAATACAAAGATTCTCTCGAGATCTGAGATTGAGCATCGTATATCTCAAGGTGATGCTATAGTGATCTTTGAAAACTCTGTGCTTCGGATGAACAAATGGATCAAGTACCATCCTGGTGGTGATAAGGCGGTCCATCATTTAGTTGGAAGAGATGCCACAGACGAAATGATTGCTTACCACTGTGATGAGACCCAAGCCACGTTTAAAAAATGGAAAATTGGTGAAATCAACTACAAGTGGTTAAATTTCTTACCACCGATCCAGGGTGGGAAATTCAGAAGTTTCGAAGAACAAAAATGGGAGAAACTCAATAGTGAAAAGCCTCCAAGGGAAAAATTAACACCTTCATCATCATCTGAAGATTTTAAACTAAGCTCATCAACAGAACCTTCGGATGTTGAAGATGTCTTGATAAATCCAAAACCCGAAATACAACACAAGAAAATGTCAGGTGAACAAGAAGTCATTATTACACCAAAGATACCTCAAGGATTCATTCCATCATTATCCACTAAAGAAGCTTATGAAAGAAAAGTTATCAAAGATCCAAGTGATGTTATTGATGATTATGATAATTTGAAAGTTGAACAAGATCTTAAATCTATTCCATCATTGGATTACAAAACTCAACAGCTTTTATCTGATGAATATAACAAATTACATGATGTTATAATAGAAGGCGGCTTCTACCAATGCCCATATTGGGAGTATGCTAAAGAAGCTTCAAGGATAGGAACATTGTTTGGTATTGCATTCTTCTTGTTGTACAAGAGATGGCTATTCACTAGTGCGGTTTTCATGGGGTTAGCATGGCAACAATTGGTGTTTATTGCACACGATGCTGGTCATATTTCAATAACGCATCATTATCAAGTTGATAATATCATTGGGATGGTTGTTGCCTCATTTATTGGTGGGTTATCATTAGGATGGTGGAAAAGAAATCATAATGTTCATCATTTGATCACTAATGATCCCGTTCACGATCCAGATATCCAACATTTACCATTTTTTGCTGTTTCTACAAGATTATTTGGAAATATATATTCAACTTATTATGAGAAATTTCTTTGGTTTGATGAATTTGCTAAAAAATTGATTCCAATTCAAGAGTACATGTATTATCCAATTTTATGCTTTGGGAGATTCAACTTGTACAGATTATCATGGCAACATGTTTTGATGGGTGAAGGTCCAAGACATGGTAAAGCTGCGTGGTTCAGATATTTTGAGCTTGCTGGCTTGATTTTCTTCAATTATTGGTTCTTTTATTTGATTTGTTATAAGACTTTAGAAACAACTTCTCAAAGATTGGTTTACATTCTTGTTAGTCATATCACCACAATGATTGTCCATGTGCAAATCACTTTATCACATTTTGCAATGTCCACTTCAGATCTTGGAGTTTCAGAAAGCTTTGTAAGTAGACAAATGAGAACTACAATGGATGTTGACTGTCCAGCATGGTTTGATTTTTTCCATGGAGGTTTACAATTCCAAGCTATTCATCATTTGTTTCCAAGAATTCCAAGACATAATTTCAGAAAAATCCAACCTTTAGTCATTGGGTTTTGTGAGAAAGTTGGTTTAAAATATTCTATATATGGGTTTGTTGATGGTAATGGTGTTGTTATAGATAGATTGGCTGATATTGCCAAACAAGCAAGAATCATGAGGGATTGTACAAAAGCCATGAAAAAAGAGGCGATTGAAGAAGGGAAATATTTTGATATCTGAAGCATAGACATATTTAATTTATTTATACTGAATTGATTCATTCTTATCCATAAGTGTAGTGAAGGCCAGGGCAAAAACCTTTCCCTGTTTAGCGAAAGAATTCGCGAAATAAAGGTCAATACATTTTTGAAATTATCTTGAACATGGGTAAATTGGATCAAGGCAAAAGGCTGAACAAATACTGCAAAGAAACTTCAATTCGTTTTTATTCCAGCTCAATCACTTAGGGAAAATATGTCAGGGGAAGAGAAGTCTTCAATTCAAGACACCATCAGAGGGAAATGGGGGTTGTTCAAGAAGAATAAATCGCCATCTCCAGAGAAAACATCATCCTCAGAAAGTAAAAAGAAATCGTCTTCATCTAAAATGTTAAATCTTGATACACCACCTCTTACCCCATTAGAGCTTACGGGATATTCTAGCTCAACAAGAAATAGATTACTGACACCAGAATTGGGTGAAGAAATACGGAATTTATTACCAGCTAGATTACAAATAGAATCAAAATGGAAACTACTATACAGCTTAGAACAGCATGGTGCGTCATTGAAGACGTTATATAATAATACTAAAAATGGGAGTACAAGTTCCAATACAGGGTATGATAAATCGGGGTATTTATTGGTTATAAAGGATGACCTTCATGATGTTTTTGGAGGTTATGTTAATGAATATTTCCATCCCACTGATTCAAAAAGATATTCTGGTAACGGTGAATGTTTCCTATGGAAGTCTAGAAAAGTTAAGGATGATGAAGGTACCCACATTCAGTTTCAAGCATTCCCATACACCGGGGAGAATGATTATTTGATTTATGGAACAAGTGAGTTTCTATCAATAGGAGGAGGTGAAGGACGCTATGGGCTCTGGATAGATCAGAATTTGTTAAAAGGGAACTCACACCATACTAAAACTTTTGGAAATGAGCAATTGAGTAGGAAAGGTGAAAAGTTTGAGGTGTTGGGAGTTGAAGTATGGAGAGTCTGAGGCTTTCAGGGTTGTAAAAGGTCTTATTTCATGAACTGGTGAATTCAGCTTCTTTTTTTTGGGGGCTTCTGGGTTAATAACGATATTAAATATAAATTTCTTCATCATCATCATTACTTTTGTCCTTTGAATTTGTAATCTCATCAATGTTGATGGCTCTTGATAAGACTTTATCTTTTGATTGTGAATACTCGATTGGATGTTTCGCTTCAACGTGCTTCTTTAGCGAGTTGACATGTTGTTGAGTCCATTTCAAATCTTTAGTCACTTGCTTCAAAGTCTTTAAACCCTCTTTGAACCTGCTTTGGAATTGTAGTAGCCTCTCTTGAGCTTCCTTTTGCAATTGTTCTAGCTCCATTTCTTTACCTTTCAGAGCACCAGAGCTATAAGCCGTTAGTTTCATCCCTAATTTTCTTAAACACACCACTCACGTTTGAGCCTGAATAACAATTGACCTATTCATTTCCATACTGGCCAGTGCTGAGTTCAAAGAGTCTGTGAGGTATTCCACAGGGTCAAACTCCCTATTCGCACTCTCATCTTCAAGCGAGTCCTGGTAACTATCAGTGGACATATCCTCATCATCTTGGTCACTGACATCCGGTGCCTGGACAGCGAACGTTTGTGAGTTAATGCTAGGCTGTCTTCGATGTCTTGTAGCCATTCTTTAACCTCAATCCCTGGGTTAAGAAACGTTGTGATTTGCAGTGTCAAAGCCATCTTTTCGTTATTAATTATTCCATCGCGAGCCTAAAAACATCCAGAAAAAATGACAACGAAATTTCCGTTAAGCTTTCATCGAGGCAACCATCAACAAAAACAACAACAACAACAGCGAAACATCCCACAAATGAGACGTTGAATATGTCCAGCCAGACAAAGAACGAAGTAAAGGCCAGACTCAGACCTTTTGGCATTGTGTTTGAGAAAAGTCTCAGTGATTTGATCAAAGGAATCAGAGCTAATAAAGATCCAGAGGCACAGGCAAAATTCTTACAAAATGCCATTCAAGAATGTAGAAAAGAGGTCAGGTCATCAGACATGGAATTGAAAACTATGGCGGTTTTGAAATTGGCCTATTTGGAAATGTATGGGTTTGATATGTCATGGGCAAATTTCCATGTTTTGGAAGTTATGAGTTCTTCAAAATTTCAACAAAAAAGAGTGGGTTATCTTGCAGCTTTTCAAGGTTTTAGAAATGATAATGATGTTTTAATGTTGACTACAAATCTTTTAAAGAAGGATTTGAATTCTTCCAAAAGTGTTGAAGTTGGTGTTGCATTGAGTGGAATATCATCGATTGTCACAACTCCATTAGCTTCTGATATAACGGATGATGTTATTAAAATGTTGAATCATTCAAAGCCATACATTAGAAAGAAGGCTATTTTAACAATGTACAAAGTGTTTTTGAAATACCCTGAAGCTATAAGAACTCATTTACCAAGAATATTTGATAAATTGGATGATGAAGATAAATCTGTTGTTACCGCTACTGTTACTGTTATTTGTGAATTATCTAAAAAGACACCAAAAATACTCGTGAACTTGGCACCTCAATTATATGAGCTCCTAAGCACTTCAAACAATAATTGGATGTTGATTAGATTGTTAAAACTGTTTTCCTCATTGACCACAGTGGAACCTCGTTTGAAAAATAAATTGTTGGACCCAGTGTTGGAATTAATGACAAAGACAAAGGCAAGTTCTTTGATTTATGAATGTATTAATTGTTTGGTCACTGGTGATATGATCTCAGAAGATGATCATCATATTGCCAACATTTGTTTGGAAGAACTGGTTGAATTTTTCAAGGAAAGAGACCAAAACCTGAAATATGTTGGATTATTGGCTTTTTTCAAGATTGGTGAAATCAACTCAGACTTCATTAGTTCTTATAGTGAGCATATCTTGAACTTCTTGGTTGATGATGACTTGACAATCAGAGAAAAAGCATTAGATATCGTTGATGGTATTGTTGATGATGAAAATTTGTTTGAGATTGTAAAATTGTTGATGATACAATTAGTACCACAAGAGGAACAAAATGAAGAGGATAATAAACATGAAGATGAACATGGTGATTTGAGCGCATTGCTAAACCCAACAACCACAGCACCTGTTTTATCTGATCAATATAAGACAAACATTGTCAAGAAAATATTGGAATTTTCTTCAAAAGATAATTATGCAAATATCCCTTCATTTGAATGGTATATTGCTGTTTTGACTGATTTAATTGACCTTTCTGTTACAAACAATCTACTCACTGGTGGGGTGATTGGTGAACAAATTAGGGATATTGCAATCAGAGTTCCAAGTGTTCGTAAACTGGTAGTTTCCACTTCAGTCAAGATTATTACAAATGAAAGCATATTAACTAAATTACCTCAAGTCTTACAACAAGTTATATGGGTTGCAGGTGAATACTCAAATTTCATTAAAAATGGTGATGATTTGATCAACAAGATTTTGTCATATGATGGTAAATTATTACAACTAGAGCCTGAAGTTTTGGCTATTTACATTCCTGCATTGGTAAAGATTTTTAGTAACTTTGCTAATAAGGACGCCACATATTGGGATAATGAGAAAGCTGATAAGATCCTTGAATTAACAAACAATATAATCAAGTCATTTGAAAAATTATCAATCTCAAAACATTTTGAAATCCAAGAACGTTCCGTGGAATTTTTAGAATTCTTGAAGTTGATTGTCGACTCCATTAATGAGCATGATCCAAATGCTATTGAACCACCTTTGCTTTTGTCAGCTGCTTTGCCATCTTTTTTCAACTCCTGGGAATTGAAACCAATCTCTCATGGATCACAAAAAAGGATTCCGATTCCTGAAGATCTGGATCTTGACACACCTATTAATGAAGATATCTTTGAGGAGTTAGATAATACTAGTGAAGAAGAAAGTATCATTGAAGAATTTGAAGAAGGTTTATATGAAGATCAAGGAAAATATCACGAAGAAGATGAAGCACACGAACAAACATCCCCAATCAATCCAACATCAGAAGAAAGTGAACGCCGTAAACTGGAAAGATTAGAAAGATTAAAAGATGATCCATATTACCTATCAAATGATTCTCATTCACAAATATTATCACCAAAATCCAGAAACGATTTGATTTCACCAACCCCAAGATCAATCACACCAACCCTAATTGAGATGGATGATGATAACAATAAGAACGTCATTGGTCACAAGGGTAAGAAACCACACAAGAAGAAGAAGAAAAATGTCGTCATATTGTCTGATGAAGTCATTGGTAATGATCAAGATGGATTAATATCAGACCAAGAAAGTCAAAGAAGTGGCACTAGATCAGTGCAGCCAAAGAAGTCAAAGAAGAAAAATGTTTTCCAGATTGATAGTTCTAATCTAGATAATTTTGATTTTGACAAGAGTCCAGAAAATGAAGAAGAAGGTTTAGCAGAAGTTGAAAAATTGAGACAAAAACTAGAACAAGAATCTTTGAAGCAACAGCAACAGCAACAATCTGAAGAAGATCAAGGTGAAGAAGTTATAGTTATTCACAAGAAGAAAGATAAAAAGAAAAAACCAAAGTATGATGAGAATGGGAATCTAATAGAGAAGAAAAAGAAAAAAAAGAAGAAGATTACCTCTCCAGCTGCCGGTGAAAGTGAAGCAGAGAAAACTGTCACTGAATGAATATATATATTTTGTCATAGTTTAATGCATTAGTACATACACTTAGTCCTAGATGTAGCCATCAAAAGATTTGTTCAAGAGACGCGTCGCGAATTTTTTAATTAGTGATGTTGCGCGTTAACAATCTGACTTTTCATAAACAAAACCAATTTACACTTTTATTAGTTCAGAACCACTTCAAAAGACAGTAAAGAGTATGTCTTTTTTAGCTGTGATTGATGATTCAGAGAATAAGGCTATATGGTGCAGATGTATAGTTTCACTAGCATCCATTTCTGAGAAGATTCAGTTCATAATAAGTGAATCAAAAGTAAGTGAAAGAGAACTATGATTTGAAGTCATATACTAACTATGTTAGGTTATTTTGACTGCTATAAATGTTGCACATGTCTCACATGGTGAGATTACATTTGACAAGTTATTTTTCAAAACCTTCACATTTAATTCAGACTCCATATCAGATGAAGGCTTAGGGCAGAACGATGATGGTGAAGCTGTTTATTCATTCAGTGTGCGATCCAAAATATTATCAATATTGTTTAGAAAGACTGAGGACGACGTTGAGTCTTATAAATTGGCATTTAATGCAACTGATAGATGTTCTGTTAATGAGCGGTATAGACTACAAATTGAAATCAAAACCAAATCATTGATAAGGAAACAACACAATCCTTTTTATCAACCTTGCAAAGTTGACAAATTGAGCATTTCAAAGAAGTATAAGGAGGCGCTTATGGATCTCCCACAAGATAATGAAGAAATGGATGATTCAATGAAAGATGATGACAATGAAATTAACTATATGATGATTAATAACTCCATATTGAAAAGTTTTTTGGAAAATGTTAGTTCAACAACTGAAGATTTCAAACTTGAAGTAAATCGGAAAAATTTCAGTATAACGGCATTCACTAAAGGTATTTTTGTGAAAGAGAAGGAGATTTTAAAGCAGCCAATGGCTGTCAATATTGTTTTCAGCACTGATGAGCTACTGGATATAAGATTGTTTAGCCAAAGTGATAAAAAGATAGTTTATAGGTTGAAGGATTTCAAAACTTTTTTGAATCTTGGAGCTAATAATGATTTCATTGAGATCTTGCTTAAGAAGCCCGGTGACCCTGTGTTGTTTGAACTTTCTAAAAATGGTTGTTTGATTCAGTTTGTGCAGGTTACAGATGGTGAAAACAATCATCAATTGGATGCTAGACATACAAGAGTCATACCCAGAGAGAAAGTTAGTAAGAAGAGAAAACAAAAGGCCAAACCTCAGCCTCAAGAGCAGCCAATGCCAGTCTACGACCATGCAGCAGAGCTTGAAAATGAATTCAATGAGCCTCTTTTTGTTGGAATTGATGATGATGAAGAGGAACAAGATGAGGTGACCGTCGCTGATAAAACAGTTCAGCACACCTCAATAACCAGGGCAAAATCACCAATGAAACCACCCAGATTACCTACATCGACGTCAATGTTTAATACAGGAAAAGAATCACAAGAAAAGCATAGTGAAAGTCTTGAAAGAGATGTCAGGCCAAACGATGAGATTTCATGGGGTGAACCTAGCTCAAAAGATCAAAAGATTAGTCAATTGATCAACAACTCCAAGAACGACGAAAGAAGATTGATTAATGAAGCTAAAGTTAAGTATCTGAATGAAATTAAAAAGCGGAAATTGGGAAATATTAATCATAACAATGGAACTGATGGTGATGATGAATTAGGACCGACACAAGATGTCTCAAAAGTGAAAGGGATTTTTGACTAGAATTTATCAATAATATATATTATGTGTATATTTGTATCCTGTTAATTAATACTTTCCTCCCAAGTTTTGTAGCATTTGCATCCCTAGTTCTTCTTAGGTTCCTCTTTACCAGTCAAATAATGAGCATTTAACCATCTAAAACCTTGACCCAATTGAGCAGCTTCATTTACAACATGACAACCAAATAATAAATAATTTTGAGGAGTAACAGCTAAAGCGTACTTCATAAAGACACCAGAGTATAACACCAAGGCTAAGGTCATTGGACCTGAGATTAATTCTGGATCTTTTTTCAAATCATAAATAGCAGCAAGTGGAATACCAAAATTTGAGACTGGACCCCAAAAATGTGTAGTAAAGATATCTAAAAAGCAATTGTTAGTTTCCATAAGAGTAATAGGATGTTTGAGAGCTCCTTCCCGATGTATGATCCATCCAATGTTTTGAAGTTTACATACATCTATGATTCTGGTTAGTTACCGAACTTGGTTGATTTGATATATGGACAATATACTTACTTGAAGTTTGACTTGTTGAAGATCTTTTCCGTTAGCTTTTGAGTGGCTGCACGTTGAGCTGGTTGTGACATTGTTAGGAATATTGAAGCTTTTGTAATCTAGTTATTTGAAAAGAAGATTAATAGTTCAAATTGTTTTCGGTTCTTTACTCTCCATTTTACTTTTCTCAGATGGCTTCAAGAAAAAAGTTGGAATGGCTTCGTCGCCGGTGCCCGAATCGAAAATGAAATCGTAGTGGGGGCCGATTAAAACCGACAAAAACAGGAAATATTTGTTAGGGAATGCATCTGTTTGAAATGACAGGATTAATCAACAACTCACCTAGAAAATAATGATTGTCTTTTAAATCAATTAATAGCTTCATTGGGGGTGAACTGTTAGGTTTCCAAATTTGTATGTGGATTACATAATAAATGTCGCGAATTTTGTTTTCGCGAATGTTAATTTGACATAAATTTTTTGTGCGATGAGGTTTGATTCAAGATTTGATCAGTTCAAATTTGATTCGATTTGATAACATTGTAAGAGCAAAAATGGAATACATATATGGACTGCCACCACCTCCGCCTTCTTCAAATAATGGAAATGCTAAAAAGGACAACAACAACAATCATATGAAGCCAGGAAAGAACCAGAACAACAGGAGACAACAACAAAATAACAATAAGCAAAATAGTCGACCAAATCCCCAGAATCAAGCTTATTTAGATCTACCAACCCATCTACCGAACGAAGTACCCAAACAACAGCCTGCCCTGGTACATGAACAAGGAGAGGTCATTGATGAAGTGAACCAAACTGAAGCCGCCAAAGAAGTTGTTCCTGTGTTTGGTACCAACATTGTTCTCAAAACAGAGGAAGATATCGAAGAATGGGTCAAACAGAGAAAGTTGAATTGGATGAAGAAAATTTCCAACTCAAGGCCTGAACCAGAATCTAAACCAGCACCAGCTACGTCTAATCAACCACCCAAAAGAACTCAAAGAACATCAGACCCTCGTTTGAACCGAAATCAAACTAGAGTGCAGAAACCACAACATAAAAACAACCACAACAGCAACAAGACCAACTTGAACAACCTGATAATACAAAGAGAGATTCAACACGAGAACAAGGCCATTCTGGACGTGATTAAAGAGCTTTTTGAAGTACAAATACTGAAGGAATAAACGAGAAACAACATGTACACAGCCAATTGTAGCCCATCAGCTGACATAATCCACGCGCTTAATTTTTTTTTCTTTTGATAAACGTCTGATTATTAATTTCATGATCTTGACACTTCATCGCTTTTATACATCTTCCTAAAGTTCAAGTGGCGCAAAGATTATTGTTCTTGTTAGCTATTTGAAATATCTTAGAGAATAATGAAGTTGAAATACTACCATTTGATATCGTTTTTGCTTCCAAATGTTATTGCCGGTTCGCTATTCGATTTGAACTCAGATTCATTGATCAGTAAAGACTGTTGTGATTTAACTTATAGTCAAATTAACAACTTGAATGGGAAAATAAGATCAAATGTCCATGAATTAGTACAACAGGATTACTTCAAACATTATCAATTCAACCTTGATATGAAGTGTCCCTTCTTTGAATGTCAATCTATTTGTTTTAGTCCCGGATGTCAGTTGGATTTGGATGTTCACTCCGATGATTATAATTATGATTTAGAAAATGGTAATAGTGGTAACTTGGGTGATTTATCTGAGGATTCATTCCTTGATTCTTTATGTCCAAGTAACAACAAGAATATAGCTCCACAAGATGATGATGAATGGTGTGATATTGATGAGAAGGATGGTGTTATTGTTGATATTTCAAGAAATCCAGAACGTTTTACAGGTTATGTTCCTACTCCTGAACGTAACATTTGGGGAATGATTTATCAAAATCAATTAGAAGGTGAATGTGATATTGAACAAAAAGTCTTTTATCAAGTGATATCAGGTTTCCACAGTTCAGTTTCAACACATTTGTCAAATGAATACTATAACAACATCACAAACACTTGGGAACCAAATTTAGACTTGTTCAATTTCAAAGTTGGTAACTTCCCTGAGAGAATTTCAAATATCTATTTCAACTATGCTCTTGTTGTTCGTGCATTGTTGAAAATTTCACCATACTTGAATGAATTGAAATTTAACACTTTAAATCCGGAAAAAGATCATTTAATCAAATCAAAAGTGAATGAAATCGTTGATGAATTACCACATGACCTGTCCGTTTTCAATGAAGATTTAATGTTCAAAAACCATGAAATTAAAGAAGAATTCAAATCAAAATTTAAGAACGTTACAAGATTAATGGATTGTGTCACTTGTGATAGATGTAGATTATGGGGTAAGATCCAATCTACAGGTTATGCAACAGCATTGAAGATCTTGTTTGAAAGTCCAAAACATTTGAAGAATTTGAAGAAGAATGAAGTTAAATCATTGTTCAACACTTTTGATAGATTAACTAAATCAATTGAATCAATCAATAATTTTAATTATTTGAAGGCTTTGAAAGAAGGTGATGAACAAACTGTTGCTCAAATTGAACATGAAAATACTGCACCAACTTTGGATGATGATTTCGAAGAAAAATTAGAACAAGATTTAAAGAATGATACACTTAGAGGCAGATTTGATCAAGAAATGAATGAAGTTTATGGAGCTTTGAAGTTCATTTTCCACAGTTACATCAACCTACCTCATAACCTGAAACATATTGCATTATATAAAATGAACCAATGGTGGAATTTATTTATTGGTAATAATGCTTATTCACATGAAGAACAAGCTGAATATTTGCATAGTATTTTATTATAAGAGAATACAATTAACAGATTTTTATGTATATACAAAAGAAAAAGATAGTTGGTTTTTATAGAGATTTCATAGTTTAATCTACAATTTTTAGGGTTAAAACATCATAATCATCAAAGTCGTAGCAGGTCTTCTTTAAAATCAAGCCTTTGGAGTGGCAGCTGCAGTTTCACCTTTCTTAGCTCTTTTCTTATACGGCTTTCTCTCTTTATTAGGATCTTTGTTGTACTTTCTTTTTGGTTTCTTATTAGGGTCAGCGTCAGCAGCAGCTTTACCTTTCTTCTTTTCTGTGGTTGTGGCAGTAGTTGTGTTTGCACCAGTGCTAACACTAGTATTCACATCATCACCAGGATTAGCGGTATCATCAAGATCATCAAGGTCCTTATCATCATCATCGTCTTTCTCATAGTTCAAATTCTTTAAACTTTTTCCTTCACTGTTATCGAATTGCTTTCTTGCATCTGCTATGACTTTTTGTAATGATAATAATTCACCAACACGACCATGCTTAACAGGATCTCTCCTTAGAACAAATTTAAAGTCTTCCACTTTGATTTTTTGACGTCTTGTAGTCTTAGCATAAGCTGATGCTTCATGACACTAAAACTGGTTAGAACTTGGATCAAACTCTTCATTTGTGAAATACTCACTGTATCAATGACATAAGATATTAGAATATCTTCAAGAGTACTGACAGTCTCTGGCAAGGGATTTGCAACATCACCAAACGCATAGAGGAGAGATCTCACGTCGTTAGTGAAAAACTTTGTCTTCTTTCTCTTTCTTTCAGCCATTATTATTGATTTCAATTGAGATATACAATCGCAAAATGTTGTTGATGGTATTGTTGTGGATGCTTTTGCTGAATTCTGACAATTTTTTAAAAATCCGGATTTGGAAATGCACCGAGGGCTTTCTCCATAATAAAAAAACAGCGAATTTTTGCAGAGATGAGATTGCAGTAGTCAGTCATTTTGATGGTTTGAAACCAAAGCAGTTAGCTCTGGAATAGACCAAAAGGGAATCTAATTCTTGATAAGGCTGTCGTTCGCTGTACGGAATGTCGGTGAAACAGGTGAAGAAGAAGAAGACCAAAACCTTCACAGGCTGCGCAACGTGTCGTTCAAGAAAGATCAAATGTGACTTGGGGAAACCGTTTTGTAAGCGCTGTGAGAAGTCTGGGTTGATATGTGCTGGTTATCAGATCAATCTTTGCTGGTCAAGACCTATAAAATTTGACAAGTACGGCTATCAAATTCCTAACGGCAGTAAAGAAGATGGTAGTCCTGGTGGAGAGGTGGAAAATGAACGAAGCTTTCAAAGAAGAAATATAGACTTTGTCAAGTATGATCGAGAATATGAAACATATGAAGAAATGGATAGAGATCTTGGGCTTTTGCACAGTCCTGATTACTCGTTGATTGAAAATCTTCAGACTTGGATGCAAGGGCCCTTTGGTGTGTTTGAAGGTTTAATCAATATACCCTCAGATTTGATGAGAAAAAGAAGAAAATTGACAAAGACAAAGTACAGAAGCATAGAATCACCTGCTAATGGAAATGATAAGAAAAGTGTCACCCATTCACCAAACATAAGGCAGCTGTCACAACAAGTCCCAGATCAACAACAACAACAGCGGCAACAGTCAAAAACTCCTCAAGGAAATAATAACCCTCAACAACAACAGCTACAACAACTACATGCCGGCCCTGGGAATATTTTTGAAGAACAGAACAAAATCAATCTTAACAATGGATGGCTTTCCAATGAACTCCGATATGATGCAATGCTATCAGCAACAGCTGCTACGTTCAATGATAACTTCCATAATTTTGATTTTTTGTCACCATTTGCCAGTAATTCACCATTACCAACCCCAGGAAACAGCCACAACCATACAGACTCGTTGAATTTACAACCTGAGTACCCATTTGATAAAGACTTGTTTAATGTTTTGAGGTCACACCAAACCCTTGAACAAGCTCCCACACCCGGGATATCCATCAACAATGATTTACAACAACAACAATTAAATGATGGTGAAGTTGTGATTAGTACCTCTGAGTCTAATATGCCAGAGGATATTTTCAGAATCATCAATGTGCCAAGCATAGCTCAATTACCACCATCAGCCAATGTTACCAACACAGGATTACAAATCAATCCATTATCAAGGTTTTTACTGAAGTATTATATTGATTCAGTAGCAGATTTGATGACAGTTGTTGCATTTCCAAAAAATCCTTGGAAGACCATTTATTTCCCAAGAGCTTTAAGAGCATTAGGTGATATTAGTGGGTTAGGCAAAACAACAAACGCAAGAGCTTCACTGCTTAATGCATTATTGGCAGTTGCATGCTTCAACATTCAGTCAAGGTACGAGAAGGGTTCTAATGAGATGAAGTTTTTCTTAAACTTGGGTATTGAATTGAGATTACAAGCTGCGTCCTTCCTCAAAAAGATGTTGGAACCTGGTGTTAATGAATTGATGAAGAGTGAAAAATATAAAGACATTTTGACTGCTATTTTATCGATGAATACAATTGATATTGTGTGGGGAACCATGGCTGATTGTCAGTATCATATTTCTATATGTGAAGAAATTATATGCAAAAGAGTGAAGGAAAGACCAAACCTTAGTCATAAGGCAAAATTACTACACAGGATTTTTTCATTTTTGAAATTGGTTCAAGATTCTACAAATTTTGAAAACTTGAAAAATCCAGAAGCTAAACTGAAAGCTAAGATTGATGATATATTTATAAAGAACCATGATGAACAATTCAGCCCGGATGTTAATTTTTCAATCAATACAGATGAATTTCAAGATGGTGATAGATCATTGAAAACAAAAGAAGTGTCATCCTCATCCCCAACTCGTTCAACTTATTCACCAGCATTCATAGATGAAATAGCCTCAGCATCTTCAAATAACTCCAAGGTGTCTAAAGAGTTGTTATTGACAGATGCTTTATACGGGCTACCAAATTCATTAATTTTATTATTCAGTGATACTGTCAATCTTTTAAAAACCAAATTTTTGATTACAAATAATGCAGAATTGGACAGAGACTTGGAAAAGAAAAAGATAGTTTTCAAAAAGTTTAATGAATTTTGTCTTGGATTTGAAAGTAAGTTATTAAAATGGGAAAATGAATGGAATCTAAAAGATTCTGACTCAGATGAGTTTTTGAGTCATGCACATGAAGGTATTTATTATCATTGTATGAGTTTTTTCAACAGTTTGATTATTTATTATTTCACAATGGTTCGTGATTTGAATCATTTATTATTACAAAAATATTCATTAAATTGCATTGAATACCTTGAGAAGTTACAAGAACTGATTAATACCAAGAAAGTTAGAATGTTGCCATTATTTTGGCAAGGGTTCATTGCAGGGTGTTCATCAATGGATACAGTCTTACAGAATAGATTCAAAGATTGGGCTGCATCTTTATCTAAAACAGGTATGGGTTCATATTGGGGAGCAAGACAAATTATGTTTGAAGTTTGGAGAAGAAGAGAGTTGAAACAAGATAATGACAATTGGTTTAGTGTTCACAGAGATTGGGAAATGAATATAATGTTATCATGAAGATAGAAGACAAAAAAGAGATGAAGTTATTTATAAGATATGTGGTCAAATACAAAAGACCACTATGCTATTTAAAATATTTATGATGAGGCTAAAGACAGCTATGTACGAATTTCTAAAAAGCATTTACACAATTTACGAGCAGTAGTCTGTAGACTTTTGAATATCATAGTGATGCGCGTAATCTGTTGTACGTTATAAGTAATTGTGTTCGTGCATGTATAAGCTTTTTAGATCCTATTGACTCACAATAATTACTGAATCCGGTAGTAATTCGGAATCATTTCCAGGTGAAAAAAAAAACTTTTGGCAAGCAGCCGTTTGGGTTTTCTGATGAGCATGTAAGTAGTCATATGAATAACTCAACAAAATAAAAAAAAATACAGAGACTTCATCTTTTCAAATGTCTATATAAATCCATTAATATCACATATTCAATACATACCAACAAATGGATCACCAAAAGTCATCCAATCACATAATGAGTGAAATTGATCATTCAAGCCTTGGAACAACAGGTAAAAATGATGTTCAAACTTCAACAAATTCTAAAGAAGAAGAACAATACATTACCCCAGAATTCACACCAGAAGAATTATCTAAATTGAACAAGATTTATTTAAAGCTAGATCTTCGTATCATTCCAGCATTATGGTGTTTATATTTCCTAACATCATTTGGTTCTTCAGCTTATGGTAATACACTAACTATGAATTCAGAAAAGAAACATTCTTTAATTCAAACATTGAAGTTAACAACTCATGACACATCTACAGCTTCGGCCCTATACTATGTTGGTTATATCATTTTCGATGTTCCTATGAATATTGCAATGACAAAATTAGCGCCCCAAGCTTGGTTATCCCGTATTGTATTCACTGTTGGATTAGTTTATGCTTGTTATGCCGCTTTGGATAATGCTGGTGGAATCATTGCAGTTAGATTCATTAGCGGTGTTGCAGGTGCAGGTACTTGGCCTGGATTGAGTTATTACGTTAGTTTATGGTATCCTCCACATCGTATGACTAGAAGAATTGGTTATTATTTCACAGCGGCACAACTTAGTGCGAGTGCAGCTGGGTTAGTTGCAGCTGGGTTCCAAAAAATGGATGGTGCTAGAGGATTGGAAGGTTGGAGATGGTTGTTTTTGGTTTATGGTGTTGTTACTATTTTCGTTAGTTTATTATTATTAGTTTGGTTACCAGATAACGATGTTGATAGACCAGAATCAAGATTTGAGATTATAAATAAATTTAGAAAATTGAATGTCTATCCACTAACTGAAGATGAAAGAATTTTACATGAAAGGGAAATGTCAATGTATAATACTAAAGTGCATTGGGGTTGGAAGAAACTGGTTGAAATTTTCCTTGATATCAAATTATGGCCATTAATTATGATGTATTTTGGTGTTGTCGGTACTGGGTTTGGTCTAGCAGTTTTCGGTACAACTTTAATCAAAGCAGTCCTAGGAGTTTCATCTATAAATGTTAGTTTACTATATGCTCCAATTTGGTTATTCGACTTGGGTGCAATTTTGTTGATTACACCATTTTCAGATATTTTCAAAAAATTCAGACCTTTAATCTTTTCAGTTTCAACAGTTATTATCATTATTGGATTAGTTGTTTGTACATATGCTAAACACAAGTGGTCAAGATATGGTGGATTATTGATTTCAGGGTTTGGGTTAGGTCCAACAGTTCCAACTTGTATGTCAATGACTGCAGAGATTTTTGGAGCAAAACATGGTGATATTGGTGTCGCAGTTTCAAGTGCATTAGTTAGTGGACTTGGTAATTTAGGTTCAGTTATGGCTACGTATGCCTTATATAGTGGATGGCCAGCTGATAAGAAACGTACTTATGAATACTCAAACATGATGCTTGTTGTTATTTTAGGTGTTTCCATAATATCTGCAGGTGTTTCTACATTAATGAGTAGAAAAAGAAAGTAATTAATTTTAATAAAAGGACAAAGTGTTTTTAATTTTTTTCTATGGTTTTGAAATCGTAACTGAGTCACCATTCTTTTTAGAACTTTCCAAAGCAGCAGCAATGATTGCCAAATGATGATAAGTAACTTCAGGAGTTGATCTAATTAACGATTTATCTTTTTTAGTAATAGCTTCATACAAGTTTTCAAATTCAGGACCAACACCACCAGTTGAATCTTCATCAAATTCTAATACTTCTTGATCATCAATAGTTTCACCATAATGACCAACTAAAGTTGTCAATTTCTTGTGAGCATTCTTTGCACTGAAATCTAAAGTGATTGAACCATTAGCACCGTAAATTATAAAAGAACCATGTTTTTCCACAGCACCAAAAGCTGAACCATAAGTGAAAGTACCAATAACACCTGATTGTAATTTGACAGTTGAGAATAAAACATCATCAGTGCCAGATTCTTTACGAACTTGAGTAGTATGTGCACTAATATTTTCAAAATTACCCAAAACTTGTGTTAATAAGGCCAATTGATGAACACCACCATCAGACAAAAATCCACCAATGTGTTTTGGATGTTGTCTCCATGAAGTACTTAGATATTTATTTTTTTGATAAAAAGGACCAGTTGATCTATAAGTGAAGGAAACAATTGGACCAATTTTATCTAATCTTTCCTTAATCAAATCAACAGCTTTGAAATAGATCCAATTTTCAGCAATCAAGATAGGAATATCAGTAGATTTATCTAAAGCGACAATTTTAGCAGCATCATCTAAATCAGCAGCGATTGGTTTTTCAACAATGATTGGCTTACCTGCATCAACTGCAGCTTTAATGGTGGAGTAATTATTTTCAACAGGTAATAATGCATCAATGAAATCAACTTCTGGATCTTTCAAGATTGAATCAATTGAATCATGAACATGAGATGGCTCAATATTAGCCTTTGTTGCAAATGTTTCAGCTTTAGCTTTGGTTCTATTGAAAGCAGCAATTGGTTTGAAGTGTGATGGGATTGATTGTAAAGTTGGTAAATGTTTATCAGTGGCAAAGATACCTGTACCGACGAAACCTGCACGTAGAACTGGATCAGACATTATAAAGAATTAGTTAATTGTTGAATTGAATTGATTTGATTTGGTTTTGTTGATGAATCATAGAAAAGGGCATTCAAGGGTTTTTATATTCTTTTTCCAACTCGAGGTTTTTCCGATATTCGTGATTTCCCCGTGAAAATCAACAAAGGCACAAACAATTAACCACGAACTAAAAACTCTTTAAAAAGGCACAGTTTTCAGATTGTATTATTAATTAACAATTCTCCCTCTTTAATTGACAAATCATCCTCCATTTGGGATTGGTATTGGCCATTCTTAGTCATAGTTGTGCTGTTGACTTATGTAATTCTGGCTCTTGTACCTTCCTTTGAGCTTTGATTATTGCCTCAGTTAACTGGTGACGTTTCCAAAATCATTAGGCCGACGTGTACTTGAACTAAACGGTTCACAGTGGACCATCGGTGTTATAGGGAGTTATATGGAGTTAATAATAAATAAGTGTGCTTTCGACGTTTGATCAAAATTATGATGGTGATGTTTGTTTTAATTTGGAAGGTATTTTTAACTATGATGGTAATATCAAGTTATTACCGCATTGGGAAGTCTAGAAACACATATAGCAATTCAACCAATTAAATCACTCCAACGAGGTTTTTGAATCTTTATAAAGTTACGAATGTTAATTTCAATTGAGTTCTATCAGACTTATAAAGTTCTATTCTTGGTGAATTATGTTCTTTGTTTTGATTGCTTATGCAAAAGTCTGTTTTGCTGAGGTGAAGTCATGAGCAAGTTCAACGGTTGCCCAAATTTCAATCCATCAACAAAGTTTAATGGTTGTAGTAGTAGTTGATAAGGGGCTAAGCTATTACACCTTTGTGGTTGAGTAATTCATGGTCAGATTTCTGTTTAACAAAATGGTGTGATGCTGGAACCAGTTCAACAGCCGTCGTTCCCTTGATTACCCCAGATCCAATTCGAATGGTTCAATTTTGGGGCTAGCCAGAATAGAGTATTAACTCAAGCCATTCTTGGGTATAAGCTTCAATACAATAGAAGATGAATAGGATTATGTGTATGTGTAGCTCAAGACAGAAGGCAAGATGTGGAGAGCAATAACGTTGTATTCTGCCTTGATATCCAAACCTTTGACAGATCAATTTAATACGCACACCGTCTTATTCATCAAATGTGATGGGCTATTACTTAGTACTGATCTGTTGATATATGCACCCCATGAGATTAAAATCAACAAAAGAATTTTAACCTTTCACTGGAAGGTTCGTCAAAGGATGTATATAAGATTGAAATTTCCCTTAAAGAAAGAATTCGTACAACCATCGACATTAACCATCGATTAATTGAAAGATGAACACAATAGATACCTCATTCGCATATGATTACGATAATAGTAACAGAGAGAACAACATGAGTAACTCCATAAGTAGCTACAACAGCTCAAGCTCTCCAAGAAACTCAAGATTTGAAATATATTTTGATCAATACAACAAACAGATCAACTCACCTCTTAATGCTAGATTGATGTACTACAAAACATGTCCAAGGGCATCATCAAGAGTTGGTAACTTTCATTCAGAACAATCATCTCCAGTATCTTCACCTAGAAACTCTACAATCCAACCAAATATCCCTCAACAACAGCAACAACAAAACCCCCAAATCCCACCACTATTGAGATCAGTATCATTGCCATCAATGAACAAACAACAAACTAATACCCCTTCAGAGGCAAACTCACCAATTCAATCACATTCAAGAAAATCTTCAGTCTTATCAAACTGTACACACTCCTCTTCAAATCATAGAGATCGTTCAGATAGTTGTGTTTCATGTGAAGATAGTATCATTACAATAAATAACAATAGTAGCGGTGGTCAAAGTGGAAATGATGAGGATTCTTGTAGAAGACATCATCATAGAAGGGAAAGTATTGCCATTAAATTCAAGAATCCACAGATTATAGATGACGAGGAAAAGGGAGGTATACCTGAAACAGATGTTTTCGAAAGCTTGAAGGGTTACGAAATGAAGTATTGAGGTTCACAGGGTGGATGCTTTTGCATTGGAAAGGTACTAAGCTGGTATTGCTATGGTTTTAATTTAATGATTTAATGTTTTCGTCATTTTTGGTTTAAAGAGTTTAATAATTTGCATTTTTCAAGTTCCTAGCTGTCGTTTAATTGCTAGGTTGTCATGTTGTCATATAGGTTTTCAATATTAACATTAAGTTCATAATAGTCCTGTTGAATATGTCTTTTGATGTAGTTGTGAACAATAGTTGCTTTGAACATGTTGCTCGAGGTTTTTCAATAGAAATAACAAACTCATTCGAAATCCAGCTTGGGAACTTGAGTTGTCGACTTCTGATCTATAATCTTCTATAGTCGTAACTTCTTTTTGATCTAGTTCTTCGATGTAATTGTATCATGAAATTTCAGTAAACTGTCGCTCTATTCACGATTTCTAAAACACCCCAAATTCATCTAATTTTAACCATTAAATCCAACATTGAGGTACACAGACTCTCAAACATAACAGCATTATATTCGAACCACATCTTCACTATATTCAAAACAAATTAATCAATTACTTTGATTAAATTGAAACCCATTCGTTTCTTGACTTCCTAAATAGGAAATAAATATGTCATTCACTTCGATTTCCACCATCTTCCTAAAATTCCCCGGCGGTAGACTAGCGAAAAAAAGTGTACACATCAACAACTACAAAGAACTATAATTTAAATAGTCAACAATACAATAGATGAAACCATGGTCAAACTCAATTCAGTGGATTATGATATTGGCTATCCCATATATGGCGCCAAGTTCCTAAATGACAAAACGCTATTGGTTACTGGTGGAGGTGGTGAAGGAAATCAAGAAATATCAAATAGACTTACTGCTTTAACAATCAACTTAACCAAGAAGAAGAAACCTATAAAGAAGTTTAGAGAATTGAAACTAAATGATGAAAATGATGCCCCAAGTGTCTTGGATTCAAATAACAGTATTATATTGCTGGGGTGTAATGAAGGTCAAACTTCAATTGCAAATGGTCATAATCATAATTTACAAAAATTCATTTATATCAATGATCATTTGAAATATATAACTTCAACTTCATTAGAATCTGAAATTTCAAAATCAATCTATCAGAAATTCATAACAATTTCCAAAGATGGTTCAATTGCTGCTATTGCTTCAAGTAAAATTCCAACAATTATTCATATTTTGGATCCAGTAAATTTATTTGAGAAATATGAAATTGAAACAAATAATGATGTTAAAGATCTTGATATAAGTCCTGATGGTAAAAACCTAACTTATATCACAAAGACAAACACAATAGAGATCATTTCCATTATAACTGGAAGATCTTTATTACGTCGTGTGGATTTCAATGAGAATATAAATCTAAATAAAGTTAGATTTATTGACAATAATCATGTTGTATTAGGAGTTTCATCCAAAAATGGTGATGGGGTTTCATTGATCAAATTATCATTGTCATCTAAATTGAAAACTGTTAAAGAAGTCCAAGTTTCTAAAAAAATAAAATCAATAACTTCAATTGATGTTAATTTACAAAATGGTGTATTGGCAATTTCAGGTAATGAAAATTCAATAATCTTATTCAAATTACAATCTTTAAAGAAGATCAAAGTTTTTAACAATGTTCATTCCTTGTCAATTACAAAATTGACATTTTCACCAAACGGTTCATTTTTAGCTAGTGTTTCTGTTGCAAATACAGTTAATATTATTGAAATTCCGAACGGGTTAGGTTTAGAGACTCATCATATTTATAATTTTTTCAAAAGATCTTTCCAATTGTTGATAGTTGCTATTGTTTTACAATTAGGTTATTTATACTATCAAAATAGATCATTAAATACTAAAAAATTGGACTTTAGTGAATACTTCACTTTGAATCAAAGGAGTGTTACAACGGGGCCTACAAGTTTGTCACCAGGCTTATACGCAGAGGAAACTAAAGCCCCAATCACAACAAGCTTCATCGAGGAAGAGGACGCAGATGATGAATATGAAGATGATGAAGAAGAAGAGATCACCTCAACCGAACTTGAACAAACTAGTGAACCAGGAGTGGTAACAGAAACTACAACTGAATCCCTAGAACCAATTGTTTCAACAGTGACCGAGGAACCAGAAGTTACTGCAACTGAAACTAGTATTATCTTGGAAACAGCTTCAAGCACAAAAGTGGAGACAGAAACAGAAACAGTACAAGAGACAACTTCAACTACTGAATTAAGTGTTGAAACAACAACTTCAACTCAAGAACTAAAAGTATTACAACCATCGGAACCAACAACTTCATCTTCGACAGTCCAAGGCTCTTCAGAAACAGAATTTGCAACATTAGATCATAGATTTAAGGATGATGCTATACCACCAGAGAATGAAATTGGGTCAATAACTTCACAAATTCCAATAAGCTCCTTAACAAGTGCACCTGCTGATTCAACAAGTTCAAGTTCCAAGAAGAAAAAGAAGTTGAAGAGAAAATCATTAAAGAAAAAGAAGAAGAGATCAAAAACGTCAACTTCTCCAATGACAAGTGATGACGAATCAATTCTTGATTTAACAACCACCGAGAGCTCTATCAAAACAGAGGAATCTCAGGTCACCAAAGAACTTCCTGTTTCAACCACTGAATTATCATCATCATCTATGACAACTCCTGAAAGTTTATTGAAGGAAATTGATTCATTGACTTCCAAACTAGCCTCCAAATTGAATGATTATGCTTCATCATCATCTACAGTGTCATCATCCACAACTGAAGAACTTCCAAAATCAATCGAAACAACCACCCAATCCGTTGAATCTTCAACACCATTAACAAGCTCATCATCAGAACTCCAGATCTCTGAACAAATAAAACCGTCATCATCAGGAGTCGCAGGTACATCACCATTAGAATCTGAAATTAGTACGCCATTTGAAGCTGAGGTCATTGAAACTCCTATTGTGGAATCAAGTAAAGAACCAGAAGAATTTCAAAGTGACGAAGTCCCTGAACCTGTTGTGGAGTTGGAAGATGCTATTATACCTGATACTGCTAAGGAAGCTGAAAGTGTTCTCACTGAATCTCAAAGTGCTGATGTGGAACCTGTTGTAGAGACTTTTGAACCTCAAGTTGAGACTGAAGTGCTTAATAATGATCCTGCCGAAGAAGTTTCCAGTGATGAAGATGTTGCTATCGATGAAGTGGATTCAAGTGACACAGAAGGTCTTTCAAGTGACGAAGAGGTTGTAAGTGGTACAGAAGATGTTTCCAGTGATGAAGAAGGTTATGAAACTGGTGTTGAGGAAAGCTCTGATGATGAAGGTTATGAAACTGCCCAAGAGTCTGAGATTACAGATGAAGCTGAAAGCGATGATGGTTATGAAACTGCCCAAGAATCAGAACCATTAAATGAAGTTGACTCTGGAGATGAAGGTTTTGAAACAGCAGATGAGTTTTCAACAACAGATGGTGATTTGGAAACTTTAGAAGATGCTGGGTTCGATGATTATCGTGCTGCCGTGACCGAATTTGAACAAGTTACCATTACTAAAACAGAATCAAAGCCAACCGATGAAGTAATTGATGTAACAGATACACTAGATGTTGAAAGTGATACAGAATTTGTGGAAACTGAGGAAGAATCGGACACTGAAGCACTTTTATCAGATTCAGAATCAGAGTCGGAATCAGAATCAGAATCAGAAACTGATGCTCCTGAAAGTGAAGAGTCTGAAGAAGCTACAACTGATGAGGAATCGGGAGATGAATATGAATCAGATAGTGAAGAAGAAGCAGAAGAGGATTTGACAACTGAATCAGAGTCAGAAGAGGTTGAAACAGAAGATGAAGGTACTGGAGATAAGGGATCTGGAGATGAAGAATCTGGAGATGAAGAAGAAGATGTAACTGAACAAGAAACAGATACTGAAGCTCAAGAAGATGATGAAGAAATACATACAACTACAACCACTATTAACGTGCATGATGAGTTATAAACACAACCCTAAAAGGTTTGACATTTGATATTTACTTTGATGTATTAGATTAGAGGAATATATAAAGCTGTGAATATGTTTTTGAAGTTGCGGTGTAGCTAATTCAATCTTGCTAGTCGATAAAGCACTACATCATACAAATTTCATTTCAAATTAAATTTCAATCAAACAAATTAACTATAAAAAACACACTTGTAACCTTATGCTAGCAAAAATAAAAAATCTATTGTACAAAAAATAACACTGTCCATAATATACATTTTAGATATCCCAATAAATCAAACATTTATAGTTGAACTTCTTTTGTTTTCAGTCAAATCATCAGTGCTGAAAAATTTCTCACTTGAATCTAAACTCTCTTTAATCTCTTCTAATAAACCATCTAAATTTTGTTCAATTTTTAAATGTTCATGTTGAGTCTTTGTTGTATCCTGTGTATCATCACCTTCATTTGATTCAATTAACTCTGGTAAAGATTTCTCAGAATTTGCACTAGTATTTGCAGAACTATAATGATCACCCATAAAACTTTCTCTATTTTCTGATAATAATTTGTTGAAATCAGCTGTATTACAATCATCCAATTCTTTTGACTTTTTCTCTTTTTCTTTATCATCCTTGGAATTAATAGTTGATGATGATCTTTCTCTTGATGAGCCAAGATCTGCTGATGAGCCACTAAATTGAGCTTCTCTCAAAGCCTTTGGAGTGTATGGAATTTCTGGAATAGTTTCAATATTAACAACCTCTAGTTCTGGATTATTCATCAACAAGGCGGATTTTCTTGAACTATTATTACCATCAGTACCAGAGCCATCATTGATATGTGATAATGAACCTGAAGAACCACTACTTGGAAGGTTTGATAGCTGATCACTTGAACCTTTCTTGAAAAATTTAGGTAGGGCTTGAGTAATAGGAGAACTTGATGGTGAAAAATTCTTAATACTTGATTGAACATTTCCAGTAGCAACAGCTAATTTTGAAAATCTTTTAGGTCTATCTAAAGATCTGTTTGAAGAATTTGGTGAGAATGGAACATTTGGAGAGGTTGGTGAATGCAATGGTTTTGTAAAGTTGAAATGTGGTGATGGAGATGGTTCAAATCTTTCAACAGTTCTAGTTGGTGGTGTTGAATATTTGTTCTTGTTTCCCAATTGAGGCTGTTGAGGTAATTGTTGAGGACGTGAAACAGGAGCTCTTGGTTGCTTTTGTGGAGATTGATGTTGAAGTTGAAGATATGGATGTGCATTTGGGGAAGAACCTTTCTTGAATCTCATTGGTGAACCAACAGGAGATTTTGGAACATCATAATTCTTTGGTGATTGAAGAGGTCTTGGTAATAAAACTTTTGGCAATTCAACTTCACCCAATTGTTTAGCATTTGTTGAATCCAAAGAGTTTGTATTTTGTTCATCTTTCAAAACAGGCGGTGGAATGTTTAAAGTTTTAGAAACTTGCTGAGGTGGTGTTGCAATTTTTTGCTTTGGCAAAACTGGAGGTTGAACAGGGGATGAAGATGAGGAAGCAACAGATGGTTTCTCAATAGGAAGTGGTTTATCTGGAGAGGCAGATGTTGAGGAGTTAACAACTGGTGAATGTTTAACAACTGGTGATTCTTTCAATTCTTTTGAAGCAACAGATATTTTGGATTCTGATTTGAACGACTCATTGGAATCTGGAGTATCAATAACAGCATCAACTAATGAAGGAAGCTTTGGAGATGAAGGCTTGGAGATTGGTTGCTTTGTAACTTGGAGCGGTTGTTCAAGTGACTTTGCTTGATCGAGTGAATCATTTTGCTTTTCAATTGATTTCTTACCAGCAGTTCTTGGAGAATGATCAAGTGAAGGTCTACCAGATGCAGCATTTTCAAAATGTGATATATCTCTAGGTGGACTTGGATGTGATATCTTCTTCAAATCTGATTTCTTTGGACTTGATCTCTTAGTGTGTCTTGGAACTGGTGATTCATCATCATCAACTTGTGTTTCCTTTTTCCCACCTAACAAACCACAACCTTTACCTTTTGGATTCAAAGCAGGCAATAATTCCTTTTTAGCAGTAGATGTACCACCGTTCAACTCCTTCTCTTTCACATTATCAATAACATCATTGGCAGAGCTTGGTGGAGTCAAATAACGATTGTTTGTTGAAACTTTATCATCTGAAGTAACAATCAACCAGTCACAATCACCAATAGTCTTGGTTAATTTCAACACAACAGTATTTTGCAAGAAACCCAAAAATGTTTCATATTTCCAAGCATTAATAAACCATTCACTAATTTCCAACTTTGAAACTCTAACAGGATTACTATCAACATTTTCCATGCTTGAATTGAAGTTAAAGTTGATGGTATCAGCAACAAATGATTCATTTTGACCTTGAGGATCAGCACCACCTTTATCAAACCCATATCTATTGAAATCATTGATGAAAGTTGAGATTAATTCTTTATTTTCAAAGAGGGTACCGTTTTTCAAATTTTCTCTAAATTTATTGATATCATTACCAACTTTGAAATTATCAAAGTTCAAGTTCTTATCAAATTTCAATAAATAATTCTTTGATGATTTGGAGAAAAAATGTTCAATAATCTTGTGTGGGTTAATTTCAAACTTATCCAAGAATTTGTTTTCAAATTTTGTGAATGTGTGATTTGAAGAATAGATTCTTGAGGTTGCATTTGAAGCGTTTGAGATCAACTTAAAATAATTAGTAGTTGCTAATTCAGGATCACTTGGAACAGTTAAAGTTAATGCCTTTTGAGTAACTGGTTTATAAGGTTTTGGTGGATATTCATCAATTTTGAACAATTCCAATAAAGTTTTATGGCCAAAAGTTGGTTCCTCTGATAAACTTCTCAAGTAGGAAACAAATATTTGATAAAATGAATAACCTCTCTTATAATAAAATCTTTGCAGTTCATTCAAATCATCATCATTTTGGTTGTTTGAAGGTTTGAACTCATCTCTATTGAAACAAATTTGACCAGCTGTAAATATCAAATCAATTGCAACATTTAGATCCAAAAAATAGTTATCTGCAAAAATGTATAATAAGATTTCCAAAAATTCAAACAAGACACATGAATGGTTATGTGAAGGTAAATATGTTGGAAGAACCTGATAAAACGATTGCTTATTTGAAAAATTTGATTTCTGTTCATGTGTTTCAAACTTATGGAATGAAGTCCAAGGTATTATAGCTTTTGGTAACAAACTCCATATGATTCTAAGTGACAAAATCAAAGTAATCCAAGTTGATTTTCCAATCAATTTTTCCAATTTTTCACCGGTAAAAGAACAACCTTCGTATGGGAACAAAGATCTAATAAAATCATTAGCTTCTGATAAATCAGACTCATCAAATTGACCAAGACTTGGCTTGAAGATATCATAGATCATGTTTTGTTCTTGTTTAGAAGCCTTTGAGTTCGATTTGATCTCCTTGAATCTTCTTTTCAATTCCATAGTTAAGTAATGAATAACATATCTGGCAGAGTTGTGATTGATCTGATTAGCAGCTAAAACATTAAAGTTTTCTTTCAAAAGAGAGCAATTGTTGAACTTGTCATAATCATAGATGTAAAAAAATTCTGATTTCAATCTGTTGTTCTTAGCTTCGATAATAAGGTCCAAATGGTTAAAATCTTTACCATTGACAACGTTGATTTCCTTGCCAATTGATTTTTCAGCAGTTGTTTCAAGTTTCACATTATCAGCGGCATGGTGAGCATTAGCAAATGATTGTGATTTGGGGATGAACTTTGACATCTTTTAATTAGCAACAGTGTAATAAGGGTTTATGGACGTAGTAGGGCGGCTAATTAGAGTCAAGATGGGTAGTAATATAAAAGAGTGACTGATCAGTTGGATTGATTTGTGGTGTTGTAGTTGGTGTTTGTTTTTGCGGTTGTGAAAGGGGACGAGTAGAAAAATATGATCGTTTGGTGTATTTAAGTGCTGGTTCTTGTTAGAAAGACGGTGTTTTGGGATTGTTTTATGTTTTTCTTGAGACACGATCAAATTGCAAAACATTCCAAAGTGAAAAAAAACAAAGGGCGTGTTTTAACGACAAGCGAGATTCAGAGCAAACAGCGTCTGAGACTTGGAGATCTAGGATGTTCAGGGCGAGATCTGATTGGCCACAAGCCATGAAAGTACTTCTATATTTAAACCAGGAGTATTCCTCAATGATACACACAAGTTATCTACGACCATTAATTGCTACAAAGAACCCTATTCAACGCGAGATTCGAGCTTAAAAAATTATGTGCCTGGTACCTGATTCAGTTCTGTTCGCGACACTTATGAAACAAAGTTGGATAGAGGCAGATTTGGATACACTTGTTTCATCTATTCCAATTGTTGGTTACCTTTTGTTACGCTGATAAGTTCTGCTACATCAGATATGCTTTCACACTCCAGATACTGGTTACAGCGTGTGTCAATTGTTCCAGATCCACGATTTGAACTTGTTGTGTTCACTGTTGATCCTTTTTTTCAAAGGGCCAGCCAAAAAAAAATAGTGGTTGATGTGGAAACCAGTCAGGCAGACCAGCGTAAACATAACCATATCTCAAAAGAGATATTTCCGAAAAAGGTGAAAATACAAAACGGTTGTGTTTTCTTTTTTGAAAAAAAAAAAATATAAATCTAATCAAGAGTCTTTATAGTCAAGTCTCAAAGCTAGTTTATCGATACCAAGGTTGTAAAAATGGTTGACTACAAAGGAAAATTGGTGCTGGCTCCTATGGTCAGAGCTGGGGAGCTTCCAACAAGATTATTAGCCCTAAAATATGGTGCTGATTTGGTCTGGGGTATGTTTGACATATTAATAACTCATCTTGTTCAATACTAACATGTTTCTCAGGGCCTGAAATCATTGATAAAAAACTTTTAACCTGTGATAGAGTGGTAAATGAAAAACTAGGCACTGTAGATTTCCTCTCAAGAGATAAAACAAAAGTTCCAGGTGTAACAAATTTAATATTTAGAACTCATCCATCTTTAGAAGACTCAAAATTGATTTTCCAAATGGGGACTGCTAACCCAGATTTGGCTGTTGATGCTGCTAAAATAATTATAAATGATGTTTCTGGAATCGATATAAATGCTGGTTGTCCAAAACATTTCTCAATTCATGCAGGTATGGGTGCTGCTTTATTAAAGACTCCAGATTTATTAGAATCAATATTGATAAATCTTGTTGAAAAAATCGGGAAACCAAATAATAAACCAATAAGTGTGAAGATAAGGCTTTTACCAGAAGAAGAAGACTCCTTAAATTTGATTGAAAAATTGTTGAAAACGGGTATAACAAATCTTACAGTGCATTGTCGTACTCAGTTAATGAGAAATAGAGAAACTCCTATTAGAGATTATGTTGATAAAATTAAAGCAAAATGTGATGAGTATAAAGTATCATTCATAGTGAATGGCTCAGTTTTAAATCGTAAAGATTTCAATAAATTACAAGAACAATATGGCACAGATGTTGGTGGAATGATTGCAACTACTGCCGAAGAGAACCCAACATGTTTTAGTGAATCTCCATTAAATTGGCCTAGATTGTTAAGAGAATACACTGAAATTGCACAAAAGTTTGGAAATTATGAAGGGAATACTAAATATATGTTGACAAGAATGACACCTGGGAGATCTTTTGCCTACCAATTGATCGCAAGAGCCAAAACCTATGAAGAGTTTTATAAAGTATTTGATAAGCTAAATGAAGACGGTACAGAAAAGAAATATGAACCAAAAGTTGTCAAAAAGGAAGAAAAGGAGACAAGAAAACACAAGGTAGACAACGAAGAACCATCAGATCCAATTCCTGAAAAAAGACAACAGTTGGAGCAAATTTCAGCATAGAAAGCCACATTAAATAGTTATCAAGCTTTTCTCATAATAAATAGTTTACAACCTTTGGGTTTCCTTCTTTTTTTCTTTGAAATCTTTGATATCTCTTTACACAATGTATTACTTCCTTATAATGCAAACAATATATACACATGAACATAGAACTTTTAAAAACAGTTCCCTTTCGCTAAACAATAATGGTAAAAAAAAAGGCATAAAAATTCTTCATTCATTCCTATCTCATTCTAACATACATTCTCTTTAATTTTTTAGTTGATTAATTCATTCAATTCATGAACAGTCCTCTTACGGTCAAATCTAGGCTAGCAAAGCTTTAAGACCACACCAAGCAGCAGCAGCACCGGCCATTAACCCAGAAGCAATACCAGCAGGTTTCAACCCTTTAGTAGATTTGAATAAAGCACCAGAGATTGCACCAGCAGCAACAGAATTCAAAGCATCATGTTTACCTCTAACACCATCGATAGTACTATCAACTAAATTATAAGTTAATGCTAAAACACCTGCAGTATTACCTAAGAATGGACCACGTTTGGTAACATGATTTAAAACAGTGTTTAATTTTAATTTACCTGGAGAATTTGCAGGAATGTTTTTCAAACCTTCAAAAAAACCATATGAACCACCAAGACCTAAACCTAATAAATAAACAGCACCAGTACCATAACATAAATCATCTGTCCAACCTCTTGAAGGAATCAAACCTTGTGCACCTTCTAATGTGTTTAAGTTTTCATCTTCTAAATCTAAATATTCAACACCTTTTTCTAATCCTGCTAATGGATGTAATCTTGAAGTATCTAAACCACCTGGAGTCGATATGATTGATGAAACATCAGTTATTGAGTTTGGATCAAATCCCAAATTGTTATTTATTGGTTGTTGTTGTGTAGATTGTGGTTGTTCATCCTTTTTAGAAGATCCAAATAACCAAGACATTATAGTAGTATGTATGTATTATATTATATTGATTGATGATTCACAATTGATATTATGCTGAAAAAAACACTTGTTAGAAAAACTTGAGATGGAGAATTTTGGTTTGCAAGATTTTTTTTTAATATGTACAGAAATCTGCTTTGAACACTTTTCAAACACTCCAAATAGACAAGAATTAACTGAGTAAACCACAGATGAATTTCAACTTGAACTTTCTAGTGGCCATTCACCGCTTTTTTTTCTGATCGCTTCTTTCACTCATCGTCAAAATAATTTTTCAGGAAATTTTGGGTGTGGGAGTCCGGTTAACGCCTTAACTTAGTGGATATGGTAACGGGACACACCATAGTAACTAAACTACAAAGTATAAATGCTTTGAATATTACAACATTGAGCAGTCTGTTTCGAATATTTAGCGAAAATATAGATGACACGGAGCAGTATTTATATTTGCTATGGACTTGTGCTCCTTCAGCTAGATTTATACCACTGTTCAATGACACATTGTCAGCTTAGTTCAACCTCTCGAAACGAGAATTGATTTGCTTGGGACTTGCCGTTGAAGTTATACTCAGATGTCCATATGAATATGACTTATTGACTGACATCCGAGCTTGAAGCACTTGGGGATTGTGAGAAGCATTTCCTTGTGTTAATGAAGCTGGTGCAAATGGTGGTTCTGAGAGCACACTTTAATAGCTAGACAACAATTTTAAGGTCACTCATTCAGATTCTTTCTGGTTTAACAATTCAATATCAACGACATCATTTTCATTAACTACCTCTGGTGATTCCTTCTGTTCACCATCACCATTCTTCTCTGTTGTTTCAAGCCCAGATAACAATTTATCCAAAGAAAGTTGAATATCTTCAGCTTTTGCAAGTAATTCATCTCTCATTTCTTTAGAGACTTTCACGCGAGCACCCTCTTTACTATAATCAACCTGTTCCAATATTTGATATTGTTCTTCAATAGTTTTCAAATCTAACACCCTCTTATGCAATAACCACAACTCTGTCTTGAAAGAATTATCAGAATCCGAGCCAGAGTTTGAATCTCTAGCTTTCTCCAGCTGTTGTTGTAGTTTCAAAATCAATTCATATACTTTCGTTAATTTAGGATTCTTATTTTCGTATCTCTTATCTAATTTCAAATCTTTGTTGACATCATTTTTGAACTCCAGTCTTTCTTTATTATAATCAAGTGCCATCCGTTCAGGTTTGCTTAGACTTTCTGGATCTTTGTTTTCAGCTGTTGTAATAATTTGGTTCAATTTGATTCTTGCATGTTGGATGGTCAAACCTTCGCGATCATCCAAATTATAATGTGCATTATAACTCTTCACAACTTCGTTCCAAGCATCTAATTTTGGTTTAGAGCTATAAACTCTGAATCTTTGAATTAATTCAATCAACTTTGTCTTCTGGTCGGTTGTCAAAATTGTATATGAGGCCTTTCGGCATGTCTTTGGGGAATTTGTAAGATTATCAGCGACAAAAGTATGTGTGTGACTAACAGGCACCGTTGTTGAAATTGTAGTTAGGTTTGGATCTGGGGAAGTGGATTTGGGTGGTGTATTTGCAAGTTGGAACTTCATGGTGTTTGGTATGTTAAGTTTCTGTCTTTTTGGCTCTCTGAACACACCAGATGAAGATTGTTCATAATTCACAAACTGGAACGTTGTGTTTGGTTGATATTTCTGACCCTTGAACATGATTTTTGAATATTAAGGTAGTACAGGATGACAAGTTAATAGATTAATACGCCAAAAGGCTGGGTTTCTTTGAGTGTTTTGATGATGGTTTGTTTACGTTTTGCATTTCGCAAGCTTTTTTATTTATGCTGAAGATTACGTAAGTTCAACCGAAAAAAAACAAGATCGAACTGGCTTTTGGATTTTAACAACGTTGACACCACCATTTAAGAAACCAGATAATTGATGAAGATCATGTCACTTGAGATTGAGACCAGCCTCTCCAAACTAAAGGAATACAAAAAAGAATTGCTTTCCAACTTCCATAAATTTGATGATTTCAAAGATGATGAAGTAAGAATCAATATTTTGAACCTGATCAACAATTTCCATGAAACACTAGGATTCTTGAAATCAGAGCTCCAATTCGAATTTGAACTTGACCTTTCTAAACCAATAAGGACAAAGAGCGGTAAGCTACTTGAATATGTCACAGAGTATGATAAAGATGATCGATTTCTGATAAGTTTCAAAAAAAATTTCATAAGCAAACAACTTGACATCAAAGAATCACATTTGAAAAGATTCCAGAAATTGAAGACAGAGAAATACACTCCAAAGGAAAAGGAATCATTGATAAACAAAGCAGAGACTACATCCATTGACGATGCTTCAGTATCAACTAATAGCAAGATCATGACAACAACAAAAAAGATCACATCCAAATTATCACAATCAAGCCAAATATTGCAATCTTCTCTAGTTCAATCCCAATTAAACATGGATGAGTTGACAATACAGAATGATTCCTTGACTTATTTATCTGATAAATATGGGTATTTGAAAACCGTGTTGGAGAAATCAGATGGTTTCATAAATGATATCAAATTGAGTAGTGAGAAGGACAAGAAAAGGATGTATTATACCTTGATTTTCTTTGGATTATGTGTTTTAAGAGTATTTTGGAGAAGATTGTTCAAATTGCCTGTCATGTTTGTTTTCAATATCATTTTCTATTTCATGAAGTTGACCTTAGCAACAATGGGACTTATTTCATCAAAAAGAGTCGAAGTTGATTCCATCAGGCCCGAAACCCAATCAAGTATTCAACAATTTGCAACAGTAACAACAGAGTCCAGTACTCTATCTGACCCAATTTTTGTTTCGAGTGCAACTGAAATAAGTGATGGTACTGGTGTTGTTCAAAGTGAGACACTAGACACAGAGGATAGTGAGTTTGATGAAGCATTATCTAGGATAATTGATGAACTTTAGATGCTAAAGTACTTATAATAAATGACTGCATTGGATTGTTGACTGTATTGGTTGGTGTTGGAACGCTTCGCCTTTGTTTTTGAGCTTTATAACTCAAATTCAGCCCTGTTTTCAACTTGATGATTTAGTTCAACGAAGTCATATCATCAGTTCCCTCAGGATGCTCTATTTTGCCATGTATTCTCATGGATTCAACTCAAAACGGCTTTGCAAAATGTCTTTTTAAGTCTATCAAAGAGTTGTCTTTGCAGGTTAAAACTAGGCTGCACTAGGCACTACTTCAAGACTCAAGTTCACAAAAATACTCAATCACACTCATCAGCAAGAAATGATCCACCAGACCAGAATCAGATGCCCCACTCACAAAAACATTTTCCAACACTTTCAGCTTAGGTTCAACAACTTCAACGTGGATTTTTCCGAAAAGCATAGCATGTCGGCTAAATGAGCTGGCCCTAAGAATAAGGTTCAATTTTTAGCCCAGAAATTAGAATGTAGTGTACACAAATAGCCTAACCCCTTCAAAGATTTCAGGAAAAGTTGATCATGAGATAGTTAATATCAACAGCTATTCACCCTAAAAACAGACTAGAAATCTTGAATGTGTATGTGCTTTCATTTTTCATTTACCCATAGGACCCGGTGCTGCGGCCATCTAAATCTTTTCTAGGTTCGACTGCACCCAACCAAGCTCGTTACTATACGTCCTACGCCTTCGAATTTTGTACCATCGTCGAGCGTTTGAACAGCTTTCGACATTTTCTTTTGCTTTGAAACATTACACAAAATCGTAAAATTGCTGGTCGGCACGGGCCTCTGTTAGCCTCACAATTAACATCATCAGTTTTTGAATCTTGAACAAGCCATTCACGAGATCCCAGACGACAGGCCGGCTATTATATTCAACTGCTACCCCAGTTGGAATTTGTTCATAGCTGGTAACTATTACATAGCTTCAAAGCACAAAATTAAAAACTTGTCCGCATCAGATGTACGTTAGATGCTACAAAAAAAACGACGTAAATAACTCCAACCTGGTGCATACTTCCACCCCATAAAAACCCGAAAAGACAACTTTGACGAGAAACTTAGTCAGCGGAGGAATTGGATTGGTGTAAGATGGGTAGGTTATACGTTTCCACTATCCTCTGCCTATTGTTGTAGTTGGGTTGTTCGTTCAATGATTGTATACCTTATCCTAGGAAACCATTGTCCTAGTTGTAATTCATATACCCTCGCTATTGTTACAACTTCTAGCACAGGGACCGTAAGTTCACTACTCAACTTTAACTAAACACCGAAGTGTTTAGAAAACAATATACAAGCTGACGCCAACGATTGTTCCCGGTAAACGTATTGATATTAGTACTACTATACCAAAAATCCTTTATCCCAACATTAACGCTGACTGCTGGTGGAGAACAACAATACTTACGGATCCTCCGAGTAAGGTGTAAGGTGCGTTCATTAAGTCTATGGCTCATTATATGGCCATGTTTGAACTAAACCGATGTATTGAGCTCAACTGAACTGAAGCAGAGTCACCGGATAAACAATTATTGTTTTACATACTTCGATATTGATCATTCCGCCCAGTTTCTCAGCTTTTAACTGATCTAGGTTCAGTATAACATGATCATTTTGCTCTAAAAACCAAAGTCAACTAGGAGTACACAAGCCATGGTTTAGCGTGTTTGTATAGAGCCAGTCTCCTGTGTTTGAATTTGATTTGCGTTGGATGCAGCCTGGCGGGATAGATTTGAGTCATGTCCTGAAGGACATCTGGGGAAAAACATGGTGTTGGACAATTCGAGATCATGGATTAAAACTTGAAAGCAATTCAGAATCGCAAAATCTTCCAGTACTGCCGGTAAGTTATTGTGATGTAAAGCACTGTGGAATATTGATTGTTCGTGTAGACTCCAGGTTTGCAAATTTTTACGACGGCGACGTCGTGAACTAACACGCGCTGTGTCTATACTTCATTTCCCCTTCTCCTGATATAGCAGGCACCAATGGTCTTTTTAGGCTTCAGCTGGTAAAGAATTCTTGAGAATCAAAATGTAGAGTAAAGAGAGGACAAATTTGTTTCATTTCACGGAACAATTACGTAGTTTAAACTTTTTGTGGACATTTTCCGATCGCACCCACAAAAAAAGTTTTTCCCCGGATCACTTGATTTGAGGAATAATGCGCCATCATGCATTCGAAAAATAGCCTACGAAAACAACAACCTCCATTCTCTTTTGGGAATACTTAGCCATTGAGTTTCATTTGGAAACCAGGTATATAAACAGGATGTAATCCCCATAGAAGATACTGCACTCTGTTACAAATACGCTATCAATAAAGCTATTTAACAGTTTATCACAGAACACGCTTAAAAGTTCTTTTACAATGGCTGGTTTTATCGTTGATGAAGTCAAGTTCTGGAAGAAGAACAAGAAAACAATCAAATTAGATGAAGAAGAACAATCAATAGAAGAGGTTGACACTACAAAGCAACCTCCAAACAAATTACAAAACTTTCTACCCGATCACGAAGGAAAACCATGGTACAAAGTCCCACATTTATTATACTTGAACATGCTTATGGTCATCATCAGTATAAGTAGTGCAAACACAGGTTATGATGGTTCATTATTAAATGCTTTCCAATCTATCCCTGACTGGATGAGAGCAATGTCCAACCCAACAGGTGCCACTTTAGGTGCCTTATCAAATGGGGTTGTCTTTGGTGTTGCTTTAGGGTTCTTTGTAACTTCATATGTTTCTGATCGTTTTGGTAGAAGAAATACAATCACCATTGGTAATGCCTTCATGTTTGGTGGTTCAGTTGTTCAATCATGTGCAGGTACTTGGTTAACAGTCTCTGGAGAACGCGATCATGATGATGGTATGAGAACATATGCTATGTTTTTAATTGCACGTATCATTATTGGGTTTGGTAATTCAATGACTATGGTTGCTTCACCATCATTAATTTCAGAATTATCCTATCCAACACACAGAGAAGTTGTCACTGCATTTTATAACTCCAATTGGTATTTAGGTGCCATTGTTTCATCCTGGTGTAGTTATGGTACAAGAAATTTGAGTTCAAATTGGTCATGGAGAGTTCCAACAATCTTGCAAGGATTTTTCCCATTAATTCAATTCTTTTTGATTTACTTAGTTCCTGAATCACCAAGATTTTTGGTTTCAAAAGGTAGAAATGATGAAGCAAGAGACATTTTGTTGAAACATCATGGTGGTGGTGATGAATCAAAAGGTGGTGCATTAGTTGATTTTGAATTGGCTGAAATTGAAATGGCTATCGAAGAGGAAAAACTTGCTGATAAATCCTCTTACTTGGATTTCTTCAAAACACCAGGTAACAGAAAACGTTTATGGATCTTGGTTTGGATTGCTATTTTAATGCAATTGTCTGGTAATGGATTGGTTTCTTACTATTTGAATAAAGTTTTGGTATCAATTGGTATAAATAATACTGATGAACAATTATTATTCACTGGTGGTTTGATGATCTATAACTATGTCATCTCTATTTTTATCAATTTATTTGCATTCCAACATACCAAAAGAAGACCAATGTTTATTATCTCAGTCAGTTTGATGTTGTTGTTCTATGTTATTTGGACAATTCTTTCAGCTATTAACCAACAGAGAAATTTTGAAGATAAAGCATTAGGTAAAGGTGTTTTGGCAATGATTTTTTTGTACTATTTTGCTTATAACTTGGGTTTGAATGGGTTGCCATATCTTTACATGACTGAAATCACATCTTATCAAATCCGTGCAAAAGGTATTAATATCAATGTTTTCGGTCAAGAATTGGGCCAAATCTATAACAACTTTGTCAATCCGATTGCTATGGATGCAATTGAATGGAAATATTATATCGTTTGGTGTTGTATTTTGGCTGTTGAATTGATTGTTGTGATCTTGACATTTGTTGAAACTTCAGGACGCACCTTGGAAGAAGTTGCTGAGGTGTTTGATGAAAAGATTGAAAACTTTGATATGAAGCTGATCAAAGAGAAAGCTCAAATATCTCATGCTGAACACGTTGATAATTCAAATGATGGTTCTAGTGTGACAGATAAAAGTACTGGGCTCATGGTTTAGGCTGATGACTTATGATTGTGTAATAGATATTTGCATATAACAAGATATATTTGATTTTCGAACAGGTTCAAGTAAGTAGTGGTCTGCCATATCAGACTGTTTTCGCGTTTTTATTGCATCGAGGTTCGCGAATTCTTTGTCTACTTTGCCTTAATACATCAATAGATGGATAAAAAGCATTCAATCAATGCAACTTTGAGAAATCTAATGAGCTTGAGCACATCACACCGTGAATTCAGTGTCAAACCATTGTTACTTATGTTTATTCTCTGTTCAATTTTTAGTGTAAAACCGTTGGCAAGATTTCAGCGAATCAGAGCGCAGTATTTGCTCTTCCGAAGATTTCGTGTGCCTCCCCTACAAAAGTGGCCGTTTGACACAAAATAGGTGGAGGATACAAATAAAGAGGGCTTCTGAACTCTGAACCCCAACTACTTGGACTGGAGACTTATAAAAACCCAAAGTATCTTCTTCTGAACGCTTGAAGAGTCCAATAGTAATAGCTTTTAGACATCTCACACAATGTCACCAAAGCACAATAGTAAAGCACGATGGTTAGAGTTGACACATCTGGCTCGATAGTCCGAAGCTTTTTCACCGCGGTTGGGGGCACACAGCTCTCCCGTGGAAAAAAATATGTTTGGGTAGGAAGGAAGTAAACGCTGAATTGAAAAACTTGATCCACTGATTTAGACCTTGTTGAAAACCTTTCGTTCGCTTTCAGAGCTGTTCACATTCATAGAAATATCCAGGAACTCTTCAAACCATCAATTTAAGCCACTAGAGAAGCATTAATTTGATCTATAACCAGGAATCTGATCATTGCTCCTGCGTGAAAAAAGATATACAACACAGTCTAAATATTATACATAATTTTACAAGGGTATAATGTCTGATGATGCTTACTATATAACGCCCCATGAAGCTGCTCTAGCAGTGGTGGCTACATCCATGAAAAAGGCCAGACTACGACTTGATACTTTAATCATAAACTCAATTGTTGGAGGTGTTCTATTTTCTGCTGGTGGTATGCTTCATTTATGTGCTCAAGCTGAAAATCCAGAGATTTGGGACAATAACCCAGGTCTTGTTCATCTTATGCAAGGTCTTGTAGATCCCATCGGTTTATTTTATGTTGTTATAATGGGTGCTGATTTGTATAATTCAAATATTTTATACTTTTCTGTTGGTGTGTGTCGTGGTGCTGTCACAATTTTAGACCTTTTGATTAGTTGGTTTGTTAGTTGGTTTTGTAATTTAGGAGCAAATTTGTTTGTCTGTTACGTTATTTGTGAGTTATCTGGTATTACAAAAGCTCCGCATTATGTCGAAGGATCAATACAAATCACCATGGATAAAGCCAGTGCATCATTCATTCAGACTTTTATAAGAGCAACTGCTGCCAACTTCTGTGTCTGTCTAGCTGTTTATTTACAACTAATGGCCAAGCCATTACATGTAAAGTTTTTTTTAATGGCATTACCAGTTTTCACTTTTGTCACTATGGGTTTTAATCATGCTGTTGCTGATATGTATTTGATTCCAATGGGTATGTTTAATGGGGCACCGCTTTCAGTGGGTAAATTGATCTGGAAACTTCTTATACCAGCTGCTTTAGGAAATGCTGTTGGTGGTTCCATCTTTGGTATTGTCATTCCTTGGTACTCTCACTTGGTTGTTGTTGAAAGAGATCGTAAGCTACTTAACTTACCTCAATATGAAGCTAAAGATGAACAACCAGAATTGGAAATGGATTCGAGAGTTGTCAGAGTTCCAACAGAGAAGGAACAGGATATTGATTCTTCATCAGATCTTGACGAACAAAACAATAGTGATGATTATAATCCAGTATCGTACATGCCACAAGCTCCAAGAAGACCATCTCAAATTACACGAGCCTCTGGAAGTTTATCAAGAATGCCAACTGGTGCTTCAGCATTTTCTCGCTCAAGTGTTAGATCGCCTCCAGGTGTTTTCCCTGTTTTGGGTATGGGTGAACCTTTAACTAGAGAAAGAACAATTGCATCAAGTCAACATCAAAACAGAGATTCAGATGACATACAAAGCTCACCAGATAACCTTTCATTAGACTCAGATAGAGACTCAACTTTAGATAATACATCAACACACACAAGAGGACTAAGTGCTAGTGAGAAGCAAAAACTTGAAGAGGAAGAGTATGAGAAAGAAGGCGGTTACAATGCTAGAGAAAATAGATTAGGTGAAAATTTGAAGAGAGCTTTCTCAAGAAGACAGAGTGTACCAAGAGACATTGAGAGTGCACTTGATGAACCAATCACCCAAACAAGAACCCAACCTAGTGCTGCTCATTTGCTAAGGACAATTTCAAAATCATTCACTCCAAGGGGCCATGAAAATGCTCAAGATATTTCAAGAAGACTGTCGTCACATAGTATAACACCAAGAGCTGCTAATGCGTCTGATAACATTGCTGGTATCGATAATTATGATATGAGGGATGCTCAAGCGAGAGGTGCACCAATCAGGAGACCAAGTCTTGCTCGTAGACCTTCTTCAGTCAGAACTAGTGAGTCAACCATCCCCCTCCAGAAGTTACGAAATCCAACACTTGTTTCGAGTCATGACAATGACAACTTTGAACAACAAAGTGTCAACTCAAATATTCAACCATAATGTTTTGCTTTTACTTTGCGTTTTGTTCCCCTCTGATTTTCCATGCTGTTGTGTAGTACACATCACATTCCTTTTGCATAACAGTATAAATCTATTACTTTAATAAGCATATCCAATATAGATAATTCAACAATTTTAATATTTTGGAACTGTGTAGATGTTTTTGGTAACAGCCACTCCATCATGCTTCGCGAATTTTGTCGCGTAATAAAAGTTGATCAAAAAAAAAGACGCGTTACCTTTTGAATAGTAACCAAAACAAAACTGAAAGGGAAGCTTACTTAGACTAAATGACTACTAATAGACTTCCCAAGTTGAAGTTTAAAAAGAGCATTGTCAGCTCTCCAAAGGAGTCTATCCCTTTGAAAGAACTACTTGACAGATTGGATGTAAGTTTTCATGGAATGTTCATTGAGTATGGTCACTAATCAAGACATAGGCTCTATCGACAGAACTTTCAAAAGTGGATCAAGAAAAATTTGACGTCAATTCGTTGAATAACATTAAGGATGATCTAATTAACAAAAAGTTGATCAACCACAAGGACGCTGGTGTTCAATCATTGGTTGCTTGTTGTATTTCTGATGTGTTGAGAATCTACGCCCCTGACGCACCATACACCGATTCTGAGTTGACCAATATTTTCAAATTATTCATCAAACAATTTAAAAAATTAGCAGATCAAGGAAATGGGTATTATACTCAACAAGTGTATTTAATTACAAGACTTGCTGAAGTTCGAAGTATCATTTTGATCACTGATATTGATGATAATACAGCATTGATTGAAAGTATATTTGAATTGTTTTATGATTCCAACAACAATTTCCACAAGAAGCTTGAACCTGTTATTGCTGATGTATTGATTGAAATTATTTCAGAGTGGGATCAAATCAGCTCAAATGTTCTCAAGTTGATTTTGAACAGATTCTTGACGAATACAAGCAGAGAGGGAGCTTCTATCACCTCAAATTTATCTTCATCAAGTGCATCACCATTCAATTTTACACTGAGCATATGTAATGCCAATCCTGATAGATTAGCTAGACAGTTGACTAAATTTTTTTCAGAAGTGCTATTTGAGAATAATGAAGGGGAAGATTCTGAGGTCCAGTTCAAAAATCTAAGAAAATTACACAATCTATCTGTTGAAATCTGGAAACATGTTCCTGAAATTTTAGGATCTGTTATGGGTCTTATTGACAATGAATTGAATGCTGATAATGAAAAGTATCGTATTCTTGCCACTGAAACGGTTGGGAAAATATTGGCTTGTCAATCAAGATTAAACTTTGTTCATACACACAGAGAGACTTGGATAAGTTGGTTGAAGAAAACTTTAGACATTTCGCCACATGTTCGTACCAGATGGGTGGAAGAGGCTTCAAAGGCGCTGATCAATAGAACTGATGTGTTAGCAGAAATTTCCAATGGCCTTGCAAAGACCTTGATAGATACAGATGAAAGAGTCAGACTTGTGTCAACCAGAGCTATTTCTAAAATCCCATCTTCCGTTTTGGCTAATAAAGTTAACAACAAGTCCATTTTGAATGGTTTAATCCAACTTGCAAGAGAAAAGCATCCGGAAATTAGACAAGAGTCAATCAATACTTTAGCCTGTTTGTTTGATGATTGTTACCAAGATATTTTCTACAATGATGCATCTGAAGGTGATGAGGTTTACAAAATAATCAATCAGATACCTAACCATATCTTGAATCTTCTATACATCAATGATAAAAACATCAATTATCTTGTCGATAAAGTTCTTGTGGAGAAAATTTTGCCTTTTGAAAGTGATGAGTTGAAAAGAGTAGAGAGAATGTTGAATGTTTTCCAAACTCTTGATGATAAAGGTAGAGCATCTTTTATTGCCTTTAACAGAAGACAGCAACAGCTATCAGGTGTGTTAACAAAGTTGATTGAATTTTCAGAAGCATTCAATGGTGGACACGATGGTGATGCTGATGTTGAAAAAAAGATTAATAAGACGATCGATTGGCTTTCAGTCTCCTTGCCTGATAGATATAACCCAAAGAAATCCTTGGAAAGATTTACCAAAATCAATAACAGAAGACTTTACTATCTAACAAAGTTGACAATATCACCAGACTCTGATTATGAAACGATAAGAAATTCAAGTAAGGAGCTATTTACAAGGCTACAGGATTCAAAGGTGGTTAACTCAGTTGAAGATGAAAGTTCTTATCCAATTAATGATATTTTCCAAACCTTCAAAATTTTGATTTACCGTGCAAGCTTAAATTTTTATAATAGATCAAATATTTCATCGTTGTTGAAGTTGAGTGAAAATTCAAAGTATAGCAAAATTGCCCAAGAACTAGTGGACAATGTCTCAACAATCACACCAGCTGCATTCAAGAATCAAATTCAAGATTTGGTAAAACTTATCAAAGATTCAGTTCCAGGTGTTGGTGAAAGCAAAGTCAATACATTAAGGGCTTTGTTTCACATTTTCCACAAAATGAAAGACTACTTAGACGATGATGATAGTGAATTTTTTGATAAAATTCTTGACTTTGCTTCCAAAGGTACCCCATTAGAAGCCAAATTTGCCGTCAAATTGATCTCATTATCAAAACACGAAGATGCCTTATCTGTTCAATTGTTTGATTCAATTTATCCCTTTGATGGTGACTCTGAATATTTCACTAGCCACCTTGCTGTTTTATCACAATTATTTTTGACACAACATAGCATTGTTGAAGAAAAGGCTAACGAGATAACACCATTTTTGATTAAGAACGTACTTTTAACAAATGAGGTTGTTGGTAAAGAGTCTGACCCAGTTTGGATAAGTGATGAGGAGCTGGAGAAAGGAAATGATTTAAATCTTAGCGCAAAATCATTAGCTTTGAGAATCTTCACAAACAGATTAAGATCATTGTCTGAAGCTGATGAAGAATCTGATAATAGTGTCTCATCAATTGCGGAACATGTCTTGAAGTTGTTGATTTCATTAATTGGGAATGGGGGTGAAATTGTGAGCTCAAAATCTGGGGCCTATCCAACACCAAGACACTATCAAACAAGACTTAGATTGGATGCTGGTTTGAATCTTTTAAAGTTGGCTAAAATTCCAAGGTACAATAAGTTGATCAAACCAACCACTCTTAATAGATTAGTTTTGTTGATCCAAGATGAAGAGGAAAATGTTCGTTCTATTTTTATCCACAAGCTAACATCGCTTTTGAAAACTGAAAGTATTTCATTAAAATTCTTACCATTGGTTTATTTCATTGCTTATGAACCAAATGATTCATTGAAAAATGAAATTAGAACTTGGATCAAATTTTCATTCTCCAAAACATCATCAGCTATTGCCAATAGGGCTCAGAAGAGCATAGTATTTGAAAAAAGTATAACTGGTTTATTACACTCAATAGCTCATCATTCTGAATTTTTGGAATATATTGAACAAAAAGATGATTCTGAAGAAGATGAAGGTGCTTTGAAGGCATTCACATTTGCTCTTGAGTATATTACATTCTTCCTTGATACTATTGCCACTGAACAAAACATTTCCTTACTTTTCTACTTTGCCACCAGAATAAAACAATATAGGGACGCATTGTTTCAAGAAAATGACTTCAAAGAACGCAATGATGCTATTTATAATATTTACAGAGTTTCAGATTTAGCCCAATTGTCCATCAAAGAACTACAAGATCATAAGAACTGGACGCTAACAACATATCCTGGTAAAGTAGATCTATCATCTGAATTATTTGCATCAATGAAGAGTTCAGAAGAAGGTCAAAAAATTGTATCAACTAGTTTCATCCCTGAATCAATCACTAAAGCTCTCAAAGCAAAAGTTAGACAAAAAATATCATCAATTTCAACTTCTAAAAGAGGTCGTCCACATCAAGAACCAAAGGAAAATGAAGCGCCAAAATCTAAGAAAATCAAAGCTGACTCAGTTAAACCAAAGAAAAGAAAGAAGGCTGCTAAAGCTCGAGATGAAGATGATTCCGGTAATTACAACAAAGGTAAAGACTCTTCCCCAAATAAGCCATTAAGAAAGAGTTCTCGTGCAAAACGTATTAGTTATGCTCAGGATGAGGAAGAAGAGGAGGAGGAAGAAATTGAAGAGGAGGAAAGTGACGAAGAAGAGGAAAGTGATGATGAAGATTAGTCTTCTGCTACGCTATGTTTTGCTAGAATATATGTAATGTGTAATTAATGCATTGAATCTTGTAACCAACTCCTAATTTCGTAATACTCTATATAACTTTCCCAAAGCATAAGCTCATTATCAACCTTTCAAAAACTTTAACAAATTATCTTTGCCCTTCAGAGCCATCAACTTCTTTATACTTAATAACTCTTGAACTTCTGCTTCTGATATTTTCTCATCACTTTGGGTTGAATCATCAAATGCCAAAGAGTCCAATTCTTTACTTGCAATATCAGCCAACTCCTTGAAGTTCAGCTCTGGAAGCTCGACAAGAGACAGTACTGCTTTCTTTTCGTCTTGGTTGAATTCATCCCCATCTGATAATCTTTTCAATAACACATTATTTTCCCTAGTTAAATTCAAAAGCTCACTAACTCTTGCGTTTTTCTCCTTCTCTTTCAAATCAATCACTTTGCTCAAAAAGTCTGAAATGACCCCTTCTTCAGGAACTCTATAGATTGCATATGAATCGTTCCATAATTTTGATGTATTCTTCGATATTTTAGCAGCGACCCCATTTTGGGTATCACGATTGCCTAAAAATGCCGGTGTTGGTATTTCATGAATTTCATCTTCATCATCCTCTTCATTATCAGATTCACGAAGTTTTACTTCAATATTGCCATCGTTTTTAAACCCATGAACTTGATCAACATCAATGATAGTTTGCTTCCTCAATCTTCTTGGTTTGTTAGGAAGTAAATGGTCAGCATGATTTGGACATTTCCACTTCTTTCCCAGTTGTTTAACAGATGCCAATGGAGGATCTAAACAGTCCAAGTGCCATGCTGATGGACAGTAGTCACAAGTTGTAATTAGTTTATCAGCTTCACCATTCAACTTGTTTGGACTAATACCACTTTCACCACATCTTTGACATAAAAGAATATTGCCATCCTTATCGAAATGCAGATCTGGATCAGTTTGCTCAAACGCACCAATTTTAGTTGGCCTATAAGGCTTGTAGTCATTATCCTCATATTCACCATATTTTCCGGTGATGACACCTTCGAATCTGTCTCTTATCTTCTTCGGTAACTTAAATTGGATAGGATTTCTTGTATCAACTTGGTTTAATAACTTAGAGAACAAACCAGGTGGATTTGGTTCCGGTGGGTTCTTTTTGGCTTTACATTCATTACAAAACCAATTACCATCCGGTAAATTATCCTCACTTAATGGTGGGTCACAACAAGCAAAATGGAATGATTTGGGACAGCTCTCACAACACAAAAACACACCAGGTTCACCACAAGATGAGCAAAAATCTTCATTATCTTTGGTATTATCATTGAAATCAAAAGCATTTTCTCTATGTTGTCCAGCTAATTGCATAGGGTTATCGAACCCGAAAGGGTTTTCTCTAGTTTTCTTAGGAGATGCATTCTTAATATTCTTTTTTGAGCCTTCTTTAAGCTTACTTTCTTTCTTCTTTGGTGTGGTAACATTTGCAATTTTGGACTTGACAAATTTTCTTCCGTGTATTTCAGCACCTTTTTTAGGAACGGGTTTAACATTCCTGGAACGATCGTTGCTAGGCTGTAATTTCTTCTCATATTCATTTGTTTTAAGACCTTGTCGCAACTGTTTTTCAATATTTTCTGGCGGTAGACTAACTTCTGGAGTTGAGTTAGGGTCTTCTTCGCTGTCTTCAGCGTCTGTAGATTTAGATTTTTTTGTTTTCTTTCTTGGCCATAAACTCTCCTTCTTTATCTTTGAGTTTGGAGGAGCATCCAAAGGCAACCCTGTTACCGATATTATTGGATCACCAAGTTCAGGTTCATTAAACTGTAGCTGACCACCTTTCAGCGTCAAAGTGACCGATCTATTAGAGGTTTTGGGAGTTGTGGTGGATCCTTCCTTAGATAAATTTGTTTTGCCATCAATATTAAACTTTCTTTTCTTCAGCACTAATTCAGGATCATCAGCTTCATGATTATTCCTACTTTTCTTCAACTTCTCTACGGCATCTTTCTGTTCAAGCTCTGACAATCTATTCGACCTTCTTCTATTTCCATTTGATTCATCTGGTAATGGAGAGCCTTTTCTTGAACTTTTCACAGAACTCTTCTGGGAGGCAGACTTGGATCTCACACTGGATATAGGGGAGGGAAATGTGGCATCATCCAATTCAAACTCAGACCTGTTTGTCTGCTGAGACGAGGACATCACTTTGTTCCCTTTGAGGGTCCGGGAAATAAAGGAAAACACAGCGTAATATGAAAAAAGCCTAGTTGCACTTATAACAACAATAGCCACCAACCACAGCTAAAATAACACCAGCAATGCCAATCTTTAGCAGCAAGCAATTGATAGTTATTATAATCTAGAGCTCCTTTCTGGGAGGTTTCTTTGGGTGGTAAATTGGAAGCAGCTTAAAGCCTTTTGGGCGTTACGAGTATTAAATTGTTCAAGGAAGAAAAAAAAACGCGTTGAGTTTTTTGGAGATTGTTGAAAATAATTTTTACACAAAACATTGAAATTTCCAAACACCAAGGCAACCAGTAAGTAACCCCAGATAACAACATTTGGTTAAGGTCATAAAAGTTGTCACTGTGGTGATTTCAGAAGTTGTAAATGTATCATTCTACTTTTAGTTAAGGAAACTGGTTTCATTTCCTTTAAACAGACAAAAAAAAAACATAAACTATGGAAACGTTACTTTAAAAAAAAATATGATATCAAATGTTTTAATTCAGTGACATGTCGTTATTTATTTAGCTTCTTCTTTGGCAGCTTTTGATTTCTTTTTGTTAACTTTCAATGGTTTTGAAAGTAATTCGTTCAAATCATCACCCAAGACCTTTTCAGATTTGACAACTGATTCATCAAATGGAGATGAAGTTAATTTAACTAAACCGTTTTTGGTCAATGCAACGGTAACGTAAACTTGAGCGATTTGTTCACCTTCTTTTTCTTGGTAAACATCGTAAGCAATCATAACACCGTGGTTACAGTTTTCTTTCAAACCAGTACGACCTTTAGTTGGATCATCCAAGTTTTTGATTGAAAATGGGAAATGAGAAGCTTTTCTCTTGATTTCATTTAAGACCAAATGGGAAGATTTTAGTTTCAATTGATAGTTGTTACCAGTTAATTTGTAAATAGTGGTTCTAGCTTCACTTGCTTTAACTTTACCTTCGCCAGTAGACATCAAGATGTCAAGACCAAATACTTGACCTTCTTCGAATTCAAAAGTATCAACTTGACCTTTTTGTTCTTCATTTGGATTTATAATGATTTCTTTTGGACCAGTCAAGACATTACGTTCTTGGTTATGGGTTAACATACCTTCTAATGGGACAACACCATATTCTTTAGCAACTTGGGCAACAACTTTAGTGACATCCCAGTTCTTGTTACCTGGTTTGATAGTTCTTAAAGCAGCTTCTGAAGCTTTGTAAGCAGCAGTTAAAAGATCAGCTTTCTTACCGGTAACTGGTTCTTGAGCAGAAGCACCAACAACAACGGTTTCTGAAACAATTGAAGCAAAACCATCAATTTGAGTACCTAAATGGACTTTAACAACGTCACCAGTTTTTAAAGTTAGGTTAGATTGAGCATCTTCAGCGTTAATTGGTGAAAGGTGGTCAGCAATGTTATTTGGTGATAGAGAAGTTGGGAAGGCAATACCTTTGGATTCAACTTTGTTTTTCTTACTGTTGTAAATTTTTGAGGTTTCTTCTTCGATTAAAGCATCACCTTCTTGAGCAATATCCCAGATCTTAGCACCATCTTTGACTAATGATTTGACGTGGTCTAAAACTTTTTGAGAGATTGAACCAGCAGTTCTATATTTTTCAACAACGTCAGAACTGTTCAATGAATAATCTGGTTCTGTGGTTTTAGTGGTGGTAGCAGCAGTAGACATTTTTTAGATTTTATGATTCTAGCAAAAGTTTCACTATAATTGAATTGAAAAAAGGTACTTAGTCAAAGCAATTGTACTAAAGGATTTTTTTTTTGCCAAAACTCATCGACCCTTCAGTCAAATTTTCAAGTCGACACTTTTCACCAATCCCCAAACGGGAAGGTGTGGTTTGGGTTTGCAGCGATGGTGTATTTAATCCCGATTTGGTAGTTGTCCCAATTGAGCGAAACCAAGTACAAAAGAAGAGGACTTCACTAACTGTTTAACGATTTTGATTTTGAATTGTTTGAATGGTCCCTAAATTCACAATAGTAATCTTCTTCAATCTTTTTTACTTTTTTGTTTTGAGGATTAATTGCGGCTGCTTTTATGCTGAAGACGAGTCCTGAGTCATATCTGAACATAAATATCTTCGATCGAAAAAGCTTTATCTTTTCTTCATCAATTTCATACCAACCATCAAGCAGGGAAATGACCAAACCAGTCGTTGGTAAGAGATTATTCTCCTCATTGTCCTCATTATCCAATAAATACACTAAATATGTTCCAACTTCTGGTGTCTATCCAAAAGGTTATAAAGTTGGTGCTGTCTCCACTGGGGTTAAGAAAAATGAACAACTAGATCTTTCTATTATCAAGTCAGACTCACCAGCTAATGCTGCTGCTGTTTTTACTACCAACAAGTTCAAAGCTGCCCCAGTTCAACTTTCCAAAAGGATTCTTGATAGTAAGCAAAACGCAAACATTAATGCCATTGTGATAAATAGTGGTTGTGCAAATGCTGTTACAGGTGTCCATGGGTTGAAAGATGCTGAGAAAATTGTTGAAAAAGTTGATCAAACAATTGACCCAAACATAACTGAACATTCTACAATTTGTATGTCAACGGGTGTGATAGGACAAAGACTCCAAATGGGCAAAATTTTACCAAATATTCCAAAATTGATTAATGAAAATCTTGGTCAAGATCATGAAGCTTGGTTGAAATGTGCAAAAGGTATCATGACAACTGACACATTTCCTAAATTGGTTTCTAAACAAGTCACAGTCAATGGCCAACAATATGTAATTGCAGGTTTATCAAAAGGTGCTGGTATGATTTGCCCAAATATGGCTACTTTACTAGGTTTCTTTGTTACTGATGCCCCAATTGCACCAAGTGCACTACAATCTATCTTAACATACGCTGTTGACCGTTCATTCAATTGTATTTCAGTTGATGGTGACATGTCAACGAATGACACTATTGCTGCTTTAGCTAATGGTGCAGCTGGTGGTCCAACCATTGATGAATCAACAACTGACTCGTTCAATTTGATTCGTGATGAAATCACTGATTTTGCTCAACAATTATCACAATTGGTTGTTCGTGACGGTGAAGGTGCTACTAAATTCGTCACCATCAAAATAAAAGATGCATTGACCTATAAAGATGCTCATCAAGTTGCAAAGACCATTTCAAATTCTCCATTGGTTAAGACTGCATTATATGGTAAGGATGCCAATTGGGGTAGAATTTTGTGTGCAATTGGTTATTCAGATGTTCCAGTCAATACTGAAAAGACCAATGTTTCTTTTGTCCCAACTGATGGCTCAGCTGAATTGAAATTATTAGTCAATGGTGAACCTCAGCAAATTGATGAAGAAAGAGCTAGTGAAATCCTACAATTTAAAGATTTGGAAATTTCTGTTGAGTTAGGAACTGGTGGAGGGGCTGATTGTTCATTCTGGACCTGTGATCTCTCACACGAATATGTTACAATCAACGGTGACTACCGTAGTTGAGTCAGTCATTCAAATCACCAATAGATAAACTATAGAAACCTTTTAATTCTGTACTAATTCCAGCGCAATACTTCTCAATTGAAACAGTCGAGTTTCATGAACTATGGTGGGGGTGCTGGCCGTATCCAAAAACATGGTGGATCTTTTTTTTCGGTGATTATAATTTTAAAGGCTTTTTCTTATGAAGTGCTAAAAAGACATAAACATTAAAACAACACCAAAGTTTCTAATTGTTTTGGGCCGTTTCAAACAGGACCATGTCCAATAACTTTGAAAGCAATTACAATATTCATATGCGAGGGCTCAAGGGCTCGGTGGCCTCAAAAGGGTCGTCAGACAGTGAAGTTTCACCATTGTCTTCGCGCAAGGTCTCTCTAGCGGAGGCCAACCAACAGCAACAAGGTCAACGACAAAGACAACATTCAGAGCACCAAGTCCATCCACTTGGACTGAACCATAGTGGAGCACAAGGTGAAGAGCACGATCAAGATCAACAACAGCATCACCGTCATAGACTTAGTGGCGTTCCATTTGGCTACAAAGGATTTCATCATGCTGCTAGGAATGATATAATACCTCCCTTGAGTCAACCTATCAAACCAAGAGGAAGTCATAAGAAAAGCATATTTGGAAAATTTATCAATTCAATCAAAGATGATAAAAGCTCGAAAAATGAACCTGTTACTGGTCCTAGTCAAAGCGCTGTGCACAGGTCAGCAAGTTACTCAAAACCAGAAATCAAAACACTTCCAGCATCCAATTCAAGGCAAAACAGTTATAATGATGACATTGGACCTTTAGTATCTGTTGGTGGTGGTAATCAGCAACCCCAATCACACCCAATGGGATCACATAACCCAAGTATAACGTCTAGTGTTATTGATTTAAGGAACAATTCCATTGAAGGCGATAACTCAGTTGTTGCTTTAAACGTGAATGATTTGAATGACATGTCTGGTATCGTTGCAGACCAGCCAGAACCAACGGAGACTGGTCAAAAGGAGTCATGGACCGCTCCTGAAAGTTGGGATGTGAAAGGTGACAGGTTAGGTAGTGTCTCTGATGATGATGATGAATACGTTGTTAGAAAAACGTTAACAAGAGTTACACAATTGGATGAGCAGATACACGATACTAGAAACTATCATATCAGAATATATGCTGAAGATGATGACTTTACATCTACTTTGAAACGTCCATATATGGAAACAGTGGAAGAATTGATCAAGTATTTGAAAGGAAGATATTCATTGACAGGTGATTATAAAATGAGTTTGAGAGTTGGTAAAGTTACCAAGAAGTTGGAATGGAATCAAAAGCCAATCAAGATTCAAACTAATTTGTTGTTGTTGTCTGGGTTTTTAGAAACTGATAGATTAGATGAGGTTGGTAGAGACGATTTGAGTTATTTGTTCAAGTTCATTTTGCACCATGATGTTTTGAAACAGTTAAGCCCATCAGAAGAGGAATATATCAGTAGGGATTTGGTTCATGTTAACCTTAAGAGTAAAGATTTGCAAAAAATTCCTGCTTTATGCTATTCATCAAAAGTTCAAAGTTTGGATGTTTCAAATAATGGTGATATAACATTACCTTCAGATTTCTTTCAAACTACAAATAGTCAATTGAGTAGTTTAAGAATGGTGAATATCAGAGCAAAACTTTTTCCTCAAAATGTGGTTTTTGCTAGAGAGCTGGTCTCTTTGGATTTGGAAAGAAACTTCATTATGAATGTGCCACAAGAATTGTCACGTTTGAAAAATTTGTCAATTTTGACCTTAAGATGTAATAAGATTAATTCATTGCCTGAATTGCCACCAAATTTAAAAATTTTGGATATAAGTTCTAATGAATTTGAAGATTATCCAGAAAGTGTTAACAAATTATCTAATTTACTTCAATTGGATTTATCATACAACAAATTGAAAAACTTGCCAGAATCAATCAACAATTTGAAATCAGTCAAAAAGATCAATATATCAAGTAATTATTTAACATATGTTGATATCAATTTACAAAACTTGAGAACCTTAAACTTGAGATACAATGACATCACTGAAATACATTTGCATGATAGTAACATTGAAAATTTATATTTGACCAATAACAACATCTCAAATATTGCTGATCCATTAACACAGATGAAAGCTGTTGATTTACAACAAAATCCTGTGACACAGTTAAACATGTTGAGTCATAATTTAGCATCATTAACATTATCAAAGGCTAAATTGACCTCTTTACCAACAGTCATTTTGTCATTCTCAAAGCTTGAAAAGTTGGAATTGAGTAAAAATGCATTACGTGAACTACCAGTTGCTATCAATACATTAACAAATTTGAAAGATTTATCAATATTCAGTAATAATTTGGAAATATTACCAGATTTATCACCATTAACAAAATTGAAAAATTTAGATGTTCATGATAATAATTTGAAATCTATTTTTGATTTTTCATTTATTGAAAGTGTCAATCTTTCTTCAAATTTGATTTCAGAGTTCCCACAGCCAATGCATGATAAGGTTGTTTATTTATCAGCTGCTGACAATCAATTGACTGATGATTGTTTCTATGCCATTAGGAATTATGATAATTTGAAAGTTTTATCGTTGGCTTACAATAGATTGGTGGATATACCAACAGGTACCCTTGGTAAAACAACATCCATCGATCAATTATACTTGTCAGGAAATGCATTAAGTACATTACCTGAAGATTTTGAAGATATTTCAACACTAAGGGTGTTGTGCTTGAACGGGAATAGATTCCGTACATTACCTGCTGATTTGAGTCAACTTTATAACTTAGAAGTTATTGATGTTGGTTCAAATGAACTAAAATATAATACTTCAAATAGCAGATATGAATGGAACTGGAAATCTAATATCAATTTGAGATATTTGAATCTTTCTGGTAACAAAAAATTAGAAATCACAGAGGATTTAAATCTACCAAGACTGAGATTATTAGGTTTGATGGATTTAACATTAACAACGCAATCTATGCCAGATGAATCAATTGATATCAGAGTTCGTACAACACCAAGTACTATTGGAAATATGTCTTACGGTATCTCTGATAGGGTCAATAAACACATTTTAGCTAGAGATTCAGTTTTTGAAAAAATAGCTGGTGGTACTTTAATTGGTTTATTTGATGGTATTTATTCAGGAAAGATTTCACATCTTATCAGAGAAAATTTCCATAAAATTTTTGAAAAAGAATTAGGGAAATCAGATATTGTCACTGCCCTAAGACATACTTTTTTGGCTTTAAATCAAGTCATTAATCATTCTGATTTGAACTCAGAAGATGGTTTAACAGGTTCCAGTGCTACTGTTCTCTATATTAAGGAGAAAAAGATTTACACTGCAAATATTGGTGATTCCACAGCAATGTTGGCAAAGACAGATGGTAGTTTCACATTTTTAACAGTTAATCATCAACCTTCAAGTGTTGTTGAATTTGAAAGAATTAGAACTAGTGGTGGTTTTGTTTCAAATAACGATAAATTGGATGGTGTTTCGAAAGTTTCGAGAGCTGCTGGGTTTTCAGATCTTTTACCACATATACACTCAGGTCCAGATATAAGTGAAGTCAATTTCCATGATGAGGTTTTAGTGTTGGGAACAAAAGAATTGTTCGACTATTTACCAACTAAAACAATTGGTGATATTGTTAGAGAAAGTGACAATCCAATGGTTACAGCTGAAAAATTGAGAGATTACGCTATTTCATATGGTTGTACCTCAAAGTGCACAGCAATTGTCATAAGTATGACGAAGGCTAAGAAGAGATTACAACCAGCTGTCAAGCAACAAGTTGAAGATTCTAATTTGAGAAGATTAAAGCCTGAAATCCAGCCCCCTGTTGGTGAATTGGCTATGGTTTTTACTGATATCAAAAACTCAACATTATTATGGGAAAATTATCCATTAGCTATGAGATCTGCAATTAGAACCCATAATGATATTATGAGACGTCAATTACATATTGTTGGTGGTTATGAGGTTAAGACAGAAGGTGATGCTTTCATGGTTTCTTTCCCAACTGTCCCTGCAGCTATGATTTGGTGTTTCAATGTTCAACAACAATTGTTACAAGAAGAGTGGCCAGCTGAAATTACACAAAGTGAAGAAGGTCGTGAATTGAAAGATTCAAGTGGAAAAGTCATTTACAAAGGTTTATCTGTTCGTATGGGTATTCATTGGGGTACACCTGTGTGTGAACCTGATATCATCACAAGAAGAATGGATTATTTTGGTCCTATGGTTAACAAGACCGCAAGAGTTTGTGCTGTTGCAGATGGTGGTGAAATCACTTTGACATTGGATTGTTTGACTGAGATCAAGAGAATTGAAGCAGCACATAGATTAGTTATTGCTGGTGCTACTCTTGAACAAGCATTTGGTCCTTCTGATATGGCTGAAAAGTTGAATAATGAAATGGCCATTCTGTTGAATATTGGTTGGAGAGTTGAACCAATGGGAAAAGTTCAATTGAAAGGGTTGGAAACAGAGGAGGAAATTTCATTACTTTTCCCAAGCCAATTAGAATCAAGATATGGATTCCAACGTAAACCAGATTTGACAACTGAAGATATTTACAAATTGAGAGATATTACTTTGAAACTGGATTACATTTTGTCAAAAGTTTCTGGTGTCCAGCTCGAACCTTTGAAATCCAAGAAGAATGATCACTTGGACAAGAACTTCTTTGAGGTCTTCATTTCAAGAATTGAGCACAATATAGCACTTCTGACGTTACGTGATAATACAATTGGTTTATTTGATAAAGAAACCGAACTCTTTGATTTGATTGGACAGTTATCTGCATTATATAATGAAAGAAGACGTTTGAGAAGTAGTGTATCTGATTAGATAGAGAAAAAAATGAATTTAATGGTTTTTAATGATTTGTGATAGCTTGTAATTGGTGCCACTTCTAGCTAGGATTTGAAATTCTGCTGTATGTAGTGTGTGATTTGTTTGTGCACTGATGTGAGATAAATGCTCGACAGGGCTTCAAACATTTTCTGTCAATTATCATAGGGCGCACTTCTCTATAAAAAAACAAAAGATGCTTTACAACTTTTTGAATTGGTTTACACTTTACACCTACCATCAACGCATTATCACCATTAAGTTATGGCCATAAGAGGATCTTCTAAAGAGGCTCCATCCGCCTCAGAATCAGAAGCGAAAAACTCAACTTCTCACAACAACAATAACAGCACCAACTCAAGAGCTTCAACCAAAGCCAGAAACGCAGCAGCACAAGCAGCACAAGCGGAACTATTAGCAAGACACATTCATTCAAATGGTCCTAAAGAACAGAAATCAGTGGATCCATTAAACTTTGAATCGCTTCCTGATATAACGTTGAGAAAATATAGAGATCATTACAATTTACCAGCCAAGAGCTCCTTGAGTACAGATGGTTATCTTCTAGCCTCAGAAATAGGGAAGAAATCGTACAGCTATAAAAACAGAGATAGAGTAACAAAACCAGAACTTGCCAGTGCTGTTAAGAAACATTTCATGTCCCAAACTGTGAAGGAGAGTGAAATCATCACAAACTTCATATATAAGGTCAACAATCAAGATAAAGCTTTCAAACTAAACCTCAAGAATTGAAGATGAGAAATATCATTGACTGGTCTGGTGGGTATTACAGGGGTTTATGTGTGTTGTTTGCTTGGGGGGTTTTAAATGATATATATGCTACAGTACGGTGTTTTTGTATTACAGGAAATTTCATGATTTATTATAATATTACTGAGCCTTTTTGAAAGTAGAGACTACGTCGTGTAACACAAAGAAGCAATATGAGTAATGTACTAACTTACTTCGACCAACCTAGACTAAGCAATTGATATAGCATTTCATCTTCGTGAAGATGATAATAAAACAGTCTATTATCACACTTTTAAAATTCGCGGAAGCATCAACGATTCTCAAATTTCAGCGCTAGATGGTGAAGAGGCTTCGTCAACTTTCAGAGAACATCCATACTGAATCTACCAGTGGTCTAATAACTCATCATGGATAGCTCTACAATCACATTCATCGCCACATTAGTGATAGCTTTCATCTTCTTAAGATGGTTCATATCCTCAGACGAAGAAGACGAAGCAACAATTCAATCAACTGCCACCAGCACATCACCATCTCAATCCCAAGCTCAAGACTCACAACATGATGCTGAAGAACAATCTACTCGTCAAGAACGTCTCCGCCGTCCAGTTACTAACAGCATGATTGAAGTTGTTCAACAATTGGCCCCACATTTGACTGTTGGTCAGATCAAGTTGGATTTGCAAAGAACTGGTTCAGTTCAAGAAACCGTTGATAGATTTTTGAGTGAAGGTACTTTGCCATATCCAGAAGGTGAAGGTCCTAATGCATCAAGAACTGCTAATCCTGCGCAAGATTCCAGAAACCAAGTGGATAACATCAAACCTGAAAACCTATTGAAAAAGTATGGAATCAATGAATCAAAATCAGAAGAATCCACTGCCGCTGCTTCGGGGTCTTCAACAAAGGAAAAAGGTTGGTCAGAATCTGCTGAAGATAGAGCAAGCACTTTACAACAAAAGAAAGTTGACATGATTGTGAAAGCAAGAAAGAGACTAGAATCACAATTGAAAAATGAACAAGATCTATCGAAATTAGCTGAATAATGTTTCTACAGATTTTATAACATCATGACAGGTATAAATAATGTGATGAACTACTTCAAACTTATGTAGAGCTGTCCTTTGGTCACTTGGGTGTTTCTGAAGTTTTATCTTCAACTAAAATAGGTGCAACTCTTTTCACTTGTTTAACCGGTGGAGTGTGTATCATTTGTGGTTCGGCATTATCCTCTATTGTAATAATCTCATTCTCTTTTGGTTTTTGCTCTTGCTCTGGTTTGATTGATGGCTGAACTGAAATTCTTTCCACTTTTTCAGTTGTTTTTGGTTCTTCTGGTTTTACCTTCTTTTTAACCAAGCCTGTTATTTCCATTATACCATTGTTTGGTCTTTTCTTGACTTGTGATGGTGATTGCATTTTATTATTGTGTTCATTATTTTCTTTAGATACGGGGAGTAATGATTTATAATCCACACTCAATTTTGTTCCTAGCGTACTTGGCTCAAAAGTTATCAATGAGCAAAACCCATCTGCTGCTGAAATAACAATCGAATTACCATCACTGTTGAATGCCAAGTCTGTCAATGTTCTATAATGTATGTTTGAAACCGTTCCTAACGGAGCAGAGTGTTGTGTATCATACACTATAACTGAATCCTGTGTAGCAACAGCATAAACCATCTTGTAAGGTAGTTGAAATATTGGACCCTTTGCTTCATTCTTATCTAGTTCATAGAAGACTGGTGAAAATGCAATAGCAAGGGCAGGTCTAATTAAGCCAGGTAAATGTGCAATTGGAGGTTTGTTTAACCCACTTCTAGAATAAATATAAACAGTATTGATGATTTCTTCTTTGGAGTCCTCTGAGTTGACAGAGTTTTTGAAGATACCTGAGGGTGTGAACAAAAAGTTACCATCTGGAGAGAATGAAAGTCTTCTGAAAAATGATTCCAAATTTTCAGTATGGTATAACATTGAATTTTTCAAGTTATTGAAATTCAATAAAGGAGCATTTTGTGATCTGACGGCAGGTAATGGTGATGGACTTGGTGATTTCATTGACGAGCTAGATGCTGTGGTTGGTGAAGCAGATGACGCTACCGTTGCTTGAGGTTTGGCACTTGACTCTGGGATTTCCACAGTTGAACCTCGACTAGTAGAATCTTCTTCGCTGTGTGACTTGGCAGGTGTTGGAGGACCCATCAACGTGCTTGTAGTTGATGATCTTGTAGGTAATTCTGTTCTGGAAATCTTGAAAAAAACTGTTGGTGAAAGAGTTTGATCTTTGGAGCTAACAATATTCAATAAATAGATATGTACTGAACGATCAGCAGATTGTGTAGCAATATAACGACCAAGTGGGTCCCAGGCAACACCTTGAACGAAATGGTTATGCTCAGCAATTTGAGAAATCTGTTGTCCATTTGAAGCATCATAAATTCTTGATACATTATCAGTTGAACCTGTGATGATATACTTTGAGTCTGGAGACCAAGCTAAATCGTATACTTCTGATGTGCTTGATCTACACGCGTGTCTTAATATCCATGACTCTTGAACATCTTCATCCATTTCTTGACCAAATTCCCTAACAATTGACTCACTTAAAGTCCACAACAAAACTGTACCATCATCACCAGCAGTTGCCAATATTTCACCTTTAGGATCAAATCTCACAACATTGACAGCTTGTGTATGTTTAGCTAATGTGGATAAATATTCTACACGTTTCCCATCAGTGCTGTTATTTATTTTCCAGAGCTAAGATCGATGTTAGTACATATACAACAATACAACAACACCAATAAATACTTACACGAACATTATTATCCCCACCACCTGTAACTAGTCTCTCAGAGTGATTTCCCTCACGATTTGGTTGAAAATGAACACTATAAATAGGTTCGCTGTTTTCGTGCCAATGCACACTTAATATTGAAGCGTCCATTGCTTTTCTGTAGCTTGTGATCAAGTCTTTGCAATGTTCAAGAAACGGTTTGAAAGCGAAGATAAATAAATGCGACACGACCCGCGAGAAAAAAAAGATGCTTCCTTAACCGGCTCTGTACACTTAAGGGATCACCCGGTAGTGATGTTTTTTCGACTGCCCTCTAAAAAAAATTTGTTACACTTTTAAAACTTTGATTTAATCTTACATCAAAGCATGAAGTACCGAGTTAAACATGGTAGCTGAAATCGATTGATAATATTCACTAGTACATGAGTAATAGTAATGGTTTCATTTGGTTTCACTCTGTGGAACTGGTTACTCACAGCACAATATGTCAAATTCCCATTAGCATTAACTCACTGCTTGATGGTGCCGTTTCTGTGCTAAGATGAATGGTAAACCGCCGAAGAGCTCAATAAGCTTTTTGGTTGAAAGGATAGTCTCAGTGCTATGGTGACTTGGATATCTTGTATCAAGTTACTGGCCGGTGTATCCCTACAAATTATCAATAGATTGTGTATACTCAATTTCTATTTCATGAGGCAGGTCTTTTTCTTTTACGAGTATTATCAGTGACTATTTTGAACTGAACAACTTGACCAAAATGAGTTTTGATTCTTATATCATCCTCAATTGGTTCCCAGTCCGTTATTTTTTCAAACTCTTCAAGCCCTGAAACTGTTGATTTCTTTGTAGTGGCAAAGCTCAAAAATGGAGGATCAAATAATGTCTTCACTTGCACATTTGAATTAATTGGCACAACACTTAAACCAAAATATTCATCATTCAAGCCCCCAAATTCCGTAATCTTCCATTCAATTACTGGCTCAGAAGAAAGTTCGAGTTCCAATGCTTTTGACACTTTGCTTTTAGCAATGGGTATGAAACCTAATAGAAATTTCAATTTTTTCTGGAACTCTGGAGTGAATGCAGTATCATACTTGTCTAAAATATACTCTAGAACTTTAGCTTTAGATTCAACTTCAAGCATATAACCACTGTAGAAGAAACTTTGCTTTAAGGATACTTTACCCAATTTCCCAGTGGATTTTCCTTGATCCACAAATTCATTATGTTGTTCCACTATCTCTTCTATAATTTTTCTCTCTGTTTTTGGCTCAAGATATTTCACCTCAGGTGCCACTGGAACTAAATTATAAATGAGTTCTGGTCGCACAGCTTCATTATACTCATTAAGACATTTTTGAAACCCTTTGAGTTGGCTTGGTCTATCGTCATATATGGTGACTTTTTCAATGTTCTCATAGTAGTCCAATATATCCGTTAAGACTTGAGTTTTGTATGTAATAGTAGATGGGAAGTTTCCTTTCTTCAGCATTAATCCATTAAACTTTATTCCTCTGATGTCCAAAATTTCCTTAAAAAGGTCTGTGAATAAATGACTTTTTCTACCTGTCATTATAATTGCCAATGCGTCATCTTGCTCGTATGAGAGTCTTAATAAATCTTCAACGTCTCCATTCCAAAATGATTCCCATTGGCGTTTGGATTCAACATCCCAACCTTCACCTGCATTTTTAAAAATTAAAGGTTCTGCCCACCAGCCACCATAGTGCAGCATGTCTGAGTTTGTTAACATCCCAATTGTCTGTTCATTGAATAAGTTTGGGTTTGGGCAAGGCGACGAGAACAAGGTATTGTCAAAATCATAAATATGAATCTTTTTGATCTGTTCGACAGATGGGATATCACCAAGGTCATTTGAGCAATCCCAAAACTCAAGTGGATTTTCCTTCCCAACATGGAGATCAGTAGACTTTGTTGAAGCTGGGCCCTTATTAGGATGATTCTTATTTTTCTTCTTTTCTTTGGCTTTATTCTTCTTACGCATTTTCTGACTTGGTTCATCCTTCGAGGCTCCCTGTTCAATTGAAGCTACATCTGCTTTGGGAAATGGAGTTAATTGATTCATTTGACCTATTGGTGGTATTGGAGGCATGAAGAAGAAGGGCGGCACGCCAACTGGGAATGATAAAGCAGTTTGGTCTGTAGTATTTTGATCCATGGTGGTCCTATGACGATGAACCAGGAGCAACAGTCACTCTGTGCAATTGACCCTTTGAAGATATGAAGTCTCACACTGGCTCTCAGTGAACAAATGCGCAGAAAATATCTGTCAAAATCAAAGCTTATGAGTCAAGATATGAAAACTGCACCGCCAATGTATTTATCGTTTTGTGCTTTCCATACAATTTTACATTTTTTTCGCGATTTTTCAAACCTAGGCGCGATTTTTTGGAGCAACAGACAAGAACAAACTTGTAAATTGAGCAGCAACCTGAAGGCCAAATCTCATGAAAAATATATTAAAAGATTGCTATAAGCTAACAGCTAATCCTGGGAGCAAAAAAAAATTAAAAAAAGTAAATGCTTCCACTCAGAGTCGAACTGAGGATCGCTACATTACTAGTGTAGCGCCTTACCAACTTGGCCATAGAAGCTTTTACGAAATTTGGTAATTTTTGTGATTATCAAAATGTGTCGAAATTGGTAGGTACACGTAATTTATTATTACTCTTTTATCTTATTTTGATTACCTCAAAACGAATTATGACTTATTATTTGAAGAAGTATGACCTTTGTATGTAATATCCATTAACTTTTCGAAGCTGTACGTCATGTATTGAATTGCAGTGTAAGAAACGGTTGTGTGTTTTTGGCTTTATCCATCTAACGCGGTTGACCAACATTTGAAAAATAGATCCAAAGATTCACAGTGTTCCTCGATAAGCATCAAGAACCGCCACTATATTCCTATCCAACAGAAAGATATATGCCAGTAAACGTGAAACCATGGCAAGGTATTGCGGTAAGTCTTGCTTCCTACGTTCTGAAACCTCAAATAATGCTAACTGAATCTAAAAGATACCGTCGGTGTTGATTTCAATTATAGGGTACACAAGCCACTACTTCATATTTTCTGAGGACCTCTCAAAGAACCAACAGATATGGTATCAATTCTGTCTCACCATGATCTGGGTATCATATATCATCGCCATCTATAAAGAGCCAGGGTCACCTCCCAAAAACTTTGAGCCAGCGCCAGGTGAATGGAAGAGATGGTGTAAGAAGTGTCAATTGTACAAGCCTGAAAGAGCGCATCATTGCAAGACTTGCAAGAAATGTGTATTGAAAATGGATCACCATTGTGAGTATCGTATTAGTCAACCCCATAAACTTAGATATTCTAACATATTAAAGGTCCTTGGACGGCTAATTGCGTTGGACATGATAATATGCCACATTTTTTAAGATTTCTACTTTGGGTAGATTATACAACTGCATATACATTATACTACTTATTTAAAAGACTATTATCATATTGGAATGACAGGAATTTACCTGCGTACCTCATATCAAAAGTCCATTTAACTGCTACCATCGTGCTGATCCCATTAGATTTTTTTGTGCTCTTAACAGTTGGTATCTTGACATTCAGATGCTTTTATCATATCATTGTTACTGGAATGTCTCAAATTGAATCATGGGAGTACGAGAGGCTAGAATCTCAGTTGTCAAGTGAAAGGCTGAGGAACAAGATTAAACATAACTATGAACTTTTATTTGGAAAAGAGTTGAAAGATGTTACATCATGGTCATCGGGAGCAAACGTACTTAGGGAGCCACCAGAAACGAATATACCTTTCTTCACTGTTGATGATCTAGTATTCCCATATGACCTAAACCCTTGGTCAAATCTTTTGCAGGCTTTCGGATATCCTTGGAATTGGATTTTGCCATGGGGAAAGCCATTGGGTGACGGGTTAAGCTACCCAAAGAATGAGTACGCCAATCCAGAAGACCAAGATTTAAGCTCTTTACCATGGCCCCCTGATGGAGGCCATCAGGATCGAATCAATGGGGAACATTTATTCAATGATACAATCCAAGATAATGAACAAGTGGTGCAAAGAAGAATGGTTCATGATCCAAGAAACAATATGAATAGAACTGAATGGTATAATGACTTTGGTGAAAAGCTTTCAGATTTTGGAGTTGATGTTGAAGCTGAAACTTTTGACACACCAAGTGCAGCAGTCGGTTCATCTTCTGAAGCTCGTGAATAGCACAATACATGATTTAACAGATTACACTATAATATAAATATTAACTAAACATCACTGAATGTTACAAGAACTTCAGAAAACAAAAAATTGAAAACACTAAACTAAAATCAAATAAGACATTCTAAAAGTACAAAATTTATTCCTCCATCTTTGCATCACCATCTTTATCAGTTTCCTCTTTACTTTCTTCCTTAACCTCTGCTAATTTTTCATTTTGTTGATCTGTTATTATACTGGTAGTATCAGTGGCATTATTATCCTCTGTATTACCATTATCCTCTGTTACAACATTTTCCTCTGTAGTTGTGTCATTACCTCTAACTTCTGTATCATCTTGAGGAATAGTTGAATCAGCATCAACAGTAACATCAGACTCTTTAACAGATGCAATAGCTGGATTGACAGGTTTCTTAACTTCAGGAATTGTTTCATCACCACCTTCGATGGTTTGATCAACATCAACATCATCCTTGCTAGATTTTTCTTGTTCTTTTTCTTTAGCAGCTTCTTCTTCTTTAGCTTTCGAAACTTCCTTGAATTTTTCAGGTCCTTCAACTAAGGCATCAAAAACATCTTTAGCACCACCAAATCTCTTTTCACCAAGAACAGAACTAGTCTTTTCATCAACAATTTTGCTCAAAGCATCAACACCTTTATTTTTATCCTTTGAAGGGTGGTTGAAGACTGAATAACGAGTAAATTCATCATAAGAATTTGGTTCAAAAAATAGTTTATAATTATCTCTTGTAATTTTGATCTTCATATGGGAATCAGTATAACCTTCAAGATCATTATCCTCAGCATCTTCAGTAATCAAAGATCTCAAGAATGGTAATCTCAGATCACTTGAGTTGATACCTTCAGTTGGATGTGCAATGATATATGAAGTCAAATAATAATTCCATTTATCCTCTTCAGTCTTGTGATCAGTCAAAGTCAAATCATCAAGGGCAAGGTATTGAATGGAGACATGATGTTTATCTTCAACAAATTCAATTCTGAACATATTCTCATCTGGACTCATATGTGATCTAACATTGTTACGATAGATGATTTGATCTTTTGCACTTGTGGTCTTTGATTTTCTATCAGCTTCAAATAGCAACATAATCTCTGAGGTACGAGAATCTGAAACAATAGTATGCAAATGTTTAACCAAGGCTTGAGTGACTTTATCAACAGTGTATAACTTATATGCTCTGTTACGATAAGCTTGACGTAAAGATTCTTCAAACCATTGATGCTCAACATCACCTTCAATAACTCTTTCAGAAAAGGCCAATAGTTGAGAGTAAGCATCATATTTGGCAAATTGTAATCCCATATCTTCAAGTTGATTTGAAATCAAGTTCAAGTCTTTGGCAAATTGAACTTCTGAGCGAGACTTGATATCATTGGTAACTTCTTCATTGATGTTTTTAACTTCAAGTAATCTATCGTATAGGACTCTCAAATGACGGAAGAAAACATAAATGTTGGTGTTACCAAACAAATTGAAGATATTGCGTTTGTCGTTGATAGCTTCTGCTTTTCTATTTTCACCAAGCGATGTTTGAACCCAAGTATCAGAGCCTGAATCGAATTCATTAATATCAATGTCTTCATCGCCATTTTTGGAATCATCTTCAAATTCTGCTGCACCATTTGCAACAGAGTCATGACTTGGAGAAATTGAGTTTTCTGGAGTTTCATCCGGTCTTGATTTCAATTGTTTTGATTTGCGTAAAACATCCTTCAACAAGTTGGTATCACGATGACGTTTACGACTGTTTTCTGAATCTGATGTTGGGGCTGGGGATGCAGTTGAAGCAGCAGAGATATCAGAGCCTTCTTTTTCGTTTGGAACACCATTGGCAGCCTGTGCAAGTCTTTGTTGTAATGCAGATTCTGTAATTTGTGAATCGATAGAAAAGAACAATGAAATAAATGATTTGAAAAACTCATGTAATTTTTCTTTATCACTTGCAGAATATGAACTACCAGAGTTCAAAAACACGTAAACCAATTTGGAAATATCAAACAATACCTCAATATCAGTGAATTCATAATCTAATTGTTTTTGAGCTTTTGGTGTCAGTGGATGTAATCTTTTATTAGTTTGTTCAGACTTGATTGTGCTAATTTCAGAAACTAATTGTTTTGTGGTCAATAGTTTTTTATCAGCTTGTTTGAAGGTTAAACCTAAATGATCTAAAGATTTGAAGAAAACTTTTTGTTCCATTTCTCTCCAGACTTTATTCCATTCACGATGGGCTCTTCTCCATTCTTCATCCTTTTGTTTTAATCTTTTCAACACAATAGGAACAGCAACTGATGGATTATCATGTAGAGCATCAATAACTTCAAACCCTTTATCCTTGTTGTAAACTTTACGGATAACTTTCTTATAGATAGTTTGAGAAGTATGGCCCAAGCCATTTGGTAATTTGAATGAAGCTTTTTCTTCAGGTGTCATATTTGAAATTCTATTGGCAATTGTTTCTAAGGTTTGAATAGTTCTTAAATTGGCCTCCATGTAAAAATCATATTCATGTCTCTCTTCTTCAATTCTGAACAAAATTTCTTCATATTGATTTTTACGATGTGCAATGAAACCAGAATCTTCTGAAGCCCAAGTTGGATGACCGACCCATTCATCATTCAAAACTTCCCAGCACATTTCATCTCTACCAGAACATGGCATATAAGTTTCAGCTTTTGGTAATTTTCTATAACTTGGACCATAAGGTTTACACAATAATAAATCCAATTGGTGTTTTTTATGTGTGATGTTTTCAATATGATATGGTTTATCTTCAAACCCAACAAAAGTTTTGAACCAATCAAACAGATCCAAATGAGAACCAATAAAACCTTCAACTCTTTCTATCAAGGTATCTTTATCAATCAATTCTTGGTTGAACAAGTTAACGATTTTCAAAAATTCATTATAACTTTGTTTACTACCAATAGCTTTTTTAACTTTATCAAAAAACCCAATCTCTTCAATCAAGTTGGAGGTTTTATGAGGAGGCTGAACAGGTTCAGGAACACCAGGAACTAATGTTGGTGTGGTTTCCTCAATAAATTTACGTTTTGGTGCCATTGATATGGATCCACGTAAGTTTGATGTTGGAATATCTTTGTTGCCCATTCTACCAGCATCATAATTTGCCAATTGATCATTAGTGACTTCAAATTTTTTCATCTTACCAGCTGTTGGAGGTGAAAAGTTACCCACTGGAGGTAATTGAGGTTGTCCTTGAAGTTGCTGCTGTTGTTGCTGTTGTTGTTGATAACAGTCACTACCTTGTTGTAACAAGGCGGAACCATTAGCAGCTTGTCCATTTGTATCAGGTAAAAATTGTTTGAAATCATCTAACAAATCTGGTGCATTTTGAAACAAGATAGTTACTTGAGAATAAACCTCAGCAATTGGTTTTTGTTCTCTTTGATAAGTTTGCAAAATTTCCAAAAAGTGTTTGTAAATATCAGGTTGATTAGCAAAACGAGTCTTGATTTTGTTGACATAACTAATGGCATGATTAAATTCAACTGGACCACCAGATTTTCTGTCTCCTAATTGAGTGATGCTATTACCTCTATTAGCAGCAGCTTGCAATTGGGACATTGTAGATTGTTCCTGATTAGGATTAGCATAATGGCTGTAAGGATCATTTGGAGCTTGGACTGGTAGTTGTTGAGGTGGTTGCTGTTGAGGTGGTTGTTGAGACACTGAAGGAGGTTGTTGGCGCTGTTGCGGCTGTTGTTGACCTTGAGCTTGAGCACCTTGGGATTGGATTTGTAAACCTTGAGCACTTTGACCCGCGGCATGGGGTATACCAGATTGTGAAGAATGTGATGGCCAACGTTGTTGTTCAAAAACAATGTTTGAATTTGTTTCTGGACGTGTAGTTGTTCCCATTGGTGTAGTCACTCTTATTGGATTTGGATCAGATGGATCCAAGGAGCATTCAATTCTATAACCAGGAGGTAAAAAGGTGTTAAAACCTTGAATCAAACTTGGATGACCTCTGAATAAGGTGGAAACGCGATCAATAACGCCTGGAGTATCGATAGATTGACTTTTAAAATCCTTCATAATGTCCAAAAAGTGATTGTACACGTCTGGACGATTTTGAAACTGGACTTTAACTTGATCCAAATACGAAAGTGCATCCTTCACGTTCAAAGGTCTGTAAGCTGACATTGGAGTACCAGGGCCGCTATGTTGCTTTGGAGCGCTCTGCTGTTGCTGTTGAGCTTGATTTTGAGCCTGGTGAGCTTGTTGTTGTTGAGGTTGTGGTTGTTGTTGAGAGGAGGCAGAAGTTGTTGGTGTTGCAGAAGAACCAGCTTGACTTTGACTTGGGAGGGTACCTTCGGATTTGACTTGAAAATTTAGAGGAGGCTGATAGGATGAGATGTTAGTACTTGGAACAACAGTCTTGAGTGCCACGAAGCTTTTGGGAACAGTGTCCTTGTAATGAATACTTACTGGATTGATGCCATTGTTGGCTGGGTTCAACACAAAGTTGTGGGACGCATTGCTCAACCCACCGACATTGATTGAAGGAAGTGAATAAAACCCACCTGTGGAAAAAAAGTTAGTAAAATGAACCAAGAAACACGCGTTCATAAAGTGATCTCGGATAGCAGACAGCTTCTTCATCTCATTATTGAATGGAGGGCTCCATATTTTCTTGATCTTGTTGTGTTGTTTTTTTTTCTGTTGAGGTGAAGAATCCTTGCCCCGAGACCATTATGACTTTGAAAAGAAAACACTCACCAGATTCAAGTGACGAATGAGAAGGTAATGATGATGGAGGTGGTAAAACAGGTGCTCCTTGACGACTTTGAAATATTAGTATAACCAATCTTTAATCAGTCCGAGATGATAGCTTAAACACTTGAGTGAATTTCATAAATCTATCATCCCATCTTTTAGCACCAGTACATACTGTTGAAGAGATGGAATCCCTGGTCTGTTTGCATCTGAAGAATCAGAACCTTTCCAAGGCTCTTGATTGGACATTATAATAGAATAATATCAGTTGCTCTTTCTCAAATCTGTTTTTCTCTTTGATATAGATGTTGTATTCTTTGTCAAGTTTTAACGTAAATAAGGACTTTGTAAGAAAAGAAAAAGATCTTTTCCAAGTATATGACACTAAAATCCTCGATGTATGGTTTGGACTTTGACTCTCAGCAAAAGAGTTGAATCTATCCAGTCGTGAATTTGTTGCAAACACTTGATTTATATGTCTTTTTCCAGATGAAAACAATTCTGTTAAAACTTGCAACAGAAAGGAAACGAGTACAAATTGTGTACTTCCCATAACTGCTAAATGGCACTTGGATTATTGTCGATCGAGAATTCCTGGTTCGGGCCACGCATTTTCTGCCAAAATTCAAATCTCTCAGTACCGGGTAAAGCCATATGTGTGGCCCGTTTCAAATTTCCGGGTTAATCTTGGATTTCGCCACGGCCACTACTTCACCAACTTTTCAGAGCTCAACTGGGTCAAGTATCTACCAATAGATCCTACGATCAATAACTTTGAACAACACACCCACTTAGCCTTTACCATCAACCATTATCCATCATGAATGCTCCAGATCGTTTTGAATTGTTCATTCTTCCGGACGGTGTCTCCAAGTATGTTACTTTATTATCTTTCAGTTCCACGTCAAAACTAACAACTCTTTTAGAATAAAAGTGGAGCCAGATGCAAGAGTACCAAACGCTGCTATTGTCACTTTTGAAAAAGAAGATCATACGCTAGGTAACTTACTAAGAGCGCAACTCTTGAAAGACGAAAGAGTGTTGTTTGCTGCTTATAAAGTTGAACATCCATTATTTGCCAAATTTGTCATGAGAATTCAAACTGAAGAGAATTATTCCCCGAGAGAAGCATTAAGAAATGCATGTAATAGTGTTATATCGCAACTTGATGTCCTAAGAGAAAGATTCAAAAACGAATGGGCTTTGAAGTCATTTGCTGCTGATGCTGCTGATCTTGAATGAATTCAAAAAACAAAAAGTTCAAAATAATAAAACCACATGTATATTATTACCCTTGTACAATATATCAATCAAAATTAATGAAAGATTTACACATTAAGAGTTTTGGTTATTCGTGTACTCTTGTATACTACCTTTATCTACAGCCTTCAAATTTCTTAAAAAAACTTTTCAATTTTATTAATGCAATTATGTGAAAATTAATTGAATGTGAATGGTGAACATGAACCGAAAAATGTAATTATCCATGTTACTTTCATAACCAATCATATGGGGGTATCTTGAAATTAATATGATCATAAAAAGGCTGAAATCCGAAAGGGAGAAAAAAAACTCACAAATATTATTATGATTCAATTTGAATCTCTAGAAAAATGACCAACAAAGGTGAAATAAAAACGGAACAAAAAAGTGAAAACTAATATGATATTCCAATGACCATGTATGAGAATTGTCCAAGAAAAAAAGCATAATCAAACGGGAATTGAATCAACATTCCAACAACTATATTGGGATATTTACCTTGTCTCTCAACGCCTCCTTAATCAAACCAAGTTTTTCTTCCAACCCTATGTCCATTTGAACAGATGGGAAACAACCATCTCTTATAACGTTTGCTAACATGCATGTTTCTGATGTACGATCTGGTGAAATATAAGTGATCACAGAACCTGTCTGTGAAATGCAAATCTTGTGATGATCCCTAAAATTGAATTGAATAGATCCATTACTCATTTCAAACATAACATAAAGATCATATCTTGTATATCTTCTTAAAAAGATTTCTTCTTGTTCTTCTATCAGAGAATCTTCATCATTGGAAACTCTGCATAAATTAGTCTTCATATATCTAGCAAAAAAATCTGCAATCTCTACTTGTCTTGATAACTCTGATGGAATGTGACCCAATTTGTACTCAGATGCAACCCAACCATCAACTTCATCATTTACAATATACCAGAAGCTATCAGAATGGTTGACACGAAGCAGAGTGTTTCCATCATTGAATAAAACACCAATGTCATCTGAGGAGAGTTGATATGAAAAACCATGCTTATTAGAATAATCAACCCATTTACTGATTAATGTTGGGGCTCTCAAATTACCACTGCTGGTGAATTTATTATGAACTCTCATTCTAGCTTGACGTTCTGCAATAGAGATACCATTCAATGTGTTGGTGCATTCTTGTTTCAAGATAGCATCAGAAAATCTTGCTGTTGCTGTTTGCTGTCTTGAAGAACTTTTGTGTGCAGCCCTATCTTCATCTAATCTTCTAGCTTTGCCTAATTTTGAAGAGCTATCTTCAATCTTTCTTGAACGGGTTGGTAAGTCTGTAACTTCCTTATATTTGCTCTTCGTATTACCAGGAGATAATGATTGAGGTAAAATAGCCTTTGGTTTTTCTGATTCCAAGTCTGATCTCAAAATCTCAACTGGGTTTTTATGGGATGAATGAATTAAACCAGCAGATCTTCTAGTATTCATGAAGTTGATCTGTGATTGGTTTCTGTCCAAATATGAAAAATCAGGAACGCTAACTAGAGTTTCAACTGTAATTCTGTCTGGGAATGGACCTTTGAAAAAATCATATTCCAAAATCTCATCTAAAGTTGGTCTTTTCAATGGATTTGTTGATAATATATCTTGAATTAATATCTTGGCTTCATCTGAGATAGGTTTGTCTTCTGGAAAACCATAATCATTGGTTTTAATTCTTTCATAGATGAGAGAAACATCTTTAGATTGGAAAGGTGGTTTACCAACTAATAATGCATAAAGCATGACACCAATTGACCAAATATCAACCTCATAACTATGACCAGTAGTTTTCCCTGTTAAAACTTCTGGGGCAATATAATTTGGAGTACCACAAATGGTGTATTTACGATCTTTATCAGCATGCAACACAGCAGCAAGACCAAAATCACCAATTTTCAAATTCATATCTGGATCAAAAAAGATATTACCTAACTTCAAGTCCCTATGAATAACTCTTCTGGTGTGCATATATCTAATCCCTCCGATAATTTGTGTCATGAAAAATCTAACCTCTGGTTCTTTTAAAGCTTTTCTTTTCTTCAACAAATCCATCAACGACTGATTTGGACATATTTCTAGTAAGATATAAACATTAACATCATCTTCAAAACAATCAACAAATTGAACAATATTTGGATGGGACATGGATTTATGGATCTTGATTTCTGAAAGCAATTTTGTCTTGGTCTTATCACTTTTAATTGATGCTTTAGCAACAGTTTTAGCAGCAAAGACTTCACCAGTATCATCTCTGATTTGGAAACATCTTGCAAATCCACCTTCACCTAAAAACAACCCTCTTTTATAATCCTTACCAGTTCTTGTACGGATTAAAGATGGTGGAGTTTTACATAAGGCTGACAATTTTTCCTTCTTCTTTTTAGCCTTCTCTTTCGGCTGTTCATTAACCTTTTCAGCTTTGACTTCATTTTCAGTTTCAGCTCTTCTAGTAGATTTCAATGGAGTAATCTGTTGATTTTGGATTCTTGATCTGGCATTCAATTCTCTTGCACCGAGTGCTTGTAACGGTTGACCTCTAACAGCAGCCATGATGAATTTGGTGGATAAAAGTAAACGGTTTTAAAATTGACTATTCTGATTGATGAAAACAGCTCTTCATAAAAAGTTTAGTCTAAATGAGTTGTGCAGTTTGATGATTGATGCTAAGCGCTACCACAAAAAGGAATTTGATGGTACAGAATTCAAGAGGAATGAGCTTTCTGCGAACAAAAACAATTGAGGAACAAAACAACTTGTGTATGGGTATAACGAAGATGTAACCAAGTGATTATGGACCGTTGGAACTGACCAGTTTGACCTTGAGTGGCTTTAGAGAAAGTGTGAGAAAGTGCTGAAATGTATCTTTTTATTTTTCCATTCAGATTCTGGCTCAAGCAGAGCTCAAGCTATGTTTGTTTTCATTTCTGCAGAGATTCCTCCCAACTCGGCAATTCATAAACAAAAACAATCTGCTGCGCTGGCGAAAAATTCCCCAAAACAGTTTAACAAAAACAGATCCAATTTCGCAGCCAAAGATCTTGTTTCGAGTTTGTGAGTGAAAAGATCTGGCATTAATTTGTAGAGAAGACAGCTCGTGTACTTGGTGTCACTGTTTGAGTGCTTTGTAGAGGCGTATTTGTTCCATGTTCTCTGGATTTGTTTCCCTCGGACAACCAATCCAGCAGTCAGAGAAATCAGATCCAATAGTACTCTAGAGTATAATTCTGATTAAGCTTCTTCATATAGTCTTTAGCTTAGATTCGTGTATCTGGGTAGTCCTGTCCCTTTGTAGTTCCTTCTTTAGTTTCATCATGATACCTTGGGCCAACTAGCTACATCTTATTGACATTCGATGATTCAGTCATGTGATAATCATATGATCTATCATGTGACCGGTTTTGGGCGCGCGAAAGAAAAAAAACAAAAAAGAAAAGCAAAATTGGTGTCTGTCTTTTGACATAGAAATTCGAAAAGTGTTTGAATTTGTGCTTTCAACTTTTTCGCTCTTCGGAACAACTTCAGTTTTCAATCATATCAGTATTGTATCCACGATTAGTTGCCTCAAAATATTGGTGTTCGAAAGGCTCAGCAAGTCCTCAAAGCTTTAATACCAGTGCTGATACCTCAGAGTTACAAAAATAAAGATTTCATTAATACTTATCAAAAGTTCATCAACAGATCTTGAGCCAAATTTTAAATTACATTCAGACTATTTAATCCTCGGTCCAGCATAATGTCTGACTCAGAAGATGATATTGTTTTGGCTCGCAGAACCAAGAGTATGTATGAACTTTGGAGTTTGTTGTATCTTTGTGGAGATCAACAGCTCATCGGATTTTTATACGCGTCCGTCAGTACTAACAACAAATTCTTAAGAACAGCCATCCCTTGCGGCCAATGAAAGTGACGAAGATGATGTTCCTCTGTCCCAACTAAAGAAAGAGAGTTCTCCTGATGATACCTCAATCTCATCGAATAGTCAAAAGAGTGCTTCAAAAAATTCAAAGGCTTCAAAGCGGAAAACACCATCAACTTCATCACAACCAAAGAAAAGGGTAAAGAAGGAAGTCAAAGATGAAGAAGAGGACGACGATGATGATGATAAACCAGTTGCCTCTAAAAAAAAGAAGGCCACAAATGGAACAGCAAAAAAGGCTAAAGCACCAGCTAAAAAACCTGTTAAAAAAGAGGAAACTCCAAATAGTGATGAACCAGAAGAAGAAACTTATAAATGGTGGGAAGACCAAAAGGATGATGATACTTTCAAATGGGATACCTTAGAACACCATGGTGTGATGTTCCCGCCTCCATATGAACCACTTCCATCACACGTCAAACTTTACTATGATGGAAAACCTGTTGATTTGCCTCCGGATGCTGAAGAAGTTGCTGGTTTCTATGCTGCTTTAGTTGAAACTGATCATGGTAAAAATCCCGTTTTCCAAAAGAATTTCTTCAATGACTTTTTACAAGTTTTATCTGAATCTGGTGGTTGTAATGTTGACATCAAAGAATTCGAGAAATGTGATTTCTCCAAGATGTATAACTACTTTGAACTTAAAAAGGAAGAGAAAAAGAACGTTCCTGCATTTGAAAAGAAGAGAATAAAATTGGAAAAGGAAAAAGAAGAAGAACCTTACAAATTCTGTTTGTTAAATGGTAGAAAAGAACAAGTTGGTAATTTCAGAGTTGAACCTCCAGGTCTTTTCAGGGGTCGTGGTGCACATCCAAGAACTGGTAAATTGAAAAGACGTGTGCATCCAGAGGATATCATTCTTAATTTGGGTGAAAATGCTGCTGTTCCACCTCCTCCAGAAGGCCATAATTGGGGTGAAATCAAACATGATAACACTGTTTCTTGGTTAGCAATGTGGAGGGAAAATGTTTTAAACTCTGTGAAATATGTTAGATTTGCTGCTAACTCTTCATTGAAAGGTATGAGTGATTACAAAAAGTTTGAAAAAGCTAGAGAATTGAAGTATCACATTGAAGCTATTAGAAAGGATTATCAATCAATGCTTCGTGATAAATTGATGTTGAACCGTCAAATTGCAACTGCTACTTATTTGATTGATATTTTCGCCCTTAGAGCTGGTGGTGAAAAATCGGAAGATGAAGCTGATACTGTTGGTTGTTGTTCTTTAAGATACGAACACATCACTCTGAGTCCCCCAAACACTGTTGTTTTTGATTTCTTGGGTAAAGATTCCATTAGATTTTATCAAGAGGTTCAAGTTGACCATCAAGTGTTCAAAAACTTGAAGTTATTTAAAAAGGCACCAAAGAAACCTGGTGATGAGTTATTTGATCGTTTAGATCCATCCATTTTGAACAAACGTTTTCAAAATTATATGCCAGGTCTTACTGCTAAAGTTTTCCGTACTTATAATGCATCAAAAACTATGCAAGATCAACTTGATTTGATTCCTAATGAAGGTACTCCAGCTGAAAAAGTTGTGAAATTCAATGCTGCCAATAGAACTGTTGCCATTTTATGTAACCATCAAAGGTCTGTTGCTAAAGGTCATGAAGCAGCTATTCAAAAAATTACTGACAGAATCAAAGAAATGTTATGGCAAAAAATCAGATTTAAAAGAATGATGCTTCAATTGGATAAGAATTTGAAAAAGAAGAAGCCAAAATATTTTGAAGAATTAGAAGACCTCACCAAGGAAGACGAATTGGAAATTCACAAAGTCATCATTGAAAGGGAGCGTGATAAACAGCACAAAAAATTTGCCAGAGATAATGAAAAAAGAAAAGAAGACGGTGAAAAATTGTTACCTGAATCTGAACTCAAAGAGGCTTTAAAGAAAGTTGATGAACTTGAAAAAGAATATGCCAAAGAAGCCAAAAGTGGTAAGCCTGAAGTTAAACCAGCAAATACAACAGTTGAGAAATTAGAAGCACAAGTTGAAAAATTGGAACAAAGAATTGCCAATACCACATTGCAATTGAAAGACAAAGAAGATAACTCAGAGGTTGCTTTGGGGACTTCAAAGATTAATTATATTGATCCAAGATTATCAGTTGTCTTCTGTAAGAAATTCGATGTTCCAATCGAAAAGATTTTTACAAAGACATTGAGAGATAAATTCAAATGGGCTATCGAATCAGTCGATGAAGATTGGAGATTCTGATAGTGTTTTAAAAGTTTGAGCTATTCTGTTTCATATTATACAGTAGACTTTATTGTATTTAATATATTAATTAATTGTTGATCTATTTGTATACTTTGGCCACTAGTAGTAATCAAGATCAACACGTTTAGACGTCAATTTAGCCCTAAATTTAGTTAATTGGTATGGTATGTTACGTCTGATGAACAAGACAGGAGACATCGCTCATCTGGCGTTAATCTCCTTTGAAATTGCGTCCAAGCATGCTTAACTGCTCTGCGGCTCTTCCGATCTTTGGTCTCCTTATAAGCTGTAATAGGCCTAATTGGTTTCTTCTTTCGCGTATGTTTTATCCATTTCTGTGTACTTTTTAGATTTTACGTGTACTAAAAATTTCGCGTTGTTTTGGTTTTTTTGTCGCGTAGGCACATTCTTTGCAGCAAGTCGCATTAACCAACTCCTTCCAAGTTCCAACTGAAATCAAACAAAAACCCTTCAGCACTTATAAAGAAGATCTTTCCTTGGTTGCCCATCTTTGTAAAGAAAGCATTTTCTCTTTTGAATCGCTGAGCAACTTTCATTAATATCCCACTCCCTCGCCTATTCATTCATTCATTCATTATCACTCACACTCCTTTAATCTGAATAATCAACTATCATATACAATTGATCTAATAGCTATGAGAGTCTTCAATATTTATCTACTCGCGTTTATAACGCTGATATCCTCAGCTAATGCTGCCAGCTCAGGTTCAATGCCAAAATCACTTCAATCGAAGGGAACATCTACATCATCAACTCAAAGCTCTACAAGTTCAAGCACATCAGGTTCCTCCAGTGGCTCAACTTCTTCATCAATGCCAAAAATGAGTAGTTCTTCTGAGTCCTTTAAAACAACAGGAATGCCAAAAATATCTGCAACAGCATCACCAAATTCAAACAGCACCAGCTCAAGCTCCTCTTATACCGTCACATTCACACCTATAGTTCCAACTGCTTCAAACCCAGAAATCCATATTGAGACTCTCCCATCTGGCACTACATTCATTGCTGTTGGTTCTGTTTTAGGTTTGGTATTTTCTGTGCTAATTTTGACAAGATTAATCATGTCTTGTGTATCGTCAAGAAGGGCTAGAAAGGGAAATATGATGCAAAATCAACAACAAGAGTTTGACTATGATCCAACGTTATTCCAAGAAAAGGATCTTAAAAAGCATACTAGTCGGGCATCAATATACTCATTAGGTTCAACTTCAACCTTGAATGTACTTGGCTCCCAAGCTTCAATGGAACAAATGATAGCTCCAAGTGGAAGATCTTTAAGAACAGCATTGATGAACAATAACTCCAGAGCATCAATGTTCATTTCACCAACAGAAATGCTAGTGAACCAACATCTCTATTCTCGCTCACAAGAAGATCATGGCTATTCGTCATATGATTCGCCAATAGAGAGCCCGTCCACTGCTGCATATACTACACCAAGCTTAGAGCCTGCGCGTAATGATCAAAGAAGACCTTCAAGACCTCCTAGTGTCTTTATGGAGCAATTGTTTGATGATGAACAATCTATCAACTCCTATGAGTATGATAGTGATGCACATAACAAGGTTTAAGGAAATTCCTTGACAAATTAAACAATTCATCTGCACAGGTTCTTATAGATTTATAGATTATGTTATACTTAAAGGACAATGTACACAACTTGCATATCTTTCTTTTCATGTATTATATATTGTTCGACAATCTTTAACAATGAGCTAAATGGATAATCAACATTTCATAATGTATATGATAATGAATAAATAAATAATGGTTTAATTGAAATAAATAGTTTCAATAAATAAATAATTTGGATAAATAGTTAATAAATAAATAATGAATAAATAAGAGATGAAAATCAACGATCAACTTCACCAAAGACAAGATCCATAGTACCAATAATAGCAACCGCATCTGCTAAAAAGTTACCTCTTGCAATATGATCGAATGCACCCAAATGAGCAAAACCTGGAGTTCTAATCTTACATTTATATGGTCTTTCAGATCCATCACTGACTAAATAAACACCCATTTCACCTTTTGGAGCTTCAATTGGGACATAAGCTTCACCTTGTGGGACTGCATAACCTTTAGTAAATAATAAGAAATGATGAATCAAAGCCTCCATATCTTCTTTCATCAAACTTCTTGGTGGTGGTGAGATTTTATAATCTTCAACTTTGACACTACCTGCAGGCATATCGTTACAACATTGTTCAATAATTCTCAATGATTGTCTAAATTCTGCCATACGAACCAAATAACGATCATAACAGTCCCCATTTAAACCAACTGGAATATCAAAGTCAACTTTATCATATGCATCATATGGCTGAGCTTTACGAATATCATAAGGAACACCTGAACCTCTCAACATGACACCTGAGCAACCATAGTTTTGAGCTTCTTCGGCAGTCAATTTACCAACTCCAATGGTTCTTTGTTTCCAGATTCTGTTATCAGTTAATAATTCTTCAGTTTCATCAATACGATCACCAAATTGTGTAGCCCACATGTAAATATCATCTAACAACCCTTCTGGTAAATCTTGAGAAACACCACCTGGTCTGAAGTAGGCAGCATGTAATCTTGCTCCTGAAACTCTTTCATAAAATTCCATCAATTTTTCACGTTCTTCAAACCCCCATAAAAATGGAGTTAAAGCACCAACATCCATCGCGTGTGACAAAACAGACATTAAATGATTCAAAACTCTTGTAATTTCACCAAATAAAGTTCTAATGTACTTAGCTCTCAAAGGGATCTCAACATTCAATAACTTTTCGGTAGCTAAAGCGAATGATAACTCATTGGTCATCATGGAAACATAATCCAAACGATCAAAATATGGTAAAGCTTGCAAATAAGTCTTACTTTCAATCAATTTTTCTGTAGCTCTATGCAATAATCCAATATGAGGATCCGCTCTGATAATTTCTTCACCTTGCAATTCCAAAATCAATCTCAAGACACCATGAGCAGCAGGATGTTGTGGTCCAAAATTAACAGTAAAATGTCTAATCTTTGTGTTTTGAGCACCAGGATCCAAATTAACATCATCACTAGTAGTTTTCAATTCTTCAGTTATTGTGGTTGGCTGATAAGTTCCTAGTGGATTGTTTATAGATTCCTGGACAGGCATTCTATGTTGTGGAGGTTTGTGGGGGACATAGGCATCATATTCACTTTGAAGCACTCTTGAACTGACTGAAAGGCTTCTAGCGCTTGGCCTTGTGGCTTTAGTTAGAAGCTTATAAGTTGTGCTCCGTGTAATTGATCTATGAAGCATTGTGCAGCTTGTATTTTTTTCTTCTGAAGCAGATTCTCTATTGGTTATCCCTTAAATTTATCTCCTCGACCAAAACAAACAGCCTGAACAAGGTACAACAGATTGGAAAAAATAACAAAAAAGGGTCCAATTGATCAACAAATCACTAAATTTTTCAAAAGATTCAATAGGTTTTGAAATTGCACTTTGGTACTCAAGGGCTTCTAGTTTTAAAGATTTTGCCCAATAAAAACATCCTTAAAATAATGATTTTTTTTCTCCACCGACAAAAAACAAAATCGGTACCGGGGCAGCATTTACTGGTAAGAGCAACATTATATATAACGTCTATTAGAAATTTAACATTATTTAAACTCATCTATAACACTGACTGGTTTGACATACGTTCCAATTGGATTGTATTTAATATCATCAAGACCAAAAGCTTCAGGTCCACCCACTTTGAGACCTTTTTCTGTATCCGTCCACAAATTGGAAGGAGAAATTGCCAAAACAAAAACAACTAATCCGTATTTATAATCTGGAGTACCGACAGCTTCACCAGTATCGGCATCGATTACTGTGATGAGATCTGGAACGGAGGCTATAATTTCACCTTCAAGGCTTGCATAAATATTTTCATTTTGGAAAGGTATCTTCAATGTTTGTCCTTGTTTGGAATTTTCAATAATGACTTCTCCAAAAACATAACCTTTATGAACCTTCTTTTCAACAGCAACGATCTTACCTTCGAATAGTTTTTTGGCTCCAGTTGGCTTAACTGAATTGATTATATGCTCTGGTAGGTTTTCAATATCACTTTTTTGTCTTGCAATTGCAACAGCTCTACCAACTCTCCAAGCCAACGAGATACTATTTCTAATAACAAGCGAATTAACATCTTTAATTGAAGACACCAACCCAACAAATGAACCTAGTTCTGATAGCGCAGCTCTGACAACCTTTTCAGCGTATTGATTGGTTTTCGTCTTGTGTACGACAACATCATTGCCGTTACCATCACTAAATGCACAAGGTGAGTAAAAAGAATCTTCAGATAAGACAACTGGAGTAATCTGCCAAACCATTGGATAAGCACGACCCATAAGATCAGCATCTATAATTTTTGTATTCAATTCAGCACCCAATAACAAAGATTGAAATCCATTACCTCCTCCAATCTCTAACGCAACAACAGACTCAATATTTCCTTTGAAGTTTAATAAATTGTAGGCATTTTTGATTTCAGAGCCCTGTAGTCGTTCATTGGCGACAGTTGGTGAGCCACAGAATCCAACGGAAATTGAATCGTAATTTTGTTTAAAATCAACATCCACAACCCTCATAACTCCACCACTTTTCAATAAATTTTTGGCAATGAGATACTGAGGATATGGATCACCACCTCCACCACAACCAAGAATATATGTCCCTATTCTTAAAAGCTCAAGATCTGTTTGGCTTATCAACCATTCTTTATCACTGGTGATTGATGGCTTATATTCCTCTATATTTTCCATCTTTTCTGAATCATCATCACGTCTCATTGCATTCTTAACGAAAACTTCTTCTTCCTCTTCTGAGCTTGTTAATATGTCAGTTGGAACTGTATCTTTTAATTTCGCAAAGTCAACGTCAGCGATTACCTTCACTTCAAACCTATGAAGATTAGCATACGGTACTTCCTCAGAGTTAATATCAACAACAGTTATCGTTGGTTCCAGTGCACCATTGGCCAAAGCTTTCGCAAATGCTTGTTCTTTCAACTCATTGATAATTTCATCCTTTTCATCAGTCTTTCCGAATTTTTGAGCTACAGCACTGATTTTACCAATGGCTGCTCCTATTGCATTTGCAACCTGAAAATATTTAGGTCTCCAAGCTTCTGAAGCACCTTTGATTTTCTTTGGTAAAATAAAGGAACCACCACCAACTAATAAAACAGGAACATCAACAGGTGAGGTTTTCATTTTATCAATAACTCTTTCAATCATGTTTAATATTTCCAATTCATACTTTCCTTTTAGCTCATTGGAAACTTTGCCTTTTACTCTTGATTTATCACCAATTGATAGAATTGGGTTATCAACATCTTCGTTCTCTAATTCCACTGCTACCGCAATGTCTGAAGTTGTTAAAGTTGAGCCACCACCGACTATAGATTTACCAAAATCATTACCAACAGAGTCAGGACCAATTGTGACGTGTGTTCCATGGTCTCTCACAATAGAACCACCACCTAATCCAATACTTTCGACTTGAGGCATTGACAATCTAGTCTTCACACCTCCAATAAAAGAATATGATGATGTCTTTCTTGGATAACCATTTGGTAAAAGTAACCCAACGTCGGTTGTAGTACCACCAACATCAACCACTATAACATTTTGACCTTCGAATTTGTTTAAAAGAAAAGACGCCCCTCTCATGGAATTTGTTGTTCCTGAAGAAAATGTCTTGATTGGAATCTTGAGCGCTTCATTAATTGTCAAGACTGTACCATCATTTTGAGTCAATAAAATAGGAGCATCAATCCCAGATTCCCTGACAGCTTTGGCAAAAGCTTTAATGATCTTATTTGCAAAGTTTTTGACAGCAGCATTCAAGATTGTTAAATTTTCACGTTCTAATAAACCAATTCCACTTAGTTCATTAGATAAAACAATATTGGCATCTGGGAGTTCCTTTTTCAATATCTCAAGCACTTTCAGCTCTTGTTCTGGGAAAACAGGTGAAAATATACCAGTAACTGCGATTGATTTAATACCTAAATCTCGGATCTGTTTAGCATGATTTTTGATTTCTTCTTCATCTATTTCAACGATTGTGCTACCATCGACATGAAAGCCACCTTGAATCAATCCTTGATACCCATCCAACAAGTTTTGTAAGTCTCTAGGGAAATCAGAAAATGGGGGAACATTATGAGAATAAGGACCACATATTCTTAGGACAGCTACTTTATCTAAACGAGCTTGATCCCTTTCAACAATTGCATTAATGAAATGAGTAGTACCTATAGTCAGCGACAATATATCATCTTTTGAAACATCAGGCTGCGATTTGAACAATTCTAATATGGAGTTCTTTATACCTTCAGAGACGTTGTTTGTAGTCAATTGTTTGTTCCATGATAAGACTGAATGGTTGTTTATTGAACGACTAGGATCCAACAAAACAGAGTCAGTGTTTGTTCCACCAACATCAATTCCGATTAGATACTTCGACATCTTCTTTTTCCCCTTTTGCACAGCCAAATTCACAAGCAAGCAGCTCTATAGCAAATGAATTCTATTGTCTTGATGATATATGTAGAAACTTGAGGTATGTTGAGAAATTAGTACATACTACACACTCGGCGCTCAAATTCATAAAGGAAAGAGACGCCCTTCGGAAATGCCCCAATTAGGTGGGATAGCCATGGGTGTATCCCAAATCTGAATTTGAGGTCTAAAGAGAATTCACAAGTTCAAAACAAACCGGCAAAGTTTTCTTTAAAACTTTGCCGCTTATGAGTTTGACTTCAAAGTTCAAAGCACAACAAAAGCCTTTTCACCAGGGGTAAAATAATATTTCTTGAAATACTCGCCAGAAGGGCAAGTAGGCAGGAGAGCACTGTCGTCTGCCTGGAGATTCCCCAGCGGTGGGCAAGGACCTGGCCTAGCTCCAGAGCGGGCGTCTGCTAGGAGGAGTTTGAGACAGCAGAACCGCCTGGGAAGCTATCCGCGGGTGGATCTCCTGTGAGCTTAAGCACAGTTAAAATACTACCAGCGGACATGGGAGCGATGGCCTTGTTGAAGTTTAAACTTGAAAAGAGAAGAAAGATAAAGCTACGAATGATAAAGCCAAACGAGTATTCGAAAGCAGGTGGTTGACTGTGGCTAGAGCCTCTATCAGAATTTGAATAACGAAAATTGTGTGTTAAGGTAAGTCAAGAGCTCAATAACATGAAGTAGTTGGTTTCGAATCATCATGGTTAGACACAAACTCCAAGGCATTAGTGTGTGTAACTGCAAGAAATTCATAACACTGAATACATTACATAAAACGTACAACAAAAAAACTGAACCTTTCATCAAAAAGAGCAATAAAATTATTATAAAAACAAAACAACGTCCAACTCCTGATCGACACAACTCTTAAGTAAAAAAACCTAGTAACTTAGTACCTTAACTGTCCTTATGATCTATAGCCCTTAAGCTATTCTATATCCAGAGAACTCTGAATAGTACATGTTGTTTAATTCATCAATACCTTGAGGTCCAACATCATTCCAGAATGAATCAATACCACTCAAATTAATTTCAATTGGTGTTCCTTGTCTCACAAACCCATCAGTACCATTATTATTATTCATTTCAGAAGATGACGAAGTGAGAGGAATTGGTTGTTGAAGAGGGAAGCCTGGATCTTGAACAGTCATTGCAGATTGAGGAATTTGTGCGGTTGGTTGTTGTGGCTGTACCTGCTGAGTTGGATCGATATTTTGTTGAGGTGATTCTTGAGACCTCATAGCCTGAGCTTTCAATAATTTCAATTGTTTCTCCATTGAATTTTCTTTTGAATTTGCTTCAGATTTCAAGCTTCTAACTTGATTGAATTTTTCAACTGATTTACCAATTAAATCACTGCTGACTGACGTACCCAATTGGTTCTCATAATCAAAATCGTTTTTCTCAGCAGCTGGTGGTTCATTACTTGCTCTTCTATCAACTTTATCAATGATGAAAGAAACAGTGCATTTTTGCAAATAATTTTCAGTCATATCTTTACCACCAAAAACATTCGAGACAATATCCTTTTGATCCTTTTCCAATTCAACCAAATTCTTATTAATACTCTTCTTCAATGCATTCAACACTTTAAAACTTTCTTTCAAAACTTCAGGCTTCAAAATAAAAACTTCTCTCCCTAACACTTCCAAATCTTTCAACATCCAATCAATATCACCATATAAAGCATTTTGATCCTCCAGAGAAATTTTGTGATTCAACAACAACAGCATGGACTGAATAATAGACCCAGTGAAAGATTGATGAATTTGTGACAAGAATAAAGGATTCTTTAAATCATAAATCTTTCTCAATCTTTTATAAACTTCAAATAAGGCTCTAGCAGATGTGACACCAACTTCCCAAGCAATAGGAATATCATCAGATAAATAATTTTGATAAATTCTGAATCTGTGGATACAAATACAAGTGTGTAACATATGATGTTGAAATTGAATTTTTGGGTCATTAATACTTGGAAGATTACCAAACTTATCCATCTGGAAAAACCAACCTTTTGAACTATCACACAATTCAATATCAATTTCAATCAGACCTTTGAATAACTGATCTTCAACTTTTTCCAAATTATTTTTCAAATCTGTTGAACTAATTTGTTCATGAATTTCATGTTCCTTTTCATAAATCCCATTCAAAATCTTCATCATTTGAGCACGATAGATATTAAAAGAATTATCAGTGGCAATTGAACTTGATCTTATCTTGATACTCTCCTTGGTTATATCAGTATCATTTGCATTAGCAGGTAATGGAACAGTATTGCTATAGGACCTAATTAAAGGTTTAACACCCAAAGATAATGATCTAAAAGAATCACAACCACAAACATCCCACCATAACCTTCTTTTCATCTGCACCTCTAACAAATTTGGATTTTCAGAATCATCCTTATCCAATCCCATTTTCAAACAATCTTTTATAGCTTTCTCCAATATTTCAATCAGTGCTTCGGCTCTTTTAGTTGCATAAAAATATAATTGACATAATGAAAAACATTGTAAAGTATAGATATTGAACTTTGTAGGATCGGTTTGCATAGAGTCCCAAATATTTATACATTCTCTACTTGCTTCAAACCAAATCTTGTGGGATTTTTCAATCTCTTGAGAAGTTATATTGATTAAACCTTTTGGTAAATGAATTGCAGCAAGTGCCAACACCATGAATAAAACAGCAAGCCATCCAACATCAACCTTTTCTTGATCAAGCCAAAAATTCTCAAGTTCTGCACGGAATGAAGGATGATGTAAAGGATGGTAAATATAATCAATATTTTGAAGATAAAAATTGACCAGAACTGTAGTTTGGATTTGAGATGGCAATAAATTCAAGTATTTTGTCTTGTAATCATTTTTTGTTGACTTGGATTTACTTCTTGAATCATGACTTGGGGGTGTGGGTATTGAAGTTGGATCATCACCCTTGTTTAGCAATTTCGTTTGTAGTTCTTGAACTTGACTCTTTGCTTGTAAGTTTTCACCCTCCAGTTGTTGAATTCTCTGTATTTGAGCCTCTAATTGCTTTCTCAACAGCTCGCTTTGATCAAAATACATGTTTTGGGTATTTATAGGAGGTTGAGGTTGAGCTAATGGACTTTGTTGATGCTGGACGGGAATTTGCGCTTGAGCAACTTGGGGGATCATTTGTTGATGCTGTTGAGGTGCCGGGCTTGGTTGAGAGTAATTCATGGGAGCATAAGGATTTGGTTGTACTGGCACTTGCTGATGGTATTGATATTGTGGTAGCGGAGGTGCAGAATGTGTTTGTTGTTGTTGTTGCTGGGAGGCGGCTTGATCATAGCTAGCGCTTGGTGATTGGATTTGAGAATGAGTTTGGAGCATCTGTTGTTGTTGATGATTAGGTACAAGTGGATTTTGTATAGGAATATGCTGCTGTTGTTGGTAAGGTTGTTGGTAATGTTGTGGAGGATAATCAGTGGAATTTGATGACACGGAATTTTGATGATGAGCAGGGCTCTCTTGTTCTGCTTTGATGTCAAATTGACTGAAATTTGTTTGGAAGCTACCTTCATGAGTTACTGATTTTAATCTCTTTGGCGTGTTTCCATTGCCATTACTTGAACCATCACTACTTGTTATTGAACTCTTTGATTGTCTTTTAACATTTGGTGAATTGGTACTTGAATTAATGGCTGACCCATTATTATTCGAGAAACCTTCTGGTGATCTTTTTTGAACTCTACCAAACTTCAAATTTGGTGCAATCAACTCTTGAATATTGTTAAGTGGTCTGGCTGGATTAGCCATACATTCGTCAATTTTTGTATTTCTTCCCGACTTACAAGTACCACAAGGTATTTGCAAGTCACATTTTCTCTTCAATCTCCTACAAGGACCGCAGGCGTGAGATTTTTTACCCCCAGGCTTTGACAATGGTGCTGCAGACATATTTCTATGGTCTATTGTTGAATTAGGATCCTTTCTCAATTGGTGATAATTCTGAGTAGACAAATGTCTATTGTTGTTGTTGGCGTGATGTAGCGTTCTCGATGTAAGTTTTACTAAAAGTTTCGTTTCGCTCACTATGTTTTTTGGTTTATCTGAATTTAAGGTTGTTGATGGTGTTTTTTGGACGAGAAGCAGCAGCCAAAAAAAAAAGAAAAAAAAAGCCACTAAAAAATGATAGCACTTTTCAGTTCCACATTGGGAAGTCTACGAAGATAATGTAGTGCTTTCTGAATAAATAGAATATCATTTGCAATTAATTTAATGGTAATGCTTAGTAATTAGTACACTTTCTTCAATTCTTCTTCGAGTTCTGCAGTTGGATGTTGTTGTGGAGGGTTTGGAATCTTCACTCTCCAGACTTCTTTCCCGTTCTTGTAGATGACAAATGTAGGCCACCAAACAACATCGATGGATTTTTGCACTATGGCACCTTCTGGGAGTAAACCGTTTATCTTGATGGATTAGTATTGATATCAGGTTGCAATAATTGGTATAAACTTACTTTGAAAAACTTTGCTTTAGAGTATTTTTCTGCTAAGTGTGTGTATAATGGAGCAACGACCTGAGGTTTTGGTTAGAACTTCAAATTTATGGAAAAAATTTAGGAAATAAACACTTACCACACATGGAGGACATTGAGTAGAGTAAAAGTCAAGGACAACTAATTCATTGTCTTGTATTATGGATTTGAACTCATCTATATTATAGATTTCTTGCACTAATTCTGATTGATTTTGCACTGTCATTTCTATTGGTGTTTTTTTATTTGGGTAATTCCGCTGTTCGCGATGAGATGAGCTGTTCTTTCAGTTGGATCGAGGGGTGTTGTGTTTAGGGGAATCTAAAAGAGTGATCTTTGGTTATAGAATATGTGATCTAATGAAAGAATGATGGTCTTTTTGGTTGGTTTTAGTGATGTTTGTGGGTTTGTTGATAAGAGTTCAAGGTGAGAGAAGGATCAAAAAAAAAGTTCTTTGTTGATGTTAATATAGTCTTGGGAACGTCAAAGAAAAGATTCAAGATATACCCGTACTTTTTTTTAAGATTTGAATGTTCGTTGGCATCAAGAGTTAATTTTGTGAGGCAAAAAGTATTATTATGTACAGGTATACAGCGTTTGAAGGCCAGATACCTTCATCTTTTCTTTTGGTGCTAGCAAATTTCTTATTTCTTTGCATAAAACTTCACCGCAAAACTCTGAAAATGTTTTGGAAACGCCGGAGTATGTTAGTTACTCAACTGCTTAACCGATCAAAAGACGCTGGAAATGGTTAAATGCAGTGCTCTGGTACCTACTACTACCAACATGTACCACTAAAGTTATCTTGTGCTTGATAGATTTCATCATGGGATGAGTCCTACTATATCCAGATCAGCAGAGATTCGAGATTGAGTTGGGAAAAGAACATGGTTAGTGGAAAGTTGAAACTATCTTGGGCTTAGAATTATGCCGGCCTTGGTTAAAAGCCCAATTTCAATTTTCTTATACTAGCACCTTTCAAAATATTCATGATTGATCTTCTGATCGTTGAGCTACACACAACTACGACGTCTCTAGCTAGGCTAGATTGATTACTCTGGCCAATTCCGCTAAAAAATATTGCAAAAGTATTTAGCTGAGCAGCTTTACAAGCTGGGTAGCTTGAGTGGTCAATTACGATTATATTATGGCGCTAGACTTGCAGGTAGTTAACATTAAGCTACTAGCTGCTAGATTGAGATGTTGGACGTGTCCAACTTCCACTCTCTTCGACTGGAGTCAGCTAGTTATTAATAACTACAAGATCACACTCGTTAAAACTTGTGAGTGCAGACGTATGGCCAATAAAGTTGAGTGTAACGACTGGGTATTTCTCCAAGTCGAAGCTAATCTATGTTACTTCAATTTATATAGATCACGGATATTTGTGAACATGAAGTCGATCATACACATAAGTTTGTAACCTACGTTGATAAAGTATCATCAGCGGAGGCACAATTTGGAGAGAAAGCATTCTTCGTTGTGTCACCGAAATTGGAAATCACCGTCAACAGTGATCGATTCCGCTGCCCTCGCGAGCTGGCCCAACCTCCAGCCTCCAGGCAGAGCTCCTCAAGAGCCAGTGGCACTAAGTGCCCGTCTACAGCTATTTTATCAAACTCCTTGTTATAAAGGTACCATTATAATTAAGATAGCACAAGACCATGACGGGAATTTAGGCCTATAAAGAAAATCTGTTGAATTAACGTTGTAGAATTGAATAGAAAATATCTATGTCCTTCCCAACAAAGTATAAGGTGGTTATTACTATCTCTGGAATCAATTGTACGTGCTGAACCTTTGATAGTGGACACTGGACACCAAGCTAATTGAATTTGAGAAAAAGGTGACCCCAAGATCTACTAAATCGCTTCGTTTCACATTGAAATTTCTACATACCCTTGAGATCAATTTGCAAGTCCGAGGAAAACCATGGCCTGAGACGTTAATTGTTGTTACAATTTGTATCGAAGTATTGCTAATTTGCCCAGAGCTAATGAATTAAAAGAAGTATGGCGCCAGGCGTACTTGATACTTGAACGTTGATGTTGTAATTAATGATGTTGAACCGGGCATAAGTTGATGGTGTTGAAGTTTAATTATCACGACAAAGTTAAATACAACATGAGCTGAACGCGTACACGACGTCAAGAGTCAAAAGTCAAGACTTGAGAAAGCGTAATCATGATTCATGAAGAAGCGTAAGATAAGCAGTTGAAAGTTGAAACTTGACAGGTCCTGGTGAAGCTTGAGCTCACATATTCTTGCTGCTAGTGGCTCTCAGATCCCAGAATTTGAGCTTTGAGCTTTGAGCCATAAAACATGGGTACAGTAATTAAATCAAGCTGAGGTACACAAGACACAAGATGTGTTTTCAACGCTGGAACTTTATTAAACAGCTTGAGGGACCAAATTGATCAGAATCGACGATTGATCAGGAGCCGTTACGTTGGTTCAATTAATCGACTTTTTGGACATGTTTGTAAGGCTTTGATTTGGTCAAAAATTTTCATTGTTCAAAAGCGAACATTTGAGGCGATCTTGAGATTTCTTCAAAACTATTGGTCAATAATCTTAGACAATAGGAATTGAGTTTAAGGGACAAAGCGTAACTGTGGACTTTTGTATGTAGTTATGATCCAATTTGCAACGTAAATATGGTAGTTTCTCTAGTCTCATAACTCTACAAGTACTGCACTCAGATTATTTCGTTCGCCTTTGAAAGCAGGACCGGACACAAATCTATTCGTAATTCACGCAACGAGTCAAGTAGAACCTCAACTGCCTGATGAAGAGCCTCTCTATGAGCTGGTTTCTGTACGGACCCTTCATACACAGAAGCACTCCAGCTTATCCCAGTAGTTGTTCCCAGCAATTACGGTTGCAATTACGCTAGTGTACCCAAGTCCCCAGGAAGAGGCCAATCCCTTTTAGGCCCCCAAGTTCCAACCTCATTTTAAGCTCGTCCTAAAACACGTTTGCTGCCTCCTCATTGGTCCAATCAAGGCCGATCTCAACGTCCCTACGTCTTAGATCAAATGATTCTGGCTGCCAAAAAGTTCAGATTGTGTGGTTCGGGCTGTCAAAGCGAAAAAAAAAAGATAAAAAAAACCTAAACAGTTGCATTTAAATTTAACCAAAACAACCACCTCTTTTTTTTTCATTTATCCTTCAGCATATTTAAGACCTTTCACAGAACCCGTTTTCTATTCTTCGGTTGTTTAAACAAAAGAGTAAGTTGATTACACTACATTGGCGGTACACATTTTCATTGCTGTTGCTGCATCTGGCTAAAAACTATTAAATTACACCAATTGGTACTCAACCCCCATTTAATACCCACTTTTCAAAAAAGACAGCTTTGGTACTCTCCCTAGTTTTCACTGATAAAATCTATCATAGATCCTAAAGTTTCATTTAGTTAAGTATTAATTAAAGTATCATCAAAATGGGATTTAAAGATATTATAGATAAATTAAAAATTCCAGATTCTGACACAGTCACTACAGATAATTGGAAATCTCCAGATGTTATTTGTTTACCACCTCATAGAAGAACTTGGGGTCATTTAGATTTCTTAGGATTTTGGAATGTTATTGCACTAAGTATTACAACATGGCAATCTTGTTCCACTTTACTATCATTAGGTTTGAATGTTTGGCAATCAATGATTTGTATCATATTAGCTAAGATTATAATTTTCGCAGTGGCAATTTCTCATGGTTGGGCTGGTGCAGTTTGGCATATTGGTTATCCAGTTTATGCAAGATTTACTTTTGGTATGCTTGGTTCATATTTAGCATTGATTCAAAGAATTGTCTTATGTATTGTTTGGTATGCGGTGCAATCTTTTACTGGTGCACAATTAATTAGTGTGTTGTTATCATGTATTTTCCCAACTTTTAATAGATTGCACAATACATTACCAGAAAGTTTACCAATGACAACTAAACAGTTTGTTGGGTTTATTATCTATCATGTTTTATCAATTCCATTCTTATATATCCCTCCAGAAAAATTCAACAAACCTTTTAAAGTTGTTACTTTCATTTCATTCATTACCGTTTTCGGTACTTCAATTGGTTGTATGGTTCAAGCTCATGGAGCTGGAGATTTATTACATTCAAAGGCAACTGCAAAACCTGGTGCTGAATTAGGTATGAGTTTTATGCATGGTATTAATGCAGTTATCAATAGTTTTGCAGTTGGTTTAGCAAATCAACCTGATTTTTCAAGATTTGCTCAAAAACCTGGTAAACAAGTTTGGGGTCAAGCTGTTGCAATTTTATTATTTGGTACAGTTGTTCCATTGTTTGGTATTTTAGGTACTTCTGCAGCTTCAAAGACTTATGGTGATGTTGCCAAATTAAACTTGTGGAATCCTCCAAATATTATTGAACAATGGATTTCTCATCATTATAATGCAAGAAATCGTTGTGCTGCATTTTTTGCTTCATTAGGATTTTTCGTTAGTACTTTAGGTTTAAATGTTATTGATAATGGTGTTAGTGGTGGTATTGATCTTGTTGCAATTGCACCAAAATGGATCAATATCAGAAGAGGTGCTTATATTATCATGATTATTTCAATTGTTATTCAACCATGGCAAATTTTGGCTAACGCTACAGTTTTCATCAATGTTTTAGGTTCTTATGGTTGTTTCTTTGGTCCAATGATTGGTGTTTTCACTGCAGATTATTATTTAGTTAGAAAGCAAAAATTAAAATTAACTGATTTATACAAAGCTGATAAAACATCAATCTATTGGTTTTGGCATGGATTTAACTGGAGAGGTTATCTATCTTGGGTTTTCGGTTTCATCCCAGGTATTGTTGGATTCCCTTCAGTTAATCCTGCGATGAAGAGTGTTCCAAAAGGTGCTATCAAGACTTTTTACATTTCATTTATTGTTGGTTATGTTGTTAGTTTTGCTTCACATTATGTTTTAAATTTGATTTCTCCTCCTCCAGGTATTGGTGAAATTGATGAATATGATGTTTATCATACTTTCACAAGAGACGAAGCTGAAAAATTAGGTGTTACTCCACATAGTGATGATGATGAAGATTCTTCAGATATGATTTTACCAAATGATTCAACAGAAAAACATGATATTCAATCAGTTACTAATAACATTTTCAAAGCCTAGAAGAGCGGGTTTAAGACGTTGATAAATAAGTTTTAACAAAAAAACAATCTTTTTTTTATTCATTCATTTCATTTCAGTTCTTTGTTCTTAATTCCTTCTTTTATTTAATTTTTTAGTTTTTTTGACCCATTATTTTGTTGGTTTTCAATTCAATTGTTCAATTGAGGTGTAAATGCATCTTGAGTTTAGTTAGAGATTTAGGAAATCTTTAATGAAGTGAACACAATTATGTATATACTAATTGCTTTCCAAAAGGAGTTGTGTTTTAGATTTTAATATCAATACACGGGTTGGTTTTTGAGGATTTTGTAGATTGATGGCACATGTCATCGTAATCAATTTCAGATCTAAGATCTAGAGAATTCTATCCAACTTAACAGGGCATGGTATGTGATACCTATCATGGTCATTAGATTCACCCCTGGTCTACACATACACTCTATGGACTACTTCAATCCACTTCTTCATGATCAAAATGGTTTTAATGGAGTTAACACTATTCATTCCTTCTAGCTCCTTCTAAAGCTCCGTCTAGCTCTGGTCCGTGTACGGTGCGCGCTGAGCCAGGATTTACCCGGCCTTTCTTCCCAGAAGGAAGCGCGAATAATTCGATATCGCGCCCCCGAGAAAAAAAATTTATATTAAAGCTCAAAAATCCGCCACTGAAGGAGTATCAAATTGTAATCAACTACAACTACACACTAATAAAAACTATACACAATGGCCAGACAAAGAGGAGGATCCCGTCCAACAGTTTCACGCTCAGCTCCATCTCCATCCAGATCAGCTCACACCAGTGCTGCTGCTCCTCCAGCTCATGCTCCACAACATCAACAACCAAATGCTTATTCACAACCTCAAACTCAACAACCTCAACAACCAGGTATGTTTGCCCAAATGGCTTCAACTGCTGCCGGTGTTGCTGTTGGTTCCACCATCGGTCACACTTTAGGTGCTGGTATCACTAGTATGTTTGGTGGTTCTTCATCTGCCCCAGCTGAACAACAACAAGCTGCTCCACCAGCTCAACAACAAGCACAATACTCTCAACAACAACAAGGTGGTGTTTGTGATGTTGATGCTAGAAACTTCACTAGATGTTTAGGTGATAACGATGGTAACATGCAAATCTGTGACTTCTATTTACAACAATTGAAGGCTTGTCAAGAAGCTTCTCGTCAATATTAAACACAATGCATATACAAAACAATCAACATACATAAATACATACATTTATAAACAAATATTCGTCGTGACTTTGGATAATTAGTGAATGGATGATTCTGTAAATAGTGAATATTATGACTCCTCGGATTCAAGGGCGTGATTACCGTAAGCATTATGTAATACTCTTCTGAGGATCAGCGAATCCGGTAAAGAGTAAACATGAAAAGGAACAACATCAATTGCTGTCACTCAAGAAATCTCACAGGAGTTTTATCTTTGGAGAAGTTGGTCAAGGAGATTAATATAAAAAAGTGATAAATTGACTTGTTTCCATACTTCATCAGTTGTGTCAAATCTCTAAACAACCAAATTCAAATTAAATCACATTTTCTGATCAGATTTTGAAAAGAAAACAAAAACAAAAAAACATTTGAACTTAATTTTGATCCAAAACATAAACATAAACAACAACATTCAATAACATCCACCAAAATGCTTAGAACTGCTAGATCATTACCTACTCTAAGAGTGCTAGAATCAACCATATCGAAGGATATTCAACAGCAAACTAAAAACTTCTCCACTATATCGTCAAAATATAACTTGGTTGTTCCAAATATCCCTGATCATCAATTAAGAACAAAATATCAAACATTGAATAGATCTGTTCATCAAAGTTCCAAAAATAATGCTACAACTTTATTTTCAAATAAGAATTCAGAATTCTCTGTTATGAGTTTAAACAGTTTGAAAAATGAATGTCGTAAACGTGGTTTAAAAATTTCTGGAAAGAAAGCTGAATTAGTTTCAAGAATAACAACTCATGAAAAAACATTTGCCACTCAACAAGTTGGTTCAATTTCCACAAAAGCTTCTTCTAAAATCCCACCAAAAGAAGCAACAAAGAAATCATTAGTTAATAAACTTTCCAAAACTTTTTCCACAACAACAACTAAAAATGCAAAAGGTGATGATTCCACAATTGATTTCATCAAACCTGTTGATATTTCCCAACCAAAATTAGTTGAAGATGATTATATCGTCCAAATTCCTTCATTATCTTCAGAAGCTTCAGCTACTCCAGTGACAAAATTAGAAAAACAATTGAATCAATCATCAACAAGTGACCCAAATGCTAAAATTGTTTCAAAAGCTGAAGGTTCAGATTCAAAAATCTTTGAACAAAGTTCAATTAATAAAATTGAAGAACAAAATGAAGAAGCTTTGAAAACTGATGCTTCTAAAATAGTTCAAGAACCAGCTTTTGTTGATGAACCTTATAAATATGAAGAAGGTGAAGTTTCAAGTAAGGATAAAAGTTTCTTTGCTGGTGCCTTGGCTGTTGTTGCTGGTTGGTGGGTTTTAAAGCCAAAATCTGAAAAGAAACATTGATTGAATTATTTGATTATTTATTAGATGAAGAAAATACAGAAAAAAAAAGATATTATACATATGTTCTGAGTTTATATTATTGGAATTTTTTTTTATGCTTGATGTTTTTAAAGATATAGTCATATTGGTTACACTTTTTTTTATTAATACATGGTAGTACAGAAATTTTGTTATTAGTTGAAGTTGTAGCGTAAATAACTCGCGAAATAATTAAGAAAGGCCAGCGTCGGTCCTCATTGGATTAAAGAAAAAAAATAAGAAAAGGATTTCTTTAAATTGAACCATGTCGATCATATGGTCTTATTCAGTTTTTGCACCAATATATCCTAGAACTATTACTAATGCCTTTGCACTCAACCTTCCTGTTGAAAATATCAGATCACCCTGTAGCTCCATCATACGGCCTTTAATTCTGATAAACAATTTTAACTAGTTTTCGAGAAACTCTTGAAAAAAAATCAAAAAATTAAAGTCTGATCCTGAAACTTCAATTTGACTGTATGTAAGCAGTGACATAGTAATCAAAGTTGTGGTTACGAATCCTAGAGGTAGGTTGCAAATTGCATGTAATTGTGGGTCTATTTAATAGAGATCAGCCGCCAGGTTTTTAGCCTGCTGCGATCTGTGAATAGAGAAGTCTGTTTAATGTTTTATATGTTATAGCAGTTAATCACTTCTTTTTGAAATGTGAACTTGATAACGTTTCTGATACTTGGGTGATTGAGCATTTTAATTGAAATATTCGTAACATGTTGATTAAATTCAAATAAATACATTCAATTATACACATATTATTTCATTTTGGATTTGAAGATTGTGGAATTTGACTAATGTTGAATTATACCCATTTTTTGAATACCAAATTTGAACTATTTTCAGCTATTTTCAAAAATTTGACTAGTGCTGTAGTCGATATTATCGAACCGTTGCACGTTTTTTAAATAATTATATACAGTATGATACTAGCTTCGTATAAGATGATTAGATACAATACTGATTTCATTATTACAACTTCAATTGAACTAATTCTCATGAACTTCTATGTTCGTTATGAGAGCTGATTTAACAAAAGTTCCAATAAAAATACCATCTTTGGACTTTGGACTCTGAAGGATATCATTCCAAACAATACATTGTAATTGTAGGTACATTTCACAACTACATTTTGAACTTAATAATTAACTCCTCGTGAATATCCTATATTTCCTATAACCTTCCCAATGACATCAATGTAATAACAATCCACCAACTGCAATTATCCCTAAAGTACCCACTAATAAAACAGCTTTTGAACCAGATCCACTTTCTTTTTGTTTAATTCTTGAATGTGCACCATATCTATCCAAATTTAAAATATCATGAATTTCATCATGAATTTTATCTCTATTTGAATCTTTTTCCCTTTTTTGCCTACTTTTTTCCAATTTCTCAGCTTCATTAATCATATAAGTTTTGGCAATTCTTTTATTAATCATTCTTCTTTCAAATGATAAAGTTCCTTTTAAATGTTGATCATAATCAAAATGAGGAACATCATAATTTGAACCAGTTGGTGAACTGAATCTATCAAAATTTGAATAAGTTGAAGTTGATTCTTTATAACCTGGTCCGAAATTAACTCGACCACGACTTCTATTTATACCACCTGCACTATAAGTTTTCCTCTCTTGATAGAAAACATTCCCACTAAAATCACGTTCTCTATTAACTCTAACATGACTTCCATTACCACCACTCGGCTTCATTGAACTATCATATTTTTGTCTTTTATCATCATTTGATAACACTTCATAAGATGATACGATTTTTAAATAATTGTTATTTATTATCTTCTTCTTCTTTGGAGAAACTCTTTGATTCATATCAGGATGGAATTTTTTAGATAGTTTCCTAAAAGCACTTTTAATTTCATTTTTCTCAGCTGAATATGATACACCCAATACTTGATAATGTGAATAATGATTTGGAATCTCTTTTAAATTATCATGAACAGTACCCATATTCGGATTCCTTAAGCAACTTGTGGAACTGAAGGACCTTACTACTCCCTGAGAGCAGCAACAACTGGTATAAGATGCTTTCTGTATGAATAGCGAGCTCATTGTCTCTTATGGTACTGAATGATGATTCTGGTGGCTTGATCTAAAGGTGTAATTGTAAGAGTTTGAGATCACAAGAGCAATTTTTTTATCTGTACTTGAATTTGATGCTTTTATGAAAAATTGGGGAAATAATTAGAGAAATTGAACGTTAACAAAACACCAAAGTGAATTTTTCAGTGATAAATTAAATCACAGTTAAATTAATCCAATAATGAATATCAAAATTTTTGAATTTTCAACTTTCCAGGAATTCCCACTGTTTTTATATGTTTTTCCATTTCAACGCCGATATTTCGCCATACATTAGACTTCGGACATGGGCCACACTGATCTTTTAGATAAATTAAATAGTATAAAGAGCCCGGTTTCGGTCAACCAAATATTTATGCTTAAACTGAGAGACTAGAGTTTAAAGTTGATGATGAAGTTTAATTAGAGTGCATTGTTGAGTCATGGTGGGAGATACTGGTTCTGATGACAGGTGTTCAGTTGACAGTGACAAGAAGTTGACTACATCAAGAAACTAGACTCAAAAGCTATTCAATTAAACACTATTAAAACTTTAGATCAAACTCATCAAAGTGGAACTGTCCCTTACTTTCCATCCTAATCTTTTGAGCGTCGTGTTTCCTTCACGTCAAATTTTCAACTTCAACGTCTTCAGTTCCTCCGTTATGCAGATTCAGGTACCTACTACCTGCCTCTTGGAAAAAACACCCATGTTGAATAGATAAAGTACACCCAATCATTTCAAATTTCAATTCCTATCGCTATTTTGATCCATATGAAGGTGTTCCGAAGAGCCATCTTCCTCTTCCTCTTCATCATCATCCTCATTGAAATCAAAACTAATCCAACCAGGCCATGCTAACTCATCTCTTAATAAAGTTCTAATCATATCTGTCAAGAATTTCTCAACTTTACCAACATTTCTTAAAACAGAACCTTCACCTTTATTATCACCAATCTCACTTTCGATACGCATACTTCTTATGATATCTATTCTATTTCTATTGTGTTTAGATAATGTTGGATTGTTTATTATATCATCAAATTGTTCATCATTTATATCACACAAAAAACTTAGGTAAACAACTTTACTAACATGTGCAATAACAGCTAGTGAGTGAATACCTAAATCCACAACTCTTAGCTTGACAGGTAATGTTATAAACCCAGGTGATGGATAATTTAATAACAAATCAACACTAATCTCAATTGTTATATCTCCTTTATAATCAACCTCCACTATAAATTGTATATCATTAGAAACATCATCATTACCATCATCATTCTCATTCATACTATCACTGGGCACTTCTCCTTGATTTGATTCAACAACTTTATCCAATTGGGAAGATGATAAAACACCAGGACCTGATATATTTGAACTTTGATCTATTGTATGAGGGAATTGTCTCTTATTTACATCAATTTTTTTAGTATCACTTGGACTTTTAATATCACTTCCATTCTCTGTAAACAATTTCTCAGAGCCTGTCATTTCATCGTTATAAAAATCTGTAAATGGATCACCAATATGTCTAATTGTTATTTCTGGTGCTATTGAGCCCAATGAGAAATTCGTGACTTTGATATTCATCAAATAGTCGGGCAATTGTAACCCTTGGACCTGGTCATTAAGGAAGTCTCTAATGGACTCATTGAGCACATTGTCCTCGTTAAGCTTGTCCCAACTGATATCTATGGACATTTCGATGCTTTCCAGTTTTGTTTAATAGTCTGGAGATGTTGGAATTTGTTTTTTACTCAACTCGCGAATGAAAAATTGAACAAATTGAACTTTCCTCGAAGAAGGTGTCAAATTCGTTTGTATTCACTTTCACTCATTTTTACTCGTTTTGTTAAGATCACATGCTCGTGATACGGAGGAGTCAGGTGAAAGCTGCTTATGGAATTAGAGCTTTCCACTCTTCAAAACCAGGGAAGTTCAGCCTTCTGAAATCCCTCGAGAAATCTGATGGTGAACAATCTTTTGTTGTTAAAAGAGTATTGAAGTGAGTATTTTGAATTTAGCCATTTGAATTACCTCTAACCCAATAATCACTAGTCATCCACCTGAACTGTTTTATGATGTTGTCTCCGATGTGTCACAATATTCCAAGTTTGTTCCATATTGCACACGTTCATTTATAAATGCAAGAGATCAAGCTCTACAACCCACAGAAGCTGGTTTAAGAGTTGGTTGGAAATCATTTGATGAAGAATTTGTCTGTAATTTACAATGTGACCCAAAGAAAGTTGTCATTGCTGAATCTGTCACACATTCGTTATTTGAGCATCTTTACACCAAATGGACAATTACACCAAATGCCAGAAAGAACTCTTGTGACATGGAATTGTTATTGAAATTCAACTTCAAGAGTGCACTATACAACAGAGTGAGCTCGTTATTCGCTGAAAGTGTTAGTGAATTGGTTATTAAGGCATTTGATAAACGAGCTGCACAACTGAGACGAGAAATGATGAAACAAGAAAGAGCATGAATTGAATTTAAAATACACTATAGAAATTCTCACAATTAGACTTATAATATAGAGCATTAATTAAACCATTAAAGCATTTTAACTTAATTAAATTATGTAGAATTCGACGGCTCCCATACAAAACCAAGGATTCTGACCGCGAAAACCCAAAGATTCCCAAAAAATGCAACCACAGACATTTTACGTACTAAAAAGTTGTGGAAAAGGACAACTCTACACAATTTGACATCAATTGTTCAGCTGAGACTTATCAAAGAATTGACTTTTGGGAAAGATAGTGAGAATCATGAGCAGCGATCTCTTTGGACACGATGATCCTGCTGACCCTTGGAGTTTACCGGGTCCTAAACAATGGTCAACTTCATCAAATACAGGCATTCCTCAAGATTTAGATCAAGACTACCATAACGATGAGAATAACAATGAAAGTGAAGATGATGATGACGATGTACAAATTGGTAATAATAGCAGTGGTAATAACAGTCATGATAACGTTTTCGAGGAAACTCGTGTAACTTCAAGTATAAACCCCCTTGATTCGAATGGGAATAATGAAAACAACCTTCACAAGAGTATTTGGGAAGAAAATCCTATCTTGTCAGAACCTTTATCAGCTTCAACATTGACTGGTGCTGCTCCACATAATGAATTGAGAAATGGTGATTCCAATACAGGTGATTTTTTCAGTTGGAGTAATGCTATAAGAAATACTTTTAATCCATTAACTAGAGATATCATTACAATTTCAGAAATCCCAGAAAAGGAAGGTTTATTATTCAAGCATACAAATTATTTGGTGGCACATTTAGTCCCATTGCCTGATACTGATGCAACAAATGATCGTAAAGTCGTTAGACGTTATAGTGATTTTGTTTGGCTTGCAGAAGTTTTATTGAAAAAATATCCATTTAGATTAATACCAGAATTACCTCCTAAAAAAATAACTTCAAATTCAGATGTACAGTTCTTAGAGAGAAGAAGGCGTGGATTGATAAGATTCATTAATCAAATAATGAAACATCCAATACTTAGAACTGAATCTTTAGTATTGATGTTTTTAACCGTTCCAACAGATTTATCAAGTTGGAGAAAACATGCAAATTATGATACAACTGAAGAATATAAAGATGTCAAGATTTCTCAAAGATTTTTAAACCTATGGGATGCATCAATTAAACAATTATGGATGGATGCTCAAGTAATAATTAAAGATGCTTTTGAAAGCTGGACAAAATTAACAGTCTTGGTTGAAAGATTTGAGAAAAGATCACAACAAATTGCTCAAGATAATGAAAGATTTCAAAAAATATTGGAAGATTTTAAAAAAACAACACCAGTTTTATATTCAGTGGAAAATTCAGATATTTCTTCAATTAATGAACATTTAAGAATAGCTGGTAAACATTTATCTGATTCAAAACAATTATTAGATGATGAATCTCAAAATATTGAAAATGGGATTGTTCAAGATTTTAAAACTTATGGTGATTATTTAAATTCCATAAGTGGATTATTTGAAAGATATGATAGATTAGGTGGGAATCAAATTGAACAATTGACTAAAAAAGTTCAATTTAATCAACAAAAATTAAATGAATTGAATGGGAAACCAGATGCAAGAGGTGTTGAAGTTGATAGATACTCTGAAGCTATCAAAAGAGACAAGATTGAAATTGAAAATCAAACAAATAGAGATTGGTTAATCAAAGAAACTGTATTATCTGAATTTGTGCTGTTCCAAGAAACACAATATCAAATCACAAAGATATTCCAAGACTGGGTTGCTGATAAACTCAAATATAGTGAATTACATTCAAACAATTGGAATCAATTGGCTAATAGCTTAATAGATATGCCAATATCGAGAGTGGATTGATACAAAAATAAAAATTATTTGATCCATTTTTTAAAAAAAACGTAAAAATCTATGCAATTTTTTTACTTGTATTTGTGAAACCAACACCTTTAACAGTTGCAATGAAATCTCCACTATCATCATCTTCTTCTTTTAAAAACACTTCTGTTCCGAAAATTGACTTTATATCTCTCAATAACCAAATGAACTCTTCATCAATTTGATCTTTTGAAATTCTCAATCTTCCAATATCTTCACTACCAATAACCATATAAACAATAGATAAAGGTAATTGATTTCTCCCCACAATACTTGATTTTGAAATTTCCTCTAATAATTCATATGCAATCTTTGTACCTAAATCTTCAGGAACTTCACCAGCACCACCTATACCTTCTGAAAAAAATCTCCAACCTTTTTTACTTTCTGCAACTAAAGTTATACCAAAACCTGGACTTTTACCAGAATTTTCACCTCTCCAAACATCTGCCGTTATATCAACTTCACAACCAATAGGTCTCAAAACATCTCTTGCTGAATCAATCATTCTATTCACTATTGATGGAGAAACTCTTGTACAATAAGCAACACCTCTAATCGCTGAAATCTTTGGGGCATCAGTGGCATGCATAGTTAATGGTCGTTGAATCTTGGAATTAACAACTAAATGAACTTCACCACCACCATTTGGAGGTGAACCTCTTTTCAAAGTGTGAATTGCAGCATCTCTAACACCAAACTTTTCTATGATTGGTAATAACCCCCATCTTAAGGCCTCTATACCTGAATCTGTCTTGGAAGCTGTTATACCTTTAAACATTATTGAGAATGTCTTTTTCGAAAATGGTGCAATGTACAATAATGGCTCAATGAAATAGCCAACTGGTTTAGAGTCTGGACAAACATGAGTATATTCACCACCTATTATCAAACCTGGATGGTAAATGACAGTGGTACCTGTGTATGAAATCTCTATACGACCACCATTTGTAACAGCTTCTAATAATCTTAAGAATGAAACTTCATAATCTTTTAAACCTGGATTTAAATCATCTGAACGTATTTTTTCAATCTTGATTGGCTTCCCAGATAATGTGGATAGTATTAATCGTAGTCTGAAATTTCTTGGTCCTTGGAAAACAGTTATATTTGATCTTGAGGACATTTTGGAAACTTTGGAATATAGCTTGGTCTATTATCAAAGTAATCTCAAAGTAACTAAATTTTTGGCTTTAAGAGGGTATAATTTTTTTTTTGATGAGGTTACCCTCAAAACAAAGATTTCGCGAATTCATTTTAGTCAAAGTTGAAAATGTTGCAACTACAAAATTTGGGCATATAAACAATCAACAAAGAAACAATTCGTTACCAATTAGGAAAAAAAGCACAATCAAGATCAATAGCTCAAGCGGTGGCTGAATCAAAAAAGAATCATATTATAGGGTTATTTTTGCTAGTTGTTTTAAAGTCAATTCCGTTGTTTTTCAAGATCTAAAAAGGGACATTAGCATGAGTGAAACACCATCACAATCAACAACATCGCCACAAAAGAGAAGTAATGATGATACTCAATTGAACGATTCCAAAAGACCAAAGACCTCGGTAGAGGCTTCAACAGACTTGGAAAGCTTTGATATTAACGATTTTGATCTACCCCAGTCTACCGGTGCAGAAGCTTCTTCTCCTTTTAAAGTTGATATTCCATTAGTTGCAACAACAGCATCATCACAACCATCAGCATCTACGTCAGTTATAGATATACAGAATCAGTTTAATCTAGATTTACCAGATCTCCCTGGTGAAAGTCCAAGTACAACAAATATAGGAAGATCACCATCAGTTCCGCAACAGACAATATCTCAAAATGACAATAATAATAACAATAATAACGCAGCAGCAAACAAAAATAATAAAGATACTGATGAAAATGGACTTCAAAAACCTTCTGGTACAGCAGAAGACCCAGATAAATTATCAGATGCATTATTATCCGCTGGTGTTGATTTAAAAGCTGAAGAAGCACTATTGACATCAACAGTGAATAGTTTACCCACAAAGCAGAATGGAGAACAAACAGCTGCAAATGCAGTACAACAACCGATTATTATAAATACACCATTCTTGGATCCTAGACAAGTTGCCACATTTATGTCTAAAGTTGCCAATGCAAATGGGATTAAACAATCTTTTGACAATGAAGTTCATTCTCCAATATTACAACTAATGACGAATGCTTGTGAAGAATGGATGACAAACATAGTGACAAATGCTGTGATACTTTCAAGACATAGAAGAAGATCTATTAGACAACGTAAAAGAAGTGAGATTTCAAAAGCATTAAGAGAAGTAGCTGTACAGCAGAAATCTCAAGAAGATAAAAGACAACAAAAGAGAAAAAATCTAGGGATTGATCAAGAAGAACAAAGTAAACTGGGTACTGAAGAAACACAACATAAGGCAACAAATGCAACTGTTGCAATGATGACTGCCGGTAAGAAGAAGAAATATAGCTGGATGACAGGAGGTGGAGCGGGTTCAGGTGGTTCAAAAGCTTCCTCGGGGTCAGTAGATGGTGGTATAAGATTTAGAGAAGCTAGAGAGGAACCTGGTATTGCAGTTAGAGATTTATTAAGTAGTCTTGAAAAGAAAAGACATGGCGTGGAAAAAGTTATAACGAAAGGTTACTCCAAGTTGAAAGATTAATAGAGTAATAAATGCAGAAATGAACAATCAGTGTAGAATTTTGTACAAACTTAAAGTTATAAGAAAATGTTGAAGAATAATGTGCTTTATGTTTTGGGTATTTTACCGAGATTTCCTATAATTTGCAAGAAAAAAAACCCCCGGATTAACTCAAGTTGTAAAGCTGTTCTTACACCTATTGCCACAGTATATAAGAAGGACGCTATAAAGCCCTTATTCTTTGTATAGATTTCAATTTAATAGGTATTATTATGGTGTTGCCCTTACCAATGTTGCCCCGAACAATCCAAAAAATACACTCACGCTGGGGGTCGAACCCAGAATCTTCTGATTAGAAGTCAGACGCGTTGCCATTACGCCACGCGAGCTTGTATTGAAGTAGTTATCTTAGTGGGTCACTGAGTCATGTTTGTGTCACGTGACTTTTCAATTCTTTAATTCAATTTCATTCAAAAGTTTTGTATTAAACTATAGATTCAAAATTTATTAAAGATGATTAAAATTGCTTTAATTTTATAATGGTATAGGTTTTGTTTTGATATAGAGGACTTTTTTTTTCGATGGGTACTTGTATAAAGTTTTGAAGGTACAGAAAAAAAATGTGATATATACCTATTTTTTTTTAAATATTAAAATATGTATGAAATTAAAATTATAAGTATTATTAGCTGAATACAACTAAATATTCATTAATTATTTAGGAAATCAAAAGTAATCAGCCTTCAGTCACTTGGGTTCATTAAATTTCTGGTCAAAAAAAGTTGATCTAGTGCACATATTATAATTGATGAATATCGAAGCGGCTACGTACCTAGTCCGAAGTACATGAGCATTGAGGAGCTAGCTCGTCATCCATATACAAGCTGGTGATATTCTCATATATTATTGCAAAAAAATGTACAAATTGCAGGTTTTTTTACGTTGATTTCTCTGAAAAGGGTGTGATGAAAGAAGAATCTTTGATATCAATAACAGCCGGAATTAATAAGTCGAAAGTCTGCATTTGAGAGCAATAGAATTCAAATGCTTGATGCTAGAGTCCTCTATTTGAAGAAATAACAGTAACAGTAAGTTTTAAAGATTACTTTGCGGTTCTCTTTAGTTACAACTGGTGACAGTTTTGATGATAATGGTTACAATATCCCTTAGCTAAAAGTAAAGAGAGTGAGTCAAAGAGTTACGAACATCAACAATTGTAGGCACAGTTTCAATGACTACAGAATCCAGATGATTTCTCTGTTCACGTTGATGGCATTATGTACGTAATTTGGTGAAGTTCCTTGTCTAGCCGAGAAAACGGCTGAAGGATTTAAGGGTCCTACCAATAATCACAGCACATGTCACAACGACCGTGGGCCTTTGGTAACGAAAGTGCAAACAAATGATAAGCTCAAAAGCTGACCTTTCCACGTTTATTTGCTTGACTATTCTCACCGTGTTCGCTTAGATTAGTCTTTAACTGACCCGTTCTATTCAACCGTGATCATTCTTCACTACGTCATGTCGAGATTTCGAGATTTCAGGGATTTGCAGAAACACGAGGATTGATGAACAAACGTTGAAGACTTAGTCACACAATCATCAACTGTCAGAGTCGGCTGAACAATGTGTGCCGACCTCAAAACGATACAATGCTTGATGATGATGGTGAAGTTAACGGTAACCATCAGAAGGTTGGAACTTGGTGATGACCGACACATCGTGCTATCAGCATAGTCGACCAATTAGGATCTTCTCAAATCTTTGAAATTAAATTGGTATAAATACGAGTCTCAAATCTTTCATTTTCTGAGATGCGAAGAAATACTTCAAAGCCATCAACACTAGCTCACAATCATATGGGTTCCCATTTTACTTACAAGTTCTTCAATCACATTGTTCCAGCATTAATTGCATTATCATCGGTAATACTATTGGGTATGGCCCTTAGTGGTCAAACAAGAGGAATGAGACAACAAGCTGATATTTATCTTTTGAAATTTGATTTCTCAGATATTAGAGAAAAGAATGTTTTCATATCAACAAATCCATCATTTTACAGCTTATATTATGATTTAAGATACCGACACTTTGCAATTGGTCCATGGGGGTATTGCAAGTCAAAATACAGTGCTTTTTCATCATGGAACACTTATTGTTATTCAAGAAAAGCTCCTTATCAGTATGATCTTTATGAACTTTTAGAAGATGATGCTATATTATATTCAAATCGGAAATATATTGATTATATTGCATTACCAGAGAATACTCAAATCCCTCAAAATATGGTTGATACTATTTTTGTTACTCTTTGGATTAGTACAGTGACTGCTGGTGTTTCATTATTGTTTTATTTCCTCTCATTCATAACAACAACCAGAGATAAACCTGGATGTACTAATATTTTACTCACTTTAATATCAGCTATTGCTTCATTTATTTGTGGTGGTGTTGCTAGAGGTAGTTCTTCCAAAATTATCAAAACTTTGGAAAAAACTCACAAGATATTTGGTATTACAGCAACTTTAGGGAATAAAAAATTTTATAATCACCTTTGGGCTGCAGGAGCATTACAAATATTCTCAGTTTTATTTGTATTGTTTGTGGATTATAAGCTTGCAAAAGCTATAGAGAATGAACCAGATGAAGAATCAACTCCTCAAACTTCACCACCAAGATCAGATCCTACACCAACCACACAACGTCCACGTGAAACGATCCCACAAAGACCTATAAGATCACCAGCTCCAGCAAATGTATCAATATCAATCAGAGTGAATAGACCTGCAACAGTGGAAATTGACCAACCACCAAGATATGAAGAGATCGATGATCATCATCCTCCAAAACCTCCTCCTTTTACTCCATGACCAAACCCATACAAACCAATTAATTTAATATTCTGATAATAGTACAATTTGCCTTTTAATTTTAATATTCTTGATGATGATAAATAACTTATGAAATATACAATGAATTACGATACTTTTGAAGAAATGATTGTAGCTCAAAGACATGGCTTATCTGAAGCATTGGGATGACCACTTGCGTTTGAAAATCAGATAAGATCCAAGTTATCGAAATAAACAACCAACATTGATTAAACAACTTTTCGCTACAAATTGTACTTAACAATATGTTTTTCTATGCCGATTTTTGTGCCAATTAATCTCTAAGCCGAACCGTTGATGTATAGAGATTAGATTGTGTCGCGTAACACTAGGGGTGGCTGAAAAGCGTCATGACCATTTTACGATCACAAGAGAAGATTTATTATTTGTTGGCATTTGTCTTCGTTAAGCAGAAAGGCTTGATCAGCTTGAAGTTCGTATTAAACAGGCAATTCGCAACCAGTGCCTGCTTCTATTGGTTGTGAGTTCTGAAGGTCGTATGCCTCTGAAATTTTGACACATCTGGATTTGGACCCTGGGGCACTTTCTAGGCTCAAAACCAACTTAAAGTTTGAATTTTAGACAGGTAAACATATCACAGCAACAGTCTTTATAATATAAAAACTTGCAACAGATTGCTGAAATGTCTTTCAAAACTGTACTCTTAAGTCATAGATGATCAGTAATAACAATGTGGTTAATAGATAGAGAAAGAAAACAACCAGGTTCAATTTGGTCACTACTTACATGTCTAACAACTCTCATCCTACTTTGTGTTGCACTTGGTGGATTATCATCAAGATCAAATGGTATTAAAAGTGTATTCATAGCTCATTTAGATTTTTCAAATGCAAATTGGCAAATGGTTGTACCAGGTTTGGACAATTTTAGAGGTCATGGGTTCCCACCTATTCAAAGAATGAACCTTTGGAACAACTGTAATGGGGATTATGATATGAATGGTGGGTTTGATGCTATAAATCCTTATAGAACTTGGTATTCAACTAGTTTGGATCCGAGGTATGCTGTTTCTCATCAATTGAATTCACTAAATCCAGGTGCCTTCACAAGAGATGAGATTAATACACCTAGTGGTACTGTTATCCCAAGGGTCCAATCAGGAACTATTATTGTTTTAACTACGATTGCATGCGTTTTGAATGGAATTGCATTTTTTTGTCAATTGCTTAGAATACCAGGTTTTGTCATTCCAAAGATAATAGCTGTGATTTTTTTACTTGTTGCAAATACAATGGTTCACGTTTTAGCTAAAAGAATGGTCAATTCTTTCAATAATAATTACGGAACTTTTGGAATTCAAGCAGATCTGGGAGGTAGATATCTAGCCATGGTTTGGAATGCGTTTGGGATTCTATTAATCTCTGCAGCTTTACAATTCACAAGAGGACCAGGTGGGATTATGGGTAATTATTATGAAGATAATAGTCCAAAGTTTGATCCCGAAGCAATGAAGCATGGCTATACACCAAACTATAATTCACAACAGATGAATAAACAACCAAATGATATGGGCTACAACAACATGAATAACTACAACAATGGTCAAATGGTTGGTAATTATCCAAATGAGCACCCTCCACCACCTGCTTATCATTAACTCGCCTCGATGTTGAGCTAGTTCAATTATATGGTACTTAAATACGAAAGAAATAAATGGACTCTGAGAATTGGTTCTGGAATGACGTACAGAATTTTTAATTATAACAAGCTAAGCCATAAACCAGCAACCATACTCAATAAAGTTCAACCAACGTAATTTTGGACGTACTGTTGCACATCGTAGATCTACACTTGGGGTTTTATTTAATTTTTGCCTGTTAGATTATTAAGACTAGGTATGAAGCTGATATAAGCGGAATACTTTTTACCTATTTCGAGGTTCAAACTTCAAAGTTCAGTTATACTTCTTGGAAGATCTCCCAGTATTATGTTCTATAAATGAACACTGCAAGCTATAAACGGATCACGGCTATAATATGCTTGAATATAAATATGAACTTTGTTGCTAGTCTTGATGCGAAAATGCGAGTTGACCAGCTTTTAAATATTCAAGTTAATTTCATCAATAATGTTTTTGTTTGATAGAGAAAAGAAACGTTCTGGCTCAGTCACATCATTGATACCCTTGATGGTGGCATTCATTATGCTAGTGCTGGCACTTTGTGGTGGATCTAGAAAAGTAGCACCATTGAGAAATATCTACATGGCTCAATTTGATCTTTCAGAAACAAATTGGCGCAATGTTTTAGTAAACTTGAATAACCCAGAAGTTAACCAAGATTGGAAAAGTTCAACCAATTTCTTCCCAATTCAAAGATATTCACTATGGAATAATTGCCTGGGGTATAATCGTGATGGTTTTGTTCCATACCTTTGCGGTAGAACCGAAACTAGAAAATCTTTGAATGTTCGCTATTATATGGCCAATGCTATTAATCCTTTTGTGGCCAATCATGAAGTTGAAGAGAGTGATATATATCTATCGCAGGCCACTGAGGTTGATGGGCCTACATCAGGTGCTGCTAATGCTTTTTTGATAATGTCGGTAGTTTTGATTGGAATCAGTATTGTTTTACAATTATTCAGTGCACCGTCTTATGACTTACAAAAAGTTTCTGCAGCTGTTGCCTTGTTTATCTCAAACGTTATCAGTAATGTCACGGTGGTCAAAATGGTTCATTCTTTTCAAAATCATTACGGTAGAAATGGTATTTCAGCTCAAGTTGGTAAAAGATACTTTGCACTTGTCTGGACTGCATTTGCATTACTAGTCTTCTCTGCTTTGTTTGAATATTCATGTCGTCAATTCTACAAGTACAGAGAGAGAAGAAACAACAAAGGAAATGCAAGAAATAATATTGGTGAACGCGTTGTTGACCAAGAAAAGGGTTTCAATAGTGAGCAGACTTCTAATGCTGGCACATTAATGCAGCCTTCTCCACTGGGGAGAACCAAAATTAGTCAAAATCATTGATTATTTATATTGTTTTGCACTTCATCTTTTTATGATTTTTCACAATCATAATAAAGACAATGTACTTCTGCCAAATGATAAGTGTAGATACGTTCACCCGAACACCACATCACGTGTACAGACTTCAAGATCACCGTAACTATGGTGATCGCGTTTTTTTGGTTTGTTTTGATTTCGATTTCAAAGAACAAAAAAAAACAAAACACAACAAACGACAACAAGTACACACCCTTTGAGCTTGATAATCCCACTCATCAAAGATAATGGACTTTAATCTTTCAGAGTCATTAACGGCGTTCCAAGAGGCAGACAAGGACTCATTCGACATATCGAATGCTGATAACCTTTTGGATCAAGTTACAGGATCTTTAGCTGTTAGTTTAGAGGCAATCAGTAACTCTAGTATTTATGAATCACTAGAAGAGCTAGTTCATGCTTACCCAAAATTGAATAAGAAAGAACAAAAACAAGTTATATATTTGGTTACTTCAAGTTTACACAATCAAGCTGAAAACTCATCAAACATTATTGAAAATGGTGAAACTGAACTTTTCGTGGCTCATAAACAATACTTGGAAGCTTACGCGTATTTGGCACATTGTTTATTAACTTATTTGGGCCTTGAGCATATTCCGTCATCAAATACAAATTCCAAGAAGGTTACAAATCAAGCTTTAGAAGTGTTCAAAAACAATTGCACACAACTTGAAAACATAATGGATGCTATTTGTGCTGTATTCAAATTACACCTAAGTAAGTTGTTCACCACCACCCCAGAAAAGGATTTGTTCGTTAGTTCGTTCACAAGACCAATTTATATATTGATGGAAAATGAACCAAGAGTCAAAGTTGTTGGTGTCAAAATGTACATGTTTAAAGTCATTGCTATGGCTGTGAAGTTCCATGGTCATGCCTCGGCTGCTCAAAGTGCTATCGTTCAAAACTTGACTTATTTCAGTCATTTGAATTCAATGATGGCTGAATTGCTACAAATTTTAAACGATCAATATGATCATTTCCAACTCACGGAAGACGTTTTGAGAGAAGTCAGTAACAAAGAGTTTAATAGTAATGATAATAATGGTCCAAAGCAAATATCTTTATTCATTGTGAAAGTTTCAGAGTTGATCCCTAGAATATTGCTGAAACAAATGACATTGGTTTCACAATTATTGAATAATAGTTCCTATACATTAAGATGTGCTGTGGTGGAAGCTTGTGGTAATATTATTATTGAAATCAGTAAAGATGAAGATGAACTGGAACGTTACAAAAATCAAGTATCAGGTCTTTTGGATTTATTGATCGAAAGATTTTTGGATCAAAATCCTTATGTTAGAACAAAGGCTATACAATCAATCTTGAAACTGTGTGAGGTTGATGCCAAGTTTACTAAATATCGTCAATCATTTGTCGAGATAGCTGTTAGAAGTTTAGAGGATAAAAGTTCATTGGTTAGACGTAATGCAGTGAAATTGATGTCTCGTCTTGTCTTGACACATCCGTTTGGAGCTTTACATGGAACTCAACTTAAATTATCAGTTTGGGAAAAAAGGTTGGCCGATGCTGAGAAAGAGCTAGAGAGTTTAGAGCCAGCAGATACCACTCAAGCTGTTATTGAAAGAAACTTAGAACAAGATTCTGATGAAGAAGAAGAATTGCCTTCAATGATTGAAAAAGAGAGTAATTCAAATGCTGTTTTCAAAATCAAATTGACTATTCAATATTATAATGATGCTATCAAGTTTATCAAGCTGATACAGCATGGTGTTGAAATTGCCTCACAATTGTTATACTCCAAGAATAAAAATGAAGTTATTGAAACAATGGACTTTTTCGTTTTAGCTGATGCTTATTCTATTGAAAATGTTGATACTGGTATTCGTCGTATGTTACATCTTGTTTGGATGAAGAGCAATAACGACGAAGGTACAAATGTTGCAACTCATTTGGTTGAATGTTATAAAAATTTGTTCTTGTTGGCTCCAGATGATTCTTCAGAACTTGAGGCAGCTGCATTGATTGCGAAAAATTTGATTTCATTGACTTATTCAGCTACTGTTCCCGAGTTAGCTTCATTAGAAAAATTATTAGGGTTGATGTATGAAGCTTCGTTAATTAATGAGACTGTTGTTAAAGTATTATGGCAAATTTATAGCTTTCAAAGCCAAAATTTCTCAAAGAAACAACGTCGTGGTGCTATTATTGTTCTCGGTATGTTGGCCTTATCTGATAATGATATCTCAATGAAAGGTATTGATGCTTTATTGAATGTCGGTCTTGGAGAAAAAGGTAAAGAAGATTTAGTATTAGCCAAATACTCTTGTATTGCATTGAACAGAGTTATACCACAGGATAAGAAACATGACACGTTCAAAGTTCCAAGAGAAAAAGAAGCTATTGACAAACTGGCAAATGTTTTGATTGAATACAATTCGAACAGTGAATATTATAGTGTTGCCGAACAGGCAATAAATACCATCTTCAACATTGCCAGCAGACCAGAAGATGTTGCAACTGAGATTATTAAACAAAAAACAAAGCTCACTTTTGGTTCAAGTCATGAAAATGAGTCCCAAGTTGTCTCATTGTCTCAATTACTATTTATTGTTGGTCATATTTCAATAAAAGTTATAGTTCATCTTGAAGCACTCGAGGCTCAATTCAAAAAGAAAAAGATTGAAGCTGAGATTACTAAAGCTAAAGGAGACAAAAATGAGGAAGAAGCAAATGAATTGGAAATGATTGGTGGTACTTCAGAAGATGATTTTGCTGATGCTGTTGCATTTATTAAAGAGAAGGAACTTTTGTATGGGGAACACTCATTATTATCAAAGTTTGGACCTCTTGTTAAAGAAATCTGCTCCAACAATCTGAAGTATGATAATAAGATCCTACAAAGATCAGCTGTTTTATGTATGGAGAAGCTAATGTGTGTTTCATCCAAATATTGTGAAGATAATTTGGCCTTGTTAATTACCATCATGGAACGCTCTGAAGACCCTATAATCCGTTCTAACGCCGTTCTTGGGCTTGGTGATATGGCTGTTTGCTTTAATAACCTTGTTGATGAAAATACGGACTTCTTGTACCGTCGTTTACATGATGACGATTTGATGGTTAAACGTACTTGTTTGATGACAATCACATTTTTGATTTTAGCCGGTCAAGTTAAAGTTAAAGGTCAATTATCACAAATGGCTAAATGTCTTGAAGATCCAGACCAAGGTATTAGTGATATGTGTAAGTTATTCTTCACAGAACTTGCTACTAAAGATAATGCTATTTATAATGGATTTATTGATATTTTCAGTGGTTTATCAAATGATGAGAATTTGAATAAGGATGCTATGAAACGTATCATCAAATTCTTGTTATCTTTTGTTGAAAAGGAAAGACACCAAAAACAATTGAGTGATAAATTAGTTCAAAGAATTACTAAAGTTGAAAATGAAAAACAATGGAATGATGTCGCATTTGTTTTGGGTGCTCTTCCTATCAAGAGTGATGTGATTACTCAAATATTGGAAACTGGTTATACAATGGTTGCTGCTCGTACATGATGTATTTACAAATGTTTAATAATAATTATGATGTCTATGTATAAGTTTAAGGCTTGTAGTGATCACCAAAAAGTTCAGATGGATGTTTGAAAACATCTCTTCCAACACCTAATTGACAATCGAATGGTAATTGCTTTGAATACAATTCATCTGATTTCAAATGTGAGCCAACAATGTCAGCTAAACCTTCAATAAAAGTTTGATTACCATTTAGCGATTCAGCTCTTTTTATTCTATCTTTATATTTGGATTCACCAATCAATTCTAAATCAATTTCATGCAAGGTTTCAATATGATCTGAAGTGAAAGCGATTGGAACAAGCACAATACCTTCAGAATCAGCTTCGATTCTTTCAACAAGTTTAGCAGTTTGAGCACCTAACCATGGTTTTGGCCCAACTTGTGATTGCCAAACGACTCTATAAGGGTTACTAAAATTCAATTCTTTCATAACGGCATATGAAGTAGCAGCGACTTCAGCTGGATAAGCATCACCGCTATTAACAACATCCATTGGCAATGAATGAGCTGAAAACAAAATCTTCACTTTATCTCTGATTGATTCTGGGAATTCGGCCAATTTTTCCTTGATATTACCAGCAAAAGCTTTGACCAAGCCTGGATGATCTGGCCAACGGTCAATGACTGACCATTCAATCTTTCTTTGAGGGTCAAGTTTTTGTGTTTGTCTCCATAATTCATTAATTGAACTACCTGAAGTGGAATAACTGAACTGTGGGTATTGTGAAAAGGCGACGGCTCTTGTAATACCATCATCCAACAATTTCTGTAAAGTATCTTCAGTGTAAGGACGGGCATAACGGAAAGCAACATATGGTTTATGAGGAGCAGTTTCAGGATTGGATTTATCTAGGATCTTACAAGCTTCTTCAGCTTGATATTGGGACCATTTCAAAATTGGAGAACCACCACCAATTTCTTGATAGTATTTTTCGATTTTTGGAGTACGTCTGGCTGAAATGAACTTGGCTAAAAGTCTTTGAAATCTCCCAACACCTAAATCAATCAAATCACCATCTGCAAATAGCTTGTACAAGAAATCATGGACTTCTGGGATGGTTGATGGGCCACCCATATTCATGAACACGACTGCTGTTCCATTATGTTGTCTTTTGAAAGCAGCTGAACTTGATGAAAAGAATCTAGAGGCACCAGATCTCAGGACAAAGCTTGACTGACTTAAGGCCGTTCTTGATAGTATGTTTTTCATAGCAGATGCTAATCAAGTTTGATTCCTTTTGTAGCCTTTGTAAAACGTTGAAAAGTTAGATTGCTAAAATGTTCGAGACTTTATCGAAAATATCAGTGCCTCTAACCAAAAATTTAAAATACGACGATGAGCATTCCGCGAATTTTGGGATCTGGGTTTTATACCAACAAAAAAAATCAACATTAATTGTTGAATTGGCTACAAAACACCTTATTTTTGTCTTGAAGGTCGTTAAGCTGATTGAAAATATGTTAAATCCAATATCAAGCCAGATAGATCTCTGGGCTGAAGCCATTGGGCTTGATGAAGCTACAATGAAACTGGCTATATGTCTATTTGGATCATTTCCCTTGAATGCCATCTTGAAAAGATTGCCAGATAACAACATAAGACTGAAGAATATCTACATCATCTCAATTTCTGGATTCTACTTATTTGGTATCATGTCTCTGTTTAGTGGGTTCCGGACCTTGTTTATTAGTACAATGTTTACATACTTGTGTACTAAATATTTGAAATCAGACTTTATGCCATTTATCAACTTTGCATTCGTTATGGGTCATTTGGCTATGAATCACTTCTACTTGCAATTTTATAATGAATATGATTCTACAAAGATTGATATCACTGGTGCTCAGATGGTATTATGTATGAAATTGACTGGTTTTGCTTGGAACGTCCAAGATGGTAGAAAACCGGAATCAGAATTATCAACATTTCAAAAGAATAAAGCTATTAAGAGTCATCCGCCATTGCTAAACTTTTTGAGTTTTTCATTCTTTTATCCATCTTTATTAACAGGTCCTTCTTTTGATTATATTGATTATGAAAGTTGGTTGAACTCCAAGATGTTTACAGACTTGCCAGAGAGTAAAAAACCAGGAAAGAAGAGAAAGAGAAATATTCCAAAATCAGGTAAAGTTTCATTTTACCGCTCCTTGCAAGCTGTTGGATGGTTATTATTATGGCAAAAAAGTGGTGAATACTTTTCCGTTGAAACCACATTCACTCCTTGGTATACAAATAAGAACTTTTTGTTCAAACTTTGGTATTTGTACGTTTTAGCATTCACTTACAGATTGAAGTATTATGCTGCATGGACACTTTCCGAAGCTTCATGTATTTTAGCTGGTTTAGGTTATAATGGTTATGACAAAGAGACTAAAACTATCAGATGGGATAGAGTTCAAAATATTGATATTTTCGCTTTTGAAAGCGCTCAAAATATTCATGGTGCTTTAGAAGCTTGGAATCAAAACACAAACAAATGGTTGAAAAATTATGTTTATTTGAGAGTTTCCAAAAAGGGTAAAAAACCTGGTTTCAAGAGTACGTTATTCACATTTTTAACTTCAGCATTCTGGCATGGTACCAGACCAGGTTATTATTTGAGTTTTGCAACTGGTGCCTTGTTACAAACTTGTGGGAAAGTTTACAGACGTAATTTCAGACCTATTTTCATTGAAAATGATGGGGTCACTCCAAAAAGAACCAAAATGTTTTATGACATTGTTTGTTATATTGTCACACAATCAGCTTTGGCTTATTTAGTCCAGCCATTTGTTATCCTAGACTTCAAGCCATCATTAGAAGAATGGAAAACTGTTTACTTTTATTGTCACGTTGGTATTGGGCTAACTTTATTCTTGTTCCAAGGTCCTTTCAGCGCTCAAGTCACAGCTTTCTTTAAACAATACCACCCAGTTAAACCAAAAGAACCAAGACTCACAGATATCATAAAGGATAAACAAGATTATGAATCTTCTGAAAACATGCATTTGGGTATCCCATCTGCAGACTTTGAAAAAGCAGACTTGAATAAAATTGTTGAAGAACTTGAAGATTTCAAAAAAGATGTCAAAGATTGGCAACAACAAAATGGGTTAAAGACCGAAGAAAAGGCAATTAAAGAAGCTTATAATGAATTCTCAAAAGATCTTGAAACCTTGAAACAGAAAGGTCCAAACTTTAAAAAGAATAATAAAGATGAATAACCACCGTTCGTTCGTTTTAAGAACTAAATATGTGTATAATTACGAAACTTATGTTATAGATTGATATGAGTTATTGTACCTATAAATCATCAGGATCGAAAAGATCCAGATCCTCTATAACGTTATTATCTCCATCATTATCATCACCTCCATAGGATCCACCAAAAGAACCTCTTCTATTAACACGCGGACTTGATGTAACCTTTTCGTCTTCATCATTTGCCTCATCCTCCTTCTCTTCAGGTGCCATACCAGTCAATTCTGCAGCTTTCAAGGATGCAATAGCAAGCATACCTTTTCTCAAAGAGTCTTCAGCTGGCCATATAAAGTTATTAGGGCCGATTGAACCACTATCAAATGTTGGTGGGGCAGTTGAGAATTTTGCCAATTTCATAGCATATTGTAACAATTCATCTGCACTGAGTTTATTCTTTTGCATTTGTTTTTGTTCCTGCTGTACTTCTTCCAAGTTTGGTAACGACTTTAATTGATTCCTACATTCACTTAACCCAAGTAGTATTTGTTTACAATTGTTATCAACATTTGATGATTTGGCCTCTAGGGAATCAATTTTCAATCCCGATTGCTGATGCGTTATTATATCACCCACTGAATGCTCTAGTTCTTTTTGAATAGATAACAATTCTTCAGCTTCAGATTCTTGAGGATCATATTTGGATATTGACGTTAACAATGATGATAAAGATTTTTCAAATGCATTAAGGTTTTTGGAAATAGGTAAATTAGCGACTCTAATCTCTTTTATACTGGGTATTTCTGGGGTTCCTATTCTTGAATAAAGGTTTGTGGATGAGACAGGCCTTGGAATGCTAGGATTTGGTTTGGACATGATGATGAATCCTTGATTCTAATCCTGATGAAAGTGTTGTGTAAGTTGTAGCTGATTGTGTAAAAAATCGAGATTGAAATATATGCCGAACCGTGAAAAAATGGCAGAACTACAAATGGTGCTTTCGAAAAATCATTAAATTCATCAATGAAAAAGGCTAAACGTGATCCTCTTCAGTAAATCCGGGACAATGCTCATATAAATCGCCTTGATCTTCATATTTTGCACCACAATAATAGCAATAATCGAATTCAGTCCTTAGAAACAAATGAAGTTTTCGAACTTTTTCCTCTATGGTCAATTCTTCGAACAATTCCAACTCTTCATCATTATCCTCCTCTTCAGAGTTTTCACCATCTTGCTGAATTTCTTGTATTTCTTCCGGATTTTTAATTCTTCTCTGCTCCCTTTTATCTTTGAGTAGTTTTTGAACAAATTTCACATATCCTCTCCACAAGACATTGATACCCAATGGGTCAACTTTTTCTATATCAGGAGCATCACCATCACCACTGAATTCTAAGCAATATTTTTGCATCTTGTGTAAAATCTTTTCTTGCCTCTGAGTGTTTTGTTCATCAGTTAGCCTTTCTCTAAATTCTTTAGCATCTTCATTTGTTATTCCCTCAAAAGCTTTAGTTTTATTTGATTTCCCTATCTTTATTTGCCCTTCTTTTATACCTGTTCTATCTTCTCTTTGTAATACCAAGATTGGTTCCAAAATGGCCTTTTTATTCTTACTATCTTTTCCTAGTGTATCTCCGATCTTGAAACCCATCTTTTCCATTATTGAAAGACCTTTAGAGGAATTTTTCAACTGTGACTTTGGCATTGGCTGCAGAGTACTATCATCCGCTCTGCTAGACTCTAGTTGACCAAATAGTGATGCTGGCTTTGATTCTTTTTTATCTTGAATCTCTTCAAAGTTATATCCTGGTTTAGTCTTGGTCTCATCCTTCGGCTGCAACCTCTGTGGACCAGTTTTCTCATCTTCAGTAATTGCCATTCTCATATAGTCATCATCTCCGCCCAAAATTGCTTCTGGGTCTTCTTCTTTTCCCAACGTTGGTCGCACATCATCTATATCATTTTCTTTTATTTCTTGTGTCTTGAATGATAGCTTGGGCAGTTTTGATTTGCAAAGAGGTTGTGGCTTTTCGACTTCTTCATCACTAGATCCGTCATCGAATCCAAGAGCAGCTCGTTTCCTCAAACTCATGATGTTAATTGAATTGGAAAAGTTGCTAGCTTGTATAATAATCGTTGTTTTAGTCAGACTTATTTTTTTGTTAATGACTGCCAAAATGACAAGGGCGACATAAAACTTACAAACTTGATTCACATAACCTCATAAATATTATTTCACATATGCTATACAAAACTATTATTCAAATTCACCAGCTGGAAGTTCAGTTGGTAGACCCAGTTCTTTTAATCTTTTATTTTGAACTTCTTTCAAACCATTCTTCCAAAGATCATGGTTCTCTCCAATCGCATAAGAAATAGTCTTATTTTTGAATCCCTTTGGTCCCAAATAGTTCAATTGTTCAATGACATCTTCCACTAATATAGCTTTACCTGCTGCAATACCATCTCCTAAACCTTGATGTGTGATATTGACAACATGGATATGGAAATGGTAATAAGATGGTTGATAATGAATGAAAAGACGCAATTCATCTGGTAAAATTTGATGATTATAACTTGAAGAGACAGCTTTTCTGATTTTCAATGAAACATCTTTTAGCCATTGTTGACGTGAAGGATTCAAATCTCTTAATGATCTAATATCTTCACGATACACAATAGCAACTAAATATAGGGCATCAAGGTTCAATCCATCCCATTTCATATCTGGTAACAAAATGAACCCATTTTCTTTATCTAAATCGTTGTAGACAACTCTATCAGCCTCTGCGCCTTCATGTAAGATGTTTCTTACCCATTTGATTCTATCACCAACCATTGTTTCAATATAAGGAACAACATATTTTTCATAAACTTCAGGAGTCTCTTCAACTAAATGGAATTGTTGTTGAGTATATTTTCTAATATGAACTTCAGTAGCAGGCCAAATCAAGTTCAATTTAGCTGTTGGATTTTTTTCAATATCTTGTTGTAATGTACATAACCCCCAGTGATAAATATCATTTTCAGTTATAGTGCTAATCTTGTCAATTGCATTGATACAAGAAAATTCACTATCACATTTTCTACCTTGTGGTAAAACACCTTCTAAGCTTTCATCAAATGTGAAATTTGTCTTTTCAACAGTTATAATTGCAGGTTTTGATTCAATTTTCCCCAATAGTGCCATTGTTTTAGTTTGAGGGTTTGAATCCAGGACTTGCTCAAACTCGAACTTTGGGATCAGTGTTTGTAAAGACATGATAGGTTACTAAATTCTAGATTGCGAATGGTTAAATTGACTAAATTGATCGATTGTAAAAGGATCCGTCCAAAGTTATCAAAAGTTGTGGTTCAATAAATTTAACAAAGGTCCGATTTTTTTTTTGGTCAGTGAGGTGCTCGTAACGAACAAACATACCGACTTTTACTGAACAATTACAAAAAGGGCTTGAGATTATTTGATCTGAGCTACATGTTTTAATTCAATTAGCTATTATGGATCAATTGACTATGGACGGAAACAATAAAAACACAGAAGAAATTGCAAGTGTTAAATCAACCTCTTAAAAAGATCCAATAGACTAAAAAGACAATGAATAACCCAACCCCAACAATTGGTGCATATTGTTGTATTAAAAGATCAAAATTGATCTTGTGTGCAGCTTTTCTATATTTCTTAGACTCAAGTCTTATAGATGAAGAAATATCAGACATTTTATCTAAACTATCACCACGGTATAATAAATCTTCTATATTTTTACTCATGACAGCTTTAACATCAGCTAAATCACTGTTTAATTTATCTAGATTGGATTGAGCTCTTTGATCTTGATAGATTTTCTTGGTTTTCTTCATATAATTATCAAATGAAACGAATGCATACGGTCTTGTATCTGACCTTAAACTATCAGCACCATGGGATTGTGAAAATTCATTTGAAATTTCAGCTAAATATGAAAATGCAAGTTTTCTTGGATATGATTTTTCACAAATTGCGAAATATATGATTGAGTCTAACATTAGATAATGGATTTGATAATTATCACTTTCAATTGAAGCACGAGTTTCCGAATTTGGTGTTATCCTTGAAATGATTAGTTTGACTTTCTTCTTTTGTTCAGTCAAGCTTGGATCAGTGTCATCATCAACAGATCCTGACAAGGGTAAACCTATTGCAAATTGTTAGTTTGTCAAATTCAAAGAGTTTTTTCGCTGTATCTTGATTCACCAGAATTGATTCATAACCAAACCTCAAGCGCAAAGAAGGAAACAAAAGCAGAACATACCGTCATTTCTAAATATAAGTGTAGATTTGATCATTATATTGATCTATGAAAAGCTGTGACTCTTGGACGGCTGAAGCTCAACAAACTTTAAAGAATGAAATGCTGTCAACAAATGTTGTTATTATCTTGAAATCTCTTTCTGAAAATGAGTTACGGGGTAAAACGTGACTAGTCACGAGATGTGTTGACCGGAATTATAAATGTGCATCTAAATCGTTTGACTTGATTCAACTTTCTTCAATCAAAACATTGTAAATAGATCAGATTTTTGGACTGAATTGAGCAGATATTATGCAAGTTACATTTGTAGTTGTGGGTGTATTGGCTGTAGCTGCCTTGTTGGTGATAAGGTTGGCTTTCGTCTTACCAGCGTTGGAGCATCATCAACTGAGGAAAAAACCACTAAAGATCATAGAGGAGAAGAGCATTATGGTATTGTTGGGATCTGGGGGACACACAGGTGAAATGATTAGAATCTTATCTTCTACAGAGAGTGTAACAAAAGCTAAGAAACTATACTGGGTGATAAGTTCCGGTGATTCAAGTTCATCTATTCATTTACAAAAACTTCAAAATGAATTAAACATTTCTGAAAGATCCAAAACAATTGAATTACCAAGAGCTAGAAAAGTTGGTGAAGGTTTAATATCATCAATTGGGTCCACTATCAAAACTATAATTTCCACATTCAAACAATTTATACAAATGAAAGCATTCCCCGATGTTTTGATGGTCAATGGTCCAGGTACTTCTGTTCCAATATGTTACTTCTTCTTCATTTTAAAGTTATTCGGTATACATAGTACCAAGATCCTATACATTGAGAGTTTAGCTAGAGTCAGTGATCTCAGTTTAAGTGGTAAGCTTTGTTATTTGATAAGTGATAGATTCATTGTTCAATGGGAGAAGCTCCAAACCAGATATCCTAATGCTGAATGGTATGGTATTCTTGTGTAAATAATAAGCTAATATTAATGTTAGATCTTAAGTAGTCTCTCTGCCTAGGAACAAGTATGTCTCCGCCTGTGCCCTTACCATGATTTCTGCCTGGAAATATTTCCAGAAAGAGACTTTCCTCAGTCGCACACAGCTGCCGTCCCCATCTCGGAGACACTTTCATTTAACTAGGAGGCCCAGATGAGAATAAAGTTTAATGACAAAAAGCATTGTTTTGATAGGAGAATCAATTGTATTTAAACAGTGCAAAATGTCGTTTGAAAGACAATCAATTTAAGTGATATGGTCCTAATCACTATTTAAACGATGTCAGCCACAAGTACTACTGAAAGTAAGCAAACCGCTACACTGAAGTTGGGTTCAAAAGATGATAAAGCATACTTGAAGAAGGAAAACTATGGGGAAGCTGGTGTTCACAATATCGCACAAGGTGAATATGAATATGCTCATATCAAACCAAAATTTGAAGATAAACACAAAGAACGTCAATGGCTATTAGAACACATGGCTGGTGTATTCAGAGTCTTTGGTAGAAGAGGTTATAATGAAGGTGCTGCTGGTCATATCTCTGTAAGAGATCCAGTTGATCCCGAAACTTTTTGGATTAATCCATTAGGTAGACATTTCAGCTTGATGAGAGTTAGTGATTTGGTGCATGTTGATAAAGAAGGTAAGGTTATTGGTGGTAACAAAGCTGCTGTCAATGCCGCTGGATTTCAAATCCATTCAGAACTTCACAAGGCAAGACCAGATGTTCATGCAGCTTGTCACACTCACTCAGTCTATGGTAAAACTTATTCAACATTTGGTAAAGAGCTTGAGATGTTGAATCAAGATGTTTGTATGTTTTACAAAAGTCATTCCGTCTATACAGATTTTGGAGGTGTTGTATTAGAAAAGGAAGAGGGACAAAGATTAGCCAAAGCGCTAGGAAATGGGAAGGCCATTATTTTACAGAATCATGGGTTACTAACAGTGGGATCTACTGTGGATGAAGCTGGTTATTTGTTCACGTTAATGGAAAGATGTTGTGAAGTTCAATTGTTGGCAGATTCTGTCAAAGGCTACGAAAAGAAGATTATTGGTGATGATGAGGCCGCTTATACTGAACATATGACAGGTGATCCAGAAACATTATACTCCGAATTCCAGCCTGATTACGAGTTAGAAGTAGAACTTACGAATGGTGCCTTCTTGAAGTGAGTTATTTATTTATGAATAAGACTGATTTGTATTTTTCAATGTTGTCGTAGTACGTTTTTGTGGAGCGAAGAAAATAGTTATTGACAAAATACTATACACACAGTTGAATGACGACAATGCTTTATAGTACCGAGTCACTTAGTGATATACCAAAGAGATGGACGTGTTTGAACAAGATAAGGCACCAAAGGTTGAGAATAAGAGATTGCAAACCAACAAGAAAGCGCTATTCTTCCAAAAGATTTTGGTCAATTCACTGCTGAGATATCGTCAAGCCGCAAAATTTACATCCAAAAACCATGTCAGCTCAAATGAACAAACTGTGACAATACTTGATCTCCCACCTGAAGTATTCAAAATTATTGTCTTTTTCATATACCGTTCAAACCACTCAATTGTCCCATTAGTCACTTGTTGCAAGCAATTATACCAAAGATTTGCATATTTGATCTATTCCACTAAGATTGTCCACATTAAAGATGATCAAAGAATTTTTTCCAACACTGAATCCCATGCTCTTAATACATTGCAGTATTTGGATAAAAATAAAAAAAATGTTGCAGCTGCTATACCAATTCTTTCAGTATACTTTAGAAAATCATATTTTTCATCTGATAACTTACCACTAAGTACTGGTTTGTTATTCAATACTTTACCTATAATGTCCAGGTTGGTTGTTTTGACAATAGATGCCGATGAACCCATACTTTTATTCAAATCATTTTGTCATCTTCCACCAAAAATTCAAGTGTTGAGAATTTATATAAACTTCACAAAGAACCAGTTATCAAGAATAGATCCAAAAGCTTTTCCCACAGATGATTATGAAAAGTTTTCAGAAGTTCAAGACCTTGAATATTTTGAAGTTGAATCAAGAAAGTATAACCTTGTATCACGTCACATTCATCCAAGTTGGGGATTTTTCAGTATGAACCCAAATTTGGAAGAGGAAAGAGCATTTGAACATTTTTTCACCTCAGGGCTTGCAAGAGCTTATGAAAGAATAAAAGGTGAAGGTAGAAAATCATTAGTCAAAGAAAAGATTGGACATACGATATATAACTTTTTGCAAAAAAACAAATCCAAATTAATTAAAATGGAATTTATGGGAATTGATCTTAATTTGATTTTCAATATTGATAATTTTAGAACTCCATTTCAATTTGATGCTTTAAGAATGTTGTTCTTTGATAACTCATCTAGACTATTTTTAACAAAATGGTTACCAACATTTCAACAACAGAACATGTACCCAACTTATAGGACCCATTACCCATTATTAGTATTTTATGACAGATTGGGTCAAAGGATATATTTCAAAGATACCAGGATGACCACAGTTAATGGAGAGCAAATTATTCACAACTCAGAAATTGAAAGTTGGAGATACTCAAATCTGATTGCAAGTGCATACAACATCTTGAACCGTAAAAGGGATATCAAATACTGAAACTCATTTTTTACTTGCGAAATTTTTCAACGCCTCTCTGGGATCTTCCAAATTGATATTATTTTCGATCTTTTCGGCATCTGTAGTTCCCCATATGAATTTTTGCTTCGGTTTCAGGTCTTCTTCATCGCCATTCCTTTTCTTTTTACTCTTGTTTAACTCAGCCAATTCATTCATATTATAGCCAACTTGTGATGTGGTTGAAGTAACAAAAGCTTCATTTTCATCAAAATGTCTCTTTTTTGGTTTGTTGTTGATTGTTATTTTGGCACCATTTTTAGAGCTATCTGGAGAAAATAACACACTTAACCCACCTGAATTTGTTCCAACTGCAACTTGGTCAATAGTTTTATTCCAATCCAAAGCTGTGATTGATCCACTGAAGCTCAAAGTTTCCAATGTTACCAAATCAGATTTATCCAAAATATGCAATTCAGTATCTCTATCTTGATTTTGAAATGAGGTACCCGCCAAAATAAATTGTCCATGGTATGAAGTAGCAGAGCTCAAATCTGCTGTTGGAAAATCTAATCTTTGAATCACTGGATTCGTAAAATTTCTTAAATCATAAAGTTTAAGATCATTATTAGTAGTACGTACCAATACTGAATTTTCATCATCCAAATTAGTATTGATTGAAGTGATTGTGCCATTTAATTGTAATTCCTTAGTTGGTCTATTAAAATTCCCATTAACATCCCAAAGTGTTATTCTTGAATCTGAATCAGTAGCCATAATTGACTTGGAGGAAGTTGTATATAAAACATTAGAAATCTTTGTTTTCTTTCCCTTGCATTTTATAAAGTTAATTTTCTCTTGTTTACCAGTACCAAGGTCCCATAATCTGAAAGTGGAATCATTACTTGATGTTGCAAATTTCGCCTGATCAACAGGGTTCCATACACCATCAGTCAAAACATCAGTGTGTCCTCTTGTTGTTTTAACATCATAAATATAACGATCACCTTCACTAAATTCTTTTAAAGCATCACCATCAGCATCCAAAACCTTGAAAGATAAACCATTCGGTATTGTCAAAATTTCGTTTTTCTTATTTAGATCAGTTTTAATAATTGGCTGAGATTCATAAACTTCAGATGATTTGAAAGGTGTTGTTGCCGCTGGGTTCATTGAGTTGAAATCATAAATGCTTAGGTTATAGTCAGCACCAGTTGTGAAAAGTCTGTTTCCAGAATTTGAAAATTTGAGGCTATTGATCTTTTTAGAATGCCCGTTCAATGGGAGCTCGTGTGAAGTTGGGAAATGCTCTTTACCTTCATCATCTGAATCTGAATCACTATCTGAATCATTTTCTGAATCATTCTTGACATCAGTCTTCGTTTCACTGAATCCACTTCTCAGATATTTTGAGTATATAGAGTCATCAGGTTCACCAATTGTGCCTTCATTGCCAAATCTTGTAGGCAAAGAATCCATTGTTTTCGATTGAGCTTTACGTGAAATAAACAACAGTATAAGCAGGTTATTATTGTTTTTTGCAAGAAAACATCAAACGCATTCGCGATACAATTCGCGAAGAAAATGTGACCACTGATTTTGGACCTCAACGCCTTTTCAGAAGTTTATTACTCAATTCAAGAGAAAGATGTCGAACCAAAGACCTAGCAACTCACTATATCTCATATCAAGAAACTCGCCATGAGTTTTGTTAGAACTACAGTGGCCAGAGTCGGACGTGAAAATCAACGTAAGCAGATTTAACAATGCTACATTTTATTTCAAAGCAATCAAGAAATGAACTGTCTTTCATTGAGTATAATTCATTGAAAGGTGGTGAATGATTCTAACGTTTTCTTCTTTAAGTTTACAATTCTGAAACTGGTGCTCGAGTAGTTGCTGGATGCGTCGTTTTAAACCAAGACAAATCCAAAGTTTTACTCATAAGCTCTACTGGACACAAGAAAAAATGGGTTATACCGAAAGGTGGTGTCGAGTTAGATGAACCAGACTATAAAGATTCGGGTGAGTATTTGTGATTAGCTTGTCACAGCACGAAATACTAATGACCTTGAAGCTACAAGAGAGACGTGGGAAGAAGCCGGTGTTACTGGAAAGATTGTGAAATCACTAGGTGTTATTGATGACTTGCGCCCGCCAAAAGAATGGAATACCAATAAAGAAGAGTTCATGAACTCGGAAATACTTAAACATCCTCCACGTTCTGAATTTCATTTCTTCGAAATGATTGTGGAGAAGGAGTATGATACTTTCCCAGAGTCACATAAAAGACAGCGAAGATGGGTTACCTACCAAGAAGCTATTGATGAACTGAAAAGTATCAAAAGATTAGAGTTGGTTGAAGCTATTGAACGTTCTAGTGTCGCAAGAAGTTAGTTCTATATGTATATTATGAATCCTAAATAGGGAAAACGACACATTGTTTTTGTTTAAAACCCACCTCCAAGGAAACTGCTCATCAGATTTTGTAGTGGATTTATATTCTTTTGAACACGGATTCCAAAGTAAACCTCTCCGATATAGGAAAAAGCATCATCTAATTCTGCTAGGTTGATATCTTGCTGGTATCTATTCTTTAATTTTTGATAATATGGTGCATTTTTAGTTTGAACAGACACCAACAACAATTGAAGGAAATTAATCAAAGGTAGATCTTCAAAAATGAAAACTTCATTTTCTGATTCTTTCAAAGTTTCTGAACTGAATTCAGTCTTTGTAGATATCAAGTCTTGAATGAACTTGGAGAGTGCTTCATTGGCGTACTTAATATTTTCAATAAATAGGTAATTCAATACCAATCTAGAAACATAAACACCAGCATTTTTGGAGTTTGGATCTTCCAAATACCATGTCCATATCAATTTATAATATAATGGGAAGCTGGCTGATGTACCCAATATTAAATGTCTTTCCGCATCATAAGCTAGTGAAGCATTTTGCAAAAACTTCTCACCGATAACATCATGTAAATAAGGATCACCAAATTTATATTCACCAAATTTGACTGTCCAATTTATGGCTTGAATACTAACATTTTTCAACGTAGGTTCATCTGGTGTAAATAATGAGATCAATTGGATGATTTTAGATTTTGAACTTGAATCAACTGGAATTTCAGCTTCGTCATAAATTTCCAACAAATATGTTGTCAAGTCTGAACCTGTAGCTGGTTGACTAGATTTTAAAAGTATTTGTGCAGCATGGTATAGTAATTCGATAGCATCTCCATAAGATTTTGTTCTGACGTTTCTATTTGCAATTGTTCTCAAAGTTTGATGTGCTTCATAGTAATCCCCTTCAGATATTTTTTGTTTGAACCTTTGCAAGGTTCTTTGCAGTTTAGGATTCTTTACGTTGATTTCAACCTCAGACATATTAATTATGTGGTGATTTGTATCAATTGGAGACTTGAACATCTAGATATACTTGAAGCTTTCATGGGAGGTTCGAGAAAATCCATAAATGGGCCACGCGAAACTTCGCGAAAGCGTTTTGCAATTCTGAAAGGCCTCAACGACGCAAGAACAGATCTGACGTTAAAACATTTCTGATTTTTGGACTTCCAATTTCCTTTTATCAGTAGCTTTAATGGGCATTGCTTGATCTTATCACTTGCTCTTATTTCGCTGCAGTACCTGGTAAAGTCCTTTATTAAGATGTTCTACTCATCGCATCCAAACACCACAGATCCTCCTACAAAGAAAAATTTTGACACTTGATCTAATCAATTATACTTTGAATAATCCCACTTAACTAGTTCACAATGTCAGATCAACCAGGAACTGCACAATCACCTGTTCAAGATGCCCCAAAGGCTGCAGACTATCCAACACTTGAGTCGATCCCAGAGGTAAAACCAGCAGAGATGTCAAAATCTCAATGGAAGAAACTTCAAAGAAAGAAAAAGTTTCAAGAAAACAAAAAGGAATATATCAAGATCCGTAAAGAGAAGAAGAAGGAAAACAATGCTGCTCGTCGTCTTGAAATTCAATCATATGTTGAAAAAAATGAACCAATTCCAGAACATTTGCTTAAAAAACCAAAAAAACCAAAAACTCAAACCAAAACAGGTTCTAAGATTGTTATAGATTGTTCTTTTGATCATTTGATGAATGATAAAGAAAAAGTTTCTTTGAGTTCCCAAATTACACGAGCATATGCCGCAAACCGTACTTCACCAAACACTGTTGACCTAGAAGTTACTTCATTCGGAGGAAACCTTAAAAGAAGATTTGAAGTTGATATGAAATCTTCTGCATATCAAAATTGGAAAAACATCACATTCAATGAAGAACCTTTTGAACCTTCAGAAAATGTCATTTATTTATCAGCAGATGCTGAAGAAGCTCTAGAAGTGCTTGAACCTGATATGACATATGTTATTGGTGGTATAGTGGATAAAGGTCGTTACAAGTTCCTTTGTAAAAACAAGGCAGATGAACTTGGACTCAAATGTCTAAGGCTTCCAATTGATGAATATATTAACTTGTTTGGTAGAAGAGTCTTAACAACAACACATGTTGTTGAATTAATGTTGGAATGGTGGAATGGTAAAGATTGGAAATTAGCATTTGAAAAAGTTTTACCGCAAAGAAAACTGATCAATGAGGATAAGGAAGGAAGTACAAGTGTTGACCCAGAAGAAATTGCAAGCGTTGATCCAGAAAAAATTGCAAAGCTTGAGGATGACGAAGAGGATGAAGAGGAAGCTGAAGCTGAAGAGGTAGCTCCAGAAAGTGAAAAGAAACCGGAGCCTGTCCAAACTGCCGATGCTACAGAAGGGACCTCAGCTGAATGAGTAATACGCTCAATCAATAGAAATCAATAGATTATTTTAATTGTAGCTTACATGTATTGGTCTTTGTATAGACTCCTAATAGTGTCCGATGTCAAAAATGAAATTCGCGACGCCAAAATCTTCGAGATGAAAAAATCAGACGCGTATGCATCAACTATATCGAATCAATTTGAACTGAACATAGATCATCAAACCACGTAATGTCAGATAATTCATTGAAGCTTGAATTGCCTTGGTATGTGTATCTCTCAATGGGGGTGGCTATTCAGTTACTAACAGGAAATTAGGGTTGAAAAATACCGTCCACAAAAATTAGATGATGTTACAGGAAATATAGAGACGATATCACGCTTAAAATTAATAGCACAAGATGGTAATATGCCACATTTAATCATTTCAGGTCTTCCAGGTATTGGTAAAACTACCTCAATCCATTGTCTTGCCCACGAATTGCTTGGTGAAGCCTATTCAAATGCCGTTTTAGAACTTAATGCTTCTGATGATAGAGGTATCGATGTTGTTCGTAATAAGATAAAACAATTTGCACAAAAGAAAGTATCATTACCAGAAGGGAGACACAAAATCATTATATTGGATGAAGCTGATTCAATGACACCTGGTGCTCAACAAGCATTAAGAAGAACCATGGAGATTTATTCAAATACAACTAGATTTGCATTTGCTTGTAATGTGTCAAATAAGATTATTGAGCCTTTACAATCTCGTTGTGCCATTTTGCGTTATACAAAATTAAGTGATGAAGAAGTTTTGAAAAGATTATTGGAGATAATCAAGTTTGAAAAAGTGGAATACTCTAATGATGGTCTTGAAGCTTTAATATTTACAGCTGAAGGTGATATGAGACAAGCTATAAATAATTTACAAAGTACTGTTGCAGGTTTTGGATTTGTCAATGGTGAAAATGTTTTCAAGATTGTGGATAGTCCTCATCCTTTGATTATCAAGAAAATGATTTTAAGTGTTGTCAATGGTGATATAGATCAAAGTTTGGAATTACTGAAAGGATTATGGGATAAAGGTTACTCTGCAATTGATATTGCTTCCACAAGTTTCAAAGTTGTTAAAAACTTGGACGAAATTGACGAGAGTGATAGATTAGAAATAATGAAGGAAATTGGGATCACTCATATGAGAGTTTTAGAAGGTGTTGGATCTTATTTACAACTAAATGCATTGATAGCCAGAATTGCAGCATTAAAATATTGAACAAAGGGAAAATAAATGTAAAATAATGACTTCATAACTGATTCCTTTTTGTAGTTTATAAGATGAACTTCCATAATTCCTCTTACACCCGGACACCTCGATCTCTACGAGTTCGCGAATTCCTTACTGTCAAAGATTCATGATTTCACTGCTCAAACAAATTATTCGTTGGACAAAAACAACAACCTTTGGAAACATAGTTCAATTCCAAACTCAGAGCTATTTAATTGTTATTCAGTTCAACTCAATCATGTCTGAATCAACAATTGTCTCTAATGTGTCTGTCCAAGTGATTGATGAAGATAAGGTATTCCAGTATGTTTATTTTAAGCGTGTTGCGCTATGTTGTAAGCCTGATCTGACAATATAAAAACAGGAATGATCAAATCAAGAAATACTTGAAATCAGTTATCAAACAAGATCTTGGACTTGACTATCATGTTATCTCAGTCTTTGGATCCCAATCAACTGGTAAATCAACATTGTTGAATAAGCTTTTCCACACAAAGTTTGATGTCATGAATGAAGCTCAAAGACAACAGACCACAAAAGGTATTTGGTTAGGGTATTCTCCAGAGATTGAAACCAACAAAACTGAATCAGTAGAGAAGCTACATCAAGAACATGTCTTTGTTATGGATGTTGAAGGTTCAGATGGTAGGGAAAGGGGTGAAGATCAAGATTTTGAACGTAAAGCTGCATTGTTTGCTTTATCAACATCAGAAGTTCTCATTGTCAATATCTGGGAACACCAAGTTGGTTTGTATCAAGGTGCTAATATGGGATTATTGAAGACTGTCTTTGAAGTGAATTTATCACTTTTTGGTAATAAATCTCATAAAGTTTTGTTGCTGTTTGTTATCAGAGATCATGTTGGTGCTACACCTTTATCCAATCTATCAAACACTTTGACAGCTGATTTAGAAAAAATGTGGGATAGCATAAATAAACCAAAGAATGTCAGTCCTGATGTCAAGCTCTCTGATTATTTTGATCTTGAATTTACAGCGCTTGCTCATAAACTTTTACAACCTGAGAAATTTGAATCTGATGTCCGTGATTTAGGCGATAGATTTTCCGATAAACAAAGAAAAGATTACCTATTCAAGAATGATTATCGTCAAAATTTCCCAATCGATGGTTGGACTGTCTATGCTGAAAGATGCTGGGAACAAATTCAATCAAACAAAGATCTTGATTTACCTACACAGCAAATATTGGTTGCAAGATTTAGATGTGACGAAATTTTAAAAGAAGCCTTGGAAGCTTTTGATGCAGAGTTTTCAGAAATCTCGAAGCATTTTGACTTTTCCAAACTTGAAGGTAGTCAATTAGCTAACCACTTCAGTTCCCTTTTGACATTAGCATTAACTGCATATGATACACAAGCATCTCACTATAACAAAGCAGTCTATGAATCCAAAAGAAAAGGTTTAACCTCTGATGTGAACTTGAGATTACAAAATGTCTTTAGAGAGTACATCAAACAATTAAAAAAATCACAAATTGAAACATTTACAAAAACATTTACTGATAAGAACAACAAAGCACCATTTTTGGAAAAATCTATTCAGGCGAGACAAGCTGCGCTAACAAACTTCACGACTCAAATGGAACCTGTGAAGAAAGTTGATCCCGAATTTTTTGATTACCAAGCCGATCTTGAAGAATTCTCTGGAGAACTTGATGAACAGTTAGTCAAAGTCAGACAAACAGAAGTTGATAACTTGGTAAATCGGGTGAACAAAAAGATCAATCCGATCATTAAAAACAAGTCATTGGAGATTTTTGGTACCCCTGATGAACAATTATGGGACAAAGTTTTGGATAATTTCAAGTCAACCTTAAATAATGCTTTAGCTAGATATAAGAAGGATGATGATACATATGATTTCAAAATTGGATCAGATCCGGAACTCAATGATGAAATAGCATTCAGAATTAAAAAATCAGCATGGGTTTCATTTGATCAATTTATTCATGAATACTTGAGAGAAGAAAATGTTGTTGCAGTCTTAAAACGTCAATTTGATGACGCTTTTGCTTATGATAAAGATGGTGTTCCAAGAACCTGGAAAAATGAAACTGAAATTTCATTAGCATATCGTGAAGCCACTGAGTTCTCATTGGGTACATTACCTTTATTCTCAATTGCAAAATTGTCAAATGGAACAGAAATCATTCCAGATATCCCTGTTACAGATGAAGATGACGAGGATGAAGAAGAACCTCACACTTTTGCTCACCTCTTGAACTCTACTGATCAACTCAAAATTAAAAAGAGTTTCTTGAAACAAGCAGAAATTAGTTACCGTGATGCTAATCGTTCTATTGTCTCAAACATTGCAAGAATTCCACCATTCATGTATGTTCTATTGATAGTTCTTGGCTGGAACGAATTCATGGCTGTTGTTCGTAACCCATTGTTATTAATGTTGGTCTTATTAATTGGTGTTGCTGTCATCTTCATCCACTCAATGAACTTATGGGGACCTGTCAATACAGCTACAAACATTTTTATTGGTCAAGCAAAATCATCATTAAGAAATATTCTTCTTGATGAACCAGGTCCTGCCAGAGTTGCTGCTCAAAGACAGCAACAAGCATCTGAAACTGAAGAAAGTTATGAACTCGATGATTTATCAAATAAAAAGGAAGATTGATTATATCTCAAATAAAAAACACATTGATGTCTACAATTTTGTTATATGTAAGCATATTGAACCGTATGATTTGACAGCTTCGCGACTTTTTACTCCGCGAATTTCAAAAATTTGTGACAAAAGCGTGTGCGTACGATTTTTTGATTTTTCCACCTTGATCAAGTAACAAGTAACCAGCCATTTGATCTTTGACCTACAGCAGCCTGCCATCCCATAGAATTGAGTAAAGCTGGTGATTCAAAAGATCAGAAAATTTTCCCTTTTCCAAAAATTCATAAATGACAAGCTGAAGGAATTGAAAAGGCTGGTGATATAAACAGAAAGCCCTCTTACAAGATTTGGTATCATGAACTTACCTAGAAAATGGAATGTGTTGAACTTGAATTCGGACAAAAAGTATTATTACGGTGTTGATTTTGCAATTGAAAGTTGGCATTACAGCCTTTATGTTACAGACTTTTCAAATGTTTGGATTTGTGATGTTGATGAGGAAAGATTACATATCAAAGCACTTCAAAATGGTATAGAGCAGGACTCTATTGGAAGTGTTTATCAGACTTTGATAACTTCTTTTGAAAACAACTTTAGCGGTGAAGATACAGAGACAAAAATTCATATGGATGAGTCAAAAGTTGATAAGGGTGTTCCTCTGGAATTGAAGTTGAATATGGTGAAGAGTTACAGCAATGCAAAGTTGAATTGGAACTTTGATCTTGTAATATTACCTGACTCAAGTGCAATCACTATTTTGAAAAATCTCATATTTCATTTATCAACTGTTATTTTCTCATTGAACGAATATAAAGACGACTTGGTGAGATTAATTGAGCATAAAGATAGTGCTATCAGGTTCTTAGGAGAGACTGTTGAAGGAATGAATGGCGGTAATATTATATCAAAATGGGCCCCACAAAATTCTGCTAACGCAAGGGTGATTAGATCTTTTGAAAAGAATAGATTTGATCATTTATGGAAGGAAAAGAGAATGCCTCAGATTGAAGATCAATATATCTGGGATATTCTTCAAGCAAATACTTTAAATTCATCTTGGACTTATGGTACCTCATTTCAGGACCAAAAGACAAACAATAACCCACCAGAGAAAGAAGAGAGAAAGCCAATAAACAATACTCTTGGAGGTGGGGCTGATGAAGACGATTTTGAAGAGTTAGCAAGTCATTCTGATGATTTTGAAGAAGAACATCAGAGAGGAATGGACTCGCTTTCTATAGATGAGGAAAATACAAAGTCACCAGGGAGAAACTCGCCGAAGAAAGAAAGTGATACAGATACTGGATCATCAAGCGAGAATTCAAAAAACACTAGCAAACAAGCGTCAGCATCAAATACACCAAGCCCTACTAAACAAGAGAATCCATCAAAAGAAGCATCTTCGCCATCAAAAAGTCCATCAAGTTCTAAAGAGTCTATGAAGAAAGAGACTCAAACAAAGCCGAAAAGACATTTTGGTGCAATGAGCCGCAAAAGGAAGGTCCACCATTCTGGATTCTCTCCTATCAAAGCTCAAAAGCAGTTCCATAGTAAAGATTAGCTAACAAATACCCCTATAAAACTTAGAAAATATATCTAAGTCATGTCATTAAATGTAGTATGCTATATATATCATTGATGAGCTTTGCTTATATTCTCCCATCTTTCAATGATCTTGTCTAATGCTGAATTCTGTTGGCTATCCCTTTTACTGTAGAGCGCTTTCAGAACATTACTCCAGTATGATACGAATTGATCAAGGGAGAATTCAGTCTTTGGTAGGTCATAATTAATTGGGAATTTCTTCTTCCCTTGTCTTTTATATGGATAAAAGTCCCTGTTGAAGTATTCTGTAAAGACTGTCATCCAATATTTAATTAAAGAATTTGCTGAATCTCGAAGAGTAGCAATTTCTGATTTCTCATAACCAATCAACTCCAAATCATCACCGTACTCTTCATACATACAGTGATCAATTGCATCTAATACTAAAATCTGAACTTCTCTGTGAATAAGCCTTACTGCCTCATCAAAATCATCAATTGTAATCAAGTGGTTATCTTTACTTGTCTCACTTATTTTTGGTGTTCCATATTGATCATGTTGTTCTATTTCTATTTCATAATCACTATAATGGTCATCATCCATCATTTCTGCATCCGGGTAGTTATCAATATGTGAATTCTTGACATGATCCTCTGTTGGTTTTTCAGCTACTGATTCTGTTGATCCATTAGTTTTGTTCTCGACAAATGATATTTTAGCTATAAGTTCTGCAGACATTCCCTTTCTATAAGACACCGTGAGTATATCATTTGTGAGTGCTTTGGTACAAAGGTTCTTGTCATTCGATAGTAAAATCACCAATGCCTTTTGTTTTTGATGGAAGTACAGACAACAATCTAATATAGCATCATCCTTTCTAGCATCATAGTCCAACACTTCTTTGAGCTTTTGGCCACGAACAGAAGAGTCTGATTCAGCAAATCTCTTATAGATCCAATCATTTGCCCATCTAGCGAGGTGTCCAATTGTTGTGCCATCAACTGAATCATCTGGTTTCTTTTTGGAGAGTTTCAAGCCATCAAGCTCTCGTATAACAGTTGTAGGAATGATAATTTGATGGTGATATTTCTTATGAAGCATTGTCAATTCATCCAAGATATCAAGATGCGAAATGATAAAGTTGGTATCAATTACCATTATGGTATCTTTGTTTGGTTTTTCCTCTGGTGTTAAATCTCTCTCAGATTGGGCTAAAAGGTCTGTGGGAAGAGTTGGAGAAGGTCCCCATGACTCTGAAGCATTTCTCTTATCGAGCACATAGTCAGTCACCAGCTGAACCTCATTCTCGTCATCCATACCTAACATTGGGATGTCACCGTCATGATCAAAGTTCTCGTTGTGATCTATGGCATTGTTTACTCTTGATTCAAGCTTAATGGCACCGATTGGTCGCTGGCTTCTTGGTTTCCCTGTTGTTATAACCTTTTTTCTATCAGACGAGGAAAGCCCTTCGCTTGAATAAATTGAAGGCAGCGCAGACATTAAAGCGACGTTTCTTATCCCAAATCAAGTGTTCAATGCCTTGAGCTTCAGATTAATTTACCAAATTTTATCTCCGGTATTTATTTTCAACATTGACAGAAAAATGTACAGATCACATTTTCGAAAGATCGAGCACTTAATACAAAATGTAATTAATTACTTAGATCACAAAACCAATGCTACATAGTTCTCAAATTCAAACATATAAATATATATTACATGAACTCATTAATTAAAACCAACCTTTTTTAAAACCCCAAAACCCAAAAAAGAAAATCAAAGTGAAACCTCAAGCTGTTAGCTATCAGTTACTTAAGTTCATAAGGATGGATTTCTGAAAACAAATGCCATTACACTCTTGGTATTATTTCAATGCAAAAAACTCAAATGTAAGAAGCATCCTTATAAAGTATATCACTTGGATAAAAAAACACAACGCAACAAAATGAACCTAATAATTATAATTCTTAATCTTTATTCATTGTCTTGAATTTATTTTTTAGATTTGGAAGCTTTCTTTTCAGCTTTTTGTTCTTTTTCAGCTTGTTCTTTTAAAACTCTTTTAACAATTTTTTGTTCTTCAATTAAGAAAGCTCTAACAACTCTTTCTTTAACACAGTTGGCACATCTTGAACCACCATAAGCTCTTGAAACAGTTTTGTGAGTTTTAGAAACTTGAGCGTATTCTCTTGGACGTAAAGCTGAAATACCAGCTAAAGCAATACCACAGTCACCACATTTTGGTCTAGTACCTGATTTTTTAACATGTTGAGCACGTAAAACACCACCTGGAGTTTTAACAACTTTGATTTTGTTAGAACGGGTGTTGTATGGGTTTCTTCTTCTGTAGGTAACTCTTTGAGCCATTGTTGATATGTGTTGTCTTTGTTTTGTTGAGTTGGTCACTTTATAATATAGATTCAACTTTTCAGACTTTACTTTTCAATATTTTGACCAAATTGATCTCTGCCATTTTTATGCGTGCGTAACTTACCGTTTTAGTGCGAAATTTATACCGGGACACATACTTCTAATATTGGTGTTCGGATGTAGTGCCATTTTGGAAGAAATCTGTGACTGCTGCTCACGTGAGTAGGGCTTACAAGGTCAATAAATTCCCTATGTACAACGCTACAAGATATTAAATTAAGAACTGGTTCTAATAAAACAAATGTACATTTAGTTCATTACTTCTGAAAATGTGTGTAGCAACTGAGCCAATGAAAAAATGTTGTGGATTTTCTTTTTGGTTGTGATTGTAAATTTCCTTAACGTAAACGTCTAGCTTCACGTTCAGATTCCATTAATGATAAGATATCGTTTTCACGGACTGGACCCTGTAGTAATTGGTTAGTTATTCTATTCCTTTTGATAAAGTTTAAAGTGATAACACAATCAATATAACTTACTTTAACGTTTCTGACAATAGTTCTTGATGAATCATCAATGAATTCAACTCTGACTTGGGTAACACCACCACGAGAACCGGTACGGCCTAAAACTTTTTTAACTCTAGCAAGGGTGACTTGGGTTTTGGTATCCTGAAATAGTTGTTAGTTATTGATTCTATGTTGTGTATTGTGATTGAGAATAGAGTCGTGTGTATAAGAGGAACGAACAGTACCAATTTTGTTGAAAATACCGTCTGAATGTCACACAAAATATGACGAGCTATTGTTGGTGCTTCTCTTTTTCTCTTATTCACTCTTTGAACCTTTTTGCTGATATATTGCTTGATTTTGACTAGTACTGAAATGCTTTCCTCTTCCTCTAGTGTCAAACTCCTCAAAATAAATATTTGAACTCATCAAACAAACATGATCGTTCCTCTCATTCTCTAATCACAACTTTAACGTGAACTATCACTTACCATCTTGTTATAATTTCTGGTATAGCTAGCTCTCTTTCAAAAGTGAAAAGAAAATTGAAAAATCCGATTTTCAATAATTTTCAACACAACTCAAAGGGAAGAAAAAAAAAACTAGTTTGATGTTGCACCAAACAAAAGTTTCAAAAACACTACAGAACAGATTCGCGAAATACTTAAGCCATAATATTCAACCAAACACTAATGTACAACTTATACAACAGTATCCTGCAATTGGATTAGCTAGATGCTGGTCTATTTCTTTGAAGCAATGGTACCAAACTTTTTCTGTTTAATATAATCAGTTAATTCTTTCTCTGGCAAATTCAACAACCCTTTAACATCTGTAATGAATCCACACATTTCATCAACATCACTTTGGAAACTATCCCTCAATTCATTAAACAAAGTTTCATATTTTGATGTTAGGTCAGTCATGACCTTCTTGTTGATTTCATCATTGATGATATGGATTTTTTTAACTAACTGATTGGAAAAACTAGTGATTGACTCAAATATTTGTCTCTGAAGTGTATTTGTATAAGCTTCAGACAAAATTGTATCAGCAGCTATTGGTGCAGTGAAAGCAGACGACATCAGAGAGAAATGTTGCTCCAAGTTTGTTTGAGGCCTGTGTGTTTGAGCAGCAGGCGTCGAAGCATGTGTGTCTGTTTGAGTTTTATCTTTATCTTTTAAATCAATCAATCTCGTGCTTTCCATAACAGGATGATTTTTATCAAAAGCAACACCTTTTGGAGCATCTGGCTTTGCAAAAATAGCCGACATGGATTTATCTGACTTCTCAGGGGCGTTCACTTTGGAGCTTTTATTGACAGTTTTGAAAGTGTCTTGAGCTTTAGGTTTCGAAGGTAATGCATTGACCAGTTTAATCTCTGTGACTGGTTCAACTTCAACGGCTTCACTTTGCTTTTTCTTTCCTCTTGTCACTCTTGGAGCTGCTTTAGTAGCCACTACCTTCTTTACTGCCTTTGACGTTGTGACCTTTCCTTTCTTGAGTGATGGCTTCTTTTCAATGTATTCAACATCACTTTCTACCTCAGGATCTTTAGCTCTTGTTCTGCCTCTTTTCACAGGTTTCTTTTCAGTCTCCTTATCAATCTTCTTAGCAATCTTCTTTTCAATCCTCTTCCCAACATTTGTTTCAACTTTGCCCATATTCTTATTTTCCGTGACACCTGGAGCTTCATGTTCACTATTGATCAATGCCTTTGAAAGTGCTCTTGTTCTAGCTCTTTCATGAGCACTTGCCATTGGTGACGTCAGCGGCAAGAATGAACCGCCATGTTGATCAATTGAATCAAGGGAAGATGGGATGTCTTTAACAGGATCAACGCCACTTTTATTGAACTTTTCAAGTTTATCGTTAACCTTAGATTTCACTTCTGTCTTCTTCTTTGGTTCATTCTTCTTCCCAGTGCGTTTCTTATCAATCGAGTTTATCTGGTTAGTCAAACACTTCATAGCTTTGGATCTGTACTTTTTATTCACGGTACTTGTTGCTTGTGGATTATTCAAGGTGACATCAGGATCTGATTCAAAATCCCAGATATCACTTTTCTGTGTAGCTTTTGCTGGTTTAGAATCCTCTGGTTGGTTACTCTCCACAACGACATCTGAAGGACCTCTATCAACTGGTGGATTATGAAATGTTTCAAACGCTTGATCAAGACTATCTGGGACTTGTTGATAACCGTCATCAGAGAACAGATCTGGTTCTTGAGGGTTAACCATCTTTGAACCTTTATCAACACTCTCAGAAACAATAACAGAGACAGCTCTTCCTAGTTTCTTTGACACACTTGTATCCTTAGTTGTATTAATAGGCGATCCAAATAGTGACTCAGTCTCGTCAATTATTCCTGAATTAGAAACCTCATTGTTCATAGCTGAAGGTTCTATAATTTCATCATTTTGAGAGGGGCCATCATAAATATCTTCATCATAGTCCATGTCACCAAACCCACCACTCAATGCGATAAAGTCTTGCACCACACTTATTTTCCGAGGAGTCGATAAAGTGATTTGACCAGCAAAATCTTGATATTTTGACATAAACCCCTTACAAGTTTTCTCAGAATCAAAAGTTAGAACAATGACAGTAGACTCAGAACTATCGATATTGATCAATGCCTTTTTAGCTGCCCTAGCAAGATTGAAACGAGCTTGATTACCAACACTTTGTAAATTTCTAATATTTGATAAATCAAACTGAATTGGTGCTGCAAAGTCATTATGCTCCACTAGTGTGATCAAATATTTTGATGTTAATTGGCAATAACTTGCACCCGACTTCAACCCAGTGCCAAAGGAAAAGGATTTAAATTTAAAGATTGAAGGATCAAATTTAGTCAATTGTAAAAATTTGAGACATGTTGGATCATTTGCATAAGCATTTTCAGGGAATTTTTCATATAATTCAGGGTTTTGTTTGAAAATTAAAGAAACCAAAGCATCATCCTCTAATTGAGAAACCAATTCAACCAAGTAGCTTGACGTTGTAAAGTTCTTGACATGTGATAAAACAGCAAGTAATTCTTCATGAACTTTTGATAAGCTTTTGATACAAGGCGATCTTAAACTCGGATAGTCTTGGATCATTATACAAAGCAAGCAAGTGGCCTATCAGACTGTTAGTTTTACTTTGACTGCTGATTGACCATGGTACTTACCTTCCAGCTATTTTCATCCTCTTTTAAAATTTGCTCAATCAACAAGTCCAATAACTCATATTGATCAAAAGTAGCACCATAATCTAAGATATTCTATCGGCATTAGTAAAAATGCACATTAACAAACATTCTATTACTCACAATCAAATGAAACCAAAAGCTATCATCATCCTTCATAAAATTGACACCAATCTTCAAAATTATTTCAAATATTTTTGGATTAATCTTGTTATGAATTGAATCAAGAAACCTATTAAATGATAGTCTAAACTTGTCATTAACCACGTTTGCACCATCACTGATAAAAGCTATGAACTTCTTCCTCTTTTCTGCAGTAATTCTACACCTTGAAGTTAGTAAACACAGCTCCACACAACATGGCGGTTAATCCATCTATTGACACAATTTGAACAAGGTATAAGATTACATTTTGGCAAATTCTCCTAGTTTCCCATTAGAGCACAACTGTGATAGATCCTCCAAGATCGTGATATAGTACTGAATTGACTCCTTCACCATCGTTTTCCACCCTTTTGTCTTTTGGATCACTGACGCGTTTGTTTAACAATAGGAAAATTAAATTCAAAGCGCCTCTTTTTTTATACAGCTATTTGACATTCTGTCAAAACAACGTGTCACTAATTTCTTGAACTGAACGGCAAATAGAAAAAAAAATTTGAACGATGTCAACAGTCTTGTACTTCCTGTTCAATACGTAAACCTTTGTGCACTCAATTATGTCATCTACTGAAGATTTAAGTGCCTTATTTAACAAGTTGGGTCTTGAAGATGTCAAGATCAAAGAAATCTTGAAAAACAAGAAAGTTTCCAATTCATTTGAATCAATTTTAAAAGAGTCTTCAAATATTGAATATCCTTTAGATAAGACCAAGAGATTATTATTACATCAATTAGCTATTCTATCAAAAGGTGAAACCATCCCAAACCGTTCATTAATCACTGAAGGTATTTTGAATGATGAATTAAACACTTCACAAAGAGTTGATGAAGCATTCAAATACGTTAAAGCTAATGGTGAGTCATCAACTAAAGAAGAATTAAACAAAGTTAGTGGTGTTGGTATTGTTGTTACTGAAGATCAAGTTAAAAATGAAGTTAGAAATTACATTCAAGCTAATAAATCTGAAATTGAAGAGAAAAGATATCAATTTTTACCAAAAATCTTGGCTAATGTTCGTACAATTCCTGAATTAAAATGGGCAAATCCAAGTTTATTCAAACCTATTATTGATGAAGAATTATTAAAATTATTAGGTCCAAAAGATGAACGTGATGTTGTCAAGAAGGAAAAAAAATCCAAAAAACCAGCAGCAAATACCACAACTTCAAAAGATACAAAGAAAACTGAAGAACCTGTTAGATCAATGTTTACTGAAGGTTTCCTTGGAGATCTACATAAAGTTGGTGAAAATCCTCAAAAATACCCAGAATTAATGGTTGAACATTTAAAAGCATGTCAAAACCGTGTTCAAACTCGTTTCCCACCTGAACCTAATGGTTTTTTACATATTGGACATTCTAAAGCCATTTTAGTTAATTTTGGTTATGCCAAACATAATGATGGTGTTTGTTATTTAAGATATGATGATACAAATCCTGAAGCTGAGGAAGATGTTTATTTCAAGAGTATTTTGAAGATGGTTAATTGGTTAGGTTTCAAACCATGGAAGATCACATATTCATCAGATTATTTTGATAAATTGTATGAATTAGCTGAACAATTGATCAAAAACGATCTAGCATATGTTTGTCATGATACCGCTGAGGAAATTAAAAGAAGTCGTGGTATTAAAGAAGATGGTACACCAGGTGGTGAAAGAATTCCATCAAAAGATCGTAATAGACCAGTTGAAGAAAGTTTAGCAGAATTTAGAAAAATGAGAGATGGTGCTTATAAGCCAGGTGAAGCCACATTAAGAATGAAGCAAGATTTATCATCACCAAATCCTCAAATGTGGGATCTTATCGCTTATAGAGTGTTGAATGCAGAACATCCAAGAACTGGAGATAAATGGAAAATTTATCCAACTTATGATTTCACACACTGTTTGGTTGATTCATTTGAAAATATCACACATAGTTTATGTACTACTGAATTTTATCTATCAAGAGAAAGTTATGAATGGTTATGTGATGCATTACACGTTTATAGACCTGCACAAAGAGAATATGGTCGTTTGAATATCACAGGTACTGTTTTATCCAAGAGAAAGATTGCTAAATTAGTCAATGAACATTATGTTCGTGGTTGGGATGATCCAAGATTATTTACATTAGAAGCTATTAAACGTCGTGGTGTCCCACCAGGTGCAATTTTAACATTTATTAATACATTGGGTGTCACTACAAGTACAACTAATATTCAAGTTACAAGATTTGAAAGTTCAATTCGTAAATTCTTGGAAGATACTGTTCCAAGATTGATGTTAATTTTAGATCCAATTGAAATTGTTATTGATAATGTTGATGATGATTTTGAATTAACTGTGGAAATCCCATATAAACCTGGTAATGATAAATTTGGTTCAAGAAAAGTTACATTTGTTAAAACCATTTATATCGATAGATCTGATTTTAGTGAAGATGAAACAGATTCTGAATTTTTCAGATTAAAACCAAATCAACCAGTTGGTTTATTAAAAATCCCTCATAATATTAGTTTCAAAAATTATGAAAAGGATTCAAATGGTGCAATCACTAAAATCCATGTTAATTATGATGATCATGTTGTTAAAAAACCTAAAACTTTTATTCAATGGATTCCAAAATCTGCTAAACATAATTCACCAGTTAAGATTAGTGAAACAAGAGTTTATAATCAATTATTTAATAGTGAAAATCCTTCAAGTCACCCAGATGGATTCTTAAAAGATATTAATCCAAACAGTGAAGAAGTGTTTAAAAACTCAATTGTGGAATCAAATTTCCAACAAGTTGTTTCAAAATCACCATGGAATGTTGTTGATGAAAGTAATAAAGAATTTAATGTTGTTGAAGATAAGGAAACTTCAGGACCTGAAATTGTTAGATTCCAAGCATTAAGAGTTGGTTATTTTGCATTAGATAAAGATTCTACAGATGATAAGATTGTCTTGAACAGAATTGTCAGCTTGAAAGAGTCAAGTAAATAGATTTAATTTATGTGCACTTTGATTATGTCATCCTTGTAAGTTTTATTTAACCGGTCGGCGGCTATAATAACCGATTTGAGCAAGCGTTTGGAAATGGTTTCGCGAAAGTTGTTGAAAGTTGAAAGAAATTGAAGGGCTTTGACTTTAACCTACAGTACACTATCGTTAACGTATGGGCTGTTTTAAGAGGCTTTGTAACGTTCTTGATGTTTTAATGCGTTTATACATGTGATTTTAGTGCACAATGATTTAATTTTAGAGTGTATCATTACAAAAGAATTCTGAAGAATAGGTTGTGGAATAACCAAATAGTTACATAGCAAATTGCTGGTATTGTTGCTTAACCAAAAAAGAGGTATATAAACAGGTTTTATCATCATACCGCTTAAACCGTTACTTCTTCAATAAACAGGATAAAGTAATTACAATGTCAGAAGAATCATCAACACCATTTTCTAAACAAAGAGTCCTAGTTTTAGGAGCAACTGGATATATTGGAGGTGAAATTTTATTCAAATTGCTCAAATTACCAGAATTTCACAACTTTGAAATATCTACAATTACAAGAAGTTCAGAGAGTGCCTCAGAATTATCAAAATTAACTCAGAATCGTGTCAATACGATAGTTGGTTCACTAGATGATTCTTCATTATTAGAGGAACATTTATCAAATTCAGATGTTGTTATTAATGCAGCAGATGTTGATAATGTAAATGTGGGTAAAAGCATTGCCAAAATTGCAAGTAAAGTTGAACATCCATTTTTAATTTTACATACATCTGGAACTTCAGTCTTGGGAGATGAAATATCTGCCACAAAGGGACCAAGTGATAAAGTTTATTCAGATTTGAAAGATAATAAAGAAATCACCAATTTACCAGAAACTCAACCACACAGACCAGTTGATAAAATCATATTATCAATCCAAGATTCGAATCCAAAATGGGTCAAGACTGTTTTAATTTCACCACCAACTATATTTGGGTTGAATGAAGGTTATATCCATAGAGAATCTGTTCAAATTCCATTATTGATTGAGTTATCAATCAAGAACAAGCAAGCCTTCACAACTTATTCCGGTGATTATAAATGGTCGCATGTTCATATTGATGATTTAGCAGATTTGTATATTATTTTGTTGAGAAACTTGTTAATCAATGGCGGTAAAGATATCAAGACCGGTAAAGAAGGTTACTACTTTGCAGAAGTTGGTGTTCATTATTGGAAGGATATAAGTTCAAGAATTGCAAGATTGTTAAAAGAGCATAAAGTCCTTGATAATGATTCAGTTGCACAATTGGAACCTAAAGATATCAGAAAATTAGCTGATGGGTTTGAATTCGCTCCTTTACTCTGGGGAACCAATGCAGTGTCCAAAGCTGAGTTGGGTAGAGAATATGGATGGGAACCAAAATTCACTACAGCTGATTTATTACATGATATTGAAGCTAGTGTTGATCGAGCAGTTGAGAGATTAGGTAATTGATTATGTAAAAATAATAATATAATTTATTTCTATGGCCTGAAGTTGATGCAAGATTGTTGTAGATGTGTCTGTGAACTCGGTAAGGCTACAGTTAAGAAAAGCGGATGTGCCGTTAAATGAGGTTACAAGCTATAAGTGTATAATCACAGAGATGGCAGGAGGATATGGAATCAATAGTTCATAATCATGTGCTGGTACAAAAGATACAGATCTAATTGAATCACTTCAGGAGTCGAGATTATGTCCATGTCGCGAAGATGAGTATTGCTCATAACATGGCAGATCTGAGTGATTGATAAAGAAATACACGATAGATGAACGGTGTGGACTGTGATCAAGACACTAGTGGAAGTAGTCATGGAACATCAATAGTGTTCCTACGAAGTGAAGGAATGGGATATAAGCGAAAGATCCAAAGGTACTTCATTGCAAATATTATCATTAATGTCAAGTGATGGTAATTAGCTTCCTAATGTCTCTGTTTTCTCCAGATTCTTGACCTGTTTAAAGCATTAATTTAGCCCAAAGGGGTCTAATTTCCATCCATATTTTGTATTTAATTCTCCTTGTTCCTTCATTTTGTTGTGTAGCTGCCCACTTTCCAACACTTGTTTCGCTCATGCTCCCCAACTAGCCTCTGGCCATGGGGCACGCCCTCCCAGCGCATTGGCTCATTTCTGCGCGTGTTTTGGGCTGGAGTGAGACAGGATACATACACACAAGCACCTGGTGATAATAATTAATTATAGGTTAATCTACATAGTTATCTTCCTTTCCTTTATGAATTGTATGCTCATTTCCATGTCCATCTCTATTTCATTCCTTCCCCTTTGGGCAACATTTTGTTTTTTTTAACGAGACGTGAAGTGAAAATTTGATGAGAGAAAAAAAAAACTCTAATTCTTGCTGCTGCAGGCCAGCGTGTGGGACGGAGAGCGCAGCGGTGAGCATATGATCAAACAGAGGCATGGTAATTTTATAAAAGATCCTTTGTTTCCAACAAATTTTCACACCTTTTGCAACCATCTGTTTCCAATACACCACAAGACTATCATCATCCAGAGTAAAGATCCATTAGGGGGGCTTTTTGTATCTTATTCCACACCATCCATCTTCATCCCATACTTCAAATCATTATCCTCTTCTTTACACTGCTCTGCTTTTTTCCTATTTTTTTTTGTGTGAAATCTGCTTATCAATAGATCAAAGGAAGGAAATACCATATAAAAACATAACTAATATCACCAACCAACACATCATAGAACAAGAATAATGGAAAGATCCAGGGAAACTGCTGGATCAGTTCCCAATGAGAGATCTTCTGGCTATAACGCGCTAACTAGAGAAAAACTATTCCTACTAAACTTGGAAAACAACAATATGAAAAACATGAAACAACATCAAGAACAGCGACTCTCCATCATCAACAACCCTTACAACAGCTACACAACAACTCCAGAACTATCAAACTCCTCATCTTCATCCTCATTAAACTCCTCTGAGTCTGATCCGGCTATAACTGGTCATGATCATTTTTACAAGTTTTATAATAACGGTTCAGATTCATCAATAGCCACCGTTGTGCAAAAAAAATTATCATCAACTCATTCAAATTCTACTCTCAACTTACAAAACTTGGATTCACATCAAGAACCAGTTGAAAAACCACAATTGGAACATGATGAAATGATTGTTGATGTTCCTGTTATTACCGCGTCATCCACAGCAACAACAACTGATGATGATCTATCAACAACTTCTGAAGACCAAATGACTATACCAAGATCATTAAAATCTTCATTAAAATTACCAAGTTTGAAAAGATCAAAATCTTTACCATCTACAAAGACTGTTAGATTCTCAACTGATTTGACAAAAGTTAAAACTTTTAATGAATATGCTAAACCAAGTTCCATTTCATTAGAGAATTCTCCTGATCAATCACCTCCTTATTATTCAAATACTAATGGTCGTGCTTATTTTGATTTAAAAGAGGATTTATTTACAAATCAATCAACACCATGGTTTGATCAATCAAGTTCAAGTTCTGAAGAGGAAGATGATGAAGAGGATAATTACTTCTACAAGACTCCATCAAGTATTTCACAAAACAAATGGAAGCTAAAGTCAATGAATTTTGATTTGTTTAGACAATCAGATCCTCAATCTTATGTTAAATTGGTTTCTTTAAATATTTCAAAAGATTCAATTGTTGGTTTAGTTCAAGTTTTAAACATTTCATTTGAAAAACAAGTTGAAGTTAAATTTACCGTGGATTGTTGGAATTCAATTTATATTGTTAATGCTTCATTTGATCGTTCATTGAATTCATCAAGAGATCAATTTAGATTTGAAATTAATTTGAATAATTCATTATTGATCAATTCCAAAAGATCAAAGAATCAGCCTATAAATATTGAATTATGTGTTAAATATTCTTCATCGAATCAAGCTGTTTTTTATGATAACAACAATGGTTCAAACTTTAAGTTCCAAATGGTTTCAAATAAGCAACATAGATATTCATCAAATGTTAAAAGAAGTTCACAACGTCCAACTTATTCTACATTACCATCTGTTTCTTCAACTGCATATGATGATAATTTTGCATCAGCTATCTTGTCATCTCCAGATTATTATTCATCAAATGAAAATTATACAACTTCAAGATATTTCCCTGATAATACTGATTATTTCAATACAAAATTTCAAGGCTCAAATTTCCAATCTACAAACAATCACTCCTCAATTCCAAGTTGGTCAAAGAACTATGCAAGTACTTCATCATCAAACACTTCATCTACAGTTTCATCAATTTCATCAAACATTTCAACAACTTCAAACTCATCAAATGAAACAATAAAAGCTTCAAATAATAATAATGAATCTTTAAACAATTTGAATGCTCAATCTTTGGAAAAATCAAGACAACATTATAATGAATTTTTAAAAAAGTATTGTTTTTTCAAAAGTGATGATAAAAAGGATCATGAATCTATTTTCATTAGATGATTCCACCCAATATGGTTGCAAAGTGATGTTTTTTTGCAATCATGTTATGTCACAATTGTACAATAATTCATTTATTTGGTTTTACAGTTTTCATTTAACAACATCATTAAAACAATAAAAAAAAATTGCTTTTCAATTCATTTCATAAAAAGTCCAGCTTTCGTTTGGTTTTCAATCTGTTTTTTATTTTGGTTTTCATTAATTTTGCTTTTGTCAAAAGTATTCAAGAAAAAGCTGGTCTTTTTGCATAAAACAGACAGTTAAAAATCATTTCATCAAATATATAGATGAACTACATCTATCCAAGTCCCCATCACCCCCCTTACTTTACTCTATGGAAGTATTAAAATATATCATAGTCAATCAAAATCACTACATAGTGAAGAAAAAGAAATCATTAAACTTGGCTTTAATCATTGCCATTATTCTATTTATTTATTTTGGGTTTTTTTATACATCATTCAATTATTTGGCTACCTTATACAACGCCATTCACCAGGGTTATTTTTGCTAGAATTATAAATCAAAGAGGTTATATATTATATTGATCATAAGGTTTTTTACAAAACTTGTGATGATCAATTTTTTTTTCAATTCAATCGTTATTTTCTTGTTTAATTATTTTGCTTTTATTAATTATTGTTATCCAGACATCATCATCATTTAGTTGATCAAGTCTTTCTTTTTTTTTATCAAAGTTCCATTCTGTCTAATATTCAAAGTCATCGTTGTCAAAGTCAATTATGTGATTTATGATCATGTTACAGTCTATACATTTTTTGTTTTTGCGTTTCACTATTTTTTTGCTGTGTTTTCTATCTTTTGTTGAACTTTATATACTATTAATATAATAATACGCATTGGTATATCTATCTAGATAGTAGTATAAGTAATCAGCTAGTCAATCATCAAACTTCAGCTATTGTGTTGAAGTTCGATCGGACATAAAAGGACCATCGATATACATTACAAAGGGCCCAGCTCATCATGATCTCACCAAAATTTTAACACATCAAGCTTATGACGCGTATCAATTCAATCTCCACTTATAATGCAACCAAAATTTCACCATCTTTGAAATTTAAAACCCATGTATTCACATTTGTATTTGACGGCTCACAAAAATCCATACACTCACTCATGATTTCACCCACTTCATTCCAAGGATCACTCTTCTCCAGAGTCATATCATGATTCAAACTTGATGATTTCGTACCTTGTTCATCTTTGAAAATATCTGTGCTTTGCGAGGATCGGCAAGGAAAAAAACTTCAGTCGCGTAAAAAGTTTAGAATTTCCTGATTTTGACAAGTTTTTCGGCGCGGGATCCGAAGATCTTTTTTTTTGTTGGGAAACTTTTTTACGAAATCTAGATTTTGACAGGTGACAAGCAAAAGGTCTTGTACAACAAAGGGTTTTTATGGCTTTGAAGACAAGATTGGGCATGGTGATGGGGGTGGATGATTGAGGAATCATTGGGGTGTTGGGTTTAAAAAAGGTTAGAATAGAAGTGTAGGTGTATTCCTGAGTTAGCTGAGTGGTTGTCTACAGCCTGCTTGTATAAGTCCCTCTGAAACAATTGGGTTGCTAAAAAAACTTTTTTATGGTGTCCAGTGTCCACTGTCGATCTCGATGTTATCAGGAAGATACGTGCGCTGATACCTGAGAGATTTTGGCAAAGTAGCTGGTGTGTTTGGTTATACCAAGTTCCAACAAAGTGGCATGTGATACTGGATTCGTGATTGTAAACATAGTTCTGTCCGTATTAATTCTGGCTGAAAGTTAATTTTACTAGTCAAAACTTTAACTAGCAGCTAGTTAACAAGTACATATTGTTGAACTAATGTTCTGGCATTGAACACATTTATATAATAATAATATATGTTATGTTCATGAGTTGTCAGGGGGCTCATGAGAAAGCTTTTGGATTGATACTTGAACCATATTGATAAATTAGATGAGTTCAGTTCAATATATTAATAATTGAGTCGCATAGCTGCTGGCTTGTTGAGTTCTTATATCCATATTACGAACAAGTTTACTTTGCATTCCATATTCATGAGCGCTTGTGCTTTTAACTTGGTTACGAAAAATGGTTGATGTGTCAATGAGGTTCTCTTTCAGGGCTGCTGTTGGGTGAACATTTAGTCGTTTACAACAGGTGTCTCAAAAATTTATTATATTTGTGATTATCTGTCAATTTTATCGGGTCAGCAATAAACTATTTTGAGACAGAGATACTGTAGAACTGCTACACCAAATTGAACACACTACTCATAGTTAATATCAACATCATCACATCAAACATTTTATTACTCAATTATTAAACATCACTGAAACACCACACAATCTTGAATCATGATAAATGACCTCTATAATTGGTCACTGTATAGTCTATATGAACAAACGCTCTTTCAATATTAACAATTGGTAGTGCTTCTAAAGTGTATTGCAAAGCTTCTGCAAGATCATGACTATCTCTTATACTCAAATTTGAATCTAAAATTAAATCAACTTCAACATTTAAAGAATCACCAACGTGATAACAATTGAGTGTTTTAATTTTATGAATCTTTTCTGCAAATCTTGAACACAGATACAAAATAACTCTTTGGTCATCTATATCAGCTGATTTCCCTGTTAGATGAATGATATGCTCAAAACATGTATAGCTCCATTGCACCACGATATAAATTGATAATAATAGAGCACCTAAGGGATCAAACCAATATAATTGGAAATAATAACCAAGAACTGGCATAATAATGGAAAATGTGTTGAAAACAACATCAACTAGTGCATCTTGAGCTAAAGCTGCGACAGAGGATGACTTAATTGATTTACACCAAAAATAACAAACAACTTTAACCAGAATAGTAACAACCATAATAACAGTTGAAGTAAAGCCAATAGCAACGATCTCCCCAGCTTCAGGAGGATATATCAATCTTTGTATTGATTCAATACCAATTTGTAAAAAGGAAATGATTATAATTATTGAAAAAATTAAGACACCAATAGGTTCTAATCTTGCTCTTCCTATTGGGAATCTTTTTGGATTTTTAGTATTTGCCAATTTGTTTGAAAAATAAATGATTAATGTTGAAAGGAAATCCAATGCAGAATCAATAACAGAGGCCACAATAGATATAGATGATGTTAAAACAGCAACGACAACTTTCCCCAATAATAAGGCGATATTTGCAGCAAAATTAACAAGAATTGCGAAATTAATCAAGGCAATCTCATCAGCTTTATTATAACCCAACAATAAACCTGTTTCAAGATCAATATTACCAGGAACTGCACTATCTTTTCTATGCAGTGGAGTGGTTGGTGGTTCAATGTCATCATCTTCATGCTCAATTGATCCATAAGTTTCATTAGGAATTGGTCTATGAACTTCTCCGTGGTCATTTCTATCACTGTAATTTCTAATCATATTGATTTGAATTCCACTATCTAATAATTTATCAACTTCCTGGTATTTTTCAATTAATTCATTTTGATCTTCATAAAAATTTCTCAATTTTCTATTCTTTAACGCTTTCAGTTCATCATCAGTTTTGTAACTTTCACTCCAATCAAAATATCTTCCAATGTGACCTATTAAACTCAAATGTCTCAGTTCTTGAACAGTATCTAATCTTGAAGATTTTTCAATATAGTTTAACAATTTGTCATTCTCTTTAGATAGATTCAATGAAGAACCTAATCCTAAGAAACTTGGCCTTCTGTTTCCCCAGTTGTGTGAATCGGCCGAATTAACTCTTTCATTTGTTTTGATTCTTTTCAACAATGGAGACCCACCATCGTCATTATCATTATACTCATGTAAAGCGTGATAACTGTGTTGATGAATGTTGTTTTGGTTTTTGGTTTTACCATCATTTGGGTCAATTGAATAATGAGGTTTTGGGGTGGACTCATCACCAGCACCAACCACCGAATTTGAATTGTGATCACCTTTGGACATCTCAGTTGAAGTAGCAAATGGTTAGCCAGTAAGCCGCCTTTCTTTATCGAGACAGTAGAGCTTTTAACCGCCAGGAAAGAAGAACAGAAGGTAAAATATTCTTTGTGCTGCCCTTTTTTTGAAGCTACTTCAAACTCAATTGTGTTTTTTTTGCGCTGGAAAATGAATTTTTCGCAACGTGCCCTAAAATGGATTTTCGCAATTACCCATTTCGCGCATTGCGGAAAAACTATTTGTGCCAAAAGTATGTCGTAACTTGATAGTGAACTTCATTCTTTTTTAATGTCCTTGGTTAGAGAGTGTTGAAGTAAGATTGTTCATTGCAAATGGTCCCTTAAATCATAATCAAATAACTCAAACCTTTCCTGAAAAAAAGTAGAAAAATAATATCTGATCTAATTTTCAAGTGGTTACCCAAAATGGATTCTCTTGTGCAAATTGGCGACTTCGACTTGACTTTTTTAGACTTTTGGGGGCTGTGTGTGTAGGTGAAAGTGTCTGCTGTGAATGGAGGAATAAATGTAAGCGTAGCTTAATTCCTACAAAAGAATTTCAGCTCATAAGCTGTGTAACTAAGAAGCATTTTGAGGTCAGCTTGAATAAATTCTGATTGGGCTGTGAAAGTTGGGCTTACAGGTACAGTGAGTCTATCGCGAAGAATGTTCACCATTTCAATCATATTTGGCCGTGCTCAACAACACAATTCATCAAGCGGCCCGGGAAATGAAGCTACAGGACCTTCCTGATGAACTATTATTCCAAATATGCAATCAATTGAGCATTAATGATTTGATATCATTTGTAAAAGTTCCAGAATTCGGTTCAAGAACCCAAAGTTTTTACAAATTTTATTATGATGAAGCATCAACAAAAAGACTAGCCGAACATTTACAACAGAATTGTTCATTCGCAATTTATTGGCCTGGTGGCTTTCCAATAATAGATAACTCAAAAGCATGGATGAACCATATCTTACTAGATAGTCCAGGTCGGTCAACAATTAAGAGGGCGGAGAGAATCTCAAGAAGGCTTCCAACTATGATTACGGTGGTTTCAAAGCATTTATCAAGAGAATTAATTCCTCGATTAACTCCATTGACTAGGTCACTTACTTTCTTGAATGTCTTGGAAATCGATGAAGATGGCATTGAATATTTCAATCCACAAGTTCTGGTAAAAGGTAAATATTCTCAGGTAGAATATAGCCAAAAAAACGGTCGCGAAGATTTATTCTCTGTTTTCAACAACCATTAGAGGTTTCCACTAAAGACAAGTACGTCGTGGCAACATGAAGTTTCAAGAACTTCCACATGAAATACTGTTCCAAATATGCAATAATTTGAATCTGATTGACTTTGCTGCTTTTTCACAAGTTTCAGAACTTGCTTCAAGAACTCATTGGTTTTTCAAATTTTATCATGATGAATCAGAAGAAGCAAAACCAATGGCGGTTCAATTACAACAGCGTTGTCCGTTTAAAATTGAGTCTCTTTATGATTTCCCAGAGGATGGAGTTACAGGAGCTTTAATGATACATATCTTAGCAGGTAACCCTAGTGATGAAATGCTAGAGAGAATGGAAAACATAAAAAAGTCAGTTCCAAATGTGATTACAGCGATTCCAGATTGGTTGGACTCTTCAATATTCACTTCAATTCTTGAATATTGTCCAATGACTAAACTAGTCAGCATTATGAATGTTCTTAGTGCCCAAATTTCTCATGCCGAGTGGAAGATTGACCCTCAAATTTTTGAATTCCCAAAGCTTGAGCAATTGGAGCTTCAAGATGTTAGATCCATTAATAATACAAAGTTCCAATTACCAATGGTTAAGGAAATTGACATTCTTTGCGGTATAAAACAACTACCAATTTTACAAAACCTCCTGACAGTTATAAACATTTGGAGCTATTGAGGTCGGATCTATTTACTTCGATGGAGAGTTTTACTATAGATAGTGTACCACTTGGTAATTGCTCAACAATCTCTTTGAACTTACAAAATCAACTTGATACAAAGGCTGTCGGAATTTTGAAAAATCTTGTGTTACCAAATGTTCAAAATTTAAAATTGACAAGTTTTTATTCATTTGTTAATATAGATGCTCCAGAACTTGAGGTGTTAGATCTATCCATTCGTTATAATAAGCCATTCATTTTTCAAAATTTCAATGCACCAAAGTTGTTAAGGATAACAACACATTTCCCTTTTGACACTAACGATGAAGAAGAAGAACAACTACATTTTGAAAAATTTGAAAATGTTCATTTTCCAAAATTACAAGAGTTTCAAAGATTAAATGAATCATTACTTGATTCTGCAGGAGATTTTAGCTTTGAAGAATTACAAATAATTAAGTGTAATGGAAATTTTCGGTTATGGGTTGGAAGGTTTAATCCTTTAGTTTTAAAAAAATTGGAGTTGGGTTGTACATATTGGCTACATGAAACTACCTACAAACAATACCGAGCACATCATTCAGCTTTATGCGAATATGATTCATTTCCATTACTTGAAGACTTGCAAATATGTTTCAGGCCATATCCTTTAGCTTTTTTTGATTTGCCTTTTGCTTTCAATCTTCCAAAACTCACTCATTTATTCTTACAAAACGTTGAGGGTGTAACAGGTGAAACGTTGAATCAATTGTTTTTGAATAGTCCGAAACTCAGTGGTATTTGCATATCTTTAGTACCTGAAGAACATATAAAGATAGATGGAGTAAACTCTGATAGTATGGAGAGCCTAAGCTTAAGCATTGAAAGAACCACAGATAATCACTTATCAAACTGTTTGTTTGAGCTTACCAATTGTCATTTTCCAAAGCTATCGAAACTTTCTCTATTCATGCTTGATGATATGTCTGTGAACATTGATAATATTATTACACCTTGTTTGAAAAAATTTCGTTCTAGTGATTTTTTTATGGAAAGTATTAATTTCTCCAAAATGAATACACCATGCATTGAAGATATCTTCTTTGACGGTTTTGCATCTGAGATTGAATTGGGAGATATAGAAAATGTGAAAAGGTTGGGTATAAGCTCTTTTGACAAGCTTAGTTATACAAAAGAGCCATTAGAGCTTAAATATTTAAGGTTACCATCAAGTGAAGAAATTGAACACAAAGGAAGTAAAAAAGCTTGTGAACGACTACATGAAATCAAATCAAGGTCACCTTCATGATTGATAGATCTCAATCTCTATCTGTACGGTTTATTAACCCTGGAAAAGGACCTCGCTGATACTTCCAAGTGTGTAGCTGCTCATGATTCATGGAGTTGAAATTTTTGTGGAGTTGATGAGGAGTCAACTGACTCGCGACTCATCTTGAAATGATTGTCTACAAAACAGACGTCATGATTAAATAGATTTGAAGGCACTTTGAAGTTTGAAATGAGTCCTTAATATTGTACTTTGGTACCTCTATGTCTAGTGTACTAATTCTATAATGTACTACGTAGATTGTGGGGGTTTCAGCTCACTTTCTGCGGTTGAACCTGTTCAAAATTATTTAAGCTGATATCAAGTGTGAAACCTTGAAACAACATGAAATCAAAAGATTGTACATAGCTTATACTTCTTTGTAGCCAATTGAAGAAGCCTGCCGAAAGGTATGTACCGCATTGTAGTTCTAGGTCAATTCGAATTGAAGCTACCTTGCTTTCTATAAAGTTGATTGTTTTGATTTGATTTCCAACTCTTGAACTTGGTGCAACATCAACTACCAATCTTGGAAGATGAGGAATATCCAGGATGAATTTAAAGACTATGAAATAGACTATCAGATAGACTAACTGTTAAATTAAGCTGAGCAAGAGCTAAGAGTGGTGAACCCGGTGAGCCTTGGCTGGAAAAGCAAAACAATAACAAAAGGAACGATTTGAAGAAAACATCAACATTTTGCCCAACTTGTACCAAAAGCTTACACCTTACACCACACAAGCTCAAGATTTACAACAAAATGAAATTCTTCACGTTACACTTGTATAATTATCCAGTGGAAATTGGGAAGCAAAATTGGACATGTTGATGATATTCAAGCACCTGACTTGAAGATATCGTTCAAGTTCTCATTTCCAAGACCATACTCAGATTAAAGCACCACTACCGCCAATGTCTTTGTAGAAATCACTTCCTAATGTCTATAGGATATATGAATCCTTCAGTCTTCCTTTTCATCTACTTCATTCCGAGTTGTTTAGCTCTAGATCGCGGTTGTTTTTGGTGATTTTGAATTTTTATGTCAAATCATCAGACAAAACGACGTAATGGGGTGTTTCCCCAACCAGACCGTTTTGCCCCTTTGAGAAGATAATTGAAAAATATTTCTTGATTTCGGAAAATCTCGTTTCTTTTGTGCGCCAACTCTAAAGTGCAATGACGTGGTGTCAGATAAAATTTTCACCAATTACAGACCAAATTCGAGAAATTCTTGCAAGAATCTGGAAACAAAAGTAACGCCAGACGAATTTAAGGTTCAGTTCCTTGAGCTTAAAAGGAAAAATTTGGTGTTGATGGAAATGAAGTATCACCTTACAAAAATCGATCTGTATATCGTCAGCAGTTGTGGTTGATTGAGTAGTGGTTCGTGGGTGGTTAAAGAATCTGAGGGCTGAAGAGATGGAGTTGGTTTCCATCTAGCGCTTTGCAAATTTCCCTTACAAGATACACTCAGAATCTTATCCCAGCGCGTAGCTTCCTTTTCGCCTTCAAACCAATTTAAGCTCTAGCCTACGGAATCGTTTCTTATTCAGCGCTGTGCTGGGCCTACCGCTGGATCAATTCGAAACTTGACGCATCATGAGGCAAAGACGAAAAAAAAAGAATCAACTACACAAACGCTATGGTTTAACGTGGGTAGTCCTTTATCAACAGATCCATGGCCTCAAAATGTATATAAAGCGCTCTGATTCCCTCCCTTATCATGGTGCAGCTTGACTCATGACTCTTTAACAAAGAATCAAGTTAATTACAATCATTATGACTGTTGAACAACCAACTACTTATCAAAGACAAAAAGTTTTATTATTAGGCGCTACCGGTTTCATTGGTGGTGAAATCCTTTACAAATTGTTAACTTTACCTCAATTTGAAAAACTTGATATCACTATCTTGACTAGATGTTATGAAAAAGCTAGAAAAATCCATTCAACTACTCAAGGTAGAGTTAGACCAATTGTTGGTTCTGTCCGTGATGTGTTTTTAATGCATCATGAATTCCAAAGAGCTGATATTGTTATCAATGCTAATGGTGTTGATAGTATTAGATGTGCTAAGTACTTATCAAAAGTTGCTTCAAAGGTTAGAAAACCATATTTAATCTTGCACACTTCAGGCGCTTCAACTATTTCTGCCACTAAAGGTGCATCAGACAGAGTTTTCTCTGATTTGGAAAACAATAATGAAATTGTTCATACTCCAGTTGATGAAATCATCTTAGGTATTGAAGAGAGAAATCCAAAATTTGTTAAAACCGTTATTGTTTCACCTCCAACCATCTTTGGTAGAAATGATGGATTCATTAGAAGAGAAGCTGTTTCAATCCCAAAATTGGTTAAATTAGCCATGAAGAACAAACAAGCTTTCACTGCTTATTCAGGTGATTACCATTTATCTCATGTTCACATCAATGACTTAGCTGATTTATACGTTATGTTGTTGGAACATTTATTGGTTGGTAATAACATCAAGACTGGAAGAGAAGGTTATTACTTTGCAGAGAATGGTGTTCATGATTGGAAAGATATAAGTGCTCAAATTGGGAAATTGTTGAAACAGAAAGGTTTGGTTAAAACTGAAGAAGTTGCACAATTACAACCTGAACAAATTCAAAAATTGGCTAATGATGAAACTGCTCCTTATTACTGGGGTACTAATGCTGTTACCAAAGCTGATTTAGCTAGATCTTATGGATGGCAACCAAAATTCACTACTGCTGATTTGTTGAATGATCTTGAAACAACAGTTGATCATATTGCCCTTCAAGAAAATTACTAAAAAAGTGATTTGATTGGTTTTATATACTGCTTATAGATTATACAATTGGAAGGTTTTATATTGCTAAACAGCTAATAATTGTAGTTTAAATTTCCAGTTACGCGAAATATTCAATTTCAAACTTTGGTTATATTTGTAAAATTTAGTGTTTCAGGGACCAAAAAAACACCGAGGAGCGAAAAAGTTGTAAATCGTCGACTACAAGTTTGACAGATTCAACTTCTTCATCAAAGACATTTAATTAACGCGGCTACAAAACTAGTATTTGCTATACAAAAATGGGTTCAACGGTGTTAATCACAGGTGCTACAGGGTTTATTGCTACTCATATCATTGACTTATTGATCAAGGAAGGTTACGACGTGATTGGTACAGTTCGTTCAGTTGATAAAGGGGAACAAATTCAAAAACTCTTTGGAAAAGAACATTTCAAATATGTAATTGTTAAAGATCTTGTTAATTCTAAAGATGATTTCAATAAAGTCTTTATTGAAAATCCAAATATTGAAACAGTCATTCACACTGCTTCTGCTGTTTTCATTACTGATAAGATTCAAGAATTAATCGTGGACCCTGCTGTTAAAGGCACAGAAAACATTCTTGATACAATTAAGACACATGGTGGTAATGTTAAAAGTTTTGTCTACACTTCATCAATTGGTGCAATCATTACCCCTAGTTCAGATCAAATGGGTATTACAAGAGATGAATCAACTTGGAACGTTGCCACATGGGATCAATCAAAATTCCATCCATTAACAGGTTATATGTTTGCTAAGACTCAAGCTGAGCGTGCTGTTTGGAAATTTGCTGAGGAAAATACAAATATTAGAGTTGCTTCAGTTAATCCTTCTTATGTTTTTGGACCTCAAGTTTCAAATGAATTTGTTAAGAAAACTTTAAATTCTTCAAATGAAGTTATAAACACATTGTTAAGAGATGGTGAAAATTACGTGAAGACAACAGCACACTGGGTTGATGTTAGAGATGTTGCAAAAGCTCATCTTTATGCTTTCACTAAAGAAAACACCAAAAATAAAAGATTAATAATGAAAGAAGGTGAAATGACTGAACAAACTATTTTAGATATAATTAATTCAAAATTTCCTCAATTATATGGGAAAATTGCAAGAGGTGAACCTGGTTCTGATGTTGAAATTTGGGAGAAAAAGAATTTATTGGATAATACTAAAACTTTGGAAATTTTAGGATTTGATCAAATTTCATTAGAGAAATCTGTTGTTGATACTGTTCAACAAATTTTGGATAATAAAGTTTATGAGTTTTGAATGTTACATACAAAGAGATGCAATTGGAAGGGCCTACTCCAAGAGTTTATAGATCTTATATTATAATAGATGTGGCGGATCTCAGTACATGTATAATGATAAGTATTATTTGTAGAAATCTACAATCAGTATTTAATATTCATTGAACATAGTAATATATTGCAAACATATAATTTGGAAATCATTTCAAAAATCACAAAATAATATGAATGATATACATATCACGCGTGCACATATCACAAACATGTCTTGATCATTTGATCACAGGATCACAGACAATATTTGGTGTATTTTTGCAACAGACAATTTTACAGATCAATAATCGTTGTGTACTTGCAAGCTGCTGAGTCCGTAATGTCTTTGAATGCAAAATTCCAAATTAAATATAAGTCATGTCAACCTCGTATTTTTCATGTTGATATCAAGTTTCAACCACTACAGTCAGTGATAAGCAATTTAGCTCAGTCCATTAAGTCAGTTATTGGTCTCTTCAACTATTTTAAACGATTTGTGCCCAAAATGTCAAATACAAGTAGAGAAACCTAATCAACTACATCATTAACTATCGCTCCTTACAAAATTTACACATGCAGACTGCGTTCGCGACAAAGTAAGGGTAACTTTTCAAAAAAATTAAAAAATTATAGCTCATCTCATCTAAAGAAATCTATTAGACATAAACATCATAAACAAAACTAAGCAAGCACACTAGTTCCATAAAGATGAGTCAGGTCGCTGTTGCAGATGTATATATTGATGATTCAACTTCTTTTGATTCTTTCAACCTAGATCCAAGAATAAACCAAGCTATAAAACAACTTGGTTTTAAAAACCCAACTCTAGTTCAATCAAAAGCTATCCCATTAGCTTTACAAGAGAAAAGAGATATCATCGCAAAAGCATCCACTGGGTCTGGTAAAACCGTTGCTTACGCTGTTCCTGTTGTTCAGTCAATTTTGGCTGCTAAGGCTAACACAAACTCTAATGATCATCAAATATCTTCAATAATTTTAGTTCCAACAAAAGAATTAGCTACTCAAGTTACAAGTTTCTTGGAAAAATTGATCCTGTATTGTGGGAAAACTATCAAGCTATTAAATCTTTCAAATCAAATCAATGAACAAGTCCAACATTCTTTATTATTAGAAAATCCAGAAATTTTAATCTCTACACCATCTAGATTAATAACCGCTATTGAAAAAAACAACAATAGTGAAAATATAAACTTACAAAACTTAACATATTTAGTCATTGATGAAGTTGATTTGATTGTTTCATATGGTTATACTGAAGATTTAGAAAAATTGGCAAATTATCTACCATTAAAGAAAACTTTACAAACTTTTTTAATGAGTGCAACATTAAATGAAGATATCAATGATTTGAAAAATAAATTTTGTCGTTCTCCAGCCATTTTAAAATTAAATGATGATGAACTTGCAAATAATAAAAAATTGATTCAATATTATATTAGAACTACTGAATTTGATAAATTTTTATTAACTTATGTTATTTTCAAATTGAATTTGATTAAAGGTAAAACTTTAATCTTTGTTAATAACATTGATAGAGGTTATAGATTGAAATTGTTCTTGGAACAATTTGGTATAAGAAGTTGTATTTTGAATAGTGAATTACCAATAAATTCAAGATTACATATTGTGGATGAATATAACAAGAATGTTTATAATTTATTAATTGCTACAGATGATAGTGATAATATTAAAGAAGTTGATGAAGAACTTGAAGATGAAGAACTTGAAGAAACTGAAACCAAAACTGAATCATCAAAGAAAACTAAAACTGATAAAGTTAAAAAAGATAAAGAATATGGTGTATCAAGAGGTGTTGATTTTAAAAACGTTGCATGTGTTTTAAACTTTGATTTACCATTAACAGCCAAATCATATGTTCATAGAATTGGTAGAACTGCTCGTGCTGGTAAATCAGGTATGTCATTATCATTTGTGATACCTGAAAAGGAATTTGGTAAACATAAAGCATCATCATTAATCACTGCTAAAAGAGATGAAAAAATATTACGTCGTATCATTAAACAACAAGGGAAATTAGGATTTGAATTACAACCTTATCAATTCGATATGAAACAAGTTGAAGGTTTTAGATATAGATCAGAAGATGGTTTCAGATCAGTTACACAAGTTGCAGTTAGAGAAGCAAGAGTTAAAGAATTAAAACAAGAATTATTAACTAATGAAAAATTGAAAAGACATTTTGAAGAAAATCCACAAGATTTGGCAAGTTTAAGACATGATAAAGAATTACATCCTGCTAGAGTGCAAAGTCATTTGAAAAGGGTCCCTGAATATTTATTACCTCAAGGTGCTAGAGCTAATAACTCGAAAGTTGGGTTTGTGCCGTTCCATAAACATAAAGTTAATAAAAAGAAGTTTGGCAAGAAGAAAGGTGGTAAATCTGATCCATTGAAAACATTCAAAGCAAAGAAATGAGGGATTAATATAATTATAGGATTGAATAAATATAAATTTTTGCATAATAGTTGAAGAAAAATATCGTGTATTATTTCGTAATCATAAATTTAATGCTTCATATTAGTATATGCCTAGTTTAATAAATCATCCAAAGTGACAACACCTTTGAAAGTCTTGTCCTGAATTCTATAAATAATAGCTTCAGCAACTCTTTGAGTAGAAACAGTAGGTCTAATCAATTCATTAAACAACCCAACTCTATTCCCCAAAATGGTGCTGTTCCCCCAATTAGCAATATCAACAAATGTTTTGATACTTGATCTAACATTATCTTGATTTGAAACTTCATCATACATGAACCCAGGTCTTACCAAGATTGGTCTTAATTTTTCTAAAACTTGAATCTCTTGTTCAGCTTCCCTTTTAGAATTGATATACCCTTTTGGTAACCCTGGGAACCCTTTGTCAGCAGATATGTATACAAATGCTGGATCTGATGAATTTGTCGTTTCTTGGAAAGTTTCAGCTAATAAAATTGCAGAATCTCTATTTACAGATTCATATGAATTGAATGATGATTTTGTTAAGGGGTTTGAAGGTTTCAAGAAATTGGAAAATTCACTAAGAATGCTTGAGTTTGAATTTATCGTTTTCTTATAATTTTGATTCTCTAATAAAATACCTATTGAATGAACGACACTTGTTGCATCTTTCAATTCTTCTTTATAAGATTCTGGTTTGAAAATATCAGCAGGTCTCCAATTGACCTTCTGTATCCATGAGCTATCTTCTTTTGGAGTGAGTCTTGGGGGTTTACCAGAGCGTCTTGTTCAAGTGTCAGTATGAAAATCTCTTGATTGAATTGATAACTTACGATAATGAAGTCACCCTAAATCCTGATTCTATACCAGCTTGACATATTCTTCTTCCTGAGTGAATTGTTAATAATTATTACTCTCATAGCAGCGTGACAATAGCATACCTAGGAATCCATTACCTCCAAGAACGACTAGTTTGGACATTTTCAACTCCCTTAAATTGAATAGTAAACTCAAAGTAGCAAAGTTGTACTACATACTTTAAAAAGTGTGATTTTCTATGTTTCCAAAATTCGCGGTCTCTCGAGAATCGAGATCACAGAACGCATTCGCGAATGCTCTATAGAAGGGTATTTGAGCCTCATTCTAATTGACTAAATTTTAGTGTATTTTAAAGTCAAAGAGCATTTGCAAACAATATTTTGATTTGATCAGATATAACAAAAATTCAATCTTGTTTTATTGGAGTGTTGTTTAGATTTGCTTTTCGTAGCACAACGGAGCTATAGGAATGAAGTAAGGCATTCTTACAGAATCAAAGGTACTATGAATGCGTTTTTTAAAACCAACTAGTTTTTTAAACTGCAATTACAATACTTTCAAACGAATAGCCTGCACTATTGGCTTCGCTTTGAATCCATGAAGGCATCGGGTATTCAAGCACTTCTAGAAACTGATTTAAGATGAACCTGTTAATTAATGCCAAATTTGTTAAAATGTAACGTTTCAAAAGAAACGCGAACACTCGGACGCGTCATTGAGCAGTTGAAGCCTGAAAAATGAGTCTGATGCCTGATGGATCCATACTCTATGAAAAAAGATCTCAAGAATCTTCATGAAAGGTGACCTTTTGATCTTGTAATGGCTCTCTGTGACTCTTGGATAAGAAGTCAAGAGCTGAAGGTGTCGTTTAAAAAAGTTAACATAGTTTCGGGCAATAACTGTACAACGTATACCAGAACCACCAACCACCAAAACTTAATCTGAACATCTTTGTTAAAAGTGGATACGAGTTTAATCAACTAGTAAAATCGACAATCCCAAATTGCACTAAGTATAGTTCAACTACAAATCGAGATGCACACTTACAACCTTTTGTTTATTTGCAAAACGACGTCCACTAGGATTAGCCAATAAGGCATCTCTGTGTTTGACTTGTCGCCATAACGATATATTTGGGCTAAACAGCTTGTCTTTAAATAGATCAAAAGGAGTTCATTTTCCCACGGACATTTTTACTTCTCAGATTACGTTGCCATAGTAGTCAAGTTTCAAAATGTTACGTTTCACAAATCACTGCAACTAGAAGAAAAAACAAAACATAAACACAGACATAACGCTACTCATGGAGAACTGGACTTGCAAGTCAAAACATCAATAGCTTGAGGGCAACTTCTAAGGACTCTGGTCCTCTCTGGTTCAATGTTGAGGAGTTTTCCCATATTCAGCTCATGGCACAAAAATTTTCACTTCAGCTCAGCTCTCAGTACTCGGAGTTAATGAGTTTAGGTGCATCAACCTGCTTTTAGCTGTTTCACGATGAATGCAACTAAACTCGCTTAAAATGTTGAAGAAGTGGTCGAAAAAAAAGTTTATAAGTAGAAGTTTGTACCCAAATGATCTAAAAGTTTTGAAAGCTCTTTCCTGATGTGATCTTCTTCGTTTGAAGTACAACAAAAGTCCATATACAACACAGCATAAATTCCTTCTTTTCAAAAGTTGGTAAACACTCATTATTGCAACTAATACACGAGTTCATTATATCATTCATAAAACCTGAGCTCTTTGATCACAGTCAAAATTTTCAGCTTTAAGCCACATTCTTTGCAGTTTAACTTTTAACCAACACCTAGCATATATCTTTCAAGCATCAGCATTTCACATAATTCATTAATATTTACCAAAGGGCAACTTTTTCATTAATCAAAAAGCATCAATCTGACAATGTTGTTCAATAATTCATCTTTTAAATTCATCTGCATATTCATTTTATCTGTTTTTCATTTCATACAACCAACACTCGCTGATGAAGAAACTAGCGATGTTATAATCACAACAACATTAACATCAGACTCATCAACAATTGTAACAACTACCAAATCACAATCACCAACATTAGTCTGGGTCACTGGTACTAATGAAGAAGGTATCACTCAAACAACACAATCTGCTTATACAGAAGTTTTCAAAAGTTTTTACACTTCTGTGGAGGTTCCTCCAAAGGGTTCAATAGGATTGGGCACCATTAAAGGAACTGTTGGAACTCTTAGAAAGTATCCAAGTTTAACCTTAAACCCAACTCCAACAAAGAGGCAATGGTAGAAGTTTTCTAATGGAATGGGAATGGTAAATAGGCGTCAATATGGAAAAGGTTTAAGTTAATAGATAATAAGTAATTCAATCATGTTGATGTAGTTGACAATTGTCACTGATGCTTTGTGCTGGATTCCCTTTGCCTGACAACTCCCAACAGTTGTACAAGCCGTATACGTCTTAAGTGAACTCTTCATATCTGATTTGCAACATCTTCTTCAGTCATAGCTTCTATTCCCCTAATAAATGATCTATCTGGTGTGGGATAAATCCAACTTCAAAGTGTCTTCATGATGAATTCTCGAAAAAAAGTAGTGTGTACAACGAAAATCGATTTTCAAAACATGATAAGGATAATCCAGTTCGATGAGCTTACACGAGTCACAAAATAATTGGGCATCTATTATTGTTGCTATATAGATTAAACTGGATACCATTGAGGTCTGGGTTTTAGTGACAGGTGTTAAATAATATGAGTGGATTGAACCGGAGAAACAGCAGAACAAGAAGTACATCAAGTTATCAACAAATTCCAGAGGATCAACTATTTCAAACAGAAGAAGTACACGAAATGACTGAATCAAACAAGAAGCTTGAAGATAAATCCTCAAAAGTTGATTGGCTCTCGACGGTGAATATAGGCACTGAGCTACTAGAGAATAAAGGATCAGTTGCAAGAGATCATGTATGTTTTAATATTTTTACGTTGACACATAAAAATACTAATCAATTAATATAGATGGCAAATGAAAGAACATTCCTATCGTGGATAAGGACATCAATGGGGCTGGCTACGTGTGGTGTCGGTATTACTCAACTGTTCAAGTTGAATACAGATAATGGTAATAGTGACGAGTTCCTAAGTAAAGTTGGAAGACCAATAGGTGGTAAGTAAACTCAATAAAATCGCTGCAAAGTAGAATGGACTCTAACATATAATCAGCTTCTTTCATACTAATTGCCATCATTTGTGTCATAATGGGTCTTTTCAGATTTTTCAATACTCAAAGTTTATTGAAACAGGAGAAATATCCAGCAGCTAGACTTTCTGTGAGTGTCCTGGTGTTTCTTGTTCTGGCAGTGAGTATACTAGTGCTTGTGATGTTTTGGAAATATACTAACCAAGATCTAGCTTTGCATAGTGACATTAGTTACTGTGTTGTACGTAAATTCATCAAATCATTAAGCGTGCAATTACTATATTGTAGGTTCTCATCATCACGTGCAGCACTTTAGGGCATGTGACTGTGTGTACTGAAATTTACACTTTACCCATGCCCACAATTGCGTCGTAGCAGAACATCACAACACCTCCAACAGAAAAAGCAGACAGAAATCGGTACAGGCACAGGTTCATCCTCCCAGCGGAAACAGTAGTACTCAGCCCAACGCTCTCGCCTAGTGTCCGCCTAAGCTCTCCCGCAACCAGCAAGTATTGACACGAAAGGGATTGTCAGCAGAAATTTTCAAAGTCACAGAGCAGCGAAGGTTCAGAAAAAAAAGTCAAAAACAATTGAGCCCAACTACTAAATCATATACTTGATACATTACAGATAGAACAAATCATTCAAAATGGTATGTGATAAAGCTCATGAAAGGAAGGACACAATGAAGAGATACTGAAGAGACGACTGTACCAATACAAGAGAATAAGGATTTAAAACTATGGAATTTATTATAGAGAGAGGAATTAAGTGAATTATCATCAAAGTGGCGTTAAGAAATGAACAAACAACAAGTCAGAATCAAAGAATAAAAAGTAATAAAACTGAAAGGAGAACAATAGAAAGAGGAAGAACTGCTAATAGGACAAAATAGAAGAAATAACATTCACGTATTTATTAATTACAGAGTAAAGGGATCACAGAATCAGGGTATGCGGACATTAAGTGGAAAGATTAAACATAAGTAAAACAACATCTATGAATTAAAATAAAACAGTCAATCTGAAATTGTCTCTTCACTGTGTCATTCTAGCTCAAATTAGTTTTGGAACTAGTTACTAACAATGTTTATTTTAGGGTAAAGTTCACGGTTCTTTAGCTCGTGCTGGTAAAGTTAAATCTCAAACTCCAAAAGTTGACAAACAAGAAAAACCAAAAAAACCAAAAGGTAGAGCTCACAAACGTCTTTTGTACACTAAAAGATTCGTTAATGTTACCTTAGTTAACGGTAAAAGAAAATCCAACCCAGGTCCATCATCAAGTTAGATTTGCTGAATTATGAAAAACGGTAACAATTATTATACTTGATTAATAAAAAAAGGATGTACATTTTATTTGTTTTTTGGTAGCACATTTATTCATCTATTGACTGGTTTTTGTGCTGCTTATATATTTCGGTGAATGGTTTTAATGTTATAACTGTTTAAACTATAAAAGGATTCATGTAGTGAAAATGAAGCACCTGTGATGAGTAGAAAGTGACGAGGCAGACTACGATAGGCTATAACCTATGCCTCATTGAAAACTTGTCATTACCTGAAATGATCGGATCGTAGATGGTGCCAAAAGTGAATTTTTCATAAGTGAAAAAAAAATTGTGATAGACTAAAGCCATGTACATATAACATCAAGAGACACAACTTACTCATAATAAACCCATGTCAGACACTGAATCACTCGGAGGAGACCTATTTGCTGAACCAGAAAACTATTATAAAGAGGCTCCATCTCATCATTCAGCTCAATATGAGCGTAAAACTGATAAATTACCACACAAGATAGATCTAAGGCTGATTGGTTCATCACCATTATGGGGTCATTTATTATGGAACGCTGGTATTTTCACTGCTGATTACCTAGATAAACATTCTGAGGAGCTTGTCAAAGGGAAAGATGTTTTAGAATTAGGTGCTGCTGCCGCTTTGCCTAGTTTGATCTGTGGTTATAACGATGCCAAAACTGTTGTTTGTACAGATTATCCAGATGCTGATTTAATAAATAATATAAAGCATAATGTTGAAAATGCCAAAGATTTGGATCAATCTAAAGTGCTTGTTGAGGGTTATATATGGGGGAATGATTATGAACCGCTGTTAGAAAAGATTAGAGGTACAAATAAAGATAAAAAATTTGATTTAATCATCTTATCAGATCTTGTTTTCAATCATACTGAACATCATAAACTTTTGAAAACTTGTCAAGATAATTTAGAGAAGAATGGGAAATGTCTTGTTGTTTTTTCTCCACATAGACCATGGTTATTAGATGCTGATTTACAATTTTTTGAAACTGCAAAAGAATATGGTTTCAAAAGTGAAAAGATTGATCTTGTGAAATGGAAACCAATGTTTGAAGAAGATGAAGAAACTGTTGATATCAGATCTAGAGTGTATTCTTTCTTTTTAACGTTTGATGAAACCAAATAATATAATAAAAGCCTACAATAGCATATGTTAACAAATTAATAGAAATAGCATTAGAAATAGAATAAGTATACAAAAAGTTTGATTTTTTTTTTCATTATAAATAGTCCAAAGTCATTAAAAGGGGGAGTCGTAGAACGAAAGCAACGTATAATCATACATGATCATGGTGAGAATGATCAAATGATCTCTTGTTGAATGAAGATTCCTGAGCTGAGAAATTACAACCAGTGAAAACGCTTTCATCTTGGTTATAAGCATAACATGTAGTACCTGCAGCACAACCATAAGTGACCCATGAACCCCAATTACAAACAGCATATTCACCGCTTGAAGAACAAGCAATGGCACCGTTTGTACATTGACTAGTTTCACCATTGAATTTACCAGCTTTATAACTTTGGTTTAAACATTGAGCCTTAGCAATACCACTTAATGAAGAGCAATCACTTGGAACGTTGGAAGCTGATGCTGATGGAGCTGCTGGAGTTGTTGAACTTGGCTCAATTGTGTTTGAAAGACTGAAGGTATTGGTTTGGAAACCTGAACTTTGACCTCCTTCTTGAGATGAAACAACAACACTTGATAAAGTGGAAGGACCCCCACTAGTGAATGTATTTGAAGTTATTTCTGGGTATGATAAGGATGATTGTTGAGAGGAAGTTGGTTGTTGCGATGGTGGGATTGCAGAGCTCAATTCTGGAACATTCAAAGATGATGAACCGATCGCTTCTGATGATGAAGGGATAGGTGCTGATGAAGAAGTGGTGGATTCAACTGGTTGAGAGGAAATTGGTGCTGATGAAGTTGATGTTGTTGAATCAATGGCAGATGAGCCAATGGTTGAAGAGGAGGCTTGTGTTGAAGATGTTGGTTGAACTGATGGAGATTGAACAATTGATGACTGGGCTGAAGAGCTAGTTGATGTGGTTTCAATGGATGATGAAGGAACTTCTGAAGAGGTTTCTTGAGCAGATGAGGATTGCACAGTTGATGAAGATTGGGCAGTAGAGCTTTCAGCGTTGGAGGAAGAACCACCTAAAGATTGTAAAGCATTTTTGATTGCACCGGCAAAAGTTGTACCATCAACTTTATTGGTGAATGATTGAGAAGCATCCCATAACATAACACCACCAAATGCGGGGTCTGATCCAATTGTTGAAAGAGTTGATTTAATTTTTGAAATATCAACATAACCACTACCAGCAGCAGAAGAGGAACCTGGTAAACCTAAGTACAATTTGATGTTCTTGTTTGGAGAAGTGTTTTTAGCATAGTCTGCCCAAGTGTCCCAGTTGAATTGTTTATCAACGTTACAATAATTGTTGTAGAATTGAACAAATGCAAAATCAATATCAGCACTTTTAAGTAAATCACCAACACTTGCATCTGGGTAAACACATTGAGGAGCAGCTGATAAATAATAGTCTTTAGAACCAGAGCTGAAGTACTCTCTCAATTTATTAGCTAAAGCAGCATACCCGCTTGGTTGTTGGTTTTCAATATCAAAGTCAAACCCGTCAATAACAGATTCTCCAAATGGTCTTGTGTCTGAAGAACCTTCACCAAATAAGTTCCATAAAGTACCAGCAAAATCTTCAGCTTGAGAATCACCTGAGAATCCATAGTAACCAGATTCACCACCTAATGATAATAAAACTTTTTTACCTTTAGCTTGACAACTTTTAATATCAGAAGCAATCTTGTCACATTTCAAAAGACCATTAGAATATTGATCATAGCATGCAGAGGCGAAATTCAAAGTTGGAACATCATTAGTTCCTGGGAAGGATGTCATAAATGACAAGACAACAATATCAACATCATCTGAGTCACAATAATATGATAAATCTTCTTGGGAACCAGCAGAAGCTTGACCCCAATAAACCACGACGTTTTTGTTGGAGTTGGCATCAAAAGCAGCAGCTGCGCTTGAGATTAAAGTGGTCAACGCTAGACCTTTAAATAACGTTGAAAATTGCATTGTCTTTTTTCTATTAGGGTATCAGAGGATAGGAATATATTGTTTATAGTATTAGTTCTTGAGTTTGGATAAATTAGCTGAAAAGTGAATGGGTTTTTTTGCAAGGAATGACAAATAGTTGGAATGGTATAATAAAGAATCTTAAAGCCACTTAAAATCCTCTTGTTCTATGTGAGCTAGCGAGTGACAGGTTTGAAGTATTTGAACAAAGTGACACATCAATATTCAGACAAGTTAGAATGAAGGCCCGATGCTTTTATTTATAGTTGAAGTGTTTTGCATTTGTGAAACACGATGCTCATGGCTGGTCAAGTTCTCGAGTTCCAGAACACAACTGTTGATGTGTTAATCCCCAGACGCATCCCTTCTTGTTAGTAAACACACCGAGTCTTCCTTCGCGCGACGCTGTAGGCTTCACCATGAAATTCCTTCAAGAGAAGGCTTGCAATTCAAAACTGAAACCATGGTGATTAAGGTTTTTAGATCGCGCCTGTGCTTATTGTTGACGTTTGTGGGCCCAACCGCGGATCAGCCCTCCTGAAAAACTTTTCGAGAGGCTGGCAGATTACCGTGTTTTTTCGACTCCTACCAAAAACACGAATAATGGAAGGGTCTCTTGAAGCTCAGTCTCTTCAAACGTAAGAGGTGGCTTGTCATGGTTCTTTAAAAGGATACTCCCCTGAAAATCTCTTGTCAATTTATATATTTATATGGTGACGATAGATGTGACATTTGGTGGTGAACATAGTTCTAGAAGATGTTTCAAACTTGGAGTTGACGTGTGTTCATCTTCACTGGCATCTTCATTCCACATACTAGAGCTAGCTTCAAATTGGCTAGCTTCATTTTTTGTAACGACGTAATTTGTTTTCATGCCAACGGCTACATTCAATTTGTAATAATTACTTGATTAAGATAAATTGAATTCCAGTACTGTCTTTTGAAATCCTTCGTTGATCATTGAGCTGGGCTTGGTGGACCTTTAGCTGGTTCTTTTAGAAACCTTGTACAATTGATTTTGACAAATCAGCCGCTAGAATGATCTAGCGAGCTACCTGCCTCCATATCACAGGTACCTGTGGATTATGACGAGGCCCACTCACGGTGAAGTCATGTTTGATTATTGGTTGTGATAATAATATTTTTCACAAGATTCGACTATTTTTTCGGAAGCGCATTGTGGAGGAGACAAACACTCATATATGGAACTTTGGCCATAAATTAACATCAAAACATAAGCCCAAAAAGCCAAAGAAAAAGCTTAGGAGATTAAACCAGAAGTTCATCTCACCATAAAAGCAAAAAAAATACCAAAATACTCAAAAATGGTGATTTTGGTTTTTTTTTTTTTTTAATGGTAAAGTTACTTTATTCTAAAATCTTATACACTTTTACACTTCCACTTTCAATATATATTAATAATTCCAATTATATGACACTGTTCCAAATAAATTTCCAATATTAATCAATAGCTCAATTTTATAGCTCTATCCTTCTTTCTTTCCTTATAGAGCAACCTTCTTAATAAAGTCAAAAGTCAAAATAAATAATCCAATTGGAAGCAAAAAAAAAATATTGAAGGATGCGAGGTTCGAACTCGCGCGGACAAACGTCCAGTAGATCTTAAGTCTACCGCCTTAGACCACTCGGCCAACCCTCCTGGATTTTAAATTTTTTTTCCTCTGAAATTTCTAGTCATCTTCACTACGGCTTTTTGCGCCCAAATTTCAATATTAGATGAACATAAACATTGCACTAGTACGATAAGAAATAAGGGATTACATATTGACTTACCTGGTGTACTTAATACACTATTTATACAATTATGCTAATACTAATTATCTAATCATATAGTATAAGGCGTAGCTAAGCTAATAATACAGCAGGCGCACTAATGGACGACGTACGTTTTCATCGACTATGATCTGATAGTTTCTTCACGAGCTAGAATAGGTGATATATACAAGCTAGGGTCGATGAAAAACCAATCATAGGTTCATACATGGATGAATTAAGACATCATTTTAATTCGTTATAAGTTAGGTTTCTATAAGCCTTCTTTTGTTCATTTCTTTCTTCAATGCTGCATATGAATCCTCAGCATATGGTATTCTATCAACCAAACTTTTCTGTATCGACAAAACGCCAATTCTATGCTTGTATTTTTTCATTTTGATTTTCTTTCGGTCTAAATCATCAATAAATAAGGCATCTCGTTGTTCTTTTGAGAAACCTAATTTTGCAGTAATCTCCTCGAATTGATCAGGAACTTTTTTGCTTAAATCTATAACATCAGAGTCTAGTCCCCATCTAAGCAAATCCATATCCAATTTCAACTGT